ACTTAATTAATATTACTTTATAAGTTAACTATAATAGGCTAGTGCCTAGGAGATATACCCTAGATAAGATCTAGTATAGTAATCGTAATAAAGCGCCGTGAGAACAACTAACAACTACCAGCTGCCCGTCAAGGGCACTTGGTGGCCAGTGTAGTTAAGTACTTCTCCTGAGTTTCCTAGTTAGAATTAGCGTGGTTTTCGTAAGGGATTCTTATAATCCCTACTTGAGGCTCTCTAAGACCTCTATTAAATTTATTACTGTTATCAGGTATCTGCAAGCTCTGCGCAACCCTTATATTAACTAGCTTATTACTTACTTAAATTAAATTTAAGTATAATTCTTAGCTAGTTATACTAAAATTAAAAAGCTTAAACTACTAATATTACTAACTTTAAAAAAATTAATAAGTAAGGTACTTATGTTAAGATTAAGGATCTACTGGTTGGTTCTCGGGGATAATCTAAAGAGTAACGTGAAGCGGTTGCAAGGCAAGAAGGATAATAGCGGTAGAACAGTAGAGTGTATTGTCTGATACTAACTTAGGTTAAACATAGAAGGCTATAGGGGCATTCTAGGTTCTCTATATAATTCCTATCCTCACCTCCTTACAGGTAAGGGAGTGAGGATATCACGTGTTGGTGGTCCTTACCGTTGACCGAGTGAGGAGGTCACGTGAGTCACGTGACCCTACCCCTCATAAGCGCTCGGTTATCTGGTGTCCTCGTTGTTGCTACACTGATCTATTGGGTGTTGTTTCTTAGATCGTAACAACTTAATAATAGCTATAGTAAAAGTAAAAGATAGTAGTAATAGCTTAAAATATAATTAAAAGTAATATAAAGAAAGTATAACTAGTAAAAGTAAACTAATTAAGCTAATTGTAACGGGGTCGTCTGAGTAGGGACTTAGACACGTGACCTTGAAGGGGTTCTGTTGAGTAATGAGGGCCGTAGGCGTGGTATCAATATACTGGTAGGGTTGAACGTCAATCAATCACTGTTGTGTAAATGTGTTGCCAAAGATATCACAAGTAATCTTCCGTTAGGAAACTGGATGCAGAGAACTGTATCGTAGATTGACGATAAGGATCTATCTATGGAATACGTTCTGCTTATATACATGAGTCCGCTTGGCGGATTCGTGATATTCGTCTAACAAATCCACGAATCCGTCACGTGTCCAAGTCACGTGTCCAAGTTATGATCTGCCTCGTCTGCATAGAGCCTATCCGCGTACTCCTGTTCCCATAGGTCCTCCTCGTAGGATTCCTCGTCGCCTTCTGGCCACTCAGAATCGTCACTGTTCGGTTCATCCGTAACACACTGGATCTCATCCAGGGTATATCTCCTGGGCACCAGCCCATTACAGCTAGTTTTCTAGTACTTAAGATTAATGAATACCTAATTACTAATAGTAAAATTAGGCTTTTTTCTTTTTTTATTAGTGTTACGGATGAACCGAACAGTGACGATTCTGAGTGGCCAGAAGGCGACGAGGAATCCTACGAGGAGGACCTATGGGGACAGGAGGACGCGGACAGGCTCTATGCAGACGAGGCTGACCACAATATGGACACGTGATCAGAGGTCACGTGATGGATTCGTGGATTCGTGGATTCGTCTATCACGAATCCACGAACCCAACGAATCCGCCAAGCGTACTTATGTATATAAGCAGAATGTATCCCATAGATAGGTCCTCATCGTCAATCTACGATACAGTTCTCTGGATCCAGTTTCCTAACGGAAGATTACTTGTGATATCTTTGGCAACACATTTGCGCAACAGTGATTGATTGACGTTCAACCTTACCAGTATATTAATACTACGCCTACGGCCCTCATCACTCAACAGAACCCCTTCAAGGTCACGTGTCTAAGTCCTTACTCAGACGACCCTGTTACATAATTCTTGTATATTTAGAATCCTTTTTAGGAACATATTGTCTATCTAGTAATTACTAGAACCTAGCTTTGGATTATTTCCCTTAGTAATAGTAAGTGTTTGTATCAACATTCATAAAGCAATTATTTTAAACTCAGCTTTACCCATGTAACTAACACAAGTGCTATCATGCTTGAATACTTCTGGATCGAGACAAAGAGTACTTTTAGACTCGGCGATAATACGGATATAGAGGGATCAGATGCACTTATTGAACAACTAAAATAGATTGCGGAGTTCGTTCCGCGAACGAATAGTACGCAAGCTCAGCTTGAGGGCGAAAGTAGGTGGCGCCTACCAGCAAATGCCGAGTTCCGGAAGCTATGTAGTAAATGCAGGGAGTCTGCCCATATAGCTCGAATCTGCCAAAAAAGATTAAGAGTCACTCGATTTTGATTATCAATAGTCAATTTGCTGCCTTTTGTTCTACGCTGAGAGGAATTCGTACATCAAGTGCTTAGGTCACGTGTAGGTGTTTCACTCTTATATGCTCCACTTGCTAAAATAAGTAGTGAGCGTGTGGAATTAGTGGGAGTTTATCGTGCTCTATGCTGAACAAGAATCGCAAGATCACGTCATATCAGCCGACTTTTCACGGCACCTTGACCTGAAGCTGTGCTCAATGCGGGGAAAGTCCTGTGTCGTGGGGCACTGATCTATTGGTGTGGCTATCGCAAAAATATCGCATATAGCCAATGTATCAAAATCCAGCGCTAAGGGTTTTCCTCTTGCTTAATCAGGCAGGTTCAGGGAAACGATTTTGATCAGCGGCCACTACATAAAGCAGTACAATGATGGGATTTGAAATCGTAGCACTGCTATTGAGATCTCCCGATACCGAAGTTAAGACCCAGTATAGCGGCTCACTCTGATTTTTCCAACGCTTACAGGTTCTTTGCCATCAGCATCTTCATTCGATATATCTCTGAGGGCGAGCCACGACCGCAACTCGCGACAAAAAGGCTCACTGCACCGCATGAATTTTACTACTTGGCATAAGACGTTTGCTGAGAACATCAACAAGATTCGTCCCGGCCCTATCTCCCACGCATAAATCAGAATGGTGTATTTGAGCATTGAAGTCGCGCATGGATCCACCACCTTTAGAAGCAGAGATATGATCTCAGGGGTAATCACACTTGATTGGCGAAGGACAGAAAGAGTTTCATCACTTTCGATACATCTTGTTGGTGAAAGCACGTCCACCCTAGGAGTAACGCGGATCTTAGGGTTGAAGCAACAGAAAAAGGAGAAACACCGGTTCCTACACGAGGAACAAACCATCACACTGAACTCCATCGCCTCGAAGCTTGACTGTGGCCGACTTGAGCGTCCCGTCAATGATTATGGCATCTTCCCATTCAGGTTCCGATTACCCCAGTCACAAAAATGCCATTCTTGTCACGGAAAACCCTTGGAAGACAATGATTACGGATGTCGTCGGGAATTCACAAGTTATCCAGTGGATCTTCCGCCAACTTTAGGGCCGCCCACTGCCGTTGTGGCAGTTTCGTATTACATTATCGCCAAAGCGACCTTCTGGTACAAAGGAATCAGGAGAACATTAGAGAGGGTATGTCAAGGTTCAGGAATTACGGCACAATTCTAATTCTTGCAGACTCGATCTATCTTTTATTGGCCCTCGCAAATTCGATCGTTGTTGGATGGCGTCGCTTCAAATAACGAATCAGCTGCAGTGAACGCACGTGCCTATATTCTTGGTGCACAGAGTTTTAAGCTGGCATCATGTGAAGATTCTACGGGCATTGCACCTTTAGTAGATTTATCTATACCAGCGCAAATTATCCTTCAAGCAGACTTTATACCGGATATCACCCTCTCGTACGATACCCGGAGAAACCATTCTGCACTGCTTCCGTGCACACTGAACATGTCATTGAGGGTCAGGAAGCTCAATGACAACAAACAAGACTTGTATCTTAGGTCTATAAGTATTGTATTACTAGAGTTTACGAGATTTCGTGCTGGGGTATTGACGACGAAAGAGATGGTCATCCATCCACTAAAATCACTCAACCAAATCGAAGACCTCGTCTTCACATCTTCTGATCCTATTGACGTTATAAATGAACTAGACCCTGACATGTGGCGTCAAGGGTCGCTTCTTACGGAGGTGTGTCCTGGGTTCACCACGTGTAATATCCAGAGGAAGTACGAGCTCGAGATAGTAACTGGTTGGCAATGTCGGCAGGCTAAAGATTCTGGGAGAGTATTCTTTGTCACATTACGCTGTCAGGCAAACATCGCGTATACGTAAATAGCGAGGGCTTTTGAAAGGTTCGGTATTCATCTATCTACATTAGTCAGTCAGTCCGAATTTGAAATGCAAGTGTTAGAGCATCCCATTTTCCTGAATTCGAGATGTCGGCAGTGCTTGTTTGCTTCTCTGACACAGTAATGGACACCTGTAAATAACACTATTCGCTAGAAGAGGACTTATTAGTCCAGCGTAAAGAGTATCAGCATTCAGGAAATACAGTTTACGATCGTTTGGTTTTCATGCATCCCAGATATATCTGATAGCCTTGGGCACGTGGCTACAACGACTAGCACCAAGATCTAAGTAGGTATATTTTAGGTAGAGTTGTTGTACAAACAAACACGTTAGTCTTGGCAATAACCAACACTTGCATACCTACTTTAACAAAGAACCCAAGCATGAGTATAAATGAAACACTGGACTTGCAGGAAATTTTACACTATAACTACGTTTCAATTGCCTCTTGGATTTGCAAAATGCCTGTAACAACTAGATCAAAGAGTCAAGCCTTACATATGACACGAATTGCTCTGTCTGCATCAGCGCTGATCAAGACAAACAAAACTGCCAGCAAGATTGCTCCGAACGACAAGATACAAAACCATCGCCGTCACAATGGATCCCACAAGGAAAAACGACATCTCTCTCATCTGCAGAAGCTACAGAAACGAAAACTGCGAATTCAGAAGCCACCAAGACAAGACAGCAAACAGCTAGAATTGGAAAAAGAAGAACGCTTCGGAGGCGTGACTACCCCTGCATCACTACCTGTTTCCAGTACAACTTTTACCTACTTCTGCTGCCGTGATTGCCCCTGTCCTCAAGGGGTTTTCGACTATCCAGTTGACAGCTGTGTCCAGTGCGGGCACAACATGGACTCCCACGATGAGCAGGACCATGCATGGAAGATCGAGTGTGATTATGCTTGCAAGAGACAAGGCTTAGTTGAGTCTGTCTTGGAAATGGCACGGAATCGAAGAGTGGTAGTCATCCGGGCCACTCCTATGGTAGGCAAGACAACGCTGCTTCGGCTTTTTAGCTATCATATCGTCATGCACGAAAGGGACCTCGAGCCAGTCTATATCGAATGGAGACACCAAAACAACCCCGACCGTGGAAAGCTCCCATACGAGAAATACCTACAACGTGAAGCATCTGAATGGCGGGATCACAATAAGGCATACCGGCCCAATAATCCGAACGCTCGAACAATATACCTGATTGATGAAGCCCAAGGGTCTTATGAGGAGGAACACTTCTGGGGAACGACACTGAAACACCCTAATACACGTAGTTCGTCTCTATTCGTGCTTGTCTGCCTTTATGGTGCTCATGGCATTTCCCGCACTCTCCAACCACACATTGAATCCCAAGCTCAGCGGATGGATCGCATCCATCGTGTGGAGCTCCGTCCAAAAGGAGACAACAAGCAATTCATGCTATTTCGGCCGGAAGAAACTAGGGAGACGATCCGAAAATGGGCTTTGCAACACAAATTCGATCTTTTGGACGGGACGTGTGAATACATTCACAATTCTACTGACGGTCACCCAGGCGTGATTGGCCTGGTTTTACTTCACTTTAGGGTCTGTTATAAGAATGTAAGTACTGAGCAGCACCCTAGAGATGTGCAAGTCAATAATTAACGCTTTGCCAGCTCCCCGAATCCCTCCGCGTTGGGTGGTCGCCCTATTTGTGCAACAAAATCTTTGCTGAACAACACGATGAACTCTTAAGCCTATTCTCCACGTCCGGAAGGGGCCTTTGGGTTCCTGGTGCCGAGGATCACATTAGGCGAATTCTTCTTCGTTCTGACCATGAGTTTCACCCTATCACATTCGAAAGTGTCGTTGACGCGTTGCGTGAGGTGGCAACAAAACCTTCCGGCTGCGTACGAATGCAGAAAGACTATGATGCATTTGCATTCTGTTATAAAATGGGGTTTCTACACACTGAGCCATATGGAGAGAATGGTGCGATTAAGTACATCTTTGCATCACCGATGCACCGAAGGTAGCTCCAGTACCAAACATGATAGTAGCGCAGAAGCTTATCAGGATTAGGTTTGCGTGTCGTCGGCTCTGTCCAGGCACAGAACTAAGCACCGGCGTCAAAAGTCTTTCACTCCAGGAGACTTGTATCAACGCCATTGAGAGATTCAGTCCGTCTGTCCTTAAAAGCAGAACGAAACTTACCCGTCACGGTTCGAGGATCTTAGAAGCAGTATACCACGAGGAAATGTATTGCTGCCTGGCTCACGAGCTTCGGTCTTTACCCATCTTCACTCAATATGCCCATAACGACGAGGGGAGGATTGACCTGTACATACTTGAGAAGAAATGGGGTATTGAGTTGCTCCAAGGGGGAAATACTGCGACGATCACTGAGCACGCAGCCCGCTTTCGGTCTGGCGGCAAGTATCATGCCTGGAATATTATTGATGATTATATTGTCATTAATTTCTGTTCTCCACTCACTATCAGTGAGGTTGAAATTGATGGTAATGTCCCTCCCCCTTGATAAGAGTCAGCTGCTAAACAAATTATAGATGCAGATGTCAAGCCTCATATTCTACAAGTCGCCATCGATCCAGAAAAGTACACTGCAGAGGTATACACATGGGACAAAATGCTTCTGCAGACATTAGTGTTAGGCGAAGGAAGGCAGCGGCACAAGAAACTCGACGATAATCTGTATCTGGATGAGGCGGAGGAACAGAGGCGAGTAAACGAGAAATTGCGGCAACATAACGTGGATCTGGAGCAACATAACGTGGATCTGGAGCAACAAAAGGAGGAACTGGAGCAACAAAAGGAGGAACTGGAGCAACAAAAGGAGGAACTGCGGCAGCAAAAGGAGGAACTGCAGCGCAAGTATAAGGAACTGCAGGCTAGTTCAGGGGGAATATAAGATCGCACAAGATATCGAGAAGCGGTCGCGACGTGTAGTAGAAGGCTGAAGCGATGGTATTACAATCTGAAGAGCTAGAGACATATGATAGAGGGTTTTTGCTCTCGTTTCTGGTCGTACACAATATTAGATCACGCATTTCCTTCTGCAATTAGTCGTAAAGCTTTAAGTACATGGAAACTAGCATCCTGCATTGCCTGCTCTTCGCGGACCGTCATCTTACCAAGAACATATTTACTGACGACAGCTGGGTCTCTGCTCTCGGGCCTGCCAATTCCTACACCTATGCGCCAAAATTCGGTGTCTCTGAGCGATGCTTGGCAGCTCTTGATTCCGTTATGACCTTTAGGACTTGCTACACCCTGCCGGATAGTGACATGACCCAATTTCGATTCCAGCTCGTCATGTAGAATGACCAATCGAGCATTATGCCCCTTGGATTTCTGCTGTGCTAAGAATGTGGTCCACGCACTTCGTACGCTTGGCCCACTCACATTCATGAGTTTCGTGCTTTGCCAAAGGGTAAAATCGTCTTCGCCAGGAGCAAGCTCTGCCTGCTTCTCCTTTACCGCGCCCCAGATGAGGTGGATCTTTGCCCGCGTCATATTGGGCGTTGACACCAGACCTGACATGCCTTTCTGGAAGGGGAGATATTGACCGCGAGCGCGTATCACCTCAATGACATTATGTCCAGCGCTATGGAGCGTATTGGCATACTGTTTTCCTGGATTGCCGAGTGAACATACGAGAAGTGGGTAGAACTGAGTCGGAGGCATAGGAGGGAATATATCAGGGTTTGGCGTGGTGGAGTTATTCGATATGCACAAGGGAGTATTGATGGCAGAAAGCTCAATGCTAGCACCCGAAACTCTGGACCCCAATGATAAAGATAATGGGACGTTGTCAGGCTTTCTCTTTGATGATTTTTGACTTGATTTGTGGCGTGAATATGACTCTAGTTCGCTCCGATGAAATGTACAGCTTTCATTCAAGCCGCTGGAGCCAGTTCGATGATTTATGCTGCCGTGCTTCTTAGATTTCAAAGATCGGTCTGTTACGACGATTTGTTGATCTTCCCGAAAGTGTGAAAGAGGAGGGCAATTTGCAAGTAGAATTTCCTGATCGGCAAAATCGCGGTTGGCGATCGACGCAGGGTCCGCCACGTGGGCACGTGTTTGCGCGTTCTCATCCATCTGATCTGGTCCGGATGCTTTGAAGATTCTCAATTCGCTTGAAATTTTTCTCCTACAGGCTGTTTCACCAGTTTATGTATGCTCACAATTTAGGTTTGTAATCCTGCAGCATGGAATTCCTTCTATCTGATGTGACTCATGGTTCTCAAAATGTACCACAGCCTACCTAGGTGTCAGCCACAGCCACCACTACAACTTGCGCGATTGCATACAGAGGAGGGAGAGGACGAGATGAAAGGGTGAGAACGATTTTGTAACATTGTCTTGTCGGTATTAATGAAAAATAAACATTATAAAGTACGGAGTACGTAAGTAGACAATGCGAGACGATAAAATCAATATCATAGAACAGGAGGTTGACGTTCAAGACTCAACTCCTGTCTTGGCGTGCATCATCGCCACCGAACCACCAGACTTCCTCATTCCTTGTGCCGACTTGTGCAATCTTGACTTCCAACGGTGCCTGGTGCATTTTGTCAACGTCATTCACAAACAATATCACTGTGATAGTCAGCCACCATGGTGGATAACCAGTCGAAACAAGCAGCTCGCTCGATGGGCGATCTGTCCATTGATGCTGAGCAGATCCGGCGGATGGTGAGTACTTCACGGACCCAGACACGCCGCGAATAACAACTAAATTCACATTGCAGGAAGAGGCTCGCCTCAAAGCCAAAGCAGCAGCGAAACAGCCTCATAGTCTGAATCCAAGTAGCTCATCCGTCGCAGGGATAAAACGCTCATATGAAAGCCACAACTCGTCCAACACTCCCAAGAATCTGCGCGATGCCTCTGCCACTTCCGGCCGGAGGCGAGATGAGAACGGGTTCATACAACCGCCTTCGAACGATTTGATCCAGCCCGCTAAAAATTTTGGTCGTTCCGAGTACATCGAATACGATTTCAGTAAGATGACAGATACCAAGGGAGGGTTTTTGAGTACAACGGATGATCCGCACAATCGCGCAATGTGGAGCGGGAAAGGGCGAGAGGAAGAAAAGCCTCCTGGCATCTCCCTTGCCGACTGGGAACGTGAACGGGTGAGGAAGAAGTTGAGGGAAAACAGGGCGGGACCTTTTGAACCTGGTATCTCTATTCTGAACGCTACGGACGGGAAATTCGAGGACGAGGCCAATATAGCTGCCGCAGAGAATGAGGATGTCGAGGAGTTCAAGGGAAAATACGGGGATGGCAAGCGCGACATTAAGGGCAAATGCCGGGAATGTAGTACTCTGGAGATTGACTGGAAATGGCAGGACATATTCGGAATTGGAATCTGCTCTGGCTGCAAAGAGAAGATGCCCGATAAGTATTCGCTACTGACCAAAACCGAGGCCCGCGAGGATTATCTTTTGACAGATCCGGAACTAAAGGACGAAGAGTTGCTGCCCCATCTCGAGCGTCCAAACCCGCATAAGACGAATTGGAATAATATGCAGCTGTTCTTGCGTTTGCAGGTTGAAGCCTACGCGTTCTCGTCTCGGAAATGGGGTTCTGCTGAGGCACTCGATGAGGAGTACGAGAAGCGGCAACAGGTCACAAAGGCACGGAAAGAGAAGAAATTCAAAAACAAACTCGAAGAGCTAAAGAAGCGGACGAGATTTGAGGCGTACAAGAGAGCGAGGATGGGAGATCAGACCAACGGTGCAAACTTTGGAGATAAGGTAAAAAGGTTTGGCGAGAAGCATGTCCATGAGTGGGGTAGAAGTGTCTTAGATCCAGAGACCGGCATGACCAGAAAGAGGTGTGATGAATGCGGTATGGAGGTAGAGGAGCTAGAGTTTTGAACGTTGTTACGGCAACGATAAATGCATGAGAATATTTCGAAACGATCATCGAACCTCACTTCCAGGTTATATATGCAAGCTAACATTGCAGTGACTTCGGGAGCGCTTTGGATAGTGTATTACGTCCCCATGAATTTGCTCCGAGGTCATGCCGTAAAGGGTCAATAGTATGCATCAAAGCCGAAGCCACCTATCGTCATCATGTTGTATTCTGTATAGATTACTAGCTGTTACTGCACATCCTACATTCAGGAGAGGTATACATGTCGATGAGGTGGTACATATTGCCAACTATATGCAGAGAGAAAACATGAAAGCAAAACGCCCACCATGCGAGCCAAGGAGCACTATATTCATGAAAACATTCAACGTTAATCATGCCGACCATGAGGATGACCGAGTGGCGCTCGATCACGAAGCGTGAGGCTGGCGAGGTTTGCCTTCTGGTTTGGTGTCCTCGTCGTCTTCCGAAATCAGTCCTTCGAGTTCAAATTCTTCAGCATCGCGAATTCGTCTATCCGCTCGAGCATGCCCATTGGGGTGGCCATTTGGTGGCGCAGTTCGCGCTGGGAGTGTGGGGTCGGACTTTGCGGGCGAATTCCAGGCGTGGACAGCATAGAGATGCAGCAGCATGTTTACGAAAAGGAACAGGAGGAAAGATATACTGAACAGTATGAAAACGTACGAGACATGGGTTACATGCGCGTCCGAAAGAAGCTGCATTTGTTCTTCTGTTGCACCCATGAATAAGAACCCAGAGGCACAAAGGAGCTGGCAAAGTGTAAGCATGCACCGATCGTGGTAGTCATAATGAGTAGTGGTAGACTTACGAATGGTGTCAGATACTGAAAGCTGTTTGGATCAGAACCGTCTTCGCTCGTTGCATTCTTGTCCTTAAGAACAAAGGATATTTCCACAATTCTTGCTACACCGGCGGCCATGAGGGTATAGCCAAAGATGGTATGGACTTTGGTCGAGATCTCAAGATGCTGCGGGTGTGCCGACATGCCGAAACCGGTTAATAGGATCACAATCGCGGGTATCAGGTTTCTCTTGGGCTGCCCGTCCCTTTTGCGGCTGAGCCATATGCCGAGCAGACCAGCACACCACCATATAATGCCCATGGTGGTGTGTTGCAAGTCGTTGTGAACCCAGGGTCCTCCCCAGCGATGTTCAGTGAATGTGTTGACACAGCCCCATGCTGCTATGACCATGGAATCGAAGAATTCTTGACTGCGGCCAGTTCTGCGAAGCCAGTACTGTCCGACCAATAGTAAAATGGTCAGAATGATGCCATACGCAATGAACGCGCTACCCATGATGAAATGGGCAAGGCACTGGCCGGTGTGATCCCCACGGCAGAATCCGAGCATTGTTAGACCACCAAAAACGAACTGAACCCAGGTCGCGATAGGCATCGCTTTTCCGACAATTCCGTGAGCCTTGACAATGACTTTCCTAATCTTTCCGTGGATGCCGCGCTCCAGATGTAGCTTGAGATATATACCCATGACAACTTGGGAGATGAGCATGAGCATGATTGAAGGCACAAATTTTGAGTGTATATTTGAAGCGAACTGGCGGCCTTTGTGTTTGTGTCCAAGGAAGTAGCCCAAGATAGCAAGAACGGAACCAACGGTCTGGACGGGAACATGCCATCGTGAACGGATGATCTTGTAGCGCTGTTAGTTGGTCTTGTCATGACAATACTATTGTTGGTTGAGAGGACTAGAAATACGTACACCAAGTACCATTCCTGTGGGGAACAATATTCCCCAAGCCAATGATTGTATCAAAATATGGACCCATAATATCGAATCCTGTAGGTGATCGTTAATGAAGCTGTTTGACCATTGCGTGGATGTGTTGTATTAACATACGATAGGATCATCGGAAATTGCGTGCCCCTCTTCTATCTTGTCCATGTGGTGCTCATGGGCATCCGAAGAAGCTGTGAATACAACTAGGAGGACCGTAAGTAGGAGACCAGTAGGCCTGGTTGTGAATAGCTCCATTCTTTCAGTTGGTGACAAGCGCGAGACCAGGAAGACGATGGGCTCAAGAGTTCCAGGGTCGTGGAGCGGTGGACTCGAAGTATTTAATTACGTGGGTAGGTATTGATCGACGGGTTGGTCCCCGGTGGCGGAGAGTTCGCTACGAACGCGGCATGCGCGATTGAGCGTGGTGTTAGGCGGGGAAGATGCGCAGTGTAGGGATATGAGCGCGTTATCAGCTGGAGAGGGTTCAGAGGAAGAGAGCAGACGGAGTCGAATTGACGGATGTTGGGCCTGGTAGGGTTGGGTTGCGCGAAAGGAGTGTGGAGTGGGAGTGGAAGAATGAGAAGAAGAGGAAGGGAAAGAGGAAGTAAAAGAGTATGTATGAGTAAGATCCGGGAGGACGAGGGAAAATGTATGGAGGTAATTACTGATTATCTACTGGTCACCTACTGGGTAGTTAATGGGTACTGGGTACTGGGTACTGGGTACTACTGTTGTGGCTACGGAATGACTGCATACGTTAGGTACCAGGTACTTAGTATCTCATCCCTAGGTAGTTAGCTCTTCTTTTTTGCCCTATACCTACCTGCCTATCTCATTTGATTAACATGGCTGAGTCTCACTTCGCGGCAGGAACGATCAGCTAGCTCCTTCCTTCCTTCCATCCTTCTTTCATGCAGTCATTGCATTTACAGACCGTGGCCAGGTATCAATCACCCTATTAGATGCGATGCGCCATCCTCAATTTAACAAGAAAACTTGTACGGAGTACAAATATCTTTTATTTATCGGCAATGGAATCAATTCATCGACTTACGTCAAGTGTAGTAATTAGCGGCCGCGGGCTGCCGAGCCTCCAAATAGAGCAGGTACCCTATTAATTGTTTGTACTCGTTCGTACAAATTACCTCGTACCTACCTACACACCTACTGTGTAAGCAATCAACCAAGCCCATTTCGATTGCTGGTTCCTGGCTAGAACCCGCCTTATACATACCTACTAGGTACTCCCTACGGACCCTACCTACGTTAGGTGCCTACCTACGTACACATAACAACAACAATAATTGATCCACACTTGTACTTTACCTTGCCCACTTCACATAATGACCCTACTTGAAAGACCAAACTCCGACTCTGAGGAGCAAGATCAGGAAGAGCAGGAAGAGAAGAGACGAGAGGCTAGCGACACAACAGAGGTCGAACATCACCTTCAGACGTCTGTCCCACCCATCGTCCCTGCGCAAGAACATCTCACCAAGCTTTCACGTCCTGCTCTCCAAGCGCCCCAAGGCGACACCCAAGCACATCCTCGGCCGCACCAAGCTTTGGATCAGCTACCACACCCTTCAATCCAAAATTCATACAATGATCCAGTGCAAGTAATACCTGCGGGCGGAAAAGCCTGTCGCTATGACGTAGGCTTACAGCAGCATGCACCATCACCATGCGCCGCTGTCCCTACCGCTGCTTCCAGCGACCCGCATCAATTGCATCCTTCGCACTCGACGATACAGGTCTGTTTGCGAGCACACAGTAAGTGATGTTGATATCTGACCCGCGTGTTGTAGTCAATATGTACCGACGCACACGCACCGTCTCCAACAGATATCGCCGCCGTGCCTCGACAGGCACCTAATAACACATCCTCTGAAGCATCACCGGCAATTGGCTTGACTTGTGCGCCTGAGTTGCCATCGCCACCACAGACTGAACTTCTCCATGCATCAAATACGGACCCCAGAGAAGCAGCCAAGGAGGGTCACCTATCTGAATCCTCTGAGCATGTCACGTGTTCACTCACCACCACGACACGGAAGCCACCGGTACACGTCGAGAGTTCACAGGAAGCGATTCTAGATGTTCTCAAAGCACGACGGGCGGAATTGATAACATCTTTAGCAGGACTTTCAAAGTCAGATGATGCAATATCCAATCTGATCGAAGAATACGATCCTGATCTTCTATCGTCTTCATCTCATGTGCTCGGTCTAGCAAACGATATCGTGAAACGACACATAACGCTGCTGCATGAGTATAACGAAATCAAGGATGTGGGTCAAGGGCTCATGGGATTGATGGCCGAACAAAGAGGCGTACGGAGCATAGACATCCACAGGGAATATGGAATTGAGCTAAAGGACTGACACACTACCACTGCCTCCGAGACCTTTCTAATGTTCTGCTTCCTTATCTGGCTTGGAATCCAGCGAGTTTCCATTTGTAAATCTCCCAGAAACCGATCGTTGGCACTGGGTAACGCGATTTCGAAGCGCCTGAGTGCCGGCACGTTCGTTATATTACTGTGCAATGCTTCTTGGCTGCCTCCTTGAGCAACGCCCAGGAGCTGAGATGACTAACAGATTGATAGAGGCTGGCATGACATCAATGTGCCTAGACGGGAGGCGGAGAGGAAATGTGGGACTTGGGGTAAGAGTGTACGTACGCATGCACATGTTCGTTGGATCTTAGTCACGGTCCTTTGGGCCGGGCTTGGGCGAAGCTCATAGTTGAGGAAAAGCCATTATAGCGAACGCGCCGACTGAGGCGGTGGGTTTCCTCCCTATACAAGTAGTTGGTCAATTGTCAATGTACACTAGGAGGTACACAGTACAAACACATGAACATATATCGGAACGGACCACGTTCGCGCTAATTATCGGTGAAACAGGAACCGAAGTGCCGCATCTCCTCCTACGCGTCTGCATTTGCATGTTAAACATTAATACAGTGTACAGTGTGACTCGACAGGGTTGAGGTGCCCTTTGGTCTGTGCTGCGTGTCCTGTACTTGTTGGAGCGGAGCCACCTGGGCAATGGCAAATGTGCATGTATTATTATTGTACATGCACGGGACGGGGTACTGCGAACACTAATACATACTTCCAGCACTACCAATGACCCCCGAATCTTGAACCCTGACAATCTGTGATCCTTTCATACATCTATCTATCTATAAGCGACCCAGTCCGTCTTCCGTATCTCGTCTCGTATCATCTCATTCCGCCGGCCAAGCCCCTCCACCCCCTTCAGGCGGACGGGCTTACGTGCCCTTGTAGGCTTGTATGTACACAGCATTCCGAATTTAAAACCAATGGATCCCCATCTCATGTAACTTGCATTCCCGTGTACCATTTGCGACGTGTGCTGCCCTTTATACAAATTCAACCGCCCAATGCTCTCATCAACGACCCGGTAATACGAAGCCGTTCGGAGAAGCCCCGTAGTTGTGTACATTGTTAATTCTGCCCCAGAGCAAGCTTGCTGGGAGAAGAGGAGGGAACTACTCGCAAAAATGCCAGGTATCCCGCAATGGTCAGGGACGCCGTCCATCAAGGGCTCGACTGAGGCCATGCGCATGGCTCTGCTCACGACATCTCTCATCGGACTTCAGTATGGTATACACAGTTCACGTGCCTTGTACTGTTGTGCTGAACGGTTAATAGATTCACATGGAATGTTGAGATGACCTACTGCACCCCCTATCTCCTCGAGCTTGGTCTGACCAAATCGAAGATATCTTTGGTGTGGATCGCTGGACCGCTCTCTGGCCTCATTATGCAGCCCATCGTTGGCGTTGTTGCAGATAGATCAACGAGTAGGTGGGGTCGCAGGCGACCTTTCATGGTGGCAGGGACGGTCCTTGTGTCCATGTTCCTATTGCTGCTAGGCTGGACGAAGGAAGTAGTCAAAATGTTCAGTAACAACATGGACGAGCAGGCGACTAAAAGCGCAACGATTGCGCTCGCTGTATTTAGCATCTACGGAATCGATTTCGCCATCAATGCGGTCCAGGGAAGCTGCCGTGGCCTCATAGTGGACACCTTGCCCATACCCAAGCAACAGATGGGCAGCAGCTGGGCCAGTAGAATGGTCGCCGTCGGATCTCTCGTCGGGTATGGCGCGGGAGCGATTGACCTTGGTGCTATCTTTGGGCCAATGCTTGGTGATACGCAGTTCAAGCAACTGACCACCATCGCAGCGCTGTGTCTCTGTCTGACAGTCGGTGTGACGTCCTGGGCCGTCACTGAAAAGGTGTTGCTCAGCGACGGTACCGAGGAGCATGAGAAGCAGGGGCCAGTGCAGGTCCTTTCAACGATTGCGAATAAAGCGATGAATCTGCCGAGGGGGATCGCGGCCATCTGTTTCGTGCAGTTCTGGGCCTGGATTGGTAAGTCACCCATCTTGATTGAGAAGACTGGAGATTGACAACCACATCAGGCTGGTTCCCATTCCTATTTTATAGCACCACCTGGGTAGGAGAGATCTATCTGCGTTACGAAGCTCCTGCAGAAGTCAAAGCAGCAGGAGACTTGACAGGCCAAGTCGGACGTATTGGCAGCACCGCCTTAATAGCGTTTTCCATCATCACCTTTCTCATGTCTGTGGTCCTCCCGTGGTTCGTCCGAAACCCTGAGGACGAGGGTCCTGGATTCACACCTCGTCCTCCGCAGAGTATAGCATCGTTCGTGACCGAAGTCGAGAAGTACAAGCCTTCCCTTCTCACGGCTTGGACCGTTTCCCATTGCATATTTGCGGGTTCCATGATGATGGCACCGTTCGTACAGTCGTTGCGGAGTGCCACCTTGATTGTGGCCGCTTGCGGAGTGTGAGTGCCTACCTACCTATTACATCTACCCATCTGCCACATGAGCCAGCCACGCTAATATTCAATGCAAGGTCCTGGGCTATAAGCTGCTGGGCACCGTTCACGTTCCTTGGAATCGAGATCAATCGACTGGCACAGCCCAATCGATCGAAGTATGGTCATCTGGCACGGAATTCGATCGAGATGGAATCACCAGTGCTATTACACCTCAATCACGCACTGGAAGAGTCGCAAGAAGCCACGGCAGAGAGCTCTGGTGCCTACCTGGGCATTATGAACTTGTATACAACGCTTCCACAATTTGTTGGGACATTTATATCTTGGGGAGTCTTTACCCTACTGGAACCTGCGAAGAGCACCGGACTCGATACCGAGAGTGGGATGGAGGGACAACGGCAAAGTGAGGGGCCGAACGCAATTGCAGTCTGCCTTTTCATCGGTGCCCTCTCGGCAACAGTGGCGGCCATGGCGACGAGGCGGCTCAAGAGATATCAAAAGCATTGATAGGGAGGGTGGCAAGGGAGAGGCGCATCGCATGGGGTTGATTTGCAATGTACTGTCACAAACGAACCAAAAAGCACACAACAATACCTGTAGTGTAGGGTTTGTAACCCCTCTAACCATATGGGCTGGTAATCGTGCGTTGCTTGAGAAATAAAGTGCTGCGAGTAGATAGCTGTATGTTCTGGTTAGTCCAAGTCGCGATCGCCATACTTGCCACAAGAAGCCTAGAGGCCGATGCGCAGAAGAAAGTTTAAAAAAAATATAGAAAACATATGGAAGGTATCTGCCCTTTCGTCTCCGTCTTTTGCGACCTATCAAGTATACCAGCATTATCATGAAGTGAGTAGGTAGGTACGGATACCTAAGTACCCAAATAAGTACTACATACAGTACCAAGGTGGTCGTGTCTTCTTCCCTTTGCCCCGGAATACAGATTGGACTGATTCTTAGGCTGGCATATAATATTTTCGGGTATGGTAGAATAGTTAACATATCTAACGAGAAGATAGCCTACACAATTCGAATGACCTGGGGTGTGGCGAGAGTTGAGGGTGGATTCTTTCTGGAAAGAGTTGAATGGGTGGGAGGGCTACGATTAGTTAGTGGATAGTGTGCCCGCCGCCTCTTTTTTTTTTCTCCTTTCGCCGCCAACAGAAAACAATTCTTGCAAACGCCTTGTTGGACATTGGGAGAACAATTAAATTACAAAGATTAATTGGTAGGCTGTGATAACTAATTGCAAGTATTATTACCAATACCTAGTTTTGTGCAGTTGAGTGTGGCCACGAAAAAAAACAACGACTGGATTACTATTAAGAAGGTTAGCTAGTATTAGACTATTAGTAGGGCTTGTCTTCCTGTTTGGCCTCCTTCCCTCCTTCCCTCCTGCCCTGCCCTGCCCTGCCCTTATTACCAGTGGTTACCTGCCTTTTCCCAGGTACCTCTCAGTACTTACCAGTACTTACCAGTACTTACTGTGTACTTTACCACCCAAGCGTTTCCTATTATCTCTCTCTTTAGTTACCTTGTACCTGCGAGTACCTTACCCTCCCACCACTGACACACACGCACACACACACACACACAGACACGCACCAACACACCCACAACCACTACCACTGCCACTGCCACTACTACCACCTCATACTTCCTCCTCCTCCACTCTCCCCTCCTCCCCTTCTTCTTCTTCGTTTTTACACCCTCACTCAACATTTCCCACTCCCATCTACTCCGCTCCACACAATAATCTTCCTTCACCATGTCCGAGCCAATTCGTAACAAGAAGGTCGACTCCATCTCCGCTCCGTAAGTCTTTCTCTTTCCCTTCTGTTGACCCCACTGTTATAATAAATTTCACCTCGACCCCCTTCGTCGTTCCTAATCTAACGCCAACAATCTCCGTCACCATCGCCTCCACCTCCACCACTACCACTACCAAACGTTATCACTAATCTCTGTCATCAACCATCACAGAACTCCACAGAACACACCTGCCAATGCCGCTCCCATATCGTCGCGAGCGCAGCAGCCCGGTGTGGCGAGCATCAAAGAGGGTGAGTGCTAGAATTTACCCCAGTCTACCAATTTTGCCCCTCCCACCCCGCGCAACTGCCCCATCTCAGGGCTTGACCGCTAATTCATATTTTTTTCCCTTCACACAGAGGAGCTAGATCGTGCCGCCGCCGGCCTATTCGCTGCGAATCCCGCCCTCGTCTCCATGATGCAGGCCAAACTCGGTTCATTAGTCGGTCGCTCAAGTGGCTACATTGAATCCCTTCCTGTTTCCGTCCGCACGCGCGTTGCTGGCCTCAAAGGCATCCAAAAGGAGCATTCAAAACTCGAGGCCGAATTCCAGGAGGAGGTCCTACAACTTGAGAAGAAGTACTTCGCCAAATTTACCCCTCTCTACGAGAACCGCGCAAAGATCATCAACGGTGCCACCGAGCCCACCGAGGAGCAGGTCAAGGTTGGCGAGACCAAGGATGAGGACGATGAGGAAGACGAGGAGCTCAAGGAGGAGGCCAACAAGGACGAAGGCAAGGACGTCAAGGGTATCCCTGAGTTCTGGCTTAGCGCCATGAAGAACCAGATCTCCCTTGCGGAGATGATCACTGACAGGGACGAGGCTGCCTTGAAGTCTTTGACTGACATTCGCATGGAATACCTCGACAGACCAGGTTTCCGACTGATCTTCGAGTTTGAGGAAAATGAGTTCTTCACCAACAAGAGCATCACCAAGACCTACTACTACCAGGACGAGAATGGCTACGGCGGCGACTTCATCTACGATCATGCCGAGGGCGAAAAGATCGACTGGAAGGCAGGCAAGGATCTGACCGTTCGCATTGAGAGCAAGAAGCAACGGAACAAGAGTATGATATGACTCCAAGGCCACTGGCGTGAACAGCGTGCTAACAGTCCCCCAGACACAAAGCAGACCCGTGTGGTTAAGAAGACTGTACCCACGGAATCCTTCTTCAATTTCTTCGATCCCCCTAAGCCCCCGACCGACGAGGATGATGACGCCGCCTCAGACATCGAGGAGCGCCTCGAGCTTGACTACCAGCTCGGCGAAGACATCAAAGAGAAGCTCATCCCTCGCGCCATCGACTGGTTCACGGGTGAGGCACTGCAGTATGAAAACCTCGAGGATTTCGATGAGGGCGAATTTGAGGATGAAGACGATGAGGACGAGGATGAGCTTAGCGATGACAGGGATGATGATGAGGAGTCAGACGACGAGGTATGCAATGACCACTCCTGTTTGCCTAGCCACCACCACTCACTCATATACAGAATGACGGCACAAAACCTAAGCAGGAAGCCGCTGAATGCAAGCAGAGCTAAATGGCCCTTTCGCTCGACCATGGGTTCTCAGCCACATATCACTCGACCGGCCCGCCATTTGACGATCTGGATGCCGGCATCGACATGCATTTGACGATTTCTTGGTGGCCCCAATCATGAAAACACCGCAGACTTTGTTTTCTTTCTCCTTTATCCCTCTCTCAGCCCTGCACCCAATTGTAGTCCCTCGCCCGCCTTCGGCATAATTTTCGATCCACGCCGGAGGGCATCCACAGCAGTAGACTAGCTATCGCGCAAAACATCAATCATTTAGCTCTCTGCACCCCTTTGGTCTCTCTTCGGAGCACTGAGTGTATGCCCCGGAACGACAATGAGAGCAGCGCAAAGACATCAACCATAATCTCGGTCATGGGATCAATTTACCTTTAGACGAGTGTAATCTAATTGACACAGATGCTTATGCTTGTTGACAGCTAGTCTCCACATGAGGCAGCACTTACTTGTATTTTGAACATTCACACGGAGAGGAACGGGGTCCCTTATAGCATGGATGCGTTCTTTCATTGCGTTTTCTTTGCAAAAGTTTGGAGTGACGGTTGTTAGGGTAGAATTGGAAACCTCATTGCGTTTTGACATGGAATTTTGTAACTTTTCGTCATGAATACGTGTCGTTGGCCCCCTCAACTTGCTCAATATGCCCAAAGCACCATTCTCTGGGGTGCAAACTCGACAACAGAGCCATGTCCCTCCTATGTAGTACCTGATTTGGCACAAGACGAGAATTGTGGCTGAACGATGGCCAAAGTGGCGGGACAGCTGCCCCATCGGCGGGGTTTTCGTCATTTTTCCCGGGTCATCTTCGGAATTGAGGGGAAATCTTGTCGGAAATTTGTCGGCATCGCTTCATTGAAAATAGTGATAATCACACCACGGCTTTACGCAGCAATTTGATTGAGATACAATCCCTTTATTTCTCACCTCTCGCATATTTTTTCCAACATGGCGCGTCAGAATCCCAATATCGTGGTGACCGGGACACCTGGTGTGGGAAAAACTACACATGCTGAGCAACTGGCACGGAATCTTGGGTTCAAACACCTTAGCGTGAACCATATCGTGAAGGATGAGGGTTTCCATGAAGGAAAGGACGAGGAGACGGGGAGTTGGGTCGTAGATGAAGACAAAGTAAGTTTCTTGTGGCAGATGTTCGATCACCGTCATGGAACATTCTCAATCGTCACGAGGAGATCTACTAACCGCATCTCCAGCTTCTCGACTACCTAGAAGCCGCAGATATTTCTTCCTCAGGCGGCAACATCATAGATTGGCATGCGTGCGACCTTTTCCCAGAGCGTTGGGTGGACCTGGTGATTGTGCTGCGCTGCGACTCCACCGTTCTCTACGACCGTTTATCCGCGAGGGGCTATAAGGGCAAGAAGCTGGATGAGAATATGGACAGCGAGATCATGCAGGTGCTGCTTGATGAGGCAAGAGAGAGCTATAAGGAAGAGATTGTAGTCGAGCTTAGGAGTGACAAGAATGACGATGTGGATGGCAATTTAGAAAGGATAGAACAATGGGTGGAACAATGGAAGAAGGATAATGCTGCAGAAGCTTGATGCCTTTCGTTCATATCGAAAGGACGAAACCTCACATTCACTTGATGGGGGAGTACCCAGTAAGTTGGAATTTCTTTCTCTCCCTCAGGATGCCTACGAGAACCACAACAACCATCACCGCACGTAAGAGCCCAAGAGTCAGGGCTGCAATCAAGCATCTACTCGGCTAGCCAGCCATTCCTTAAGTTTGTCCAGTGCCTTGCCCCGGTGTGAGATCTTATTCTTCTCAGACTTCTCCATCTCTGCATACGTTTTCCCGTTATACTCGAAGCATGAATCCCATCCTGTTGCAGGGTTAATATTCTATCGTTGTCGCTCATACAGTGCATTTAGATAACTGACCGAAAACTGTAGGGCCTCTGCTGGCAACCAGCTTTCCATCCGTACGGCCTTGGAAGAGTACGGGCTCATGACCTGGACCCTCGCAGTACGCGAACGTGCAGACTGCTTGCGCAGACTTGTCCTCAAATCCATCCAGCATGTGGTGTAGTTTGAGTGGGCCTAGCGAGAGCATAAACCATTTTCTGGCAGTACCGTTAGCAAAGACACTGCAAGAAGATGTCAAATTACTCTCTGACAATTGGGAGGCTCACATATATGGGCCGGGGAGATCATTCATAGCCTTGAAGCACAAGCATGTATCTTCCACCAATACAGGCCCTTGCACCTGCACATTAGATATGTTAACGTAACTGAATGTATGCAATGACGCGGGTCAGATAGACTCACGGCCTCAGCTGCGCGGCGGCACTTATCCGTCGTGACTTCCTCAACGGTTCCCTGTATTTCCACAAGATCTACATTCTGACTTTGTAACTCGATCACGCCTTCAAGAATTGCTTGAACCTACGTTCGTCGTTAGTATATTATATTTAATTGACAATCCATGTTGTAAATGGGGACATCTTTCACCTCGGCTAGTTTGTTCTTATTGCCTGTGATGAAGTTCAAACGGGCTGGGACTGTGGGCGCGGCAGCCATGTTGACTCTCTCTCAATGCCTTGAATGGAATCTCTGGAAAAGAACGGAGCTAATTGGTCTTGTGACGAATGATCCTGGTACGAGGATGGACACTGAAGTGTACACTGTGGGCGCTTGTATTTGCAGAAATTTTTGGATTTGAAATTGCTAGATTCTTAGGACGGTTGTGCTCGTTGGTTTTCTGTGAGGGTGATGAGGGCGTATGTCGAACAAAATGATATATGGTAAGTGGTACCTATTTGTATTGCCTCATGAATGATTTTCGGAAGGACCACGCTGCTCAATTTGTGCCTTGCCAAACTGCTGAATTGATAAGCAGAGGACGGTGACTCTTCTACCGAGTTGTCAATGTACAGCCCTCGGCAACTCAGGGGGGTTGCACCCTTGATACATGTGTACATACGTATATTTAGTTCAAATGCTACTGGAGCTTGATCCTATAGCAATGAGTCAAGAATGTAATTATGCGCTGAGAAGAGTGCACGATCTAATTGTCGGATGTGATTGCTCAAAGGCGAACAGCCAGTGATTAGTAGTATTTAAACAGGTACTGAAACAGCAGTTGGCTTTGTCAGCTTGATTTATTACGAGTGTATGTCCTCCAAGCAAAACGACAACCGAGGAATCGGATGAGGGAGAGCTTTTGCGTAGCCTCATTCGGGTCAATTAAAAATGAATAATCTTCTGCTCAGGTACTTTGGCGTTTTCTTTTCCCTACTCACGCTCTCGATATGTATTTGATGCTGCCCTTTGCGCCCTTCGCGTTCCCTTCGCTTACATCGGCTGACCTTTCCATTCTTGTTCTAGTTCTCATTTATTATTAGCCCATTCGATACAATCACTATTTGCGTCCATGACTGACTTTGTTGCTGACAGACAACATCACCAACACGTCTCTGGCGCCCAGGGACGCCGTTGAGACCTAATTTGATTCATCGAAACAATGCCCCTCTCCCCCAAAACAGTCTTCTTCAGCGTTTATGGATCTCACACAGCCGTACGCCTTGCCTTTCTTCCGCTGTGCTACTTCCTCGTCTTCAGTCCGTTCTTAGTGCTACTGGTGCGATACTATGGCTACGATCAGGAATTTGTACAGAGGATTCCGTCCAGGTACAGAAGCCCAGATGCGCTGGCCCAAGTCTTTGCGGCACTGGTCACCGTAGGTTTGTTCACGAGGATATTGACTGGGACGAAATTCGGGAATGGAAGCATGCGGGATGGACACAAGCGCAATGTCAATATTTTACCCTACTGGATACCTCGCCTTAGACACACTCCCAACCTCCTGTTCCGTGGAGATAGCTGGCTTAGTAGCATAGTGTATGTTAACAATTGCTCCATGGTGATCATCGCCAATATTGACACGCGGAAAGATCCTCTTCCATTACCGATATTGTAGGATTCAGTCTGGCAGGTATCAAACATGTCCTCATTCTCTCGCCCTCTGTCTTGGACCGAGTTGTTGGGAATACCGACAGCTTTGACCAGGCTGAATCGTCGAAGTGGTCCATTATATCAAACTCCATCGGATTGCCTAGCACCAACAAAGCGCAATATCTACAGCTCCAGCCCGAGATTCGACAACAGTTCGCATCCGCGTTGTTCAAGGGAGAAGAACTTTTGCATATCGTCCAGGCATCAGTTCGCATCCTATCAGAGTCACTACCTGACTTGATAACATTCAATTCTTCACTGGTTGACCAGTTGCCGTGGGAAAGAGTTGCTGGCATAGAATTAAGCGATGGTACGGAAGAGGCGGAATGCGATCTATATGCTCTTGTGAACGAATACTTTTCCAGTGCAATCATCACGCCTATTACGGGTCTCCAATTTACAGAATCTTACCAACTTCTAGCCAGCGATCTGGCGACCTTGGATGAGTCCTTCTACGCTTTAGCACTTGGTTTACCACGGTTCTTCCCGCTTCCCGGATTGCCCGGTGCAACTTTAGCCAGGAGACGATTGCTTCAGAACTTTACCAAGTTCTTTCACGACATTACGTTTCCTCCCACGAAAAAGGTAGTAGCGGACGACGAAAGCGTCAGTGGTGATGAGGACACAGATGCGGAAACACCAACACCAATGACTGTCTTGAACGAGCTATTCTCGCAGCATGATGTACCAATGGAAGTACGTGCTGCCATTGCACTTGAGGCTATCAACAAAATCAGATCACAAGCAGTGCCCTTAGCCTTCTGGGTCCTTTATCACATTTACTCCTCTTCGGAAGCCCAACCCAAGGATTCCAGTAAAGAAGCGAACCCTCTTGAGAAGATCCGGGGAGAGACCAAAGTTTGGGCTCATGCAGTCCAACCACCTTCGATTCATCCGTCCTTTCCCTCTCCGCCTCAAATCACATTCGATGCACCGTCCTCACTATTCTCTCCAACTACCTTGCCCTTCCTACGCTCAACAATCTTTGAAGCGTCCCGGTTGTATAGTGTCTCTGTGACGACAGCAGTAGTCACGAAACCAATCATATTCACTCAAGCGACGTTCCGAGCAGGCGAGGAAGAGGAGAAATGGCAGCTTGATGTAGGGTCTTGCATTGATGTCGGCTTATCTCGGCAACTCATCAATAGGTCTGCTGCAAATTACCTGGATCCACAAAGTTTCAAACCAGATCGTTTCGCGCACACACAGTCACCGTCTCCACTTGCAGCTACGGTCTTCGAAGATTCGAACGAGCTAGTGAATGCCCTGCTCGTGACAGTGGTTGCTGGAATCACACAGCTATGGGATATCAGTGCTGCACCCAAGAAGAGTTTCTTTGATCAAATGCAAGAGGCACAGGCTGCTGCTACTGGCCAGAAGAATCTCGTTAATAGCAGCAAAGAGAGGAACACCGGGACTTGGCAAATGCCAAATACAGTTGACGGGGCCAGCTGTAAAGTGCCTAAAGGCGAACTTCGAGTTAGGATAAGGCGGAGAGAAAATCTCGAAAAACTGAAGATTGGCTCTGTGCGTATATAGAGTTGCCAATGAGGGGGCTTCCATCTGTTCGACTCCTCTTTGGATAAACACATCGAGAAAAAACTGTTTCTTCAGTCCTCCATGTCATTGGAAAGTCACCATATGCAACATATGCAGGCAAAACACTGATGGACCACTGGAAAGAAACCAAACGTATCAGTCTTCTGCTCAAAGCGGTCAGGCAGGCGTGAGCACCCCCCTATGTGTTATCTCGATCGTTCGATCCCATCCCAATTAGTTGTTGAAGCATATTTGATAGGGCTGCGTTCTAGGCACAATCAGACCATACCACGTCACCAAGATGTACGCTGTACTTAATCAAAGGGCACCTGTTGGCACCACCCATCTCGAGAACCATAGACTGCGGGCGCAATGCATGATAGACCTGGTCATCACTTGGCTTCCCAATCTAACCATATCCACATGCACATTTTTGTGTTATCGCGATCGTACGAAGCGATGAATGGAAACGAAATCGACTAAGTCGTACCGAAGATGCGCAGCTAGAAATTGGCACATTCCAAGTACGTCTCTTGAGATCGTTTGGTGATTTCCAACGTCAGAAAAGCGGTGAATTACACACTAAGGATGCCTGCTTCCACCGGGCTAGCATCCGTACTTCCCCGTCATCATGAACTTGAGGTGAATGCATCACGAGCACGAGGCAGATATACCGGTTCGTCCGTGGGTAATGAAGCCTTCAATTCTTTTATCCCGTCACGAACGCGCTCTAAGATGGTGCTTCCACTTCCCCGCACAAAGATCTACGCTGTTGGAACAAGTCCATGACTCGCTGCGACGCCAATGAATGCATATGCCCATGCGGTGCATGTGCACCAACTAGATTATACTGAACGTACATACGTCAGTACTATGAAGCGCTCAATCACAAGAGCTTAATACTCATAATAGATTGTAAGCAGGAAAGAAGGTAGCACGTACGCGATGATGATCTTGTCTTAAAAACAAATAGAAGAGCAGGGGAATAATGACAACAATTTGGAGATGGTTGTTGCTACGTCAGCCTGAACAGACGTAATGCTAAGGGGATATTGTGAAAAATATCGGAGTGGAGGAAATGCAGCATACACATTGGAATGATACTAAATGTATAGACCGCTTCAAGAATATCATAGGGTGATTTAATGTACCTTGCTGGCATGGGGAGGTGACACTATAAATGCAGGGGTTGTTGCTATGATAAAAGGCTGGACATCGACGAGTCCCCTATTTTTGATGAGTTGACAAAGTGGACGCCGTGCTACGAAGCAGCTCAAAGGACGGCAAGAGTACGGCATAGGCCGGCCATCCATAACCAAGGAAACAGGTGAGACATAAGTTCTGGATAAGATGGCATATGCAAACCCACTGATATTGTGAATGGGAGGTATTGCCCACAAAGCAACAGTAAAATTATCTGCGTTAAAAGTTGTCGTCCAATCACTGAAAGGTGGTGGCCTTGTTCGAAGGGATATTGTCAATTCCAATTCATATGCACTTTTTTTCTTCAACCACATGAACACCGATATATGGATTGTTTGCACCCATGCACGCCATCACTGCCATCAGATGGTGAAAAAGGTTATGTCCATTTCATTCCGTAACATAACACCTTTTGGATGCCCATATCATGTCGAACAAGTTGAAAAGACCCAATGAGACCCCTCAACCATGACCCGCTTAAACGCTCTCAAGGACGGTCTCCTTGAATTCCCGCTCGACCTGTGTCGTTGTATTAGCACATGCAAACATAAACGTCGTTATGAGGTTCATCATACCTTCTGGCCTGAGTCGTCCTGGCTTGACTCTCCGTGGAGGCCGAGGAGGGCACCCAAATCGAACTTTGGTTGCTTGAGGAGCTTGACCTTTCGGACGTGGACCTAACGACGAATTAGTACTCCTCTCTTGAAGCCAATTAATTCCCATAACATACGTTCTGGAGAGGGTAGATGCCCTGAGTAGACTTCTCGATCTCACGGCCAATGACCTCAGGAATGAGCTTCTGGGTCAACTGGGCGAGTGTGCATGCGCTGGCCTCACGCTGAATGATCTCGGTCATCTTCTTGCGGATTGCGCGGATCTGGGAGGAAGCGGCGTAGGTGGTCTTCTTGATCTGGTTCGGCCTTCGCTTGGTGAAAGCAATGGCGAAGAGGCGGAGGAGGTAGTCATCGGTGGTCTTGACGACGACGTTGGCCTCAATGAGGGTCTGCCACTTGCGGACGAGGGAGCGGAGCTTGTCAGAGGTGAAGTCGAGACCGTGGAAGTTGGTCAAGCAGTTCTTGCCCTGAACCTCGTCGACTCGGAGCTTGACCTTGCGGAAAGCGTGGTCCTCATCTTTCTGGAGATCGGCGAGAGAAACTTCGACTATCCGGCCCTTGAGGGCATCGTTTGCGTTCTTCAGACCGGTGGTACGGTTGACGAGGGTCTTGCCGACGCTGCAAAAAAATTGTCGTCAGTCTTGTTGATTGCAAAGATCGAGGTGCACTCATGAGGAGCGTCGAATTGTGGGATTGGGAAAAAAAGACATACTCGCGGATCTGGAAAGTGGAAGGAGCCTTGATGTTGTACCAATCCTTCTTTGCGAAGGCATCGGTCTTCTTCTTAAGACCCTTCTTTCCCTTTGAGAGGCGCTTGTTCTTGCCGACAGCCATGATTGCGACGTTGGTGCTGAAAGGTCGCTGTCGTGGGGCTGGCTTGGTGTTGTCGTCGTCAGTTTGTCGTAGGAAAATCGAGAGCAATGTGGAAGTGCCAAATTCGCTTAATGAGCTTGGGCCATCTGTCACGTGCGATCTAGCCCAGATTGATTTTCCCTTCTCAGGGTTGCGATTGGTCGGAGCCGGATTTCGCCGATTGATGGAGTGACGACGGGTTTAGTCAGCAAAACATCAACCATGAACAACTACCTCAAAGGCAAACAACTTCCGGGTAATACACTGACACCTTTTTCATCTTACATTCTTGGGAGTGTGAAAGGGAGATATTTTGCCTAGTACATACAGAATCAAGGTATGACAATGCGTAAGGTACTTAGGTTACGCAGGATACTATACATCACCTATACTCACTCTGCATCGACTTATCACAGACATGTTAACCGCGATTTCATCTTTCTTTGATAGTTTGTAATATTCTACCTAGACATATCATGGTATTGCGATATAGATCAGTCGCCTAACTCTACCAGTTTAGACTCAACTATACTCCTCCATTGGTTCTCTACGAAAGGTGTCTCATGCACAAATGCACAAATGCACCGGTACACCCCTCCCTTCAAATCTTCACATTCGTACACCAACCTCGAACATCTGTCGTGGCCTAGAGAGGCCATCGATACACAGAACCTAACTGGGTAGGCGAGGGCAGTGGCGAACTGGCTCTGGCTATACATGCCATCGGCCTTCCACACGTACACGAGGGGACGGTGGTAGAATGGCCTTGCAGAAAGGCCTAGTACATATGACTATGCTCCCACCTGGTCGAAATTGTCTCCAGTATTAAGTCAAAATACTGCATGACACTTCTTTGTAACTCTTCCATCACACAATGGAGAGCCTGTCGACCTTAATGCAGGACCAGCCGTCGCCTCTGTTGGCGGTGCGTAGTTCCATCGGATATACCGTGGCAGCATTATCGAAGTAGTGTTAAGTCACTACATTCTCACTCATGATCTTGCAGTCCTTCCGTGGACTCAATCATGTCTTGACAGTGGTACACTCATGACGTTGGCCATCGTAAGGATTTTGAGATTCGCAGAACTTCTCAAAGTCAGGAAAGCTGATATATCCATCTGTAGAGCTGTTAAAGGCTGTCCATGGTTGGGGCGGTGACCAAATTTTAAAAAAAAAACTGACCCTGCTTCCTATACTGCTGGACGTAACGATCGCTCTCACTCCTCCATACGGCAGGCCTCTCCGGTGAATACAAAGGGTTCGTTTCCATTCCATTGGACCTGGCTCCAGGCGAAGGAATAGGACTTGGGATTGGGGTTTCTCCACGAGGTGTTGATGGGTGGGAGGCAACCTTAGCCAGAAGAGCGGACGCGCGAGTGGGACTACCAGAAGAGTCTCTCCGAGCAACGACAGGAGCCTGGGTTGTGCTGATGCAAGGCGAGGAAACAGTTGAAGGCGTCAGAGGTGGGCGGCGACTGCTTGATCTGTTGTGCTGCGGTGGCTGTGTGGGGAGTGAATAGTATGACCTGGCGTTGCTTGCCATGGTGGAGGTTCGTTGTATGGGATGATTGTATGTGGATTTGGTCGATGGTAGCGTTGAATAGAGTTGAGTACAGCTGAGTACAGCTGAGTTGAGTCGGGTTGGGGAATTGAGTCGAAACGGGTTTGCGTAACCAGAGGTACGTTGAGCGTAGGTATTGGATTGGGAGGAGAGCAGGTTTATGTGTGTGGAGTCGAAGCTGGAATGACGGAGTGGAAATTCACGAATAGATAGATGGTGGTCTGAAGGAGGCGTTAGTGGTAATAAGTAATAAGTTAATGCATATCTCAGCAATGGGTACGGAGTAGTAGTGGTAATAGTATTAATGGGCTTGGGGAATCGGGAGTGCGCACCATCCACTGCCCAGACGCCATTCACCCCATACTACTTCCATTACTCTGGGGCCTGTATTATTGTGTACGTAGGCGTGTCCAGGTCCAGTAGTCCAGTACGAGACTACGAGTAGACACAAAAGGTTGTATGCGAGTGGCAGGGGACCCCAGCCGGTGTGTATGCTATTATGCTGCATCATCAGCCGGGCTCTCCCACTCCACTGAGTCCACTCCCATTATTGAGAGTCCACTCCACACAGTGGCACACACATCATCATCCTTTTCCATCCCAGCCCATCCCCATTATCCTTTCTTCCCCCTACCTCCCCCTCTTGGTGTAATGTATCATCCTGTAATACGAGTTTTCGTCTCTGTCTTTTCTTTCTATTCTTCCATTCAGGTCCTTTCTTCTCTCGGCCCTGGACACGCCGCAAGCCTGGCCCGGCCTGGCACGGCACCTGCACACACACACACACACACACACACACACACACACAACTGCACGCACGCACTTGCTTTGCATATGCAGAAGTGGGCGAGCGCCGCAAGAAAACGTGGACCGTTTAGAACAAACACGCAGCTTTCCGGCTGCGCTGTCATCCGCTCATACGTCCTGACTCGTCCTCAGTCCGACACACGACTCCATTATTCTCCCACTTTCGGCTCAGGGGATGCATCACGTATCTATTTAGCTTGTATATAGACAATTACGCACTGCTGGATGTAGACCGATAGAATGTCATGTTACGGCATGGCATAGGATGTGCTGGCTGATGGCCACCGCCGAACTGTCTCGTTACTTGGCCGACGACTCAAAAAGCATAATTCTCTATGCCTAGGCAGGCAAGTGTAATGAGTTTGTTCAGTCCGAGTTGGAATCATCCGGCCTCGGTACTGTTCCGCCACGACCCTCCTCCATCACAAAGCCTTCGACCTTGGTGCGAGAACTGCGTAGATGATTATCATGATGGGGCGTTAAGAAACGCTTTCCCACCACTATGATTGAGGTCTCGCCAGCTTCTCCTGGGATGTACGTGGTATCGCATCGCATCCTAGGTTGTTCTCCGGCACAGCGGGTGCCAAAGCGGCGGGGTCATAGTGGCCATAATTAGTGTGAGTGGCCATGATGGGTGGCCTCCTGTCGAATCGGTGGCTGGATCCTTTCGTTCAACAAATTCATCCCTCATGGATCTGACTACTAGTACTCATAGAAAGAAGCCTGACGACAGGTCCACCACCCCTCACGCCCCTCTTTCTCCTCAGAGTACATAGATGCATTTCGAATAGCCAGACTCGATGAGGCGATGGTAGCAGGGGATTCCGCCGGAATCAGCGCTGGTCAGGGGTGTATGCAACATGTAACTTGTACCTTGGAATAATAATACCCGTATTAGATGTGCCCATCTTGTTGGGGCATTGGAGAGGAGCTCGCATCAGCCCGCATCACCTTACCTATCATTATCGATACGACGACTATCGATACATGAGGGTGCATGCAGAGTCTGTATGTACAGTCCAAAGGACCAGAACTACAGTACTGTGTAGGCAATATGTATGCATGTATAACAGCTTCTAAGTATGCGTGGTGCGACTTTTGTTGTTGCAGAAACGATCGGTGGAAAGGCATGTTTCGACTACGAGTAGGAACGAATCGAACATTATTCGGGACGGTATTCGAAAGCGCCTCACATTCTCCCCTTTACTATTCCCATCTCATGATTCCATGTCACTCACCACAATCTTCCAACGAATGCCGGTTTCACGCTGAACCGAGTTCTAGGCTTCAAGGCTTCCACGACTCATTCAAAACTCACCCCATCTAGCAATGACGCTCAGCTCTGTATTCGGGGCGGGCTCCCTTTCCATTCCACTCCATTGATACTCGTAAGGTGGTAGATGACGTCCGGCGCGCCCACTCCGTCATCAATCCTTTATCCTCCATGCTTGAACAGCATTATTCGTATAATACTCGAGATTACCTACATATTCGCGAGAGTGTGTCTGCCAGGTAATCGTGATGAAGCACGGTCTTCCAACATCCAACATCCAACAACTTGTCACGTTGCCCTTCCACCGAATCTGGCTCAAATCCAACGCTCGTCCTCGCCCCGTGTCCCCATTCGGACCTGTAGTGACATCAACATCATCTGCCTTGTTTTGCTTCTCTATCAACCGCTGCCGACGGACAGCCAACGTCTAGACACTCGCCACGTACCGGGCTCCCATTGCCGGCGGCTGTCAACGCTTCCTCACCTCAGCACTTACCGGGCCAGTCAAGTCTTCCCGTACCCGTCCCGCAGTACGTACGACGTTGCTTTTCCCAACGACATGTTCACTGTCGTCCAATCGTACTATTGCGCTCACGCTTTCCAAGATCACCTAGAACAGGGCCATTGATGTCGGATTGATGTAATCTTACACTCCACGACCCTACCTCGTAGCGAAATCTCAATATGCTGTTGCACCCTAGCACCACTGAGACTGGACTTGTGGTTTTGACTGGTACATACTCGTAACCTGCTTAGGATAGATACACATGTCACCCCACCCTCGCAAGCAGGCTGCGGTCGACGAGTGACCTATTCCGCTTATCTGCTGCATTATTCCTACTAACAAGTCCTGGGCTGTGTTGTTTCCTCGTTCATTAGTCAAGCTATCAATGTAAACGCAGGCCAACAACGAGGGATGAACTCAAGTTCCGTGATTTTCTTGTTTGATCAACAAATTTTCTTTTTCTCGGTGTCCATCTAGTCCTCTAAGCCTTACCCGTTCCGTGGACGACTCCGCACATGGTGGAATCGTTGTTGTGTCTAGCACGTTGCGTAGCTCGCCAAATATGCCATGCTGCCCAGTCCGTTACAACCTACAGTATGTACTCCGTACCAGGCACCAAATATGTAGGGTTGGTACTAGCAAGGTGTGCAGCATTGCATTGTTGGTGAACTAACCTAGATTGTTGCTTAATACACACCACAAAGATAATTGTAAGACCCTTCTGTGTGTCTGTACTAATTCTTCGAATTTCCTGTCTCTGGCCCCGAGCCCGGTCCGCAGTATGGCAATGGTAGAGAAGCAACAAACCCTATTGTCGTGCGACTGCCGGAACCAAGTGTATTGATAATGCCGCCATGAACATCTAATGCAGTGCGACACGCCGTCAGGGCTGTGTAGGGACATCTTGAAGAGGAGAAAATTCCCCGCAAAGCTTCATGGCTGGTGATGGTGCTCTCGACCACGGTGATCTTCAAAGGTGGTATTTGGAAATGCATATGCTTGCCGATCGCAGGCCTAATTGGGGAGGCCATACTTGAACCTCACACACCCACTCTCCAGTTCAACGTTTTAAAAGGCTCCTCCTTCTCACCCCCCTCCCATCTCGCAAGATTCCGCATACCGGCACATAGTCCGAAGTCCCAATGTGCCTCCACACTGATAGCAATGGCATGCTGCGGGGGCCTCTCACGTGCGACCATTTTTTCCATTTCATTCACTAACAATGCCCCGCAGCATTCGCTGACCCAATAAACTGCACTTGGGAATTCGTACACTGTACAGCAGAAGGAGTCATCTCTCGCCAACGCATACCTCGTACGCGGTAAACACTCAAATAGCGCGGAAATAATGTACCGAACACCAGCGCGGTCGAGCCCAAAGCGGGCCGCCCCGATAGTCCAATCTTCCGCCTCCCATCATCTGCCATCGTCTCCCCTTCCCATTCCGAGCCCTAAGCACGACTAGCATGCAACTTGCTTATTCTGTCTGATGATTTTGAAGACGACCATCGTCTATCGAGCCATCCGCGAGAAGCGATCAGGAGAAAACAAAGTCAGAATTGTGACAAACCCTATCATGTAGTCCACTCTGACCCACAGCCCCTCGTGGACTTTATCTCTGCTCGCTTGCGTGCCATTTCTTGCAGGAGTGGGTCGGTTTGAGCATCACGCGGGGTTCTGTTGCTGGTCGATGATTGCGAACGTGTATATACTGCTGTAGGCATGGACAAGTAAGACAGGGTCGTCTAAAAGTCAGTCGTGGGGTCATGAAATAAGACTGGTGCCTAACGACGGCATTGGACGAATATTTCCACAGGAAAAACCTATCCCACGCAGAGCACTCGGTGGCATCCAGTGCTATTGCACTCAAGTCATTCGATATTGGCAGTGTATTTTGATAGTAACTAATGTCAACACACGCACGCACATGTAGGGGATAAATATCCGACTGCGATAAGGTTTCTCGAATTGATTGACCAACTCCTTCAGCATGATGTTGACCATGTCAAGGCTGCCTTGCATGCCTTGCAAGTCTAGATGGCAGCCTTACCAACGTATCGAAATATCAATCTAACCGCGATACTTGCGCTGTTGAACCTGCAGGACACGCAACGCACTCTTGTCATGCCGTAAATGGAACCCAATTAAGGCATTGCTTGGCATTTCATGTTGTTCAGATGACTGCCAGTCCCCCAACACCCCAGCGCTAGACGAATGTGTCGGCTCGCGTCCTCGCTCAATGCTGTAAGTGGAGTCAGCTAACTATCACCCGAGCAAATAAGAGACGGAATATACTCAGCGTACATCGATATCTTCCCATCCGCGTCCCTTCACGTTTGACAATTCATCCATGGTCATGACATGGCCCGTTGTGACTAGAAAGTGACCGCAGTGTTAGCCTGTATGCGTTGAATAGCGGCTGATCTTCGACGAAAAAAACTCCAAAGGAATCGTGATCATCTCGGTGAAACCGAAAATATTTTTGATGCTGTGATGGGAAATCTTACAGTAACCCGCCTGGATTTTAGCATCAATCTCAACACGGCTGTCCTCCGGAATCATGTCTTCGGGAATCGGAACCCGCTCATGGATTGGAATTCCTTGCTCCACAATAGCGTCGTGTTTCATGCTGAATAATATGTTAGCGAAAAGACCTTCATCATCAATTTAAGTGGTGGCATAAGGGCGCGAAGGCGGTGTCCGGCTGCTGCACATAGGGGTGTACAAGGGATCTGTAAAGACTTACTTGGACATGCTTAGCATTCGATCGATCTTGGTAATACCTAGCCAATGTAGAATCTACATTGGATGTCCCGTTAGTAAATGTCGATCTGAATATTCCTCTACTGGGAGGGAAGGCTTACATCAGGCATCAAGGCTTGGAAACGCATGTCCTTGACTCCAGCAATGTTCTCTGTCCTCTTGAAGTATTCGCTGGCTCGGTCCTCTCCTCGCTTTCTGGCGTTGTACACGAGATATTTGGTCACTTCGCCTAATGCCCTTCCTTCCTTTCGGAAATAGATGACTACACCGCTGCCTCCCTTCTGGGCTTCTTTTACGGCCTCCTCGACGCCGAAGATCAAATAGGGTCTGCAAGTGCAGATATCGGACCCGAATACATCGCTACCATTGCATTCATCATGAACGCGAAGGGCAAGGCGGACGTTAGGATCGGCCATCTTAGCAGGATCACCGAAGATGTACACCGTCAATCCTCCTATGGGAGGGAGGAACAATTTAATGTCATGGCGGGTGATGAGCTCAGGGTAGGATCCACCAGTTTCCTCGAACAGTGTGCGGCGAAGTGTACCTTCATCTGGGTGGCCAAGTCAGCATAATGAAACATTCAAGGTGGAAACACGCACCAATTCCAAATCTCTCAGCTACGCCGGGGAGATACCACACAGGCTCTACGGCTACTTTGGTGACCGCAAGTTCACCAGTCTCATTCAGACATATCTTCCCATCCGGAACAAGACGGCCTTTCTGTACGCTTGCCTCCAGCTCTGGAAGTTTCATGTGTGCTCGGGTGATGGCGATAGTAGGCCTAATTTCAACATCTTCCCCGTCCATGATCTCCTTGTATAGCCAAGGTGCGAGATGGCCCAACGGATCCATGGCAACAATCTTCTTCTTGTCACTCCATTGCGGGAATGGTCCAATCTGTGCCGCAGGCTCGGTGTTCGTAAAGTCCGGCTTATGGTCCACGTCAAGGTTCTTGCTGGCCACTGCGAGGGCATGGTAGATACTGTAGGAACCGCCGTGGGCACCGATGGCTGAAGGGGTTAGAATTGCTCATATCCTTGAGGGAACGAGGACGTACCGTTTCGTCGTCGAATTGTGCCTGGATGCCTTGACACGACAACCGGACCTCTCACTTTAGGATCTTGATGACCCCAATCCATTGGCAAGGGATCGACCCCAGCCTGGCCAGGGTAAGATGTCAAGATGATTTTGGAGAACTTAGACACGCTTGGTCGGCGAGAAGCTTCAACACTGGCTGCCGCATCCTCGTACTGCTGGCTAACAGCTTCTACGGTCTTCTCGGACTCCACTTCCTTTCCCTTATCCACGGAAGAAGGCCCATTTGAGGCCTTGTTTGAGGCACCATCTTGTAGCTGCTTGACTCCAGCGAGCATGTTCACCCGTCCATTGATACCGTCAATGGCGGATGCAAGCTCGGAGTTCTCCTTCCGCAAAGCATTTAAACCATCTAAGATATCCTTGAGGAGTACATCATTGGGCTTTTCAGAAGACATTCTTGGTGGGCCGAGAGCTTCTAGAAGGGAATGGTACCAGGATATCTACAGAGAGAATGTATGAGGGATGGATGGAGGGTTCAAGCAGAAGTGACAGACGGTTGAGACCGGCAGCAAATAAGTATTCTGTTAGATAGTTGAAGGAAACAGTAACCGAGAGTCAATTGCCTGGAGGAGATTGCTGGGATATGTTAAGCAGTGCAAGCTACTTGTGTAGATAGACACGTGAAGGGCTGTCACTGTTCCTTGTGGATGATGGACGGTATGACAGACGGGACGGATGCTACTGGTCTATCCAAAACACAAGGATAGACTTGATTATGTGTGGCGATGTTTGAGAGTTTGAGAGTTTGAGAGCGAGAGGAGAGAGAGAAGAAGGAGGAGGAGGAAGAAGAAGAAGAAGAAGAAGAAGAAGAAGAAGAAGAAGAAACATCAGCAGTAAGGAGCGGGAGCTTGTAGTTGTAGGTGATGCACCTCCCCGAGCTCCTGGGGGGGAGTGTGACCAACGCGTGCCGACATCTGATTGGACGTCTTATCAAGCATGTACAATGATACTTATCACTCTACTATTAGTGACTTAGTGAACAAGAGACAGTACATACCTAGGCAGTTACTAGTGAGGGGTCTGGAGGTGGAGATGGCCGAAGCGTCGGAGCATTCATCGGCAATCGGCGAAACTTGTTCACCGGCGTCATTCAACCCTCGTACCAAACTACGAGTATCTGACTACTAGTCGATTACCTTGAACTCGTACTTGATCCCAATCCCAAAACTACGATTTATCAACCCTTATACTTACCTAGTTGTCCAAACTCAAACTCGACTGAATCTTACGTCCGGCGCACTCGCTTTCCCGAATACCCGCAACACAGGACCTCAAGGCCCACGCGACAGCCCACCCGTATCTCTTTCATCCTCGAAGAACGCGCCAGTAATCAGTACTGCCTGCGCGCATTCGAATAGCAACAGCGACAGCACCAAACCCCCTCGAAAAGTACTCCTTCACCCACACTATCAATCATGGTATGGATTCGTCGCACAATATGCACTTGATTCTGATTTTCGTTGTTGACTTGTACTAGGGTAAGCGGAAATCTGCGAAGAAACCCCAGGGCCCAAGAAAGGTACGCCACCTATTGCATCTCCCTCTGCACCCCTCATGCGCCGAAGCTGACGCAGAATTCAGAAAGAAAGACTGAACACAACGTTTCTATGCCTCTTCTGCAACCACGAGAACTCAGTGAGCGTGACTATTGACAAGAAGGCGGGAGTCGGAAACCTGCACTGCAAAGTCTGTGGCCAGGTCTTCCAAACCAAGATTAATTGTAAGTCGGCATGATGCCCCATAATATCCTTACTATTGATCGCGCCCCCGTGAAAAGTATTCCGCTTATCAGCAGCAGTCCTTTCCGCTCCTGTCGACGTGTATGCAGACTGGCACGATGCTTGCGATGCAGTCTCCAAGAAGCCTGATGAGGGAGCTGGTAGATCGATCAACCGGACTGCGGGACCGCCGCGACCCGCCGCCGCCGCTGGAGGCGATGACATGGACGATTTCATCGAAAACGACGAGCCAGATGCGGAGGGCGAATTCGACGACGACGACATCTGATCAAAGCATCAAAACACTGTTGTACAACATTGACATCATTTGTGGCGGAGCTCAAGGGGTGGCATAAAAGGCGTTTGGGGGTGTTATCTTGTAGCTACGGCGCATGGGAAAGAGATCAAAGCATGATCCGGGCGGCTAGAATGGCCACGGAATCGAATTGCGCCTTAATGCGTATGTCATATGCTATAATAAAAATCCAACTCTTTCAATGAGTTGGCCGCATAGTGGTTCGCCACTTTTCTTTACTTGCGGTTCATAAGAGCGTAAGATGATCAATCGGACATTTACCGTCGAGAACTTTAGATGTTTCCACAATGTTTCTTCTTGATTTGGGGGCCTGTTACATGGTGTAAAAGCGGTCACCGAAATCTCCTAGTCCTGGTACGATATAGCTGAATGACAGTTAGCTCCATTCGTGAGAAAGCGATCCTGTGTTGGTGGGCTACGACTTACTTCTTCTCGTCCAGCCCTCGATCTACAAAGGCCGTTACCACTCGCACTTTAGGGAACTTTTCGGCAAAGTTTGCTGCTCCTTCTGGACTTGCGATCAAGTTAAGGAACAAGATATGATCTTCAGGTACGCCACGTGCTATGAGAACCTCGACGGCCATGAGAGCAGAGCCTCCTGTTCATTGTTAGTTCTGAGGTCCCGTTTTCAACTAGGGAGACTTCAACGCACCCGTAGCGAGCATGGGGTCTAGTAGCAGAACCCATCGGGTAGCAATATCCTCTGGCAGCTTATCGTAGTAGAGTTTTGGCTTCGCCGTTTCCTCATCCCGCTGGATCAGGATCTTTCCAATCCGGACTGATCTGCAACATTCCCTGAGTGCCTGCTCCATAGACTCTCCAGCGCGCATGATGGATACTCCACAGATCTTGCCTTCGAACTTGACACCAGAGTAGGTTCTTCCGACCGGGGTGGTTATGGTGTGCTCCACTACCGGAAGATGGTTGAGTCCCTCTTCGACCAGGAGTCGAATGATCCGATTGGAGTAGAAGATGAAGTCGGCACGTCCAGTATTTCGGTCACGGATCATACTGTAATGGATCGTTTTAGTGTTTATGAATCATTTTGCTACTGTCTGGCACTTCCTTACGTGAGCAATGCAATCAGCTGCGGCGTCTGAGGTAGAATGTGAACATTTTGATGTGATATTTCCGTAGAGACAGTGGCCGTTGGTTTCTGAGAGGCGGGCCGATACTCTGGGCCGACGCATTGTGAAGGGGTTGAAGTCATGTTTCTTTCTTTTGGTGCCGCGTGCAGGCCTTGGAAGTGGAGTGTATGCTAACAAAGACAAGAGCCGAAGAAGGGATTCAATGAAGGTGGGTCGTCACGGAGTACGAGACGAAGAAGATAGTATACCTTTGGTATTTGGGTAAGTAATTAATTGGGGAGATGGGTGGGTAGGGATATAGTTAAGTACTTGGGTAGATATGTTGTTATGGGGAATGAGGAAAGTGAAAGAGTAGCTGGTGAGCTGGTGAATGAGGGGAAAAAGAGACTCGATAAGATAGTGAAGAAGTATTAATTAAACACTTACCTACGAGTTAGTTAGGCCAGTGGAGGTAATACCTAACTAATACTCATACAGTGTACCTAGGCACAGCTGTAGTCTAGTTGGCCAATCAGACAAAGAATACGTCACTTCGGTCTCGTGACCATCGGCGAGCTCCTTCGAGAGGTCTAACCTCAAGCTATTACGATTACTCTGATCATACTACACACCTGCACACACACATAACAAGGTACTTCTTTGTAGTCTGTGACATATCGTCTCATCGCATCTACCTACCTAAATTGAATTCACCTACCTCTTCACCTTAGGTACTTCTCCACATACCTTCCGAAGGGAGCTGCATTGTTTCGTACTGCACTATCCCCATGCCACTACCCGCGCACCGGCCATGAGTGGCCATGCATCTGCCCGCTCTCGTTGAAAACCCCCAAAGCAGTCAAGTCAAAACAACAACACGTACAGCCCCAACAGAACAAACCGACAATCACGACGAAAAGCAACACCGACAGCAAGAACTACAACCCTCCTTCTATCCTAATCCATATACGATGCGATTTCAGTAATCCGCCAATACCTCCCACGCCGCTATCGATCCTTTCCCCACTTGCAGAGCATGCGCAACTGCAGACTTTGCGCGAGAACACAAAGTTTCAATAATCCACTCACCCTGGCATGGCAGCGGCCATGGCCAATGCCTTCGAGACAGCCGATCGTCGCAAACGAATTGCAACCTATGGAAAGTCGTCGCGAGTAACACCCGCCTTCAACTGGGGTGACGATGCTCCCTCGCCCGAACGAACCCACAAGCACCCGTCGTTAGGAGTTTCTACAACGCAAGAAACGAGCGCAGTACCTGGGAAACCAAAGCTACAAAAGGTAGTACAGAACAGCGTCCGGAAACTCCCATCGGCGCGCGATGCGACGGATGATCTCCGTGCAAATGGTAGCCTATCTGCGCCATTCAGCTCAGGAAAGGTGGGACGGAAGTCGGAGCACTCGGACGATGTCTTTGATGTACCCTCCTCAGGGGACGAGTCATCACTACCTCAGAACAAGCGTGGGAAAGCACTACAACCTTTGCGCACCAAGCAAGTCGGCCGGAGTGTGCCCAGAAGCCCGAAGACGGTGAACACGTTGGGAGAAGGTGTCGTGAAGTCGGACTCCACAGCGCAAACCTCCTCAGGGCGGCCTAAAATATCCCAAGCATCACGCACTACCGGAAGTACGACGCGGGATCAAGACCGTTCAGGCAAAACCCAACCTGTAAAGTCTAAATCTACATCTCGAGCCACGACACCATCCGTTCCGCCGCACAAGAGCACGAGGGAAGCACCGTTACAGCCCAAATCTAAGACGCTCAATCATACGCCGACCGAGATTGATGTCTTTGATGTTCCTTCCGAAAATGATGCTCCAATTCAGACTGTACGGAGCTCTAGAACCAAAATGCTTCCCAGAAAGGAGAGCAAGGTGACGGCAGGGTCTTCCACGTTATTAAAGACACAAACTAAGCCGAATGATTCCGATGACTCAAACCCAGAGAAGAAACGCAAGCGTGGACCTGCGAACGACGCTAAGGTTGGAGCTCCAGGAATGACATCTGGTGTGGCCGATGTAGCGATCGCTCCGCGGCATCGAAAATCCCAGAAGAAAACAGGTGATAAGTCGCCTAGGCAAGGCTTTGAGGAATCCATGACTCTTCCCGTTGTTAGCTCGGAAGTACCTAAAGTTCAACCATCATATCCAGCCAGGCGAATCCGAGCTCGGAACAACGCAACAGCACCAAAATCACTCACCGCTAGAATGCAATCATCCCCCGCAAGATTGCACGAAATGGTTTCTGTCCGAGGGCCAAAGCCTGGCACGGATAGTATAACATTACAAAACAAGTCCCACGAAGAGGAAGTAACGATGTATGACATTCAAGATGCTACGTCTACACCAGCCCGCGTCAATAGGAGTAATCAGTTGAACACCACAACACCGCAACAGACACAGACTCTAAGCAATTTAATGGACGCCGAGGAGACTACAACCCCTTCCATGCCTAGTATTCGGAGGCTGCAGCTGACCGACTCGAAACCAAAGTCTCTTCTCGGCAGTCTTGTGAGATCTTCTTCTGATATACCTCTCAGCGCACATTCACGAAAACCTAGGCTCATCGATTCGCTGAGACAGGCGATCCCTAGCTCAGAAGGAGAAGAAAGTGACAGTGAGGACGACGATGAGTCAAGCGAGGAAGCCACGCAGCTAGCCTCTGGAACATCTACTACTCAACCAGGATCAAAATTTGGTGGCCCTCCAGTGAGAGGTCGAGATTGGGATATGGATGAAGGTATGAACGGAGAAGCCCATATCAATTCACAACTGTCTCAGACCTCGGTCCATATTCCTACATCCTCTAAGGTTACTTACGCGAAACAACGATCTTACCGGGAGGAAGCAAGCCTAGAAGATGGCCTACTTCTTTCCATGGATCTTGACGATCCAATGGGGTTCGATGGATTCGGAGCAGCCAGACCGCTGGCTGATGAATCCGAGGAAGAAGAAGAGCAAGGTCAAGTCAGAGGTATACACGAGCTTAGAAAGAAGGGACAAAACCAAAAGTTTCTCAATGAAGCCGAGTCAGCCATTGATGACATATCCGCCTCCAATACACTGGGCACTTCCATGCGTCGAAGTGCTATGCTTGAACTCTGTACCCGGATGTCCGACGAAAGCTTTCTTGAACAGATGCTCGATGCTGGATTGGGCCGACGCTTTATGGAAAACGTCAAGTCCAATGGCGAGATCGTGTTTGACTTCGCCGCAACCACTGCTGTCGCTTTTCTGTTGAGCCACAGCCTTGGGGCCGCGCTGCTTGACGATATCTATAAAAGCCAGGTCATCAAAATAATCACCACACTGTTGGGTAGACATGATGATATTGGTCGAATCGCGAAAGAACGAAAAACCAATCTGTCGAGAACGGGTCGAGAGTCGGTGGATGCGTTCCGGACCTTGGTTCAACGTTCTCCACTATGGTCAACGAAAGCACCCGAGAAGATCTCACCTCGAATCGTGGGAATGCGAACACTAGAGCTTCTAGTGCTTGCACTTCGAAAATCTGGCAATACTGACGCGCTTGTCAATGAGGACCTGATCGGTGAACTGTTGGATATCGCAACGCAACGGGTCCAACTCGTAGAGAAAATGGACGCCCAGGAATTGCTCACTTGCAATCTTGCATTTTCGATCATGGAGGCGGTGTCCCTATCGAAGGACAAACAGGCAACATGGTCGAACAAAATCATGCGCCGCTTGGCAGAGCTGATACCTGTCTTCCTCAACGCCAACGGAGAGTGGCCAGTCAAGCTTGCTATGAGACTATGCATGAATCTTACCAACAACAGGCCAAAGGCATGCGAAGTTTTCGCTGGCCCCGAGTTTGTGCGACCACTAACACAGTCTATAATCGACAAGTTCTCTGCATTGGAGGGTGATTGCCCAGAAGAGCAGAGGGAAGAGGTGCTTGAGGAACTCATCCTTAGCCTGGGAGCGATGCTCAATCTGGCCGAGTTCAGCGACCGAGCAAGGCAAGGCGTTGTGGCCGATGGTGACGAGCTGGTAGATGCGTTGGCAAAGCTTTTCCTCGAGGGATCTGAACGGGCCGCACAGGTATGTAAACGGCTGAAGGAAATGCCGTGAGTGGTGTTTTGTGACGAGTACGGAAAGTTAACAGGCGCCAGGCTGAATCAATGGAAGCATCACATGCCAATGTGACCGTGGGCTATCTCACAGTTCTCCTCGGGAATTTGTGTCTGAACGATCATGTTCGGTATAAAATGCGCTTGCGGCTCCCTGGACAGACGGTGGAACTTCTGGTAGAGAAGATCAAGGAGTTCGTTCGCTACAATGAACGAGTCGACCGGGAGAATAACGACTTCGGAGGAGATGAAGGGCGGGCGACTTGGCAGAATTTCACCAAGCGACTTCTACTAGTAGTGGAACGACTGGAAGTGGCCGAGAGCGGATGATTATAGTTATTTGAGTGTTGTAAAGGGATTGGCAGGGCAGGGCGTGACATGGTAGGGCATGGCTTAGCCGACATGCAGGTCCATGACGCTGGCGGGCGTGCTCGACATTTTGATGGTGCCCGAAGCTTCTTGGTAATGATTATCTGACTTGAACTTCACGGGATGGCGTTGGCGGAATATTACATGGCACAATACCCAGGACTATTTTGAGGCAGGTTTTGATCTTACACTTTTCTTTAACCCTTGGAAAAAAGGTGCCGATGTAGGATTGATAAATGAGATGCTCGTTGGTGGACAAGAGGGAATAGATGGCTGCATGCCGGATAAGTTAAGAACTAGTTCCGGGGGCCTCGGGCCTTGCTGCACTTGTCCAGTTGGTCTCAGGGGATTCTCCCGTCAAGTTGACGTTGGAGAGAGAGGAAGAGAGAGAGAGAGAGAGAGAGAGACGGAGTAGACAAAGTAATGAATCCGAATGTGGCAGACAAATGGGAATTGACATGAGCCGGGATATGATAACTGCAAGAATGCAATGGCTAAACTGCGATTTCAGGGTCGCTGGCTGCAAAGAGCAAATTGAGCCCGACCAGCAAAGCAACCTGGTACGGTCCCATACGAAGAAACATGTGGCCAGGTGCGTAAGGATAAATGGATAACATCTATCATGTACTATGACGAGAGTGTGTATGTGTGTGTATGTATGCTCGGAAGCAGTAGGTGAGGTGTCAACGGAACACTTTGAAAAGTCTACGGGATGGGCATGCAGGTGGTCCCGACATTATGCAGCACGACATGAACGGTGGATGCGGTGAGGAGACGGGAAGGAATTACGAATGAAAAAGAAATGGAACAGAAATGGAACAGAAAGTAAAATTAGAATGAAATTCCTCCGTGCAACCTTTTTCCTTTCTTTTTCCTTTTCTTTTTTGGAAAGTTGGGTTTAGAACTTTCTGTGCATATATTAATTACAGGGCTTGCTTTTGGTAGGACGTTTGAAGGAGTGCGAACAATCTAAAATAGTGTCGTGGTTGGAGGGATCGAATAGATGACATGTGAATTTGCATGCACTACTGAACATGTACGTACGAGTAATTACAATCAACGGTTATTGCATTCACATACTAGTCCAACACCTTGTGCCTTAGGGCAGCGGATGATGAATTACACAGTAAGGTAACTGGTCAGAACGAAGCAAGCCACAAGGACGCAGCGACGTAGGCATGTACGGATGAGGAAATGCAAAGACACGGAAGCTAACCATGTCAATAGCGCAATTATCGAAGCTGGACTTTCTGGAGCCGAATAGAGTCATGGTCTCCTGGTCTCCCGACCTGCCGACAGGCCTGGTGGCTTTCCGATTGGAATTGTGGACGAATCCCAAGCATTCCCCATCATCATATTCATGTCAATCCCTTTTCTGACCGAAGAGCCCAACCGGAGATTGGATGGAAATATTTCGAGTACGGTGTGCCGGTACCGAGTATGGAAGACGATGAAGATATCCTTGCCTTACCTACCTCGCAGGCTCGTACTGTGTGCTCCGTACTCTACCTGTACATTTTTATTAGGCGAGTTTCGCAAGTATGACTTCATAGATGATGATGATGGCCTTTGTTTTATTTTATATCCCCTTCCCCTCCGAAAAAAAAGTGGATGATATTTTCCTCCTCCACAACAACACCGCAAACAATAGCGAACGTCATTCGAATGCCCTGATCTCTTTCCAGCTACTCGTACATACATAGGTACATACATATTCTACTGGGGTTTGAGGTACGTGCATAACAACAAGTCCGGACCGGCGAAGGGCCGCCACGATTCGGAAGAGTTGCTGCTTTGTTGGAATCCACCTGCAGCTCCCCGGGCAGAGCCTGAAAGCTACACCTCACCTGGGAATAAGTTATAGTTTCCTACCCAACTAACAGCTAATTAGTTGGCTACTGTACAGCTTTTTTTGCAACGAAAGAGTGGGAACTGTAACCTGATCTACTACTACAACTACTACTGTGCTGCTGCTACTGGATTACAAGACAAGTGATCTTAGTTGTTGTCCCTTTTCCCTTTGTGCCGGTGGTACACACAATAAATACCTAGGTATGTACGTTTCCGAATAGTCAGTTGAAGCCGATCAGGATCGTTCATAGTCATACCGGCCGCCCACCCTAGGCATCACCGTCAGCATCAACAATTAACTAATTACCATATCACCCACCACCAACACCACCACCACCACCATTGCCATCCTGCATTCCCCTTTTAACTAACCAACAAATACAAAACATAGAGCATACAAACTCTCCTCCCTTCTCCCTCCTTTTCTCTCGCCTCCTTCCGACCCTCAAACAAAGCTCTTACTGTCCCGTCCCGAGTCGTATCGCTCCACCTCTCGCATACGCAAACGACCACAAACTTCCCCCCATCATCTTTCTCCTGCGCCTCGAGGTTCACCCTTCACCCCAACGCTGGCGCACCGGTCCGCCAACGCGAGATCCTCCCTCCCTCCCTCCCGCAATACCAATAATACTAAGAGCAATATGCCGGCTCCCAAGCAAAGGAAGATTGCCATTGTCGGCAGCAGAGCTGTAGGTATGTTACACTGCCCGCTACGCATTGCCAGCTACCCCTCCCCGCCTCGACTCGGCTTGTGTACCCTGCACTTCTGGTTGGTGGTACTTTGGAAGCGTGGGAGGAGAGAGAAGCAAACCAGAGAAAAAAACCAGAAGACGAGAAAAAATAATCCTCCAGTTCAAGACTACTAACACCCTGCGCAGGCAAGTCGTCGATGACCGTTCAATTCGTCGATGGTCACTTTGTTGAATCCTACTATCCCACGATCGAGAACACATTCAGCAAGATCATTCGCTACAAGGCACAGGACTTTGCGACGGAAATTATCGATACTGCTGGCCAGGTAAGGCATCACCACCTTCATTACTTCATCTCTCCATCTTCCCTCGTTTCCTTTCTCTCCCTTGACCCCACTCTACCTCCCCCACAGCTCCCTCCTATCTATCTGGGCCCCCCGTACACTCCACTTTCCATATCGCGCGCCTCAACCTTTCTGGGTCTAGGTGTGCTCCAGGTCGATTCTCTTATCTCCCTTGCTCCCTAGCTTCTGTGCTGGGGTTCCTTGCTGCTGTAGACCCTTACACTGACTGTCTATCCTCTCCTTTACAGGATGAATATAGTATCCTCAACTCTAAACATTTCATTGGCATCCATGGCTACATGATTGTGTACTCCGTGGCCTCCAAGCAGAGCTTTGAGATGGCCCGCATCATTCGCGACAAGATTCTGAATCACTTGGTACGTTCTCTTTACTCCCGGACTGCATACACCTCCGCTGACATCTTTGTCCTTTCCAGGCCACCGATTGGGTTCCCCTCATGCTCGTCGGCAACAAGTGCGATCTCAACCCTGCCCAGCGACAGGTCACGACCGAAGAAGGCAAAGCCCTCGCCGAGGAATTCAAGTGCGGGTTCACCGAGGCGAGCGCTAGATACAATGAGAACGTACAAAAGGCTTTTGATCTCATGATCGCAGAGGTGGAGAAGACGTCCAATCCGGGCGAGCCAGCTGGCGGGGGCAAGTGCGTGGTCATGTAGACTCGCATTGCCGACCGAACGGATTGGATAGGTCGACTTGACACAATGATTCCAAGATCGAATTTCGGGCACAAGAGCCAATGCAGGTGCAGGACAGTATGTCTGCAGAGCTGGAGGGTCTAAGTGCTGGCACGTTCCAAACATGATTTCCTCGCTACATTTCGAAATTTGTACTAGACGGTTGATAGACGGTTGGGAGGGCTGGCTGCTCGAGGCTGTATATTCTGCCGGGTCCCAGACTCCCCTTTTCCTGGCGCAATGGTGTTTGGTAACGGATCAACGTGTGGAATCTACTACTCTACTGCTATACCTATATTCGGGTAAATTCGACCCTTGATCTGGAAGAGCCTCAATCTCAAGAGACATGCGATTTGAACGAACAGATACGAAAACAAAGGTCAACGCCGAGAGGACCGCTCACATTATTCAAAGGCGCGAAAGCATGGAAAAATGGACGTTCCATTTGTTCTAGTGCGTTCATGGCCCTTCCCTGTCACGACATCTGAGCCGGTCCTCACGAGTCCTCATCGCATGTATGTACTATGTAATGTACATGTCCGGCTGCATGCAACCCCCACTCTCTCGGTGGTGGACGACGAGAGACAGCTTCCGTGCACTCGTTCTAGAAGAGTGGCCCCCCTCCCCTCCCCTCAATTAGGAAGCTCAAAAGCTATGACGGAGAATTTGCAGTTTCCCACACTTTCACGTGGTTCTCGAGCTTCTCCTACCCATCTTAGTAGGTTGGAGGTTTTCTAGGGGCATGGGACATGGGTTCTTTGAACGGTGAGATGGACGGCGGGGGGCGGTTTCGGAGCAAACCGCCCCGAGATCATACGTGCATGTTCCAATATGTATGCAGTCACAAAAAGTGTGTAATAATATTATTGCTTTTTCCGATATTGTGTGTGTGCTGAGTGCTCGAGGCTCTAGGGTCTCCGTCTCCGTCTGAAAGTGAGGGATGAATGCAACGCTCGCTAGGTAGACCAGGCTCGATGAGGACATGTTGGGCCCTGCGGTGAGATTTCTGAGGCTCTGCCAGGTCAGTATATGCGTAGGTTCAGTCAAACTACCTCTATGTAATGGGTACTTCGCCTTCGAAATGATTCATTTGATCAAATCGCAATAATCGAAGGCTGTGCGGGCATTTATGACTCTGTTATCTGCTAGTATACGGACCAATGCGTGCCTCGTATGTATGACTCTTGAGATAAGAATAGGTACATGGTCATGATAGTCAAGGCAGAAGTATAGAAAATCCATCATGACTCTAAAACAAGGATTTACATTGATTTCGATGTTTTTACGAGAGTATTGATTCTGTGTAGATTCTATTATAGATATCATGGGCGGGGCATTGCCGCACGGACCCTACTTTCAGTGTGTCCCTGAGTCAAGCGACATCAACTGCGTTTTTGGGTGCCAAACACGCCGTACCCGTCTTTCTTAAGGAGCCTCATACTCCCACCCCTTCGCTTCAATCCAATTCGCATACAGACCAAACCGAAAGTCTGCAATCATGTTGGACGTGTGAGTTATCTGCCTGCTTACCCTTCCCTCCCTTGCTACCGTCCCATCGTTTGGATACTTTCGCAAACAATTTCCCATACTGATGGTGGGGCAATCGTATAGGAAAGACTTCATCGAGGCCCACGACATGGGCGGCAATCCGGAGAAGATCCGTGAGAGCCAGCGCAAGCGTTTCGCCAACGTCGAGATCGTCGACGAGATCATTGCCGATTTCGAGGACCACCGAAAAAGTACGTCAACGGTTCAATCGAGGGAGCATACGTGTGAGGAGGAGATCGCGTGGGCTGTGGCCTGCGTGTCGAATCCATGTGGAATTTTCACGACGCTGGGGAAACAACTACAAGGGCTGAAGGCTAATAATTACAACAGCCCAGTACGCAGCAACACAGATCGGATCCGAGATAAACGCACTCCAGAAGCAAATAGGCCAGAAGAAGAAGGCGAAGGAGCCCGCAGACGAACTGCTCGCGGAGATTGCGACAAAGAAGGAGGAGAAGAAGAGGAAAGAAGAAGAGGCTACTGAAAAGCTGGCCAAGCTGAACGCGAAGGTCAAGACCGTCGGCAACTGTCAGTATCAGATCGGTGTTAAAGGTGGAAGAATGCTGCTAACAATAATTCTCAGATGTGTACGTACCACTAAATCATGGATATTCCACTTCCCGAAATGTTGGATGCGGATGCCAATGCGGAATCCCTCAGCGCGTCCTGATTCCTACTCCAAAACACCCGCGTTTAAATTCCTCGATCCAGCTCCGACTGCTAACGTTTGGCGTACAACAGACACCCGGATGTGCCGATCTCAGATAACGAGGACAACAACGTTGTGTACCGCAAATGGTCGCCAGAAGGTATGAACACAGCACATCAAGGGGCGGAGGCTTGACTGGATCTGACATTCATAGGCGTCACTCCTGAGGGAAAGGAGAAGGATGGCTGGATACCTCAGTATGAGTTCCCAAATATCATGTCTAATCAACAGCGCTAATTGTATCGCAGCCACGGTGTCTTGACAAGACTGAACGGATTCGACAGCGTACGTATTTGCTACCATACGAATATGAGATCGGCATATTGATAAAACCTAGGAACGTGGTGTCAAGATCGTAGGCCACCGAGGCTACTGTTTGACTGGTTATGGCCTTTTCTTGAACTTGGCGCTCATCAACTACGGCCTTGAGTTCCTGTTCAACAAGGTGAGCAATAGCAACTCACAGTTCTCCTAAGACTGTGGACTAACTCATGCACAGGGCTACACCCCCAATCAACCTCCCTTCTTCATGCTCAGGTAAGATTGAGAATGGTTCATCAACTCTGGCCAAGCTAATTTTTATTCAGGGATCAAATGGCCAAGACCGCCCAGCTTTCTGATTTCGATGAGGAGCTTTACAAGGTCACCGAGAACAAGGCATGTTTCTTACTCAATCGTGAGAAGTATCATGCTAACCTCCTGGCGTTTAGGACAAGCCAGAGACTGACAAGTACTTGATCGCAACCTCAGAACAGCCAATCTCCGCGCTGCACTCAGAAGAGTGGTAAGTAAAGCATATAGCGGGCACCGACGAGCGCTCCAACAGACTATAATCTCGAAACAACCCATTCGCTGACATACCAACTAAAGGCTCGGTGACAAGGATCTCCCCATCAAGTATGCCGGATACAGCACAAACTTCCGCAAGGAAGCCGGTTCTCACGGAAAGGATGCTTGGGGGTAAGTGGATTAGATCAATTCTTCTAACCGTACACACAACTTACAATTCACAGCATTTTCCGAATCCATCAGTTCGAGAAGGTCGAACAGTTCCTCATCACAAAGGCAGACAAGTCATGGGAGGCATTCGACGAGATGTTGGCCACCGTAAGTATCCTCATCTCATATTTTCAATAACACATGAGCAAAACTGACCTCCCCCAAGTCTGAGGAGTTCTACAAGAGCCTAGGACTCTCCTACCAGGTCGTCGGCATCGTGTCCGGCGCCCTCAACAACGCCGCATCTCGGAAGTGCGATCTGGAGGCCTGGTTCCCCGTGACTGGCGGCGGCGAGTACAAGGAACTGGTGTCGTGCTCCAACTGCACCGACTACCAGACGCGCGAGCTCGAGATCCGATACGGTGTCAAGAAGCAGACGTCCAACAGGAAGGACTACGTGCACGCGCTCAACGGCACGCTCTGCGCCACGGAGCGCACCCTCTGCTGCCTGCTGGAGAACTTCCAGACCCCCGAGGGCTTCAACGTGCCCAAGGTGCTGCAGAAGTACATCCCCGGCCAGCCTGAGTTCCTGCCCTTCGTCAAGGAGTGGAAGGCCGAGAAGGCCCTCCCCGACAGGACGAAGTAGATACTCTCCCAAAGGCAGAATGAGAGCAAGAGCCCAATTTCTAACGAAATAAAAAGAGATATTGGATCAATGGATGGCTGGATGTAACGGTGAATTCAGGACGGACGGGAAACAAATTAGCGCCTAGAATAGTGCGAGAATGAAGGAACGAAAGATAACAAATAAATCAACCCAACATTACATGTATGCTGGCAAAACATTAGACTTGCCTTGTCTGTCTGATAATGAATGAGCTGTGCCGCCTTCCCTTCCCCAAATCCATTACAAGAAAACCAGAATGTGGACTGAACGAATGAATAAACCAACGCAATGCCTTACCCGTCAATGTCCAGCTCGGCGTTTCCTCTTCCTCACTCATCATTCTTTCCCTCCACATCTGTTGTACCTATTGTTTGGAAGAGTCGGTGTACTTGCTATCTTATTCATCTCGAATGTCGAGTCGGAACAAAGCCTCGAGAGTGGTAAAAGCATCTTACATATATACACAACTTGATATGCTGTTAGAACCAACATAGAATGCGGGGACTGTATTAGCTGCGTGGCGATCATAGATTCGGTGAACGTAATCACGTTTGTGGCGTTTTGCTGTTGATGCTTCATGGTTCTCCATGGTTCCGTTAGACTTGGTCATACTTTGCAGTATCTTGCTAACGGGTCGTTGTATAGGCAGGTAATACTGGATGGTGATATGGGTGTGCAAAGGGCATCATTATGTAGTTTTGGCGATTGAGAGCGTCGGTGTTGTCTGTTTGTCTGCCTGTCTGTTTGTGCGTAGGTTGAGGCCTCGGAGCTGTCACTGGACGTCATTGCTGTTCATTCTAATGGTCAGTAGGTTTGCGTATGGAATCGAGTCGTTCGATCATACACATCCATGTTCGTCATGCTCGCAGAGGATATGCACGTCATTCAAGACCACTTCATCACGGTATCAACGACGGAGATTCGAATTTGATCATTCCCATTTGAAGAATCCTGAGGGGAGGAATCATGATGATGTTGCCAAATTGTCCTTAATTTTTTTTCTCTCTCTCTCTCTTTTTGAAATGTTCCCTTTGGTTCCCTTCCGAAAAAGAAAGTTGAAAAAAAGAAAACAAGACAATCGAGCATTCCGATAACCAGCCTGAACACAATTCGCCATGCCCGAAAGTCTCCCAGCTCTCAGTCGCGCCCTTTTGTTTTTATTTTGTGTGTGTTCGGGCCATGTCGTTACCGGGACGTGGCCGTCGCCGTTCCACGTCTACAGTCCACCGTCCCCAAAGCATCTCGCAGAAGTGTCTATATCGAAGAAGGGTAAAGCATGACGCGGACGGAAGCACCGAAGGACTTGGGAGGGAGGTTGGATCGGAATTTGGCGCGAACGACGCCGCTGTTGCCGTGGCTGTGAAGATAAGTGTTAGTTGGATGGGATCTCGAAGAAGGTAGCGGAGACGGGTGGTATGCTTACGGCCTGGTGACCTAGAGAGAGAGCAATGTTAGTTGATTGATTCAAGTGACTCAACGGGTGTACGGAGTTCTCATACCTTTCCCCAGATGACGCGGATCTTGGAGCCTCGGATGGACTTGGAGGCACGGTAGACGTATGCTACCCTCTTTCCGGCGTAGAAACGGGCAGCCTCAGTGTCGTCGACACCCTCGAGCTTGAGGAGAGATGTGCCGGGGTTGGTGTTGCGCTTGCTATAGGGAAGAACCGTAAGCGAAATCGTTCCTGTGGGAGGTTGTAGATGGACGGTACTCACCCACGCTGGTAAGACAAGTGCTTGCCCTTCACGTAGACTATACAAGTGATGAACGTCAGCCTGGTTCTTTTTCTCTCATGTCCCCATCCCCCTCTGTCGTCCTCCTCGGGCAGGCGAATGTTGGTTGCGTTGCGGCCACAGCCCAGTATCGCGAGTCTCTAGCGAGAGGAGCGCACACAAATGGGTTCGAAATCCGTGGATCGGTCAAAACTTACGGCGGTGGGACTTCTCAGACATGATGAGCGATTCCTGGCCTCCTCAAGAATGGGTATGAGATTCGAAGGGTTCAAGGACCTCGGGGAGTGGTCGTGGCTGTTGCTGCGCGGGTTAGTTGTCGTCGTCGTCTTAATTTCGCACATCTCCAATTCGCAATGTTCGCTTGGTTCGCGCGCTAATGACTAAGCGACGAAAATTCCCAAAACGGCAGTCACCAATCCTCAAATCCTCAGCACCTCCATCTGTGTGCACTTTTGCTTCATATGGTCTGCGTCTACATCGAATAATCAGAGTGTACATTTTATCATCCTGTATGCTCCTTGCAGTATATCAATTCGCGATTATCGAGTATACGAAGGTGTTAAAAGGGATCTTTGAAGGGGTACGGAGTATATAGAAAAGAATATCCTTCCGAATGTCTGGCTGCACTGGTTGCACTGGATACCTCTAGATAATGAGTGAAATGCGATCCATGAAAGTGTTCAGTGTAAGTATGGATTTCAATACAGATTAATGCGTACAGACCATGTACGGAGTACATGTATAACCATACCACGAGTGGAACGAATCAAAAGACGAACATGATCTGTTGGGACTATGCTGTTCTCTTGGACGTCCATGGGCAAGCATAATCAGGGATCGAAGGGCAAAGATCGATTCAATCGGGTTGGATGGATCAACAGGGCTCTTCGGCAGGGTGTGCTAAAGGGGAAAGAGAAGTGACGTACTGCATGTAGTTATGAACATGATGTACAAACCTACATGCCTCCTAGCAGACGGTCGTCGTGGTAATGAATAGGTGCATCAAGATTATCGAAGCATACGAGTAGGTAGATAGCCTTTCCCATTCCCATTCCCTTAGCATCTTTTATCCACCCAATTACCTGTTTGGAATCCGACCATTTCCTACTGTCGTCACGCGGATTTTGGTCCCCTAGGTAAGGTTTGAGTGTGTGTGCACTGTGTAGGTTGGTTTTTTAGTTGAGCAGACCAGGTGCGCTATGAACCTGGCAAGCTGCTTATTAACGTATCAATCATCCTTATCGTTCCCTCCTGGACAGCGAGTAGCGGGGCGCCGCGGTGAGACCAAACATACACGACCTCAGGAGGATAGCATGGCTGGGTAGCAAAGAGGAAGGGTTACCTCCGCGGGGCACGATGGAAATTCTTTCGAGGTCAGAAGATTGGGGTCCAACAACAATGAAGTTATCGCAGATGAATACCGGAGATGCAATGATTGAAAATCCGAAGTGGGTGGCATGGCAGCGGTGGCACATAAGAATTGATGAGGGTGGGATGAATGGCGGGGGGGTTGGCAACTTTGGGTGGGAGGAGGGAGACGGAAATGCGTGGTAGTGGCCAGTCAACCAGTGTAATCCCAACGTAACCAGCAATAAGCGAAGGGGGAAGTGAGAATTGGCCTCGTGCAAAGGCCAGAGGCCGACGGCGGGCGGGTTGAATCTTGTTCCATTGTGCAGTCGTAGTGGTGGATAAATTACTGGCTGGGTACCTCCGTTACCCGTACATACGACTTAGTTGAATGTTTCTAGCTGTGTTCGCGGCCGTGGAGTAACTATGTACAAAGATCAATGGACGTGAGTTGCGTGTACCTGTATTCATACCAGTACCAACAAATACAATAGAGGTAGCGATCGGTAGTATTGGTTAATGGAGTAGGATGAGATACCCAGGTACACGTATGTACATACGCCCAGCGTATCGACGGATGGATGTTGTTGTAACTATCGGTGGGTTGGCATGGACAGAAACGCCGATGTGTGCACTGTTGATGGGTGGGTGTGTTTAGCCAGGCCAGCCAGCGACCCTCCACAGTGAACCCCATCAGTATGGTGGGTTACGTGGTCATGGAGATCTGGAACAGTGAGGCAGACTGCGACAACGACGACGACGATGATGATGATGTGAGTATTTAGTCTGCATGTACGGAGTTATCTGTAGGTATTTGTATGTCACTGTGCTGCTACATGTAACTACCTAGGTACCGTACCGTACCTAGGTAGGTATCGAATCGAATATTCGATTCCGGGGTCGGAGGAAGATCTGGTGGGGAGCTTCGACTATCGGGGGTCGGGGAATGGGTAACTATGGTTATTGTACGAGGGTAGCTAATACCATGTACGGTATCTGTGGTATGGTATGGTATGGTGTAGGTCGTTACCTTAGGTATACCTAGGTAGGTACTCCGTATTATGCTGTCTAGGAACAAGCCATAGTTACGACTAGTGAGTGGTAAATCCGGATGAGAACAGAGGGTGTTTATGGTTCATACATATCAATTTGTTCTGGTATTCTCTGTGTGTAAAGTATGGGTACTCTTGGGTACATGCGTAGGTACCTAGATGGTATACTGGACGAGCGATGATGCAACGGCCCCACCTTACAAAGATAAGTAAGAACAATCCATTGATTAGAAAATCATAGGGAGCGGAAATAAATACCATTAATTAGTAGTAATAAAGTAAACATGGAGGAGGTATTCAAAAGATTAGTAGTAGTAACTTGGTAGTAGTTGGTAGTAGTCAGAGTATTTGTGGGGAGGATGGTAGCTCGGCGTTAGCAGCGGAGTTGCTGTCAAAGGCGAGCGGCGGCTTACTGATAATGAGTATGAAGAACACTTGTGAGTAAACGTTACGGTTACGGCTACAATTACGCTTTGGGAAAAGGAAAAACACTTCGTCGTCGTCCCCTCCCATCCATAATCCATCATTATTGCCCGTACCCTTAACCCTTGAACCTACCTAACCCTGCCCTGTCCTGCCCTGTCTTGCCCTATCCTGTCCTGTGGTCGTGGTCCAGCCTGGAGCTTTACTCTACTATACAAAAGGCACCACCCCTCACTCCCGCCTCCTCCGCTGTTGAACTCTTCTCATTTCCTCCTTCTCCTCTTATTGTTCTTCACTTGCTCCTCTTGCTTCCCTCGTCTTCCCTCGGCCGGTTCCCTCAGCACACGGATTAACAGACAGCGACACACTAGCGAGGAACCATTCCGGGACATTGATCGTCCGGATTCCTACAACGAGATTCCCCTGACTACTTTCTGTTGAAGGTATGTGTGATTTAATTTTTTCTACTTTTGTTTATCGAAAACGAGAAAGAAGAGACAAAGAGAGAGCCCAGTGGCTGCGCCATAGTGTGTGTGTTGTTTATGCCTGAAGCTTTGTTGGTGTGTGTTGGACCTTGATGGGGGGGGCATCTTCTCGAGTGCCCCTCTACTAGTCTATCATTCCTAAAACGTCACTGCCAACCGCCGCGGCCACTTTGTTGAGCGCTTGATTGCGATTGCGAATTGGAGAGAACAATTGGATGAACGGTCGCATCTTTGCTGCGGTGAGCAAGATAGGCCAGACAGCGACCAATTCGAGTTACCCACTCGGACATGCACAGAGAAAAAAGGCAAAGGCAGATGCATATGCAAATTGCAGCAGAAACCGTGCATTCATACCAAGTGTGCAGAGCCAGCAACACCAACAGTAGCAGCAGCAGCATCAGCATTATTTCGGTCAATCAGGGACAGACAGACACAGGGACACACCAGGATGGGGCGATGATGGGTAGAATATGGGTTATGGGTTGAGGAACCTTTTCTCAAGCCCCATCTCTCCCCTCTCCCCCACTTGGTCTGTTACGAGTCCAAACTGTCGGTGGCTGTCCGAGAAGGGGATTGCTGCCTCTATCCTCCCTGTTGGGTGGGTGGTACGGCGCGTCTCTGCTGGTGCTGGAGCTGGTGCTGGTGCTGGTACTGTTGGTGCCGTTTGGTGCTGGTGCTGGTGCTGCTTCTGCTGGGCTGCTACTGTGTCTGCCTCTTCCCACCGCCGACGCCGACGCCCCCCGCCAGCTTCTCGACGACTTGCTTAAAAGCGAACCCCCCTCCCTCCCTCTCTACTTCCCACCCTCCCAAAAAAGGACAATTCAATTGCCGACTACTTCCGCCATCTACTTGTCCTTCATCACTCTCTCCAGCTTCTTTACTCTTCTCTCTTTCATTCTCACTTTGCCTAATTGATTCATTACTGACTTGCGGGGCGCCTCTCTGCAGATACCCGCGATCAGAACAATGTCCAACACCGTCATCCACCCTGACGTCGAGGTCAATGCCGGGTATGTCATTGCTCCATTTCCCAAACTTGTCCTTCTTCGACTCGATCCCCCTTCCCTGCCAAATCTTCTATCCCGTTTGTCCCGGGCTATTCAAACCTTGAAGCCATTGATCTTCCTGGTAATTTGCCTGCATTTGTCCTCCATGACGCTGCGATGAGCTGCAGAATGAGGGGCAACTGAGCGCACTTTGGTGGCCGCCGTGCACGGTGACTTGCAACAACCCGTGGCTAACGTACAGCGATTGGCAGCACCCTCGAGCTCAAGGATAACACCATCATCATTGTCCTTGGAGCATCTGGTGACCTTGCAAAGAAGAAGACCGTAAGTAACCGCCGCCACCGAAGCTTCTACTTTCCACTTGGCTGACTTCTGTATCACAGTTCCCCGCTCTCTTTGGCCTCGTAAGTCCTGTGCCGTCCCACTCCCAAGACCAACCCCGTTGATCCCCTCTACAGCACCGAAACAACTTCCTCCCCAAGAATGTCAAGATTGTCGGATATGCCCGCACAAAGATGGACCACGAGGAGTACATCCGCCGTGTCAAGTCCTACATAAAGACCCCCACCAAGGAGCTCGAGCAGCAATTGGAGGAGTTCGCCAGCTTCTGCACCTACGTTTCTGGCCAGTATGACCAGGACGAGTCTTTCGTCAACCTCACAAAGCACTTGGAGGAGCTCGAGTCTGGCCGCAAGGAGACACACAGGATATTCTACATGGCGCTCCCACCCAGCGTCTTCATCACTGTCTCACAGCACCTCAAGCGCAACTGCTATCCCACAAAGGGCATTGCACGAATCATTGTAGGTTTTCCATTGGGGATGCACACCCGCTCGTTGACTGCTGCTTCATGATGCTGACGATTCGGAAAGGTCGAGAAGCCGTTCGGCAAAGATCTTAACAGCTCCCGACAGCTCCAGCGCGCTCTTGCGCCCGACTGGAACGAGGATGAGATTTTCCGAATTGACCACTACTTGGGCAAGGAGATGGTGAAGAACATCCTTATCCTCAGATTCGGTAACGAGTTCTTTGGCGCCACCTGGAACAGGAACCACATCGACAATGTGCAGGTTAGTGAATTGCGTAAGCGGGACGCTGGAACATGTCTCTGACGCATGACAGATCTCTTTCAAGGAGCCCTTTGGCACCGAGGGCCGAGGAGGGTACTTTGACGAATTCGGCATCATCCGTGACGTGATGCAGAACCGTAAGTCCAGAGGGCACCTTTTCTGGGTGCGACACACAGCGGCTAACAGCATCTAGACTTGTTGCAGGTCCTTACCTTGCTCACCATGGAGCGACCCATCTCTTTCTCCGCTGAGGACATTCGTGACGAGAAGGTCCGCGTCCTTCGTGGCATGCCCGCCCTCGAGCCAAAGAACGTCATCATTGGCCAGTACGGAAAGTCCTTGGACGGCACTAAGCCCGGTTACAAGGAGGATGACACAGTTCCCAAGGATTCAAGGTGCCCTACCTTTGCCTCCATGGTTGCATACATCAAGAACGAGCGCTGGGACGGTGTGCCATTCATCCTCAAGGCCGGTAAGGCTTTGAATGAGCAGAAGACTGAGGTCCGCATCCAATTCAAGGATGTCACCTCCGGAATCTTCAAGGACATTCCCCGTAACGAGCTCGTCATCCGAGTCCAGCCCAACGAGAGTGTGTACATCAAGATGAACTCCAAGTTGCCCGGTTTGAGCATGCAGACCGTCCTCACAGAGCTCGACCTCACCTACCGACGACGATTCTCTGACCTCAAGATCCCCGAGGCCTACGAGTCGCTCATTCTTGATGCTCTCAAGGGTGATCACTCCAACTTCGTTAGAGACGATGAGCTCGATGCCAGCTGGAGAATCTTCTCGCCACTCCTGCACTACTTGGACGACAACAAGGAGATCATCCCTATGGAGTATCCCTATGGTAATGAAGACCCTTGATCTCGATTTCACGCGATTGCAAATCATTAACATCTGCTAGGCTCCCGCGGACCTGCTGTCCTTGATGACTTCACCGCATCCTACGGTTACAAATTCAGCGACGCTGCTGGTAAGTTTCTGGCTTCCCCACAGAATGCAATATCACATTTCGTTGTACTAATACGTTTGCAGGCTACCAGTGGCCCATGTCCAACACTGAGAAGTTGTAGATCTTCTCAATTCTCGATTCCCCACTACCTCCAGGCTCTCTCTCCATCTCCTCTCTTGGAAATTCCGCAACCCTGATCTGTAGAGGAAAGTGGTTGTTTGGGTTGAGGTTGGAGCAAATCTGATGCTTCGATCTATGTTTAGGCAAAACCGGGCCCTCAATAAATCTTGGACGAAAATAACGACACGAGAAGTCGGGTCGATTTTCCCAATCATCAGGCGTGATGTGTTTGATGATTCTGACGAAAGGGGTATACAATGACGATTTCCATTTACGCTAGAGTCAGTCCACTTGATTTAAAAAGAAAAGAATAATTTATCCTATAAAAACCCGTAAATGTTAAGAAACATCCCTGGGTGACTGATTGTAATTGCATATGTATGTATGTACCTTAGGTAGGTACCTAAGGTACTCATGGGACGAAATAGCATTACACATGGAAATTGCACACTACTATAATGTCGGCGTTTGCTCACCATCTGTCCCCTCCCGTTTCTCCCATTCTCCGGCCGGCTTGCTTGAGTGTGTGTGGGTATGTGTGCGTGACATGTTATCATCGCCTGTTCTGTATATAATAGTATAAGTAATACCATTAGTTGGATATATTGTTGGGGAGGCCGAAAGCGGAGCTTGGTGAGCCCCTCCAAGCACGTGCTTTCGTCATTTTTTTCTCTTCATTTCTTTTTCAACTAACCATAGTAATCAACTCTTAATTGAGGATTGTCCTATCGCCGCTTAGGTAGAAGCTGTGGCGCGTCGACTTCAGCCACAGATGGCGGGCCAGTCGGCAGAGGGGTTGGTCGGGGTCTTGCATCATGTCCCGCTTCTCTCATCAATACTCGGACTAGGAGGTAATTTTCTAAATCTCTCAGTCACGGCCTTTGGCGCGACTCATTGACTCACGGTGGGAAGGAAGATTAGCTAAACACTCATCCGACTAAAGCTTTAAATAAAGTCAAGATCGTCTCTTGTTAACTCGTAGTCCATTCATTGATATTCAAATAGCTCCGTAACAATCTCCTGCGTTGCAATTGCTCACTCTTTTTGACGTTCGATAATCCTCGTCATAGCCAATACATACACCCACTCCTCCACTCCACCCCTCCGCACCCAACTCAACTTTCTTTCCTACACCCTACTCCTCATTGACAGCCTCTCTGTCTAAACGTATTTCTCCCTCTCCTCATCCTAGATCCTAGAGCGTGCATTTAACGAAGACAGACATATTCTTAATCCATCACGCCAGAAGCAAAAACCTCCACCCGACACTTCCATACTGCTTGCACACAACCCACAAGATGTCGCCCCCTCAAGACATTGCAGGCAGCCTCGCGCGCACCGTTTCGAACTCCCTTTCTCTAAGTACCAGCCCAACTCTCGCATTCCATAGCCCGCCCACGAGCTTCCGTGCCCCTCCTCCCGGCAGTTACAACGATGGCCGCTCCGGAAGTGTGGCCGCACCGTTCTTGCCTTCGAAGCAATTGAAGCCATTCGACACAAAGGATATCAAAGTACTATTGTTGGAAAATGTCAACCAGGCTGGCGTGGAAATCCTCAAGGAGCAGGGCTACCAGGTCGAGGCTTTGAAGAGCAGTCTTCCCGAGGATCAGTTGATCGAGAAGATCCGCGATGTCCAGGTCATTGGAATCCGATCGAAGACGAAGCTTACCGAGAGAATCCTCAAGGAGGCTAAGAACTTGATTGTTATTGGATGCTTCTGTATCGGCACCAACCAGGTGGACCTCCAATTTGCTGCCTCGCAGGGTATTGCCGTCTTCAACTCCCCCTTCAGCAACTCGAGATCGGTCGCCGAGCTCGTCATTTCTGAGATCATCGCTCTTGCGCGCCAGCTGACGGACCGATCCATGGAACTCCACAATGGAACCTGGAATAAGGTCAGCAAGGGCTGCTGGGAGATTCGTGGAAAGACCTTGGGCATAGTCGGCTACGGACACATTGGTAGCCAATTGTCCGTTCTGGCAGAGGCCATGGGTATGTCGGTGATCTACTACGATGTGTTGACCATGATGGGCTTGGGAACGGCGAGACAGGTGACCAGCTTGAGCGATCTGCTCGAACAGGCAGACTTCGTATCTCTCCACGTTCCGGAAACCGGGGATACCAAGAACCTTATCGGAAAGACTGAGTTGGAGACGATGAAGCAAGGATCATACTTGCTCAACAATGCCCGTGGCACTGTCGTTGACATTCCAGCGCTCATCGAGGCCATGCGCAGCGGCCACATCGCCGGTGCTGCGCTCGACGTGTACCCCAACGAGCCCGGAGGCAACGGTGACTACTTCACCAACGATCTCAACACCTGGACCAAAGACCTCCGTAGCTTGAAGAACTTGATCCTTACGCCTCACATTGGTGGCAGCACCGAGGAAGCACAGAGCGCAATCGGAGCAGAGGTCAGCACTGCGCTCGTCCGCTACGTCAACGAGGGTATCACCCTGGGGGCCGTCAACTTGCCAGAGGTCAACCTCCGCTCTTTGACATTGGATGAGCCGAACTCGGTCCGTGTGATTTACATTCACAAGAACGTCCCCGGTGTGCTTGGTCAAGGTAAGTCATATGCAAACTGATGGGTGAAGATGATGAGCTGACAAAATGCTACAGTGAATAGGGTCCTGGTCAACCACAACATCGAGAAGCAGATGTCTGATTCAAGAGGCGATGTGAGTTATTCCGGGCGTCAACTATCGAAGCACTGAACTGACTGTTAATGAATAGGTTGCCTACCTCATGGCTGATATCAGCGACGTCAAGGAGGCAGAACTCAAGGATCTCTACGAGTCCCTCGAAGCACTTGCTCGTAAGTCTACCACGCCACACAGAGCATCATGTAACGAATACTAACCTATATCTTTCTCTTTAGCTCGCATCCGTACACGTGTGCTGTACTAGACAACTGCCATCGTGCAATTGTCCTCACATCGAAAAAGAAATTTCCCTTTCATGCCTTCTTCAACCGAAGGCCAAAAATGGACCAAAAAAGCATTTCCACATGGCGTTCAACCATCACGGCCCAAAAAAATGAAAGCAGCAACTTTTGAATACGTACAGGCGGGTGGTGTTTCTTTTATACCTATTAAAAATGGGAGGAAATCGGGCGTAAATATGGGTGTTTTCCTCTCCTCTTGTCTTTCCATTCCTGCCTATACAATATAATTATCACTAGACGGATAATTCATCATCATCTCATCAACTATACTCTCCATACCACCTCTCCTAACCGCAAAAAGAAAATACATCACACTCACGCAACATGATCAAGACAAGACAGTTCACGCAGCAACTCACCAGCCAACCCATGCGCACGCAACAACGCAATGCATGAAGACGCACACACATACGCGGGGGGGAGGTCGCACAGCAGCGTATCGGGATGGACAATGGCGACTCCAGCCCATGCAGGTACCGAGGCTTGGCGACGCTGGAACGCGTATGTGCGACCTCTCTCGCTGCTCAAATGTGCCAGCCAGCCAGCCAGCCAGCCAGCCAGACAGACAGACGCCTACGGGTTTCTTTAAGAGGTCTGAAGGGTACGCAGAGTATATCTAATACCACCAATCTGTAGATTTCCTAAATGGTGGCGGGTAGGGAGAATTTATGGAGTTATTAATACATCCACTTCCCTACGTTGGTTCGCGAGGTAGGCGGTGAGCGCCCGTATATAAAGTAGTATACCTAAATGCACTCGAACCTAACTGTGTCCCGCACACATCTTCACACACTAAATGCGGTACTCTTGCCCGCCCCCGAGCCAGCTTCGCGAAGGAAACATGTAACTACATTTGCTCGTGGTTTTAGATGGTTATGTTGAGATGGAGTCTACCTATGTATGGGTAACGTAAGCACATCCTCCCGTCGCAAAGGGGAAAATAGGGAATCTGAAACGTGAGACGGAGAAGATCATTGGGGGGTGTTGCATTTGATAGGTTGGCGGAGATGGAGCCGCGTGTGTGTAAGTGCTGGCTTATTACTTTCCTCCTCCGCATCTTACTTCGATGTTTCGATGGAAGTAGTCCGTATGTTTGTGTAAGACGTCCGTTTGTACGCCTAAACGGCGTTTTGAAGATCACGAATAAGAAAAAGGTAGACATTGGAGATGGCGCAGGTACGGTATGTACCAGATCCCGTCTGTGGATGGATAGGCTGGGGATCGAGTAAGACAGGAAGTATGTATGAAGAACGGTAGTTAGTGGTCGAATGGGAATCTCCCGTATCCTGTATCCTGTGTCCTGTATCCTGTGTCCTGTATCCTGTATGGTTTAAGTAGGTTGTGGTGGTTGGCTGTTTTGGGACGGTGCATGCAGGTCGCAGGGAGCTTGCATACTGGTGAGACAGGTTAAGACCTCCTTATTTCTCTTTTTCTTTCTTTTTCTTTTCTTTTCTTCCGCATTCGCCTTTGTTGGTGGATGGGGAGTTACTAGTTGGCTTACTTCTGCTGTCCGTCTGTCGAACTACTTGATAGACAGTTTGGTCGATTGATTCACTGGAATAATTGGTTGGGTGTTGTACGGAGCAGCCCTCCAGGTGTTCTTCGGTGGAGACGGCCTGCGAATGTAATGTACGGGTGGGACATGCACGCACGTATGCACGCACTGGAAGGGACGCTTGTAGTTTAAACTTGCTAGTACGAAGGGGAAGTAATCAAGTAGCTATGAAGAGAGTCTGATTTTTGTAGAAGAAGGTGCATAAATGCTAATCAAAATCAACGTTCAAATGTTAACGATATAGAAAGGATCCCCAGCGTTCGCGGCATGAACACCTACTCTTATACTACTTGTAGTGGGTACCTAATTCAAAGTACCTCCCTTATTATTCAAGTCAACGAACTCCCTCCACGGGAGCCGTATCCACCACCTTTTTCAATTGTGAGTGTGAGGCTGCTAGGCACTTCATGCAGACTACAGCTACTTGTGAGTCGTACCCTGCCTGACTTGAGGAGAGCAGCAGTTTGGCGGTGAAAGAATGGCGACTAGCGAGCGAATCCCCTCCTACCACCCCGGTCGCGGAATGGCCTCACAACGAGATTTTGGACTTTTAGGTATCTCGTCGTAGTCAGTTCCTTTGCAAAGTAATTAATGAGTTCATGCACTAGAATGTTGCTGCGTGCTGGAAACTGTAAACTGGAATTGGTAGAGTTGAACTCTGTTTGCTGAACGTGTGCTTTTTGCTGGATACTGTTTGCTCTATGAGTGATGTATCCCGTTTCCCGTTTTCTGTATCCTGCATCCTGTATTCTGTAATGCGCTGTATGTGTATATATGTGTGTGGGTGTGTTAAGAGTATTGAATCATCTCCCATTTTCTATTACTACCAACCACCCAATATTTACCTCTTGGACCTACACAGTAATTGCACAGTACCTAGGTACTCTGTAGGTACTCGTACTTTTACCTCCCACCACTACGACCGCTAGTTATCGCCGCCGCACTAAACTCCCTCCCTATCCCTCCCTCCGCCCCCCTCTCTCTCCTACACGCACACTCTCCACACATACATCCTCATCCACTTCCGCACTCACATCTTTCACTTCTTCGTCTTCTACTTCTTTCTCTCCTATCCTCCTCCCCTTCACATCTACCTCCCCTACGCAAAAGTGCCCTCCTCCTGGTCGGGATGCACAACTCACTACTTTAACGCCCACCTCTTACACCCACTCTCACTCTCCCGCATATCTTTCTCCCTCTTCTTTCTCAGCTGCTCTCCCCGACGAATGCTATAGGCCTTCTAGCATACCGAAGCGCCGTAACCCTCGAACCGCAGCGTAGACGTACCAAAAACGGGGCGGCTGGCAACTTTTTTGTTTGAATTACATTTCTTGACCGCCAGGAACGCCAACAAGGAGCTATCCGGACCCTGAATCCTCCCTCCCACCACGACCACCGCACCCGCTGCCGTCACCGCCGCTACCGAACACACCGTCGTCCTCAACCCTCTCGAGCGGTCTCCCCGACACTTCCACCACCACCCCACACAAACCCAACATGGCACACATTTACGATGTTGGCACCAGGGCCTGGCAGCCAGACACCGCCGAGGGCTGGGTGGCCTCCGAAGTCGTGGACAAGCAAGTGCAGGGTGATAAGGTCAAGCTGATATTCAAGCTTGACAATGGCGAGGTATGCATTCTCTCTCACCCCATATGCAGCCATCGTAGCAGGCTATGCGGGCCTGTAAATATCGAGACGTCTACAATCATGCTAATCCTCCTTCTCATAGAGCAAAACCTTTGAGACGACCCTCGCAGCCATTCAAGATGGCAATGACCCCAACCTCCCACCTCTTATGAATCCCGCGATGCTCGAAGCTAGCGATGACCTTACGAATCTGTCACATTTGAACGAGCCGGCTGGTGAGTGAAGGGCTGCTTTCGAAAAGCCAATCTGCATCGGTACTGACGAACCCTCTCCAGTGCTCCAAGCGATCAAGTTACGTTATTTGCAGAAGGAAATTTACACATATTCTGGTATCGTCCTCATTGCGACGAACCCTTTCGCTAGGGTTGATTCCCTCTACGTACCAGGCATGGTACAGGTTTATGCTGGAAAACAACGATCCTATGGTGCACCGCATTTGTTCGCCATCGCCGAAGAGGCCTTTGCGTAAGTTGCCCCGCCTTCCATTCCTCCCGCCGCTCTGCCAATCTGCCATTGCCCTTTCCCCATGCCCTTTCGTTATGTACAAGGGTGAAGCAATTGCCTGCTTCAAAATAATGGAGCCTACTCAATTGAACGGGCCTGACACAGTGCAGAGACATGTTGCGTGACCAGAAGAACCAGACCATTGTCGTCTCTGGAGAATCCGGAGCTGGCAAGACGGTCAGTGCCAAATACATCATGCGGTACTTCGCAACACGAGAGTCTCCAGACAACCCCGGAAAGCGAAGAGGCAAAGCCGATGCCATGAGCGAGACGGAAGAGCAGATTCTGGCTACCAATCCCATCATGGAAGCCTTCGGTAACGCAAAGACGACGCGAAACGACAACTCTTCTCGATTCGGAAAATACATTGAGATTCTGTTCAACAAGCAGACCGACATCATTGGTGCGAAGATCAGGACATATCTGCTTGAGCGATCGAGGTTGGTGTTCCAGCCGCTGAAGGAGAGGAATTACCACATCTTCTACCAGCTCTGCGCTGGTGCGACCGATGCGGAGAGGGAAGAGCTGGGACTGAAGTCTGTCGAGGAGTTCACCTACCTCAACCAAGGCAGCGCACCCGTCATTGACGGTGTAGATGACAAAGCAGAATTTGATGCTACGCGAAACTCTTTGACCACAATTGGAGTATCTACAGATACACAATCGGAGATGTTCCGACTGTTGGCGGCGCTTATCCACCTCGGAGACGTCAAAATCACCGCTACACGGACTGACTCCAGCCTCGCCCCCGACGAGCCAGCATTGGTGAAGGCTTGCAACCTCCTCGGCATCAACGCATCCAACTTCGCCAAATGGACGGTGAAGAAACAGCTCATCACCAGAGGAGAGAAGATTGTGTCCAATTTGACTCAGCAGCAAGCTACCGTCGTCAAGGACTCCGTCGCTAAATTCATCTACTCAAGCATGTTCGACTGGCTTGTGGACCGTATCAACGAGAGTCTCGCCACAGAGCAAGTTATTGCATCCGCCCACTCCTTCATCGGTGTGCTCGATATTTACGGTTTCGAGCATTTTGCGAAGAACTCCTTCGAACAGTTCTGTATCAACTACGCCAACGAGAAGCTGCAGCAAGAGTTCAACCAGCACGTCTTCAAGCTCGAACAGGAGGAGTACCTCCGAGAACAGATCGACTGGACGTTCATCGACTTTGCGGATAACCAGCCTTGTATCGACCTCATCGAAGGCAAGCTTGGTGTGCTTTCCCTGCTCGACGAAGAATCGCGTTTGCCTATGGGTTCCGACGAGCAATTCGTGACCAAGCTGCACCACAATTTCGCTGGAGACAAGCAGAAGTTCTACAAGAAGCCTCGATTCGGAAAGTCTGCCTTCACCGTCTGCCATTATGCTGTGGACGTCACTTATGAGTCTGATGGATTCATCGAGAAGAATCGGGATACCGTGCCCGATGAGCATATGGAGGTTCTCAAGGCTTCGTCGAACAAGTTCCTGAGCGAGGTTCTACACGTTGCATCTCAAATCAGAGATAAGGAGACCGCTGCTACTACCTCTGCTAAGCCTGGAGCCGCCGTGTCCGCAGGCCGAAGAATCGCAGTCAACAGGAAACCCACGCTAGGAGGCATTTTCAAGTCCTCGCTCATCGAACTCATGGGCACTATCAATTCGACCGATGTCCATTACATCCGATGCATCAAGCCTAACGAGGCTAAAGAGGCCTGGAAGTTCGAAGGCCCTATGGTTCTCAGCCAGCTCCGAGCTTGCGGTGTCCTCGAAACCGTCCGCATTAGTTGCGCGGGTTATCCTACGAGGTGGACTTATGAGGAATTCGCCCTCCGTTACTACATGTTGGTCCCATCCAACTCTTGGACCCCCGAGATCCGCAACATGGCTACTGCCATCTTGAAGAAGGCCTTGGGCGAAGGCAAGAACGATGGCAGCGATAAATACCAGATGGGTCTGACTAAGATCTTTTTCCGTGCTGGCATGTTGGCGTTCCTTGAGAATCTGCGCACTGCTCGACTCAACGAAGCCGCCATTATGATCCAGAAGAACCTCCGATGCAAATACTACAGGCGTGTCTACCTCGAAACCCGCGACTCCATCATGCAACTCCAGGCTTTGGCAAGAGGATACCTCACCAGAGAACGCGCAGAGGAGGCCAGGCAGATCAAGGCCGCAACGACCATTCAGCGATGCTGGCGCGGATCCAAGGACAGGAAGCGCTTCCTCATGGTCCGAAACTCCGTCATCAAGTTCCAAGCGGCCGCAAAGGGTTTCCTCCTCCGCAAGAACATTCTCGACACTCAACTTGGAAACGCCGCCAGGATTATCCAACGCAACTGGCGATCACAGAGGTCGCTCAGGACTTGGAGGCAGTACAGGAAGAAGATTGTCCTCATCCAGAGCCTGTGGAGAGGAAAGGTGGCCCGTCGCGCATACAAGGGTCTCCGCGCCGAGGCTCGCGATCTCAAGAATATCTCTTACAAGCTGGAGAACAAGGTCGTCGAGCTCACTCAGACTCTGGGTACGATGAAGGCACAGAACAAGGCCCTCCAGTCTCAAGTCGAGAACTACGAAGGTCAGATCAAGTCCTACAAGGAGCGCTCTCGTGCCCTCGAGAACCGCCAGAAGGAGCTCCAGGCCGAGGCCAACCAGGCCGGTATCACCGCTGCCAGGTTGAGCGCCATGGAAGCCGAGTTCAAGAAGCTCCAGACCAACCACGACGAGAGCACCGCCAAGATGCGTCATCTCCAGGAGGAGGAGAAGCAACTTCGTGCATCGCTCAAGAAGACAACCGACGACCTCGATTCTGCCAAGAGGAGGAGCAACGTCACCGAGACGGAGAAGCTTTCGCTTCGACAACAGCTTGCCGACTTGCAAGATCAGGTAGAGATGATGAAGCGCTCTGGTCCCATCACTGGCGGCGAGATGGCCAACGGTCACGCTCCTTTCTCCCAAGCGACCAGCCTCATCAACCTTGTCTCAAACAAGAAGCCAAAGAGGCGCAGTGCTGGACCCGATACCCGCGATCTGGACCGTTTCAGCCAAACATACAGCCCCAGGCCCGTTTCCATGGCTGTTGGTGCTCACCGTCCAAACCTTTCTGGTTCGACCTTCAACCCCAACTTGGACAATGTCGAGCTTGAGTTGGAGAACATCCTTGCTGATGAGGATCTGTTGAACGACGAAGTCACTCTTGGTCTCATCAAGAACCTCAAGATTCCTTCGCCAGTGACCACCCCACCACCTACCGACAAGGAGGTCCTCTTCCCGGCCTACCTCATCAACTTGGTCACCTCAGAGATGTGGAATAACGGATTCGTCAAAGAGTCCGAGCGATTCCTCGCCAATGTTATGCAGTCCATTCAGCAAGAGGTCATGCAGCACGACGGAGACGAAGCAATCAACCCTGGAGCATTCTGGTTGTCCAATGTCCACGAGATGCTCTCCTTCGTTTTCCTTGCTGAAGATTGGTACGAGCAACAAAAGACAGATAACTACGAGTATGACCGACTTTTGGAGATCGTCAAGCATGATTTGGAGAGTCTTGAGTTCAACATCTACCACACTTGGATGAAGGTTCTCAAGAAGAAGCTGCATAAGATGATCGTCCCAGCTATCATTGAGTCGCAGTCTCTTCCTGGATTTGTCACCAACGAGAGCAACCGTTTCCTCGGCAAGCTTCTCCAGAGCAACAACGCACCCGCATTCAGCATGGACAACCTTCTTAGCTTGCTCAACAACGTTTACAAGGCTATGAAGGCTTACTACCTCGAAGACTCCATCATCACCCAGACCGTCACGGAGTTGCTCCGACTTGTCGGCGTTACTGCATTCAACGACCTGTTGATGAGGAGGAATTTCCTCTCCTGGAAGCGTGGTCTCCAGATCAACTACAACATCACCCGTATTGAGGAATGGTGCAAGTCACATGACATGCCCGAGGGCACTCTGCAGCTTGAGCACTTGATGCAGGCTACCAAGCTGCTCCAGCTCAAGAAGGCCACCCTCAACGACATCGAGATCATCCAGGATATCTGCTGGATGTTGTCGCCAAACCAGATCCAGAAGTTGCTCAACCAGTACCTCGTTGCCGATTACGAGCAGCCTATTAACGGCGAGATCATGAAGGCCGTTGCTTCGAGGGTCACCGAGAAGAGCGATGTCTTGCTCTTGACGGCCGTGGATATGGAGGATTCGGGACCATACGAGATCGCTGAGCCTAGAGTCATTACGGCTCTCGAGACATATACTCCATCTTGTAAGTTACACTACCATGTTTAGATTCATGACGATTGCTGACCACTTGCACAGGGCTCCAAACGCCACGATTGAAGAGACTTGCGGAAATTGTGAGCCAGCAGGCCATTGCTCAACAAGAGAAGGTTGAATACGATGAGCCTAACGGTGCCGAGAATGGTGTCAACGGGCATACGCTAGCGTTGCTCGAAGAGGAGGCTTCTGCATAGAGCCTGTACGAATTTTAACGTCAGCATCCTGTCTTCCCAAGGCAGGCGTCACGACTCTGTAGCAGTAATTGAATGGGGCGCAAAACCATGTTGGGTATGTAATGTGGAGCCAAATTTTCTTTTGTCGTCAGTTGTGGGGGATTTTGTTTTGCCATACGTGCCCGAGGAGACTTGATGTGCATGCATGCATGCATGGCTCGTCTTACCTATAGAACATGCTGAACGAGGATGGTATGTTTTCCACTCTCCTCTCGGCGAGGGCGTAGAGATGGAAGTCTTGTTTCTGTGCATATTTCTCTCCCGAGTGAACAAGGGCTGTAGGAAAAGTAATGAAGCTTGAACGCCGTGACGGTCGATTAGATTAAACCAAGTTTTTTTTTCACCTTTAAACTCTTCAACTGATGCCAAAACGTGCTTGATCTGACATCTGAATGCTTCTTATTTGCAAGGCCGAGTTATTGTAGATGGTGATCATTGGATGTATGTAGCTGGTTAAAGGCCAACATACAGCTAGCTACCCTTGGACCCTTTGCCATGGCCGCATAATCACATCGTTTCAACTAGGTTCTTCATAGATCGTGCCATAGCTCACATTACTATCTAGGAACGTAAATCGTATGCTACAAGCGATATGTTGCGACTCGTCCAACATGCATCAACCAACTCCAAACCTAGCCGACTGACCGATCAATCCAACCACAGTCATAACACAACAGACTAAAAGACCATTCCCTTAGTCTGCCCCGTCTTCTGCGAGACATTCAAGTTCCTCACCATGAACATCCACACGAACGCCAGACCAAATATACCCACGCCCGCCGCGAGCATCCTTGCCTGCGCAAACCCATACGACTCCTGAATCGCAATCCGCTCGACACTCCCGACAGGGTAGCTCAACTGCGCCGTGATGTTCGAGTAAATATTGATTACATTCGGCAACTCCTCGTCCGGCAAATTCCGCATGAGCGCAGGCAGGAAGGTGTTCGTCCATATCGCGCCGGAAATGGTGCTCCCAATCGCGCCGCCGACGGACCCGCTGACGTACAGGAGTGCGAGCACCGCGGCGACGTACTGGTGGTCTACGGCGGCGAGGACGGCGAGCTGGACGAGCAGGATGAAGACGCTGCCGCCGATGGAGATGAAGATCTCGCACATGACGATGTATCCGATCGGCTGGTTCGGCTGGCGGAAGTGGATCATGAGGCCGAGCCCGAAGGTGTAGATGGGGACTGTGACGTAGAAGAGCCATTTGAAGCGGCCGGACCAGCGGACGGCGTAGCCGACGATGAAGAGGAGGACGCCGGAGACAACTTGGAAGGTGCTGTTGACGTAGCCGGCTTGGGAGACGGACAGGTTGCAGACGACTTGGAGGAAGGAGAGGAAGTAGCCGTTCCAGCAGTAGTAGGAGATTTGGTAGGTGGCGTCGATGAGGCACGCAGCGACGACGGTGCGGTCGGTGAGGAATTTGTTTTTGAGGAAGGGCTCGGGGGACCAGTAGGTTTCGTACACGCCGAAGAGGATGAGGAGGAAGAAGCCGAGGATTATCATCGCGATCACGTAGCCGGTGTTCCAGCCGTTCGGGGCGGAGCGCGCGAGCGTGAAGGGGAGGAGAAAGATGGTTAGACCGCCGGCGAAGAGGAATACACCAGGTACTGTGGGTGGGGAGTTAGTATGGATGTCACTGGAGGTGATGAGGTGACCAATTGGTCATCATGTGGGAGAGGTATCTTCCTTCCTGGGGGCTAAGACTTACGATCGAATTCGACAATCTTCTTCCAGACAAGCTGAAGCGTCAAGGGGTTCTTGACCTCCTCGTAGAAACCCTGCCTCTTCGCCTTGCGTAGGTTCAGCTTCAGCGTGATGTACATGGGCGCACACACGACTGGCACAATGATGGCAAAGCAGCCGTAGCCCCATCGCCAGGAGACATTGTGCAGGAACGCTTCCGCGGCCTTGGATCCCGCGAAGGCAGTGATCATATACGGCGAGGATGTGAAGGCGAAGGCGATGCCTCGATTCCTGAGGGAGGTTGCGTCGGCGGCCAGCACGGCTACGACGTAGATGATGCCTGAGAATCCAATGGAGTAGAAGACCTGGTTCGACAATATTAGCTGGGCATGAAGGAACATGGGAGAGTTTCAAGGGGGGCAAGACGCACAATTGCAGCACAGTACGTAGCTAAGTTTGTGGCAGTGGCCATGACGATGACACCCAACGTCGAAGAAGCAACCATAAGCAGGAAACCAGAGTCGCGGCCCCAGACGTCAATCAGTTTGGCAACTGGAATGTACATGGCAGCCGTCATTGCGTCGGTCACAATGCCAATGACGGCCAACAATGAGTGGGAGCTGAAGTCACTCGTGACATAGGGATTGAAGGCGGCGAGAACCGAAGCGCGAAGCCCATTGACGAAGAAGATGAGCCAGATGCTAGATAGATTGTGAGCTTCATGGTTGTCGTGTAGTGTTGTGAATTGAAGTTAGACATACTTGCATAGTAAAAGAATTAACGACTTCTTCGTCCAAGCAAGAGTGACAGCTTCGATCTTCTGTACACCAACCTGTGCATTTCGATCCACTACCGCATCCTCGGGGATTTTATCCACTGATGCATTGTCCGGCACGTCAGCGCCACTATTGTCTTTATTAGGGGCGACTGCTTCTATGGGGATCTGCTCCTCGATGTCCTGATTGGTGGTCACCGTTACCGTTTCGGGCTCGGTATCTTGACGGCCAGACGGTCGGATTTTGTTTAGGAAGGACGACATGGCCACAGATGAGATTTGGAAACTCGACAGCCCGAGATGATTCAGACAATGCAAGAATAAACTACATCTCTGCCCAAGGACATGTCGATCCTTTTATACGGGCCTTTTAAAATGCATGGCAGTTGTCGAGTCCGTCTGTACGAATGTGATGGTTCGAGCATATCGGCAGATACACAAGGATGCAAGAGCACAGCGACCAACGGGAATAGCACACTAACACATCAGGCGAGCCTATGGTTATCGAAGACGGGTTATGGAACAGCGGGCAAGCAAAAACGGTGCGAAGGGTCGGAGGACTCGTGGACGGCTTGCAGGGCGCCTGAATATACCAAGGCATAAAAAGCTTGCTAGACCTTCCACTTTGATGAACCGTCTGCTTGGAGTCTTGGAGGGGTCGCTTCACGTGGTGCAGGAGACGAGAAGGTGAGAGGACTGGAGGTGGCGATTTGACTTTGTTGTCTGGCTCGCAGGCACAAGTTCGAAGATCTACACCGGCGACCTCGGTAGATCTTCAACACCTATTGTTCTCTACGGGGAGGATATCCAATGGACGTCTACAAACAAACTTCTACCATCTGATGTATTGCAATTGGAAAATCGGCTAACGAAGAAAATACCCTGGCAGTCTATTCTTCAAAGGTATATAAGCGCAACTTATCCATGAAAGGTTCCACATAAGAAACGCTAGCCTTATCAGATGGACGAGCTCTTGGTCGACAGGGAAAGTGGAGGCCTGACGATATTCAAAGGAGGGTCACGTGATTTAGCACCACGTGACGTGCTCAGTTCAATCAGTCGCCAAGGGGAATTAAGCAAACCAAGCAGCACTCAGCTTGATCAGTTGCTAAGGGGACAGACTTCCCTCAGCTAAACAACACCGCAACCTGGAAAGGTCACACTGACGTGTTTAGACTAAGATGAAAGGCGGTTCTTAAGACAGCAGGCCTCTAGTAGGCAAGTTACCTATTAGTACCACTAAAAGGCCTTCCCATGCTAAAGAAGCCAAATAGATCTCAGCAGCCTACAATAGAGAAGGAATATGTTCTATATGGATTTGCAATAAAGCACTCAGCGCAATGGTCTTGCCAAGTAAATCTGATGAGGAGACGGTTCTCCCCGAATGGTTTCCACAATCTTTACAGGTCACAGCTGAAAGGCTTACCGCAAACCCTGTGAATGGTACTGCCGAGATCCTGAGGAAACGAGATCGAAGAAGCGTAACGGCCTAATCGTAGTAGACTTGGAATGGCTTCAATTCGATGAGCAGTGCTTTTCGCTAACTAAGGAACCGCCTTGGCCTCTATAGAACCTGGGGTACTGTACTCTGGCAAGACTAAGAATGGTTTTGCCAGAAAGGCTAAGGGAAGGCTGAGTATAGAAGGTACTTCTATAATTAGTGTTAATGTAGATATATCATCGCAGACTATAAGTTAATGGGTTACTTCATAATTTACGCAAAAATGTCTGTTGTTATGCGTAGTCGTACTTATCTGGGGTCTGGTTAAGGGGCATAAAGTTTGCTTTCAGAGCAATACTCGTGAAAGCAGCTCCCGCATTTGACTATGTTGAAGAAAACGCATTCCAGGAGGGATACACGAGGAGCCGCAAATGACGAAGGAAAGTGATTAGGGCACTGTGACCCTTTTCACAATGCTGCTGATTTATCACCATGAGATAGAGTCATCAATATAATTGCATTTGGTAGCGCAAATAATTCGAATCGTTTATCTTGCTCTCCGGCTTTGTTTAAAGCTCACTCTAACATTGCATATTTCCACCGAATCCTGCCGATTCTGAAGATCAATTCGCCGTAATTTTCAGCCCCTTCAAATTTCCTTCCTTCAACCATTCCCTCAGTGCCTCTGTATAACTTAACATGCCTTCGCCCCATGGTGCGCCTCGGGCAGATTTTATCTTTTCTACAAGCTCAGTCGGCCTGTCCGTCTCACCTTCGTTATTGATAAAACCCGGGGTGCAGCCGACAACACCAACAAACCAAGGTGCCCTAGTCAGAATTTCATGAGACCATGCTTCCTCGGCGTCTTTGGTCACCTCGATAATGAGATCCTGGGGACTTTCATTCCCAATTTTCTTTTGGGACAAGGACAAAATATTGGCGATGTGCGAAGCGAGAGTGTCGAGAACATATCGAATGTTTACAGTAACCCCAATCTGCGAAGGCCCAAGAAAGAAGAGGTTCGGGAAGTCGTGGGTCGCTATTCCATGCAAAGTTGTGGCTCCTTGTTCGGCCCATTTGTCACCCATTGACAAACTTCCTCGCCCAAAAATATCTATACCAGCTCGCCCAGAAGGACTGGCACTTCCCTCAAAGGGCGAGACAAACCCAGTGCTCATGATTAACACATCGATTGGATACTCAGTCCCTCCAGTCACAACCGTGTTTTTTGTGACTTTTTCAATTCCCTTGCCATCAGTGTCAACCAATTGGACGTTTGGCTGATTGAAGGCAGGCAGGTAGTCGTCGTGAAACGTTGGTGTCTTACACCAGACAGGATACCAGGCCTTTAGCTTTTCTGCTGTGGGCTTACTCTTGACAATGTCATCCACACGCGCGCGAACTCTCTGAGATCTTTCCGCGTCCCACTCATGCAGGCGAGTTACATGTTCTTTCATCCCATCCAGACTGACAATACCAGGCGACCCGAAGGCTGCGGCATACCCTGGCATCCGGGTCCAAGCATCATCAACCATATTCACCTTATCGGGTGTATTCATCTGGTATGAGATCAAGTTCTCAGACCGCTCTTTCTGCCACCCCTTCTTTGCAGTGATCCTCTTCCATTCGTGAGGGTCTGTCAACTTCTGACCGCGGACATCAACGCTTGATGGCGTTCGCTGAAAGACATATAAATCCTTTGCCCATTGGGCTAGTTGCGGCACTACTTGGATCGCTGTCGCTCCAGTGCCAATGATACCAACCCGCTTATTCTTCAATTTCTCAAGCTTCCAGTCTTCTGGTGTGCCTCCAGTGATGCTGTAATCCCATCGCGCTGTGTGAAACAGCTCCCCCTCAAAACAATCCAAGCCTGATAGATTTGGCATGTGCGGTTCGTTAAGAGACCCTGAAGCTGACACAATAAATTGCGCTTTTACTTCGACATCCCTTGCCTTTCCAGCAGCACCCCTGTTCTCCGTCATCTTGACTATCCATCTTTTTTCGTCCTCGTTCCATCGGGCGCTCTGAACCTTCGTGCGAAACAAACACTTGTCTTGCAAATGCCACTTTTCCGCGATTCGCACTGCTTGCCCTCTCAACTCTGGGCCATACGAGTACTTATGTTTAGGCATGAAACCAGTCTCTTCAAGTAGCGGCATGTAAACATAACTTTCAATATCGCACATCAGCCCTGGGTAACGGTTCCAATACCAGGTCCCGCCGAATCCGCCTGCATGGTCTACCAAACGAATAGCCTCTGCAGATTCGCCCGACTCAATCAAGCGAACAGCAGATAGCAGACCGCCGTAACCAGCGCCAAGGATAAGAATCTTGACAGCAGAACCAGACGGCAAAGGCGATGGCAAGGAATTCAAGTGCTCATGGTCAACCCAGGGATCATTTGCCAAGTTGGAGAATGTGGAGTCAGAAAGCTTGATGTATTGGGCTGAGCCTTCCGCTCTTAGCCGTTTGTTTCGCTCTTCGATGTATCTGGCACGGGTAGCTGGATCGTTCGCCGCAACCCCGGCATCATCAGTGGTCGACATAGCGAAGAGAAGAGTTTATTTGGATCGTCGGAATGTAAATATACGAGATTTACGTATGAATGCAGCCTTGATACTTCTCTTTACAGGAAATACCAGGATTTATATACCAACATAGGATGTGCTTCACGAGATCTGCCAGAACCTGCTCTTGCCTGGACGATCACTCGACACCCTACGTGGGGGTATCAAAAAAAATCCGTTGAGTTCAGTCAAAATGCAACCTCAAAGATGCTACCTTACATTCATTCCCTGTTACCGACGTGTGGGCCTATAGTGATAGGGCAGGCATAGAGTAGGGGACGGGATGTGGACCACTCAAAATAGTCAAGCTGGTCAACGTTGACGCCCCAAAATTTCAACAGTATTATAGGATTTTACCAAATCTGTAAGCATATCCGTGAACCATGCAATATGATGCAAAGTTTCGTAAGCTTTGTGAATGTCTCTTGTCACATACTTGGCATCTTGTTCGCCTAATATAAGCATTTAGCTTGTATGCGCGGAATATCAGCCATGGTACCATTGGTGTAAGTACAGATCTTGCTAAGAGAGTTAGACATCGCATTAGAGTGTGAGAACATTGATCCGGTGCCGGGCCCTGTGCCTACTATTTCCCTCCCAGTCGCATCTTTGCGAGAATCTATCGGATACGCTGCCTTGATCAAAACATTTGAACCTGAAGAATTACATCAGATGAGATCTTCGCAGCGGGTGACGCTGAGAAAGCCAACCGTAATCCCGAGATCATGGCCAATCATCCAGATAGATTTGCGCTGGAAAGAAGTTGGATTCATGTGAGCAGTACCAATTACCACCAATTCTCAGCTACAACTTTTCCCTTTCGCCTGTGAATGAAAGAAAATCGTGCAGGTGGAAAGCCATTTGATCTTTACCGCCATACCCAGCAACAACATCTTGAATACAGTGCCTAGACTTACAAAAGCTGCTGCAGCCTCCATTTCTTTGCATTTCGTGGACAATGAAGCAACACTCACCAGCATTGGACCGATCCGGCAGCCATTCGTCATATAACGGGATGTTAGCGCGCTGTGTTATGTCGGAGTGACATTATCTTATCAGATCATTTAAAAGCAAATCTTATCAGATCATCCCTCAAACCATAGAGTGCATGGGAAGCGGCACAACGCATAATGTGGCTGGTCCAAGAACCCTTGAAGGTAAGATCACCGCCAATTGCACATTGCGCGCTCCGACGAACCTATACTGGCCATGTTTCGGCATGCTGATCATCTAAGACTCGGGCACTAATACATACCACCTTATGGTTGGCATGCAGTCTGCGGGATTTTGGCTGTCACTCTCCAAAACCGGCCGTTGTTCAAATGACATATTCCCCCACCTACTCATGCAATCTTCCTCCACATGGCCAGTGAAATTGTCTAGGGAAACTGTCGAAACCTACGGAAAACACTTTCCAGATATCTGTGCCGAGGTGCAGCCCTAGCTACATGGATTTAAAGTGAAGGTTCCTTGCTTTGGTAAAAACATTATATCGGCTATGGTTTGAACCTCGATCACAGGCCTACAGTTGCGTACATTGATTGCCATCAATCGCGAGCCGCTTCGATACAGAATTTCCATCCAGTCTACCAGAGCTCTCTTGGTCTGTACAGCCATTGCATGGAACATACATTGCTATATTGTGTCATTCCATGATATCAGACGCGGGGCGCACATTATATACCTCGATCCTCGGCAGCAATCGCTCACGATGTCTGGCTTGTCCTGGAGAATCACCTGCTTATTGTATGCCCGGTTAAGACCTTTTGTATCAGCCCCGAAATGTCTAATTGTCATGGACCGTGCCCGCGCCGGCCATGAATCCCGAACCTTGTCCTCGGCCATGAATTCCGACATGCGGCAAAGTAGAACCCCTGTCCTCTTCAATTGGCAAGCCATGGTCATGCTTAGGAGCTGAAGCCAGGTTAGAAGTAGGTCAAGGAAAAGTGGGAGTCGTTACGTTCATTACGAATACATAAGTGATAATCAATTGCAAGATCAAAGAAGAAGCCAACCGCTACCCGTTTTACAACACTTGGAATCTGACTTAAAGAATGGAAAATTGGGGCCAGAGCCCTGCCAGAGGCTAATAGAAGACCAGTATGAGGTCTATCGCAAACTTTAGCGAAAGTGAGTATCGTTAGATGCATAGCCTGAAGGGGATCAGACAGAAGCTCACGCGTGAACCACACGTACACGAACGTCATGCTGTAACGACTAGATCTGGCTTACCTGGGTAAGGCGAAGGCGTTGCAGAGGGTTTCGTAGATTGATAAAGATAAGGCGTGTATCAGGACAGTTGTTTGTGAACTCTGATCAAGTCCTGACAACTTGATTACTATTGTATGGTTGATTCTAAAGACTCAGGTACAATGTTATATTGACTACGAACAATTCCTACATATGAAATCTGACAATCTTATATATCTAATCTCCTTAGTCCTTGCTTAGTCTGCTCAGTTCCCCTTAGCAACTGATCAGCTTGCCCTAATTTTCGTAGCCAAAGTAGGTTGGTAATGTTCCATTAAGATAAGCAGCTGTTGCAGCATCGGGAGAGGTGCTATCGTTCCCATTTCCTTCCCTTGAAGATGCGGCGCGATTGGGTCCTCCTCCGTACATGTATTCCCTATGTCGTGGCATTTGTACGACATAGTCATATACCACACCCGTCCGGTACAACGTCTATGCCCGACTAGAGGATGGACTAGCATTACCTGTAAGTAAGTGCTATTCTCTGGCTTTTGGGAGCACTGCCTAATTGCGCGCTTATATGCAGACGGCCTCTGGTAATCTTGCCTTCTAATGCTGGCACAAAGAAAGGTATCTAGGCGTTGGCTGCATAGGCAATGTGCCTTTGGTGTATCTGCCTACGTGGCGTATAGACAACGTAAGTGGAATTACCAGAAGTGCCTAATGCCACGTTCAAAGCAGGTGTATGCGTATCCAATGAGAACGACTGGTACTTATTGAGGAGAGCCTTTAGGGTATGCGTGACGAATCGATGTGGCCAAATAGCACTAGCAACGTTTGCACTGCTAGCGATCAAGCCCTTTGTGTCAACTAATAGTGAAACCTATGTGTTCAGTACCTTGTGAGTATTAGGACTACAAAGTTTTTAAATTTCGAGCCCTTTCTCCCGCAATTTCGACGAACTCGTCTCCAAGATCTGGAAGCTTAGCTCGCAAAACGTCTAAGTGCTTAAGATTCTCTTAGTAGGTAGATTGATTAAAGTAGGTATTGATGCTGTTAACCTTTCTTGCCTCTGTAGCTGCCTGTCCCTCTGCATCTAGTTTACTTGCTGCAGATATGAAAGCGTTAACATAAGTAATTCTTATCCTTGTAATCTTTTCAACTTCTTCTGAGCCTACCAACTCCTCACTACTATTATATTCTGACTATGGGGAAGGCTGAATGTGACTACTATTGCGCCTAGTTGCGCTAGAGCATGCTTGGTGTGCTTTAAGCATAGTGGTGGTCTCAGGGGGTCAATTGCTGATGAGGTTGGTGTATGGCCCCCGCTCGGCTCATCTTCCACTTTCCCTGTCGACCGAGAGACGAGGCCTTCTCTCATTACTGATCCCGTCAGTCGTTACATTGTGACAGTTGTACGTGCATGTCAAGTCAAGAGAGACACACGCCGATGCCGGCTTGTCTCGACTGGCGTTGGCTGGTGCGTACAAGATAGGTTTCGATGGGGAATGCCGATCGAAAGGGTCACACAAGAGTCTCAGGGGACCATTCATCTTATCAGATCCAGGATGCCGTACAAGGGGCTACCTGTGCGGGCTGCTCACGTCTGTGCATTCTCTCATAGAAATTCTGTCGATTCTTATGTAAAAGACGGTCAGACGTGAGCAGCCCGCTCAGGGCCACCGCTCGTAGAGGAGAGGTACCCCCTTCTGTTTGTGTGGCGTCCTCTACGCGCACACACATCCAATAATGTGGGAATATCAATGTGATCACTGATGGGCATTTCCCGACCGAGATGGTGTGAAAATTTTTATCTGATCCGAGCCTCCACCCGCTGTCGTTGGATCCACAAAAAGACTCCGAGCGGGCGGAGGACCAAACAAGGTGCCAACGATCCCCGGGCTGTTGCTAACCCGTTTCAGTATATTCGACGTCGTTCAGGCTCTGACCGTGTCTGGGCACAATATCAACCACCACTCATCGATCTGCAACCTTGCATCTTCGAACTCAGTCTTGTCCTCAATCGCCTCTGCACCCGCCTCTAACCCATTGAGGGGCTCCTCTCTGTGCCCAGTTATTCGCCCCGGTTCCCTCTTTCGATGATGCTGTACCCTGCAAATTGCGTGAGAAGCCAATGTTGACTTCGTCCCTCTAGCTCTTCCATTAAATCTCCCGGATCAGTGGGGCGTTACTGATCATGGCTCAACGAATGTCATTGTCGAGAGGCGCCGATATTTAGTCTTCCTTTTGCCACTAATTCTGCAGGCGCCTGTCTATTAGAAAGCCCATTCCCTCCAAGCCTTGGGTACTTGTAGCTTGTTGGTCGTTCTTACCATAGACCTCAAAGGATTTGTTCTCGACTTGGGAGTCTTTAGCACTCGTTGGATTGAGGTTCCAATCACACCTCGATTTACCCCAGACAAGCCACCTTCTCGCGCAGTCAGGAGTTCTTCCTGCAGGTGACGATCATGGCTTCTCAAGCTGGAGCTTCGAGTAGCAAGAAATCCAAAGGTATCCTATCTGTAAGAGAACAACTCGTTCCCCATGTTCATCGTCACATGCAGTATCAGCTGACATTCTCTCAGTCCTTCAGAAGTCTTTTCATTTACTTTGAACTTCTTTTTGCTTCTCAACCAACGTGGATCGACATTACGCTTGTCATTACCGGTACTGTTGCTGCCATTGGGGCTGGCATACCATTTCCACTCTTGGCCGTTCTCTTTGGACAATTCGTCGATGAATTGAATGGAGCTACCTGTGCCGCCGAAGCCGCCCCTAACACATCAGATGCTTTCCGATACGAGGCTTCAATCAATGATAAGGTCATCAAGACGGCATACATTGGCGCTATCTCTTTTGTACTCGTCTATATCCATTTAACCTGTTGGAACATCAGCAGCCAGCGCCTCGCCCAACGCCTCCGGACCCGTTATGTCGCCTCTCTTTTGAAGCAGCCTCCCGCGTTCTTCGACACTCGCGGCTCATCTGGCCAGGTATCTAGTAGACTCAATGGCGACATCACTGCGGTCCAGGCCGGTACTTCGGAGAAGGTTGGAAGCATCATCACAATTCTCAGCTTTTTCGTCACGACGTTTGTCATAGCCTTCTCGAAACAGCCCAAGCTTGCTGGCATGCTTATCTCTATGCTACCCGCATTCCTTCTATCTGGTCTTATTGGTAGCAAATATATTGGAAAACACGTCACACGACAAACCGAAGCTACTTCCTCTGCCTCCTCGATCGCCTCTGAAGCTCTGTCCAACATCGCGGTTGTCCATGCCTTTGGTGCAGCCCCCCGTCTCGAAGGCAAATTCTCCAGTTTCATGGCCCAGGCTCGCAAGCATGCTATAAACAAGGCTGCGGTGGCTTCTGTACAGACCGGCTTGCTCTATTTCATTGCTTATGCAGGGTCTGCTCTTGCATTCTGGCAGGCGGCTAAGCAGATTGCCGACGCTGCTAGAAACAACGGAAATGGCGCCACCGTCGGATCCATATACTCTGTTGTGTATCTTCTCATTGACGCGTGCATCATGCTGGGAGGAATCGCGCCCCTTCTACCTTTTCTTGGCGGGGCTGTTGCAGCGTATCAACGTCTGAAGTCGGACATTGATGCACATTCTGATATTGATGGTACATCTGATGCTGGCAAATTGATGCCACCGCAAATGACGAAATCCCTGGCTTTCCGAGATGTGACCTTCGAGTATGTGTCTCGCCCAGGCCAGCCTGTCCTACAAAACGTCAATCTGGAATTTCCGGCTGGTTCATACACTGCTATCGTCGGTCTTTCAGGAAGCGGCAAATCGACCGTTGCGGCTCTAATCGCTCGTTTGCATGACCCGACGGAGGGTATCATCGAACTCGACGGCCACGACATCCGGGAACTAAACGTCAAATCCCTCCGAAGTTTCATCAGTTTCGTCCAACAGGAGCCTTCCCTCCTCGACCGTTCTATCCTCGAGAACATCGCACTTGGACTGGTGAACTCGCCTAAACCTGCACACCAACATCTGAAGCCTCTCCTCAAGGGTCCAGAACTTGCGAAGTTAGCTTCGCATGGCAAGAATGCTCTATCGGCAGCATCATCTTTGGGCCCACAGTTTGTCGAACTCGCTAACCTCATTCAACATGCTGCAGAGCAAGCTGATGTAGCAAGCTTCATTGAGCGTCTGGAATTGGGATACGGTACACCTGTTGGTCCCAAAGGGTCGCTGCTGAGTGGTGGCCAACGACAGCGGGTTGCGCTTGCGCGAGCCTTCATTCGGAGCCCTGAGCTCCTGGTTCTGGATGAGGCTACATCGGCCCTTGATTCATCGACAGAGAAGAGGATTCAGTTCGCCGTGGAGCGGGCAGCAGCCGAGAAGCAGACGATTATATCTATTGCGCACCGACTTTCCACCATTCGAAATGCCGACAACATTGTGGTTATGTCGGCAGGCCGTGTTGTCGAGCAAGGCACTTACAATGAACTCATGGCGAAAGACGACGGTGCATTCGCTCGCATGGCAAAATTACAATCTGTAGGCCATTCTGGGGTCGGGTCCGTGTCAGGAGATTCATTCGACGCATCAACACTTGACAGTGACAAAGTTGAACTGGGCGAAAAGGCTGAGACTTCCGTGGCTGGAAAAGCGGTGGACATTGATGCCAAAGTTGTCAATGATAATGAGAACTCCGAAAAAGTGGCAGAGAAGGGAAGCAAAGAGTCTACGGCCAGCGAAGATCCTAAAGACAAAGATTTGGATGCTGTAAGGCCTTACAGCTCCGTGATGAGAGGAATTGCCTGGCTGATTCGACCATCACGGAGCTGGGTGGTCATTGCGACGATCGCAGTCGTCTTCGTGGGAGCCACGTACTCCGCTGCTGGTATCATCTTTGGTTTTACTATTGGCGCCCTCAACCCGTGCCAGAGCACTATTAGCCACATTTTGTGGGCAGGCAGTTTCTTCAGTGGTCTTTATTTCATGCTGGCCGTGGTCGAGCTTGTCGCCAATTTCCTCGCATGGTTGGGCTTCGGAATCATTGCGGAAAGGATGCTCTACAACTTGCGCGTTCTCTCCTTCCGTTCATTGCTCGAGCAAGAGATTCATTGGCACCAATCGGAAGGACGTACCCCGACTGGCCTCCTCTCGATCATCACCAAGGATACTGTTGCTGTTGGCGCATTTTCAGGATCGACGTTCGGCACGGTCTTTGCAATCCTCCTCAACATTATATTCGCCATTGTGGTCTCCCATGTATTCGCTTGGAAGATCGCTATTGTCTGCCTGGTCACGGTCCCGATCCTACTCGCCACGGGCTTCATGCAGCTACGCATGTTAGCACGGTATGAGGAAAGACATCGCGAAGCTTTCTCTACGGCCACGTCATTGGCGACCGAAGCAATCCAGTCCATCAAAACCGTTGCCATTCTCTCACTCGAGAATGAATTCATGGAATCATTCACTCAACTCCTAAGCGCCCCACGAAAGCAGGTGGTTCGAGCTTCCATCTTTACGAATGTTTGGCTTGCGTTGTCTGCCAATACCTTCGCGTTCGCCAATGCTCTAGCCTTCTGGTGGGGATCTCAACGCATCATGAAGGGCGAATACACCCAAAGAGATTTTCTCATCATTCTCATTGCAATGCTGACAAGCGTCACGCTTTGGGGAAATATGTTCTCTCTTGCACCAGAGTTCTCCCGAGCACGGCTAGCTTTGTCGCGTGTGATGGCGGTAGTAGATATGGGAACCAGTTTAAATGTTGGCAAGTCTGACAGAGACTCCGCAAAGCCCGATGACGATGTTGAGGCTATCGGAGAAGGAAAGAAAGGTAGCAGTCCAGAGGAAAACAAACACCGTGGTGGCTCAAAAGTGGCTTTCAAGGGAGTCTCATTTGCGTACCCCAACCGCCCAGATGTCAATATCCTGAATGATGTGTCTTTTACGCTCCCAGCCAACCGCTTCTGTGGTCTTGTTGGCCCCTCAGGAGCCGGAAAATCCACCATCATGAATCTCGTCCAGCGTTTATACAAGCCCACATCAGGAGAAATTCTTATCGACGACCACGACATCTGCAAGCAAGCCGACTCCTTCCGGGATTCCATCGCACTCGTGCCTCAGGATCCCGCACTATTCGACGGTAGTGTGCGTTTCAACATTGGCATCGGTGCCGTTCCCGGCCACGAAGCCACGGATGCCGAGATTGAAGAAGCCTGCCGGCTTGCAAACATCCACGACGACATCATCGCACTGCCGGATGGTTACGATACAGAGTGCGGCCCCTCTGCATCACGTTTATCTGGCGGTCAACGACAGCGCCTTGCGATCGCGCGTGCGCTTGTTCGCCATCCCCGCCTGTTGCTTCTTGACGAAAGTACAAGTGCATTGGATGCTGTCAGCGAGGCAGCTTTGCAAGAGGGTCTTGAGCGAGCAGCACGAGGAACGACGGTTTTGGCTATCACGCATCGATTGCATACAGTGCAGAAGGCTGATGTAATCTTTGTCGTGGAAGGTGGTGAGATCGTTGATAGCGGTCGGCACGCACAGTTGATGGAGCGCAGGGAGAGCTACAGACTGAATGCCATGCAGCAGATGCTTCAGTAAATAATTTTCGTGTGTATATTGAGATACCCAAGGTTAGAGGATAAAATCTTCATGTACATTAGACCTTGCATTAATACATGTATTTTTAATGTTAATTCAATAGCTTGTCATCTAGGAATGCGTAATTTAAATGTGAGTGCGATCCTGCATGAGACAATAGGAATTTTTTTAGTATCGATAGATTCCTAGACCAAGCTTGAAGTCCTAGAATTATTTCGTGAGTTTAAAAGTGTGGAGATACAGAGTACTGATCTAGATTTTGGTTGATTCTAGCGGTGAAGCTGATGGAAGTCGTCGTGTAGCCTTGGCAAGCTGATTTACCTTTGCCGGGACATCCTCCTCAACTTCAATGTTCATCATCCGACTGTTGCTCCCTCATCTTCACTGCTTCCCATAATATCTAATAATAATATGTTTGCGCCTCCATCTAGCTGCTCGTCTAGTCTATAAGCCCACCACGTTATTCATGCTGAGGCGGCACCTATCTTCCGAGTTACACGCGCCGTTGGCTTCCACGGTAGCTTGCGTGGCGGTCTGTGGCTCAGTAACAGATTGAATACGTACCCTTCCTTACCAACGTCCACAAAAGTACAGCTTCAGCAGCACATCTTGCTCAATTCGACATTCTCGGTTTCTTAGCATACGGTTACACACGCGAATGCGAAATTTAGCTGCTGCTAACCATTGAACGACTCCCCAAAATTTACATTAATATTTGCAAAATCAAGCATAAAAAGGCATTGACATACGCGACTATAATAATACTCAACACCTCAAACGGGATACTCCGCCATGACATATTCTGCGGAGCTACTGGAATGTCCGCTCTGTGAGTACAGAGCACTTCCATCAGATGACTATGTCATGCAGCTTCACTTTGAGCAAGTGCACACCGAGGACTCACCTTTCAAGATCGAGGATGACCCCGAGCCCTTGCCTCCACCTCTACCAGCACGACCTTCCCCAGTTCAAACACAGCAGGACGATCAGGACATACCTTCTGGATATGTCGCATGCCCTCAGCCCGACTGCGGTGAAGTTGTACTCCTGACCGACTTCAACTATCATCTCGACCTGCACACCGGCGAATTATTATCTTCCGACGAGACTAGTAATACTTATCATCAGAATCGAAAGAGAAACATGCATCACTACACGAACGTTACTTATCCTTCGGATCGTTTCCATGGCTCCTCATTACGCAGCCCGGACTCTGACGCAGCTTCATCAGACACTGGCAGCCGGCATCATGGCAAATCAAAGCACCGGAAGCGATCGACCCGGAAAAGGGGTGATTCCAATAGCAGCGAGAAGAGTACTTTGTCCAGGAGTATCATGGGCTTCAATCCTCTGGCAAAACTGAACAAAGCCATTAAGCCGCCACCAAATCCAACACGACTTGGGGTACGTCGTAGTCCTGTTTTTTTAATTCGACTCTGCTAATGCAATCTCTAGCGCTCTGAGTTAGGGCCCCATGCGTGGGAGGAACGCATGCCAAAGTGGCTTCATGAACAGCTAGCAGCTGGGCCAAAGATAACAACGATAAACCGTATTGGCCGTGACGGTCGCCTCATCAAGCAGGAGAGGGTGCAAAACGAGACCCCTGGTCTTATTCCCATTCTTGCCCAACTGTCTGCACTGGATCGAACCGTCAAAGAGGCATACTACTGCCACCCAGCTACTGTCCACATCGGGAAGACTCCAAAAGAAGGCAGCTTTTGCGGATACAGAAACATACAAATGCTCATTTCTTACATACAAGGCACACATGCCCAGGGTCACGAAGAGTTTCCTGGACGCACCCCAGGCATCTTGGAGCTTCAAGAGTTGATAGAGCGCGCATGGGACAAGGGAATCAACGAGATAGGGCGCGCCCAGACCGGTGGTATAAGGGGAACACGCAAGTACATAGGTACCCCAGAGGTAAGCATAACGTTGAACAATATAGACCAAGCGAAAAAACTAACATAGGACAGGCACAAGCACTGTTTCTCAGTTCGGAGATTGACTGTGCCGTCGAGATGTTCACAGACTCTCGCGATGGTCGAACCGAGGCACACGAACACCTTCTTCTCGCCGTCGAAGCGTACTTCGCGCAGGCTGCTATCAAAGACGACGACTCGAATGTTTACAAGACTCTCCTGCCACCAATATATCTCCAACAGCCCGGCCACTCTCTCACTATAGTCGGCCTCGAGTATCGTAAAGATGGTACTCGTAATTTGGTCATATTTGATCCAACTTATCATACTTGCCCTGCTATGCACCGATTACTGGGACGAAAGAACTTGAAGACATTTCGCCCAGAAGTCATGTACAACTACCGACGAGAATCCGTACACTTGAGGAAACTTGCGGCCTTCGAGATTCTCATGTAAGTGTCATTTTGAAATGATCCGGAGCAAGTACTAATCAACGTAGGCTGACGGCACATCCACCGATGTTCCCTGCTTGGGATGTATGAATTCCTCACACCGATCACGCTTTCTCCTTCACATCATTGCCTTAGAATATACAGGAGATCTAGCTTGGTGATATTTATTCATGCTCTTCTTGGAAAATGGCCTTTCTCGTCCAGATGCTCGTTCCCCATTTTTTCAAGACCTGGGCTAAATATGTGAGTTGGCAGGTCCTACGCCAATTCCCCGGCTGTCGATTCCTTTACGCGTTTTTTCGGTCTATGACACTTGGATACGATGTTTACCCGGAAGATCATTTCCTGCGTCATTTTCCATGGTGGCAATATGGCGGACTCTGGATCGTTGACGATGCACGTTTCGCTACAACTCCGAGACACGATCATACAAAACTTCAGGCTCTTCGCCGAATCACCTCCGCGGGATCCTCAATTATGCCCACTCTAGGTTCTGGTAGTGAGCAATGTAGCGCTTTCACAAGCGAACATTTCCATTCCCCCAACATGCACAGCCTGACACCACCAGGACTGCGGTTTCCTGTGGCAAACATAGATGCGAAGGTACCACCTTTTGATGGCTCACAGAGCAACACGCCGTTATCAAGTCCGATTGAAGAACTGCTTCGCAAAACAGGAATGTGTAGATTGAATACCGGAGCCTGGGACTACCGACAGCAAAGCTTTGGATATCTACAGCCTTCTGGGGATAGATATCCAGGCTATTTCAGTCCGCTGTCGCCAACAGCGTCGGCCAAAGAGTGGTTTCCTTCTCCAATAGACAACTTGGAAGGAATGAGTCACTCTTCTTTATGTGCTACACCCAAGCTTCCTTTAAATTTATGTGGACGTGGCTTTTCAAATATCTCACAGCAAGCTAGTTCAGAACCTAGTGTGGCCCCCGTACAGATGAACCCATTCGTTCCAGATGGTTTCATTGGCAATTTTCCCAACGTCCAGGATATGCCACTGTCACCTAGCCTCTCCACAGTCGGTTCAATTGGATCCCCGATGAGTACGGCCGAGGCTGTATCGCCCCGTGTGGGAATGCTACGTGGAAAAGCCAACAAGCAACGACCATATGGGAGCCCAAATTACCAGCTGTGCGGACTTAGCCACCAAGACAATCAACTCAGCCCCTTTTACAGTAGCCACAACGGTAATGCCTCTTCGCTAGGATCAAGCTCTGCTGTATCGCTTCATACACCTCTTCTCACACCACCCTCGTCCCTATCTTCGGTACAGATTGCCAATGGCACTGAAACATATATCGGGAGTCCCATAAGTCCTTTCGGCCTGGTATACAAGTCTCATCGCCCAGCATGTTCTGGCTTGCTGGGGTTGCCTGCATTGTCAGAGACGAAAGTGGCCGAGTACAGGTTCTGGATGCCTTGTGGAAAGAAGAATTGCGGTATCGGTTGCGCAGACAAAGACGCAGGGGAGCTGGCAGCAGCGAGACGACTTTTCAAGAGCGAGGAGCAGGTAATGCCATGTACAGATGAGTGAGCCTGTTAGGTAGCGGTGGGCAAGGAGAATACCAGGAGATGCGGGCCTTCATCTACAGCTTGCGCGCCACACGCACCCTACGGTCACTTGCTACTACATTCTATAGCGCTCGTTTAGAACAATATGCATACCGATCTGCCATGAAGAACTACATTTTTGTCTTCTACTTTGACTTAATAAACATAAGCTAAGCAACATTCACGCATTGAAAGTTGACTTTTTGCATGCCTAGGAGGCTGATAGCAATAAATTTTGTTTACAGTAAGGGTATCATTTATATACATTACGCCATGCCTTTGCAGATGTTGTACATTTTCCTCGGTGCATGGAACTAATCTTGAAACTTAATGTTCTCTTAGAGGATCTGGCGCCAGGGCGCACACGGGCCCGATGCTGAAAAAAAAACCAGCTCGGAGTGAAATATCTAATCCAAATCAAACGTCGTTTTAATCACTGTCATCGTCGCTCCCGTAGCCTACCAAAGGACCGGATGAAGGCGCTGCTCTCTTAGGTGCGGCGGTCGCCGAATAGCCTTTCAAGGCAGCTAGTGTAGATCCTGACAAAATTCCGGTAGGGGCAGTATTGTCTTGTTGAGCAAGAGATCCGAATGACCCGTCATATTCATTGTCTTCTTCGTTGCCGTCGCCTGCTTCAAGTAGCCCTGCCCTTTCAGGCGCACCAACTTGTCCAGAAGCCTCCCAGCCAGCTTTCTCCTTTGCAGCCCAGACGTCATCTGGAGCCTCATATCCCTGCAGCCCAAAGCTCCCTTCAATCTTCCTCCTCTTCTTCTGCTCGTGGTCCCTGCCTTCGATCTCGGCAACATATGCAGCCGGGAGGGCTTTTCGGATGGCTTCGGCAGCCTGTTCTTCGACACGACGGGCCTCACGCTTCTGAGCCGCGGGATTTGGGTCAACCGTGGCCCAGCGTACGTTCAGGATCTCGTTGTGGTCGAGCGACTGATCCGACATTGCTTCCTTCGCGAATTGCGAATTGGCTTCGTTCATGTACGTTACGAAACCGACACCGCGGGCGGTGAGGACACGGATACGATCGATCTGGCCCCATTCCTGGAAATGTCTGGCAACAATTTCTTCAATGTCATCCGTGACGTGGATCTGTCAGACAAAGTGTTAGCAGGCTGCTGAAAGGGGATTGGTATCAATCAAGGGGGTGTGTTTATACGTACACGTCCGACATAGAGTGTCCTGTTCTGCCTCTGGAATGATCCCACACCGCCCATATCATCACGGTAGTCGGAAAACTTGTCTCTGCCAAAGCAATCGACGTTGCTAGGGAAGATATCCGTGACCGTAGGTAGCCTATGCAGATACTCGCAGTCGACGCCCTTGGGACAGGTACCCTTTGCAAAGAACAGGCAGAAGTAGCTCCCAGAGACTCTATCCGCCTTGGTGTAGCCCGAATCACGCGCAATAACGCAGCGGCCTGGCGCAGCCGTTTGCGACATGTACTTGTCCTCGCGATCGCCACCGCTCCATTTGTTGTACCACACATTGTAGATGGTTCCCGTGGGTTGCGCTTCTTCGACCTTGAACGTCGCGGCGTCTACTTGCGGCCGTGCTGGGCGCCGCTTGCGACGTATGATCTTCTTCACTTTCTTTCCCTCAGCGTTGGTGGTTATGATGGTGGTTTCTGTGGTCATGGGCGCGAGCGCGTTCGAGGATGAAGCTGATGGTTCATCGGCCGGATCTAAGGTGGGACCGCTTGCCGTGGCAGCAGCGGGTGGGGATTGCACGTCTGCCATTGTGAGGTTTGGTTTGGATTTGATATTAGTTGAGATTCTGGTTTAGAAACTTTATTGCGGATCTCGAAATGATGTCTTGATGCCGAGACGCTAGCGCAGATCGAAACCGCGGTCCTATAGTGAATGACTAAGCAACGTTATACCCGTGGACTGCCCGTTGGACTTGCGATGTCTAAGGTGAACTGCCAGGCATAATCCGTACATGTGTATGGATCCAAAGTGCATTTAGCAAACTTAAAGTGTGTTTAGAAGCTGCATACAATTCTCTTCTTTCCGATATCCGCACTTATGTGCCTCCACCTGTGTTATGAGACTTAATGATAACTATGGTGTCTGGTTGACATAATCCCACCATTGTTTGGACAGACTTTGATATTACAAAAGGTCATTTTTGAATTCATAAATATGTTCAAGATAATTCTTTAGCATGGTTGGTGCCAAACCTCTTCTGCTGAGGTGGAAACTCTGAAGCGAGAACCGCAACATGGAGCGATCTTCGCATACGTAAGACCTGCTGCTGCCGGTGCGGACGGCCATAACGGACGATCCTGTGGCAGTATGGGTCCTGATACGTCTCTGAATACGGGCTTGTTGACCCGTTAATCATTCTAATGGAGGACTTCGCTCAAAGGATGATACCATATAACATGCCATCTACTCCGTACTTCGAAGTGTTTTCGGCCTGAACTCTCCATTGATAACGGGATCACAATTTCGAATATAAATTTTTCGAACACTGAGCTGACAATCTCAACCTTGATAATCTGGAATTGATTTACCTATCCTTGATTGATCCAACATGGGCGAGTTCACTATTTCCTCACAATTCCAGGATGAATTGGTACCCGTATGCCACATCGTAACTCCAGTCGGAATGCTTGGGTATGGATTCAACGAGCAGCAGACAAGGAGTGATGTCCAGCGATACTCTTCGACAAACGTCCCGACCGCGATAATTCTAGACTCGGGTTCGACAGACAGTGGCCCGGACAAGTTGGCACTGGGGACCATGACATGTCCTCGCTCTTCTTACGCACGCGACCTGACCAAGCTGCTCCGTTTGGTGAACGAATTCAAGGTACCTTTAATCTTTAGTTCAGCTGGAGGGGATGGGAGTGACGAGCATGTTCGGGAGATGGTGCAAGTCATTGAAGAAATCTGTGATAAACCAGGCAACGAGTACTGAAGCCGAGCCCTTGGGAAAAGACAAACATGCTAACACGCCATACAGACAATACCGCTTCAAGGTTATATCAATATATTCTGAACTAGAGAAATCCCTCGTATTTGATAGTTTGCAAGCGGGCGCCATAACTGGTTGTGGCACAGTAGTTCCGGCATTGCAAAAGGAAGACATTGAGTCAGTACCGAGAATAGTCTCCCAGATGGGCCTGGAGCCTTTCTTAGATGCCATGAATGCAAATCCTGATTTCAACATTATTGTTGGTGGTCGTGCCTACGACCCCTCGCCCTACGTAGCATATGCTGCATTTGCATCGAAAACACGCCCGAGTGCGACGACAACACTGGCATCGCAAAAGCTTTGGGGAGGCTTCACACATATGGGGAAGATCATGGAATGCGGCGGTGCTTGCGCGAAACCAAAGTCCTCCGGAGCCAGTGCAACAGTGTACGCTGATGGCACGTTCGATATCTCACCTAGCGACCCGAATGCGCGATGTACTTCGACTTCGGTAGCCGCGCATGGACTATACGAGAAGAGTAGGCCGGATATTCTGAGCGGGCCCGGAGGCTATCTAGATCTGAAAGCAACCACCTTTGAGGAACTGCCTGACGGTCGCACTCTCCGCGTCAGAGGTGCATTGTTCACGTTTTCAAGAGACGTTGGAACGAAGTATCAGATAAAGTTGGAAGCGGCGAGTGTAATTGGTTATCGAGCTATGTACATGGGGAGTATGAAAGACCGTAAGTACCACACGTTAATTCATAGATAAGACGCATATTGACTCTTTGGAAGCAATTCTAATCGGGCAACTGGATTCATTCTTAAGTCGTATAAAAGCGTATGTGAAAATGCAGCACGAGGATGTAGATGGAAGCTGGGAACTCGACTTCCATACTTATGGAAGAGACCAAGTATCATCAGTCAAAGATAAGTTGGGTGAACTATCAGAGATTTTCTTGGTCGGCGAAGCGTTAGCAGACTCTCAAGATCTGGCTGCCAGCGTCGTCAGTACAGCTAGAATTGCTACCATTGTGAGCAGACCTTTCATAGCATGCATCAGACAATGGCTAACTTGAAAAGCACGGAAGCTATCTAGACCAGAAAGCTACGTCCGGAAATCTTGCCTTCGGTATTGGTGGAAAGACTTGCATTGAGTTGGGGCCATGTTCGAAGTTCTCGATATATCATTTAATGGACATTGAGGAAGGGGAAGAGAGACTTCGGAAAGAGGCAGTAGGAAAAGGCTTGTTCCAAGCCTCGACTAAAACCGTTGGAATAGGGAAGATAGTGCCCGCCGATGTGTCATCATCTAATGGCGTTGCTATACAACAAGTAACAGTTAAGGCAAGAGCAAGCAGTCCAGCGAAAGGCGAATCGACCTCGAAGATTTCACGACATAAAACCCCTACAACGTTGGATGACTTGGCGAGCGTCTTACGGTCCAAGAACTCCGGCCCTTATGAGATTACATTCGACATTCTATTCGATGACAAGGAAAGATTCGAGCTCGTGAAGAGATCTAACCTCTTGAATGATACTGTGATCTCGAGAGTACTTGCAACAGAGGAGAAGAACATCATCTGGAGCGGATTTTTCGACCAAGCCCTGGCCTATAAGGTGACCATCCCAAGGACTAGGAAAGGCAAGGTTGAACCCAATGGTGGTTATATGGAGAACGACGTACATGGTTCGCAGAAATACCTGGGATTGCTGAACATGAAGCTACCTGAAGATCTTAGTTTGAGCCTTGGGGGACCGAGATAGACTCCGTTCAAGAGGCTGTACACAACAGAATGAGACCCTTCAAGACCACAGTCTGCCTCTGTACTGATGATTGGGGAGAATGGATCGCTTCTATTCTAAGGTCTGATTTGGAAAAGAATTGAAATCAAACATTCCCCACATTGAATCACCCCATAAATCTGCCGGCAGAGAGAAATCCAGTGGGTTGAGATCCATAGGGTCAATAATTTCTGGAATAACAATATCTTCATTCAATGGAGGTGGACCTTGCTCGACTGCCCCTGCCTCGGCATCATCCGTCGACTTAGGCGCAGTTTCTTCGGCTTCAATATTGTCGTTTCGAAGCTCATGGGCAGTGGTGATAGCTTCGTAGACCAAAGAAGCACCTAAGCGATCAGAAACCCGAAGTTTCATGCTGTCAATATCCATAGGTTTCTGTTGGCTGAGAGATGCTAGTAGGATCGCCCCCCGGTCTTGTTCATCGCCGGCTTCTACGGACACAGATTTGAAGTAGGTATGCGCAATTGCGACATGATTGCGAGCAAGCTCTTGCTCTTCAGGAGAAGCATGGTTGTTCAATGCAAAGTACCGGAGCAGGAATATTGATGCCAGTACAAGGCCGCGGTAGTGATTCTTGGGAATCGTCAGGGGCAAATTTTCTTTGGGAATATCGGTGTTGTCCTCAGACTCATAAGCCAACCCCTCTCGGATAAGGTACACAATTCGAAGAGATACCGAGAGCCCAAGTTGGAGAAGAACGTTTCTCGAAGTCAAATCGGACTGCATACGCACGACAGTCATAGCGTATAGATGTAGTTTAGCCACCAAAACGCTGTACTCCATCGTTGGAGTGAACTCGTTGCACAACTTTGACTTGAGACCGTCCAATTCACCGTCGACCAGCTGGACAATGGCTAGACTGACAGCTGTGTTGGAGTCGTTGAGCAGTACAGTTGCGTACTTGGCTATAGTATGTTGCACCAGGATCTGGTAGACATACTCGCGAGGGAACGCAAATTCCCGGGTATAACGTTCAATAGTATCCAACTCAGAGTTACCATTGATCAGCGGCGATAACCCGACAAACATACTTAAGCTACACGGTGTTAATGTCGGCACTGGCCACGGAAAAGTTGATACTCACGAAGTACTTGACAAAAAGCATGCCAGCCAAGTGCTTGCTCTAGCACGTAACGCTCCAGGCACGACACCGATGCTTCGTAATGACTGTATAGGGGTAGGTTTCTGGAGCCCCATGTACAGCGCTGCATTGACAGCTAGACCACAGTATAACCAGCTAGGTTCCTTGCTCTGACGATCCACAGGGAAGGGGAAGTTTATTAGAATCAACATAGCTTGAATGACATGGAGCGGCAATGGCGCATTCAATATATCATTATTGAGTTGCGCCACATAAGATGCTTTGAGCCCACTAAAAAGTTGAGCATAGTCGGGCTTTATTCGACGAGCAAGTACAACAGCGATAATGGTCCAAAATAGCAAAGGCGATGTTTTATGCAATAGGTCAATCGATATTGTCGGCTCAAGTATGGGCAAGTGAGGATGGAAATGATTCGCGAAACTGACATACCATATGTTAGTGGTATACGGAGACATTGCAAGGCGCAAGAAGTCATAAAGTGCTCACATTTTGTAAATGCTGATGACCATTTCCTTCTCCAACGTACAGTCGCCAAGGGAATACTCGCTGCGCTGCAACTGATCATAGTCAAATAGTACTTTCCAATCAAGCTCCGTGTCACCAAGTGGAGAAACGTTGGACAGGTCCGCAACAGAGGAAGATCCAGTGGATCGTGCTGGGTGGTCATTTCGCTGATGTTTGAACGCCTCTAATTGTCGCTGCATTTCCTCCACTCGCCAGTTGAGGAGTCAGCATGCTGTTCATGAGTAGCCTTGAGATAGTCCTGTGACCTACTTTCGGGCAGGTGTTCGCCTGAACGAAGAGTCGACTGTACAATGCAAGCGACGGGTTTGGCATCTTGAGCATGGTGCAGGGTACTTTTCTCGAGAATCGCAACGTAACTACCTTCATAAGTTTCCGTGCTTAAGGTACAAAGATCAGGTTCCATAAAAGCTACGGCTTACCTTGACTTGCTTGCATTCTGTACACGTTTTGACTGGGCGGTTGACAGTCCTACTGATGGGAAGGGACGCCATTGTTATGTGTAGACACTGTGCTGTTAACGGAAAATGTACCCAGAACTGCATGCACAAATGGCCGCATTCCCGTTCATTCAGTGCAAGATAGCTTTACGGAAAGTATATCGATGAAGATGCGCACCACTGCTGACGAATGAAATACTGCTCGAGTACCGCTACACCCTAGAGGAGAGGTTGCTGTATACCCAGCCAGCTTAGCGATTTGATTCATCCCGCACAGACCGGCGGTTCAAATGATCACGCTTCACCCCGCCGCCAAAGCAGCCATATGTGCAACGGCCTATCGGCGTCATTGTGGATCGTCTCAGTAGAAATGCCATGCTCATATGTAGGCCTGCTACCTCGATATACATGCACTCCAAATTTTGCTACTTTAGTCTAGATACACTTGATTACGCAGAATTCATTAGTTCAATGCACTTTAAATGCAAGATTATATCACAACATCAAATAAGAGTCAAAGCAGCAAACTTGGCGAGCATATTTTGTGAAAATGGTATCTTCTCTTGGAAGGCATCGGCTAATACATACAAGAAGCGAAACAGTTTCTGACATCATTCAATCGATCGACACATAGAAAAAAGTAGTACGGCCCTTCGTATCGCAGAGAGCCTAGGAGAAGTTGCTTGATCCAGTCTTGGTCGAGCTTGCAGCGATGCTGACATCCTTGACGGTGATGCTCTGTCCGTCAGTGCTTGTGACCTTGACATCAACAGAGCTTGTTCCATAGCCGCTGGGGTTCTCGAAGTAGTTGTACTCCTGGCGAGTGGTGCTCTTCCAGCTGCTACCGCCATCGGTAGAGACCTCGAGCTTGGAAATGGGCTTGTTGGAGTTCATGACTTGCATCGAGAACCAGTAAGGGCTGGTGCCCTCCTTGTTCTTGAGAGTAATTGGCGATGAAATACCGCAGTCGACGAAGTCGTAAGAGATGGGAATGATGCCATCAGAGATGCTACCGATCTGGGCAAAGGCGTCCTGGAAAAGATCGAGGTGGGAAGGCTCGCATTCAGGGCACTGGTCGACAACCTATAGCACAATATACATTAGTTGGGGTTCTCACCGACATGGCCATTGTTGGAAAGCCTGCAAAGCCGTATGACTTACCATTGCCTTGATGGTCTTTCCGTTAGGTCCCTTGACGTTCACACAGCGACCGCAGTTTGCGCCATTGTCCCAGGCAGCACCTGAGAATGCAGTTCCGAAAAGGCCTGCAGGGAGAGTGTAACCGGTGAAAGAACACATTCCGCCGGAGAGATTTCCGCCGTAGAAAGTGGCCTTGCCGGAAGTGGCCTCCTTGCCTACCTCAGGAGTAGAGTCCTCGACTGGGGCAGCCGAAGGAGCGGGAGCAGCTGGGGTCTCAGAAGTGGGGATTGGCGCGGGAGCAGGAGCAGCTGTGTTCTTCTCAGGCTCTGCGCTGGTCTCAGCAGGGCTAGGTGCCTGGTAAGAGGTTGGCTCAGCCTGATAGGAGGTAGGCTCGGGCTGGACCGTCTCAACATCGGTATTGACGGAAGAAGGAAGAACATAAGTGATTGTCCTCAGGGTCGTTGGGCGAACTGCGGTGTGGTTCCATGTTCCATTTGAGTAAGGAGGGTAGTGAGGTACATGAGCAATTGGCGATGGTGTCTCAATAACGTATACAATGGATGTAGAGGGGACTTCTGGGGTAGAAGATGCCGTCACATAGTGGTAGTTGGTCTCGGTGACAGTAACGACGGAAGGTCCGCAATACGACGGCCACTCAGCAGCGGCAGCGAGGCCAATGAGTGGCATGAGGCTGGCGAATGACTTCATGATGAATTTTGTTGATCTCGATCGGAAAATGTTTTGATAACGAATGTATAGTTATTTTCGAGTTGTGCGTAAAGAGCGTGGGTAGCTAATAGCTGGATGTGTAATGAACGGAATCGAGTCAACGACTCACAACAGATGCAATGAATGAATGGAAAGCAGCCAGCGGCTTGCAAAAACACAGGTTGATTTTTGTCAGTGGGAGATCTTGAGCTCTTGAAGAAAGAAGGGAATGCCAGGAAATAACTTCATTTTGAAAGACCTGAGGGGTTGATAGCGTAACCCAGTTCTACGCCCCAAATGGTAACGTCTCTAATCTCTTATGTTCGCATTGTGGAAATTGTAAGGAACTAGAAGCCAGGATATCGTACGGAAATCGTAAGGCACCCATGCAATATTCGCTGCGCGCATCCCGATCACGAATTATTCTTACGCTAGAACAAAGCAAGCGATGGGCTGGCCGCTGTTAAATAATTTACAGTGGAGTCGAAATTGCTTGTACACTTGTAAGAGTGGCGCACGTTGGGAGAGCGTTAGCAGACGATGGCCAGTTCCTTGTTGTCGATCAAACAATGGCGAGATGAGTCGGGCCACGCGATGGAAATGGAAAGGTTTCGCCGGGGAACCCGTCAGATCCGAATGGCAGCGTGCGTAATGTGTTGATACCGGTAATTAGTATGTTACTAACGCGAATCACAGAACGTGGATTGCATTTATACTTCTATTGATACAGAAGTTATCGTCATGTCTCGCTTTGATCTTGTTGTGCAACACCATTGACAGCACACACGCAGTAACAAACTATCCCCGTCTGCGCAGTTTTCCGAGATAGTATTCAGGTTGAACTACAATGATGGCAGAAGTGTTCTTCGTATTTGACATCTCCAATTTGCCGCGAACGTGCAAAACGAGCAAGTTATCAATAGTTGCACATCGCTTAATTGAGGCACCAGGAGGGGGTTGATTCCTACGCTATTGAGTTGGCGACAGCTGCACGAAAACTCTAGATTGGTTGTGCAACATAGCCTTCTCATTTACCCAATTAATCCACGATAACATTATCCTCATGGATCGGGGAGCTGCCATGCCATTGTCACGCTTATAGCACTTTGTGTGACGACCTGATCTCGACACGGAGAATACTGCATCCATAACATTCATCAAGTGCCTACAAGCGGGACGCGCGAGACGAAGTTTACGAGAATTCCGAGTTCGTTCGAATGCCCCTGCTAGACAGGAAATCAAGAGGATCTGCGTACATGGAGTGGCTAAGAGAACAGACAGTCTTTCGCAGCTAATAACCGGGTGGAAATCCTGCCGGTGCCGAATCTCTTATAGTGTCTGGGGTCCAATCTTGTCCAGATCCCAGATTCGAGAGTGCTCTATGCGATGCCGAAATCTTCTGGCAAGCTGCACATAGCATTTCTGAAACAGCAATGTTGGTTGGTCCAACATAGTTTCCACCGTCATTCGCATGATCGCGGATGGTAAGTTGCTTTCAATCGCCTGGTCTGGCAGTTGGGCATTTTGACTGAGGTAAGTTCCGGGAAAGATATCTGCGGGAGCTTGTATCTGGTAGAGGAATAGCCCAAAGATCCTTCATCAATCCGTGGTTCCCAAATGGTCCCGGGTTTTTCATATGAAGACATTACATGTAACGATGCGTGTCTCACTCTACGACGATGCAAAAGTTGTTCATCGACGGTCCATCTCTTACTTTTCGCTTATCTGCTTTTGTTCCGTGGACATTGCCAGTCAATTTGAAGAGGTAATAACACAACTTATTTGTGTTCTTCTTGTTCAGAACCTGATAGCCCAGACCAGTCATGATGCGCTCGAGGAGCTGCTCATTCAGATACCGAGAATTGGCCACACAAGGCAGTGGGAGGACCAGAAATAGCAACGGAAGTGCATCGTTGGCTGCTTCTGGCTGAGAAGTCTGAAGCCGCAAGAACTCTGTAGTCCTTTTAAGCATTTCACCACGTCCTACTGCATCTGATACATAGTTGAGCACGAGTGACAGCGAAATGATATCGAAGTAGTCGGAGGGTACAGATGGCAGTGGTCGTTCCATGAAGTTCTGCTGCAGGATTCCCGGCTCCTGACTGTTCAAATCTATCCTGGTGACCTGAAGAAGTTTCGGGAAGCGCGAGATTTCATTCTTTGTAGAGAGAGCTCCAACCTCCAATAATTGATAGGGATTGGTTGTCGTAGCATTAGTGTCCTTGTTCGGGTGTATGATTTTGTGCTCCTGCATCCACTGCACGAGGAGCTTGCTAGAGTCGCCACCTCGATCCTTTGATTGGCCTTGTTTGCTGGCTGCTTGGTACAATTTCAGATTGCTCTTCTGCTCGATCGCCTGCTTGACCCGAGCCGCTGTCTGCGCATCTCCCTTTCTCACAGCTGCTGCATGCTCTTTATGCAACCGGTGATGGGTTCGAATGATCGTGCGAGACTGCTTAGAGCTCATGCGCTCTGAAGGTTTGCTGATGGGAGGCCTTCCATGCGAAAGCGACTTTGGGCGCTTCTTGACGACCATTTCTCCGAATTTTTCTTTTTTGTTGCTTTGGTCGCAACCTGCACGCCAGACACGGACCAATCGAGGAGGACCATGCCAAGATTTTGAGCACTAGCGTGACGCCAAACCGATTCCAGCACATTTAGCGAGCCGAATTCACAAAAGCCCAAAACCCATCGCAGTCCCTTTCTTTTCGACCTCAACCCACGACACGACACGACAACCCATCGACGACATGGCACCAAAGGACAACAAGGGTACGTCCCAACTCGCAATCACGGCGCATACGTCTGGATACATGGACAACAAATCCCCGGACGGGACTATGGCCTGCAATTGCGCAGAAAACACTCTTATCCCCTCGTTAGAGAACAAAAGCTAATTCTGCATATAGGCGCAAAGCCCACCAAGGCCAACAAGCAGGCAAATGCTGCTGCTAAGTCGGCTCTCCGTGGCGGCGTAAGACTCCCCTGAACTCTGAGAACCGTGTCAGAACCCCATCTCTGACCGCTTCGAATCTCGCATTTCTGAAAAGACGAGATCTGAAGATGAACCCGGGCTAAGAGTATCACAGAACCAAAACAAGGTCCGCAAGGTGCGCTACAGCACTTCGTTCCAGTGAGTATTACACCACGAGAAGAATTTTCTCGACCAAGTCTTCACAGACAAGAATGCCCACTGACAAACATCTGCAGCCGCCCCAAGACCCTGGAGCTCTCCCGTACCCCCAAGTACCCTCGCAAGAGCATCCCCCACCAGCCCCGTCTCGATGCCGGCAAGATCCTCATCCACCCTCTCAACACCGAGAGCGCCATGAAGAAGATTGAGGAGCACAACACCCTCGTCTTCATCGTCGACACCAAGGCCAACAAGCGCCAGATCGCTGCCGCCCTCAAGACCCAGTACGACGTCACCACCGTCAAGGTCAACACCCTCATCCGTCCCGACGGATCCAAGAAGGCCTTCGCCCGCTTGACCGCCGATGTCGATGCTCTCGACATTGCCGCCACCAAGCTCGCCATCGTCTAAACGGATAATGGGGAATGAAATAAAAAAGTATTTCTTATTAAAAACCAAACGGATTGGGGCGACAGGGGTTTCAACCTCTTTTTACTTGCATGACAAACACACGACTTTGTTTTTATATACCTGGAGCGTCCACTCTTTCCGACTGGGCCGGAATCTAAGAAGAGGTTGTGGTGGTGCATGAGACGGCGTTAAACATGGGCAGATACCTTAAGTGCAAATGACAAATACTAAGATTTTGACATGTCGCCGAACTATGATCGTCCCTGAACTGTGTGAGATGAGGCTTGTTGCGTGTTGTTGAAAAACATTAATTCATGTGTTGGATACTTTCCTTTCCGTGTCATGTATTGCCTGTCTTGCCATGTGTGAATCCATCCATGCTGGACTTTTTATCCTTCCAGGACAAGTCATAATGTTGAGTTGCACAACGATAGATACTTTTTACGTCTAAGTCTCATTTGTCGTTCTTCGTCCCATCCACCTGCATAAATATTCTTCCCAACCATGATGAGGATAATCATAACGATATATATGTTTTACATCTACATCCCCTTCTTCATTGTTCTTCGTTCGGTCCATCCCCATCTATCCATTCTAATCATCCCAAACCCTCCCCCGTCTCCCATCCATATCCCTCCATCAAAACACACATAATCATACACACGCCCCCTCCTCCACTCTCCCCTTCCCCCCCATAACTCCCCTCCCCTCCCTACTCAATCAATCTATCCCCTCAACCGCTCAAGCTCCTTCATAACCACCAAATTCGCATCCAAAAACCTATCCACGCACTGCCGCATACACGGCTCCTCGGACTTCGCCTCCAGCGCGCCCTTCTTCACCGCACCCGCGGGTATGCACTTGCGGAAGCATGTGTCGGTCAGGGAGTGTATCGCTGCATCATTACACCGTCAGATTCCTCTTGTTCTACTCTACGTTTGAAGTGTGTGGAGGGTGTTGAGAGGGGTTAAGGGAAGAGGGGAGGGGAGGAAGTACATTGTTGAATGCGGGCTTTCTGGCTCTCGTTGAGGACGAATTGTTGGAGTTCTTGCTTGTCGCGGTCGGAGAGCTTGGAGAGGTCGACGTTGGCGCCTACGGAGGAGCTGCCGGAGAGATCCATTGTTATTTGGCTTCTGTTCGTTGGGGGTTTGATGAATGTGGTGGAAGCGATTGGGTGGGTGGTAGGGTTATTGGTTTGGTGGGGGGGTCTGAGGTTGTTTGGTAATGTGGATGGTGGTGGTGACGACAGCGATGATATCTCGAGAATTTCTCGAATTGGGGTTGGGTCGGAGGTTTGGGGGGCGTTTTGCCGATGATGGGAGGTGCGTGTGTTACTAAGCCGCGATTTCTGGTAGGGTAGTTGATGTTCACGTATATTGGAGAACAACGAGCAAGTGAGGGTTTGAAGGGTTTGATCAATTGAGATGAAGATAGTGTGCATGTGTCAAAATGAATTGCAAATTAGGTATGTGACATGAAAAATTGTGATCTTTATTGAGATGCTGGAAACCGGCCCTCATGCATACATGACGCTCTTAATATCTAGAGCAAGCAAACTTGGATATTCGTTCAACTTTCGATTATAATTTCGATATGCGCAAGACAACACCACCTTCGCCGAACAACCCTTGACACCAGAAACATTTTCCTCGCCGTCTGGATATATGCGATGAAATCAAAGATGCGCCCCCGTGGCCATTATGCGGCCCCAATCAACTCCTTAGGCAGAAGTGCGAAAATCGTGGAAACAACAGCCATGATCGTGCTCACGACGATCAACACCCAGTTCATGGTCTTTTCTGCGTATTTCAGTTCGTGACCGAACAGCTTGAGGTGGAAGGCTAGAGGGAGAATGATGCAGATGGAAAAGCATGCCACGCTTCCGAGCAAAGTCATAATGCGGTCGAATGACGGGAACACGATGGCGATGCCAACGAAGACAATTGTGATGACGATGCGCAGGGTGAACTTGAGTATCCCGCGTGTCAATCCGGACATGCCGTTCAACGAGCTGCTCGCGGCAAGTGAACGGTTGTCCAGCCCGGTAAGGATCTCTAGTGTAGATACGATAGGCCGCGCGTTCAATGGAATCTTGGTCAGCGGGATGATGGCGATACATATAGCGATGAAGACACTCAATGGCTTCGGGTAACCTTCTGTCAAGAAGATGTTGCTCGTAATTTCATCTCGCACACCGTCCCCGAACATGAGAATTCCAGCGCAAGCCATGCCAAGATCTATGATGAAGGTGAAGATATAAGTAATGTCAACGCCCTTACGGTACTTGTACGGATGGCGCATGTCGCGGTAGATGTTGGGAAACACGGAATGGCCGCCCCATGGAGACATGAGAAGTCCGAATGAGAGGGGTATGGTGAGCCAGTTTGCGGGGAAGAGGTATTGCGCGGTTGGTTCGCGAAGTGATCCTGGAGCATGCGGCTTGATGAAGCCATCTACAAAGACGGCTATCGTGACTATGATTGGGTTAGCAAGGTCACTATCTGTGGTTTACGGAAGACTTACTGCCAAAGCAGCACATTACGCCCAGGATGGAAGTAAATGAGAGAAGTCTCAATGGCATGAAACCAAGGGGTATTAGGATGAAGCCACAAACGATCTTCCAGAAAATGACATCCCAGCCGGGGACCAGATCGTTCAAAGAGTCGGCAAATAGCACTACAAGCGCCACGCAAGCGCCCAACAATTCAACGGTAAACAGAAGGCTGACCGCGATCCTAGCTTTATTTCCAAATGAGACAAATGCTAGGTCCGCAAACGTGATCAGAGAGCTGTCCACGTCCAGGCATTTGGCGAGCAATTTTGCTGTATAGGAGGTAGATACCGCGGAGAAGACTAGGAAGATCATGCCAACGATCCAGCCAGAGTACTTGATGGCCAATGGCAGACTCAGAAGTCCCACACCCACCAGAACGTTGACAGAATTGAAGATGGTTTGTGGAAGCGTAGACTGGCCAACAACTATGTTGACAAGCTTTCCGTCCTCTTCTACTTGCTTGACTAACAGAGGTTCCCTGTCCTGGGTGCCATCCGCGGCTCCTTTCATCTGCTGCTCAGTGAAGAGGCGGCCGGCGTGGATCATAGACGACTCATTGACACGCGCACTAAGACTACCATAGGAGGTGCCATAGCTTCCACCGAATGGCGACGCCAGCGAAGGTTCAATACTGAAGATGCTGTCTCTGTGTGTCCTGGTCTCTCCCAACCTCTGTTCCACTGCAGGTGGCAACAAGTGTGTCTCCTCGTTTGGTTCGCCATGGTCATCGTCGGAAACTGCGTTATCTGACGGACGTCTACCATCGGTTTCTAGAGCCGATCGTAAGAGCGAGCGCTGGTTGGTGGGGGAAAGGCTCGTTCGAGGGAAGCCTTGAGACTCTTCGTCTTGGCCGTCCTCGTCCTCGCCGTCGCCGGCGACTCGAAAGCTTGGGCGGACCGGGGTGATTTCGATGAAGCCAGCCGCACGCTGCCAGGAGCGAGCGAAGTTATTGATACTGTTGACACCGCCAGCATCGCCTAGGGCCTGCATTCGCATAGTCATGGAAGACCTAACATGACCGAGTCAGTTACCCGCGCATGTCTTGTGGAAGATTCTGCAAAAAAGGGAAGAGGGGAAAGAGAAAACATATTTGAGATTGCCACAGTATAGCATACCTTCGTCTACGCAAATCGCCGGAGGCTCCCCGCGAGGGAGAGCCTCCGGTGGTGGTGATGCTCTGCCCGCTGGAGTGCCGCTCGAGGTTGGCCCAGTGCACGCGACTCCCGGTGGAGTCGACGGAGCCTCGGTGGACGCCGTCGTATTCGTCCCAGGTTGCGGGCTGCTTGCCCTGGATGTCCATTGCGGTAGATGAAGCAATGGAAGGCAGGCAGCGCGCTGGCGAAAAGTTTTACAGGAGGGAGGAAGTGAAACTTGGAGGAAAGGAGAAGAGTAATCAAGAATGAGGAGGCAAGATTGGAGATAGGCAATTAGTTGGACTTTGTCGTAGTAGCAGTTGGGAAAACCTGATACTAGCCTGTCTGGGGGGTGCGGGCACTACTCGAGATAGCGAACGCGACGGGAGACTATCGGGGGGTTTCGTCAAGGAATAGACAAGGACGAGCGAGACGGTTGGGAAATTACCATGATGGTCAGTGTGGGAGTAGTGAGCATGTTGCAAAGGAAGAGAGAGGAGGAGGGTGTAGTTATGTCATTTATGTCGAATTGCTGCAGATGCAGATGCAGGAATCAGACAATTGAGGGAGGGGATGTTGGGTGGGCGAGTCGGGAGATAAAGATGGATGTCACGCGGATTGAGGATGATGTTTGTTTGAGGGAAGAGTTGCTCCCTCCCCCACCGACCGACATCATCATGGCCATCATCATCGCCGGTTACACACACACACACACACACACACACACAAGAGATCTTGTAATACAAGTTGTAAGCTGCAGGATGCATTCGATTCCGTTCCGTCTAAGCACGAGTTGGTGTTAGTTGAGAGGAACCCCAGAGCGAACTATGGGACTCTGTACGAGGCGAGGCTCACGCAGCAAGCATGAGCGGCCCAAGCGAGCCAATGATGGGTCGGCATATGGTTATCATGGCCTGTTGAACCTCCCATCCCAAGACAACTAAGATGCAATTGGGAATAGAAGACAATGTCCAGATGATCAATTGCCGGTTTATAAATATGCTGCAGTCTGCATGTTGCTTGGTATCAGTATCTGGTGATGGAATGTGTCAATATGAACCATCCTTCTTATATCTTCTCCCATACGCAGATAAGTTCACTCAGTGCACTCCGTACGAGGTGCCTTATTCATCTACCTACCTAGTTAACTATAAGTACCAAGTGCCTAGTTGCCTACGGGGAAGAGATGGCAATTGGACGATCAACAGGGATATCTGACTGGTACATGACTGTAATTCGAGTCATAAGTCTCACCATAGGACCCCGTGATACGTTTCATCCAATACTATTCTTTTGTAGTGAATGATGGATGTGAATGAATCATGATTCGTGTGCCTGAAGAGTACCATTGTATCTGTATCTGCATCTGCAAAGACCCGATGACAACCGATGGCTTTCCCGCTTCCCGTACGACCAATCACAATCAACCACCACCCAACAACCTATCAAGTACATCCTCCTCCATCGCCGCCCATACAGTTACAGACACTCACATCACAATATATGCATACAGACTTCCTATACATAATTGCTTCATATTCAACAGAGGTACTACGCGATTTAACAGATATCATGTATTCGCATTATAGCAATAGAACTGTAATTATAATTTGTGTTTTTTCCTTGATCTTATAACTATCTCCTTCTGTTGCCGCATATACTCGTGCCAACTATGGTCAACTTCAAAAATATCTGTATTCATTCACTGGATGTTCTTGTTACCTCGTAGGAGTGAATAGGCACTTTTATTTTATTATGTATTCTTATGGGTTGATGGATGGTTGTCACTTGTGCCCTTCACCCTTGTAATGTACCGGGCCTCACCCAGCACCGCCCTACCCTACGTTAAGTACCCCTCCAACTCCAACGGGCAACAACGACCGACGACCGAAAGGCCACACGAAAATTTCAGCCCCACCGACGTCGTCCGCGTCTGTTGCTGGCTGTTACTGTGTATACCCATACTATTCCACTACTCCAGAGAGTCCACCACAACCGCTAATAATTACTGCCAACTTACAACCGGCCCTCTGACCTCACTTCCTCCCCCGAAAATACATCTCCTCCTCCCTCCCCCCTCCCTCCTCCGCGCATCTCACACTCTCTCTCATATACACCGACCGCCACCATGTCGGCCCCTCAAGCAAACGATGCTGAGAAGAACATCGAGATATGGAAGGTCAAGAAGCTCATCAAACGCCTAGAAGCCGCTCGTGGCAATGGAACAAGCATGATTTCCCTCATCATCCGTAGGTTCACCCTCCACTCCCCCGTCCAGACTGCCAATCTGCCATTCAACTCCCAGTTCCAACTCCTCTGCCTCCCATTCTATGCACGAGAGGTCGCCTCACTCCCGCTGACCACATGAAGCCCCCAAGGATCAGGTCTCCCGTGCCGCAAAGATGTTGGCTGAAGAATTCGTACGTATCTTCTCAAAATTGAACCCTTGTCGTGAAGACATTCTTCTTTGTTTTTCCCTTTTCCCTCCGCTGACTGAAGGACCAGGGTACCGCCTCCAACATCAAATCCCGCGTCAATCGTCTCTCTGTCCTGTCCGCCATTACCTCCACACAGCAGCGTCTCAAGCTCTACTCCAAAGTCCCTCCCAATGGCCTTGTCGTCTACTGTGGTGAAATCATCACCGCAGAAGGCAAGGAGCGCAAGATCAACATCGATTTCGAACCCTTCAAGCCCATCAACACCTCCCTATACCTTTGCGACAACAAATTCCACACAGAGGCCTTGAGCGAGCTTCTCGAGTCGGACCAGAAGTTTGGCTTCATCATCATGGACGGTAACGGTGCCCTGTTCGGTACCCTCTCCGGTAACACCCGTGATATCGTACACAAGTAAGCGCTGCGATGGCAACAAAGGAACCCCTCGACTAGGAACGTCACATTAACACACGCGCAGGTTCTCCGTCGACTTGCCCAAAAAGCACGGTCGTGGTGGTCAGTCTGCCCTTCGTTTCGCCCGTCTGCGAGAAGAGAAGCGCCACAACTATGTCCGCAAAGTCGCCGAATTGGCCGTCCAGAACTACATCACCAACGACAAGGTCAACGTTGCCGGTCTCATTCTCGCTGGTAGCGCCGATTTCAAGAACGACCTGAACCAGTCCGACATGTTCGACCAGCGTCTGCAGAGCAAGGTCATCAAGGTTGTGGACGTCTCCTACGGTGGAGAGAACGGCTTCAACCAGGCCATCGAGCTGTCGTCTGAGACGCTCGGCAACGTCAAGTTTATCCAGGAGAAGAAGTTGATCAACAAGTACTTCGACGAGATCTCCCAGGACTCTGGAAAGGTCTGCTACGGTATCGAGGATACGCTGAAGGCTCTGGAGCTTGGTGCCGCTGAGACGTTGATCGTCTACGAGAACTTGGAGATCACACGCTACACTCTCAAGACGTCCGAAGGCTCGGAGGTCGTCATCCACGTCAGCAAGTCCCAGGAATCAGACCGATCCCAGTTCATGGACAAGGAGACAGGTCAGGAGATGGAAGTGGCCGAGCAGATGCCCTTCCTCGAGTGGCTGGCAGAGAAGTACCGCGATTTCGGTGCCACTCTCGAGTTCGTCTCCGACCGCTCCTCTGAGGGTAACCAGTTCGTCAAGGGCTTTGGTGGTATCGGCGCCATCCTTCGCTACAAGGTCAACTTTGAGCAACTCGCCGAGTATGATGACGATGATGAATTCTACGATGATTGACGGTTGTGCGCCCTCGCAGAGCGCGAGGCAGAGGCCCCACTCCACGCGTCGAGTCCGGGGACGTCCGCTGCCCGCGTCGAATACCCAGACGCGTACACCACGAAGCATGAAGAGGTTCCGGCGATGCCGACCCGCCTCTCCAGATTGTGAGCGGCGAACAGGAGTGCGGATGAATAGTTTGTAAGGTAGGTCACGTCCATTTACAAACAGAAGGGGGAGACGAGAAACTAATGAGCAAACAGGCTGATGAATCATCATACTTATCCACGACCCACTCTCGCTGCAACGGAGAGGCTGCAGGCTGCTCATCATCAAGAGCAGTACTTCTCAGCTTGAAGATTACCTGCTATGGTTCAATGGACGAAGAGTAGAGGGGTAACCGTCCTCTGCATCAATCATCTGCCCTAAAAATTGTTCGACAGCGATCCTAGGTCGAAGAGGATGCAAATTGTTTTTGTATTTTGTTTAGCTAGTCACTCGTTCGCATTTAGCTGAATCAAGATATTCCGCCCTAATCATTGTTTACAAATGATTGAGTTCATGCTTCATGGCAGTCTGTGTGCCACTTGATATAGAAACCACACTGGGATGCCGATGTGCGGGGCAACTCTAACCGACCCCTCGTATCGTTGTTCCGACCACGTTCTTCAAGCCCTTGAAGAGATTGCTTCCATTTTATGTATATATTTGAATCATGGCTTACCAATTCCCTTATTTGCGTTCCACTATGATGTGCATGTTCACTGCCTGTTCCACGGTATTATTACCCGACGGCTGTGGCGTAGTAGCGGCTTCGTTAGATTAATAGATGACCGAACATATTCCCGATTCCCCAATTCCGATTGCGGAAAGCTTTTTAACGTCACTCGGCCATCAACAAACAACACACAATTGATGCAGCTACCATGGCACAAGAGAGCGATCAGAAGCCGGTAGTGACATATCTAGGGCCTCAGGCCAGCTACACGCATCAGGTATGCATATTCCTCGACTCTCTCACGACGCCTCTTCGGTCCTGTTTCCGACGATGTCGTCACTGTTCCATTGTCGCATGCAGGACGTATCCTACCACTCACATGCATTGTATATGTCTTCATGCAATTGAACCTCACATATCCCATTGACCTCAAAAACCCCCCTCTGACCATCCCCCAGGCCGCCCTATCCACCTTCAACACCTCCGACTACGCCCTCAGCCCCCAAATCACCATAGAAGATGTGTTCGCCTCCGTGCAAGACGGCACCGCGCACCGGGGCGTCGTCCCCTTCGAGAACTCCTCCAACGGCTCCGTAGTCTTCACCCTCGACCTGTTCGCCGACCTCAACGCCAAATACCCGGACATCCTCGTGTGCGGAGAATCCTACATCGCCGTCTCGCACTGCCTCCTCGGCCACAACCCGCACCTGTCCACCACCACCAGCACCACCGTCCCCTCCCACCTCCTCCCAACCCACATCATCGAATCCCCGCTCTCCTCCGGCGCCGTCACACCCACGACGCGGGACCCCGCGCCCGCGAAACCCACCGCCCGCCCCCTCGCCGACATCTCGCGCATCACGACGCTGTACTCGCACCCGCAGGCCTGGGGCCAGTGCAAGGCGTTCCTGAACACGTACCTCAAGGGCGCGGAGCGGCACGACGTGTCGAGCACGTCTCGCGCCGCGGAGATCGTGGCGGGCGATGCGTCGGGTGCGAGCGCGGCGATATCGAGCGTCGTCGCCGCGGGGATCCATGGCGTCGATGTGCTGGCGAGGGGGATTGAGGATCGGGGGGATAATACGACGAGGTTTTTCGTCATCAAGAGGAAGAAAGGGGAAGGTGATGGGGAGGGGGAGACTGGGGGGGAGGAGGGGGAGGGGGAGTGGAAGTCGTTGGTGAGTTTTACGGTGGAGCATGGGAATCCGGGGGCGCTGGCGAAGTCGCTGAAGGCGTTTGAGAGGTTCGGGATTAATGTTACGAGTATTAATACGAGGCCGAGTGGGGTCGAGAATTGGAATTATATCTTCTTTGTTGAGATTAAGGGGAGGAGGAGGGCGGGAGAGGGGAGTGTGGATTTGGCGTTGAAGGAGCTGGATACGGTTTGTAGGGGTTGGAGGTGGTTGGGGAGCTGGGAGAATAGGCTGGGGAAATGATGGGATTTGATATCATGTTGAAGTTCCTCTGGGCCGTCCCATTTGGGACTCGTTTTTGATCGAAACATTTAGATCTTCCTCCTCATACGAAGTACAACAACAGCAAATTCAAAACAATACCTTCCACCCCACCCCATCCCATCAATCTTACACCCCCTACCGCCCAACACAAACATAATAGTCCCTCCAAAGCGTCTTACACCCCTCCCCAACCTCAGGGTTCCACGCGTAGAAGTTGGCGGCCGGGATCCCATACTGCTGGATGATGGTCGCGCACGTGTTGCCCTGAACGACCTTGTGCCATTTTTTGCAGCCGCAGAGCGCGCCGGGCTGCGTGGGAGTCGGCGCGGACGGGTTGCATGTGGTTGTCGGGGGACGGGCGGTGGAGGAGGGGGTGGTGGGTGGTTTGGTTGTTGGTGTTCCGGGTATTCCTGGGGGGAGGGGGGAGGTTAGTGTTTGTGTGTGAATGAGTGGATCATGTGGGTGTTGAACACTCTCTGATGTACGAAAGATTGGAGGGGAAGAAGTAGCAATTCATGGAGAAACCGGAAAAGAGACAAACTCACCAACGCAGTAATAGTACTCAGCCAACAACCCCCTACAATCGCTGCCAACCGCCGGATTCCACTTCAAGAAGTCCGCCAGGCCAAACGTGCCGCCGTACGAATCCACGATCTTCTGGCATGTGTCGCCGCCCTTCGCCTTGTAGAACACTTTGCAATCCTTTGCGATGCCGTCTTGCGTGGGACTCGGTCCCGCCGGTGTCGTCGTCTTGGGCGGCGACGACGAAGAAGGAGAAGGGGTGCTGCCGGGGATGCCGACGCAGTAGTACGTCTTCGCCCACAGGCCGCTGCAATCGTCGCCCACGGCGGGATTCCAGGCGATGAAGGTGCTGAGCGATATACCGTGGGCGGAGACAATTTTGTTGCACGTGTCGCCAGCGACGGCGAAGTAGAATTTGTTGCACGTAGCTATGAGGCCATCTTGCGTTGGGCTGGGCTTGCTGGGTCCCGAGGATGTCGAAGGGGTAGGAGGACGAGTCGTTATGCTGCCGCCTCCAGGGATGCCGACGCAGTAGTAGGTCTTTGCCCATAGGCCACTGCAGTCGTCGCCAACGGCTGGATTCCAGGCGAGGAAGTCTGCGAGGGAGATCCCCTGTGCGGAGACGATCTTGTTGCATGTGTCGCCGGCGATTGCGAAGTAGAATTTGTTGCAGGTTGCTATGAGGCCGTCCTGCGTGGGACTCGGTTTTGGGGAGCCGGTGGATGATGGTTTGGTGGTGGATGGGGGGAGTGTAGGGGTGGGTTTGATGGAAGTTGGGCGTGGGAGGCCGTTGTTGACTTCTACGCAGTACGAGTTGCCGATCTTGATGCCACTGCAGTCGCTTTTCACGCTTGGATTCTATTTGAATTTGAGTTAGTCATGTGCGCGTGTAAGTATGAAATGGGGCGGTGGATGGCTTCAGGACGTCAAAAACCTACCCAGTCTACGAAGTCCTCGTGAGAGATTATCCAGTTGTCCTCGAAGAACTTGCATGTGAACGAGCTGTCGAGGGCAGTGTCGTAGTATGTACAATCTTTCGCGGTGTCTGGATCGACGGGGCCCTCCTGACGACGACTGTTGGATCGTTTGAGGCTTCGTGCTGTCGATGTGACGGCTAATAGCCAGACGACAGTGAAGCGTAACACGACCATTTTTCTATCGACCAATTCCAACAAACAGCCAAAAGAAGTGTACCTGGTACGTCGGATATGACTCTTTCACAGTACGTGTGTAGTACAAATTCCGGGGCGAGTTGAGCTTTTTACCATTTTATACTTCCCTCAATTGTGTCCCACCTCTAATCTCCAATCTTCAATGGCCTGCCAGTCCTCACCTCAACAAAGCTACGCCCGTAGTAAGACGAACGGGGAATAAATTGCGCTGATTCAGAGTCAGCCTCGTATACAATTGAAATATAAACATGACTTCTTCCTCTCCCCACCTCCCACCGCCTCGGCCTACGAAAGAAGACAAGATGCGCGGAGAAAACAACAAGAAGAGAAGCAAAAACTAGGTCGAATATAGGATCGAGCTTACTTCGATATATTGGACAATCCGACTTCCCGTCCCTACTCTCCTCTACAACGAGTTGATTCCCCAACATAAAAAAGAGGATTTGAGTTGGTCCGATGAAAGGGACGAGCGGGCAAGGATGGTGTTGTATTAATTTACATTGTTTATTGGGGCGCGCTAGTTCGTGTCGGGAAATCGTGACGCCCTTTCTGGGCACACTCTCTACTTCCCCAAAGCAGTGCGATCTAGACGCTCGTCTCTTGATGGTTGATAGTAGTATGGTGGTAATATCTTCCGTGTCGGCTGCAGCTTTCAATTTCTTGGATTGACTTTTGTCGTATGCACGGGAAACAATCAGAGCAGCTGTCCCTGCCTGCAGCATGAAAAACGCCCCGCGTAATATTCACTTTATTCGGTCATCCACTCAATCAATAAATCAGGTAGCGGAGTGTTTTCCAATTCCTGGTAGTAACTCACCAATTTCGTGAAGAGAACAGGTGCGTATCTGGTGATCGATCAATCAAACAATCAATTAAGTAATCTAGACTTACCTGTCCTCTCCAAACGTACTAAAATGGAATACACCGCGGATATGTTGAAGGATCTCCTTCGCCTCCCCGAAGGCCAGGTCTTCAGCGCTGACGAAGACCTCAGCCGATTCTATCGTCAGTGGGGTTTCACGATTTATCGTACGGCGTACGGGGAAACTACGAACGATTTGTGGGACTCACTCTCGCAGGATATTAGGTCTCGTGTGAGAGATCAAATCCTAGGGTCGGACACTGCTGGCGACAATGCGGAAGCACAACGATTGTGGTCGTTGTTTGTCTTGGATGTGCGTGACGACCCCGGGAATCTGAGCGGCGCTACGATGGATCAAGTACGCCTGGCGTTTAGGGAGGAAGTTGGGGGTCGGCCGATGAATGTGGACGATGGCCCGCGACGGATTTTCCTCTACGTCGATGAGGAGGTCATGGAATTCGTGGGTAGGGGAGAGCTTATGGTGAAATGCGTTCAGGCGGATTACCGGGCGGAGGATTATGTACCTAGAAATCCCCGTCTGGGAGGACAGAGGTTCTTTGGGTGGATGAAGGCTACGACGAAGAGCCTACTATCGCTGTGGTACACTCTCAGCATGCGCAACTTTGACGAGATTGCTCCCGAGACAATTGGCGGGGCGCATTTGGTCATCTGGGACGGTGATAATTTGATCTAAGCAAAGACTACGATCAAAATCAAGAGAAATGAAAATAACTAGTAACAATTCCCTACAAGATCTAATTGAACCCTCTAGTATCAATGCTCAATCCAGACAGTTGACTTTCGAGATTGTCCAAAATCTCCAATACTTGCACCGCAAATTCTCCCGTACTCACTCCCCAATGCAGTCGCATCTCCCTGATAATACTCTCTGAGAACGTCGTCGTATTACCCATCACCCACCTGAAAAAGTCTCGGATCCAAATTCGCCAGAAGCTGCGGAGTGCGACCTGGTCGTTAGGCATGGCGGCATTCCATACACTCTCCCCATGCCCGAGCTGCTCGTCCACGCAGTTTACGATGTTTGTAAGACGCTGGTTGACGTTCGGCGTGGCCTGGTGATTCATGTAACGTATGAAGCCGATCGCATCGCGGATCTCTCGGAGTGGTATTTCAGGTCGAGCCATGTTGCTGGCCATTTCTTGCATTCTACCAATCGAGACGGGTCGAGCACCCCGCATGAGCTGCAAAAGTGTTAAAAGCGGTGGTTCAGAATGATGACATGGGATAGCTTACAAATGACTTCACGACGTTGATCTCCTTGTGAGCGAGGACAAAATTGGCAGTGTTTGATGTACTACCAAGACAGTCCATGACTCTATCGAACAGTCTGTTATGCTGTGCACCTCCGGGTAGTGGCGGGGCATTAGGTATCATGGGAAGTGTCTGCACTTGCTGGAAGAAGGAGATTGCTACTCGTCTGTTCTGTAGTACTGTTCCACTCCTTAATCTGTATGAATGATTAGTGGAAACGTAGACGACATATGAATAGAAGCGCAAATTATATTACCTTCCAGCAGCTGCATCTTCCATGAATTGCATCATTACGTTGCCGTCTAATGGGTGCTCCACTGTAAGCTGTGTAAGCCATTCGTCTTATGCTGATGTACGCCATCACTCACTATCAAACAGTTCTCCAGTACCAATCACGAAGTGCGTAACACGAGTATTGGGGCAATCTCCACGGTTAACGAAATCAACCGCTTCATCTAGTATAGGTGCATTGGGTGCGTAGTCTGGAGTTTGGTAGTACTGTGCGGAAGTCAGACGAACGAAATGTGAAGAGCTCACACGAAGATGGACTTACACTTGGTAGCGTGATTGTGATCTGTACTGATTGTCCACCATACGTTAGTACTGGATGATAGTCACGCGAAGAACCGACTCTTTTGACCAGAGCATGTGCATGTTTATGCGATCTGGCGGCCACTGATCGTTTTGAGTTGTCTTCGCAAGACTCTGTGGTACATCTTGATTCCTCACAGGTGGGCCCGGTCTTTCCAGCCAGTGCATTCCAGTGGCTTGGGCTACAAATGATATCGTGAACCACTTGAATCGGGCCTTCGGTTGCGTAGCTCTTGAGGCCTTTCACGAAGTCTCTCAAGCCCGGCAGTTTAAGCTTTGGATACTTTGTACCCATGTTATCGTTCCATATTCTTTGCATCTCGCCTAGCATACTTTCCGTCCCAGCTTTGGTAATCAAGGCAAGTAAAAGGCTTTCCGCTCCTTTGGCTCCGGGGTTTGTTACTCTTCTGGCGAGACTGCGCTGTGTAGTCGTTTTGTTCTCATGTGTCAAAGACAAAATGAAGCTGAGCCCAACTTCTGACCCAGGGTTTGCACACTTTGGATCTTCCATGTATCGTCGAAGGTCATCTCGGTAGCCGTCTAGCTTCGGATTTTCAACCTCGATAGTGTCGAAGTATCGTGGTAAACAACACTTTGATTTACTGCCCCCTGCCTTGTAGCAATCTTCCGAGTTATGTTCCATCGACACTCGGATACGCTCGTTAGGGCAACCACTGAGACAGAAGCTATCTGACTTTCCAGATGGCCCAAAACCGAGACCATCGAACCATTCGCAGTCTCCAAAAGAAGACTTCTCATTGCTTGTATCGCAGCAAAACTTTCGCTCCTGTCTTTGGCTAGGATTAAGAGGGTTGTCCTTGTGCATATTGCATGTGGAACCACCAGAGCCATTGGACGACGAAGCCAGCAACTTGTTTTTGGTTCCTGAACATTCTTTCTGTTCATCGCAATGGGGAAACATGCCCCATTCGCAGGTACTGTATAGTTTCATGCTCTTGCTGGACGTTGTGCAGCATGCTGCTTGATATGACTTCTTGCAGTATTTGTCGTTGGACCCGACTTCGACCGTACCAGCAGGACAATCGGGCTTACATGCACCATTGTTGTGGCTATACCAGCCGCAGGTTGGCTTATCGTGATCTGACGGACAACAAAAGGCGTGCGTACCAGTGCCCCAGCAGCCACTCTCGTCTAGCATGTACTCGTTCTTGCCGGCTCCCTTATCTTCGCGCCGCATGTGAATCCAGCCAGTGGGGCATGCTGTGAAGAATTAGTAACTTGCACTGTAAACTTGTACGTTTGCCTACATTCGCCGCAATTTGTCCACTTGCACTGCTCGTTTTTGACATCGATATGGTCGAAGGCTTCGTCGGGCCCATCTTTCAGGGGCAGGGATGTGATTTTACGATTGGCGACCTTTGCTAGAGCTCTGTTGTACTTTGCGTCTTCAGTATCATGACTGATTGCCCAAACCATGAGTCCGCCCATACAGAGACTCTGAGCGAACTCCGATTTCTGACGAAGGGTTTCTTCATCATCGAATCCAACCCATTGGTTTCCCCATGAAGCAATCTTCACAGCCTCGGTCTTGTAATGTTTGGGCGTGACTCCATTCTTTTTCACAAGCTCATCAATTTCTGAGTTGAGTAAGATTCCGACCTCCCTGCTGCAACGCCCTTTTTCTCCGCCCGACTCGAATGTGCACTTGGGCTCGAGACAGGAGGAGCTTGAGGCAGTGAATGCGCGCCCGTAGAATCCGAGACCTAGCACGACTTGAGAAGGGTTGATGTCGTTTCTCCAAAGTAAGTCAAGTGCAAGACTGATTTCAGTAAGATTCGTGTGCGCGTTGAGAAAGTTTCCCGTCCATTTGTTTCCTTTATCCCATGTACCATGCATGTCATAAGACCTGGAGAAAATGTCAGAGTTGTTAAGTAGAAAAATTTCTCCTTTCTACTTACATGACATTGAACCAGTCGACCGCTTTAGCCTACGTTTCTTTTAGAGATGCTCCTTGCAAATCAAAACTTTGTGATAGACTTACTAGGCCTTTTACATCGAAATGCTGCAAATACCAATATGAAGCCGGAATGGTGATAGAAACTCCCTTGTTTGCTGCCTTGAGTGATGACTTCAGTCTCTCCATAAACTTTGTAAAGTTCTCGAAGTCCACTTTCCTCCCTGATCTATCTTCAGCTACTGGATACTCCCAGTCTAGGTCGATACCATCAAAACCATGAGTTGACATGAACGATAATAGTGAGTCAATGAAAGTCTTCTGTCGCGGTACCGATGCTGCAATATCCGAGAATGTGGTTGCGGTTGGCCCAGGATCATTGAACGTCCAACCGCCAATTGCAATGAAAACCTTCAGATCCGGATCCTTCTTCTTGATAAGCATCAGCCTCTTGTAGATACCAATATCAGTGGACGCTGCAGGCCCAACTTTGAAGGTCGCTGGATCGATAGTTCCGAAGGCAAAATTTATGTGCGTGTAAAGACCGATGGGAATTTGTTCAGGCCAGAAGACATTGCACGGCCGGTTCTGAGCCCACCCCTCGAAGTATCCGACTATTCGAGCGTTGCCGTTGGTCTTTGAACAGGACTTTCGGTTTACTTTGGAATCGCCACAAAATTCTTCCGTTGTCTATCATGCAATATTTAGCTACAAACCTCTCTTTCTCGATGAAGTACTCACCCCGCAAAAGCCATGTTTAGAACAGCAAACATTGAGTGGACACTTATCTCGATCACTCCATTCGGATCCGAAGCCTGGATTGCACTCGGACTTTCTACCACAGTCGGAGATGCATGTATCGCCGCAATCTTCAAATGTTAGCAGACACTGATGAGATGAACTAAGAAACTCACAGTCTGGTCCAAAACCGCAACTTCCCCATTTGTTGCAACATCCTATCTCGCATGGACTTGAAGGGCTACATGTCTGAGCTAGTGATAAGGAGAGATTTGAAATCACGTAAAGGAGTGGAAGCCAAAACATCATCGTGATAATTGGTTTTTTTATCTAGAATATTGAAACGAATGAAGATCCAGCCAACAGCCTTCTGAACAAGTTGGCCGCAATCGATTGTAAACATAAATGCATCAAAGTCCATACTATCATCCTATCTCCCCTTTTAGATTACATCGGCAAGGTGCCGCGAATGTAGCATGCTGATGGATGCGGCTCAGCCTTGGCCCATCTGTGGACAGTATTTACCTCGTGAAGATGGAGCGGAATCCAATCTTTGAGCAGGGTCTCAGATACGCGCATAATACTTCGTTCGGAACGGGGCTCGCTGAAGTTATGATATTAGATCTTTGAACTACGAGCTTACTTCCTGATCAAGGTTACTGCGATGCAGGTACGCAACAAAATACCTGCAATTAGCCGGACTGCGATTCCGACGAATGCAGGGTCCTAATGTAGAGCTACTCTCCGTCTTGGCTAAGAACTCAAGATCATGTTCTGGAGAATTGGATGTAAATTTTGTTAATTGCAATACTCTAAAACCAGCATGTCGCTCGTGCGATGTGTGGATGGTAATTAATGTCGTGTGATTCCAAGACCATTGAGTTGGGATTCTGCCTCGTCAGTCCACTTTCCGAGAATCCAGAATCCAGGAACGAATTTTCATGAACTGTAAATACATTCACAGAAGAGAAAATGTGATGTTACTTCAGCAGCGATTAGTTGTCATTCCACATTGATCTTTGGTTTTCCCATACTTCTTTCACCATGTTTCGACAATTGATTCTATCCGCTCTAATAATACCTGTTAGTCGTGTCTACGGCTTCACTATTTATGAGAGAAATGAACTAGACAACGCCCTAGGGGAAACGTGCATATCTTCTTTAGCAGCGAATATCGACTGCATCGATTATGTTCGAGCCTTTATGCAACTCAAGTACCACTCGTCTCTTGAGAGTGTCCAATTGACCGATGCTGTGTGTACTGCTACATGTGCATCATCGCTGAAGAACTACTTCGACTCTGTATCCGGAAGTTGCACTGGGAAAAGCTTGAGTGGTGCACCGCCTACGAAATTTGGAGGCTACATTTGGGCGGGTTATAATGAAACATGCGTGAGAGACCCCCGAACCAAGAGTTACTGCAATGGTATGAACCCCGTATCCAAATAGAACAAAGCAAAGCTAATGGATACGAAGACATCATATCTAATTTTACAGTTGTCGACGATATCACGCAAATGCCACGCACCGAGCTGTGTCATACTTGCCATGTGAGACGCCTCGCAATGATGCAATCGTCACAATACTCTACCTACGATGAGTTTTGGAAGTCTCAATTGGAGTACATTTACGCCCAATGTGGAGGAAATGGACCAACCACACTACCGCCGCCACTTGAGCAGCCGCAGCCAGAACCTGCGCCTTACTGTCTTACAGGCAAAAGATATACCACGAAGGCGGGAGATACATGTGAATCGATTGCAAACAGCACAAGCGTCTCAGCAGCAGCCCTGTATATGGGAAATCAAGCAATACTAAAAGATTGTTCACTTGTCGATCCGGGCATCAATGTTTGCCTTCCTGCAACATGCCAAACTTACTATGTCCGGCCGGACGATACATGCGTTTCCATAGAACGGGGCCTAGGTCTGGATTACGGACAGGTCCGAGAGTACAACTCTTGGATCAAATTAGACTGCTCGAATCTCCAAGGCGCAACCAACTACTACGGGAAGATCATTTGTGTTTCTCCGCAGGGAGGAACTTGGTCGGGAACGATACCTGCCCCTGCTCCTACTTCGAACCCCACTTTGCCTGACGGCTACTCCAACTTTGCGACCCCTCCGCCTTCTGGGGCTACGGTTGCAGATGGTACTACGCTTAATTGTGGGAAGTGGCACGTTGTCGTCGCGGGTGACTCTTGCAGCGGCATCTGCCTCCAAGGTGGCATAACTGCGGGACTGTTTCACTTGGTCAACCCATCTACCACTAGTGATAATTGCGACTCTTCCTTGAAGGCTGGCAGTGCGCTATGCGTGGGACCGACGTACATGTGGAATACGACGGTACCTATCACTACGACGATGGGAGGATCGGCTCTTGGGATGAGTACAGCCAATAGCACTAGCATCTAGAATTCGGCATGGGCTATCTTTGAGTGTTTATTTTATAATGATGAGCTTGAAATATTGTTGAATAGAAGATACCGACGGTGGTATACTACAGTACACAGCCATAGGGCAGCATATTGTGCTATATACCGACGAGCTACGTAGTGAATTCTGTAGATTTTATCTTCTTTTCGCTGATTGTCTGGTACCAGCCGTTGCTTTCTGAAGGTAGGGAGCCTTTTTGTCCTGTCTTATGACACGCGCATGCCCCTCAAAACTGCCATTGCTTTCAATGTTTTCCTCATCCAAGCAGACTCATTCTCTGTCACTGGAAACAAAACGTATGGGAGATTTGTAGTATGACTTTCGGTCATCCTCTGTTACGTCAGGAGAATCGAATTGTGCTTCGGAGGAAACGCCAATATTTTTCAGTTTATATGAACCCATCTTCGTGACGCCCCGATCCGCAAAGGTGCTATTAAGTGCTATCTTCTCTTCATCGGAAAGAACGTGTTGTCTGCTGGTTACGTGATAGCGTATTGGAGATTTGTAGTTAAACTTCGGCTGATCAGACTTGCCTCCATAACGGGATGCCATCCGCTCGGCGAGACTCTGCTGTCTCGTGGACATTGCAATGCGCACATCACCCGGTGTAGTTTTCGTACCTCGAAAGGCTGGGATACCCAAGGCTTGGGCACGACGGCGACGAAGTTGACGACGAGTCAAGAATATGCTTGGAATCTCACCAGGTTCGGCTCCTTCTATATCTCTGGTGCCCTGTGGCAAATCTCTGGTGACATTGGAGGAATGGACAGTGTTGGCCTCTGTTAATGACCTGGTAGGCGGTTGCTGTGGAGTCTTCTTCAATACCGAATCGTATACTTGCGTACTTGGTACGCCGACCCGCCGCACCAAATCACGTCTAGGTTGTAACTGAAGTCTAGGCTTCGAACGGACTGTTCCTTTGACTGCCATGCCTCCACTAGGACCTTCAATCCAAACGTCGAGTACATAATCATCTGCGTCGTTCTGAGCGGGTCTTTTGCGAGCACAAAGTCGCATAGGCTCGTCGCAATAAAGGGGGGCAAGATTACGATAATCGATAGAAAACACGCGCTGAGGTGTATCCAGAAGGTTAAGTTGGTGGGACAAGAAATTCAGAAGCAGTGAGAGCGAGAGTGGCCCATGGACGAGCAAACCTCGGTGACCCTCTATGTTGCGCGCATATCCTGGATCAAGATGTATCAAATGGGCATTGAAAGTGAGAGCCGAGAAGCGGAAAAGCAGAGCGCTTGTAGGTGTCAAGGTATGTGAAAAGTCCGGTTCGCCAGGAGCTAAAAGAAACTCAGCAAGGGCGGTACAATGGGAATAGACGCGACTGACGCTTGAGATACTTCACGGGTGTCAATTGACCTGCCTGTATGGCTTCTCTCTCCTCCAAACTTCGAGCACGCATGAAGACCAGATTGCGGTCCTCTACAACTAGAAATTTCTCTGTTTCCAGACTATCTTTGGTGTCCTCAATTAGACCTGCATCCACAACAGGATATTCTAGATTTCTAGACAATCCTTTCCTAGCGATTTTTCTCTCAATAGTGACAAAAATCTTGGCAGCTTCATCTGTGCCTCGGATTTGTACATCTTTTACGCGCTCTAGGCAAACCAATTGGTGTTTCTTATGCCACCCCACATTCTCTTTATCATATTCCTCTAGATTTATTCTCACACTCCCTCCGGCCCACATTCGGCGTTCAAATGGCTCACCCGGGCTATGTAAGGAGTCTGTCCCGTCGGGAAGAAGGACATTCGTTGGGAGATGCGAATTAAAGTAGAATAGATGATGGCCAATTCTCCGGTGGAAATCGCTTCCCTTTACTGCCTCTGGAGGGAGGAATGGCGCCAATGTATATTTTGCCTTTCTGTCTTGAGCTCCAACAATCTCATCAAATTGAGAGGGTATCTTTCGCTTCAGCATTTCCGATCGCATGCCAGAAAACCAGCTTGACTCTGTACGAGCGGCGGAGGTCGAATAACGGGGACATAATAGCGACCGTCGGGGATAGCGTGATGAGATTCGGAGCAATGATTGTGCGCCATGGGCCTGCGATATCATCGTCATGGGTCAGAGCGCCGAAAGCGCGCCATAAGTCGAGAGCGTGCCCGTGGAGTAGCGAGACAGAGCTGGGTGGTGTGCAGTCGTAGTTGTAGTTTTAGCTGGATGGTAGTTGTTAACTCTTGTAGATAATCATACACTAAGCCCTATCTGGACTCCGCCTATGACGTCCAGCCTTCTCCATCGGAAACATTCCGGCCCCTCCCAAAAATTCCTAATCCTCCATCACAGACACAATGCATACCGTAACACGGCAGATGCGACCTATCTACGCGACATGTCAGCTTGCAAAGGCGTTCCCCCGGGCACAAGTCGCACCCTTCCGAACCGGGCCAGCAAAAGCGCGATTCCTCCATGCTAGTTCATCACTTCGAGCAGTTGACCTTGCATATGATCTTCACGACAATAGCGGAAAAGCAACAGGAGCCCCAATAGTGATTGTCCATGGTCTTTTTGGAAGCAAGAAGAACAATCGCAGTATAAGCAAGTCAGTATCTGCCCATCAGACCTCCCTAGAATGAGCTCCAATCCTAATTGACAATAGAGCACTCGCAAGAGATCTTGACCGTCCTATCTACGCGATCGACCTTCGAAACCACGGTGATACGGGCCATGACAAGGTTCATAACTATACTGCACTTGCTGAGGATACTGAAGCTTTTCTGCAAAAGCATAAGCTGAAAGATGCGACGCTGATTGGCCACTCTATGGGCGCAAAAACCATCATGACTGTCGCCCTCAGAGATCCTAATAGCTGTGCGAACATAATTGCGGTGGACAATGCGCCTGTCGATGCGGCCCTGGCCAGCGATTTCCCAAAATATGTTGAGGGCATGCGACAAGTCGAAGAGGCAAAGTGCAAAAGCCAAAAAGAGGCGGACAAGATTCTGGAACCGTATGCGAAGGTACTAATGGCTATTACAGTCCAAGCAAATTTCATTGAGATTATACCCATGCTAATAGATAAAACAGGAATTACCTGTCCGTCAATTCCTCCTCACCAACCTTGTTCGACCGTCGCCTTCAGAACCACTCAAGTTCCGAATCCCCGTGCGCACCCTGGCAAAATCCCTCGACGATATGGCAGATTTCCCCTTCACGGATCCGGACAAGAATCATTTCAACAAGCCATCATTATTCATTCGAGGCACGCGGAGCCATTATGTCAGCGATGAGACGCTTCCTATCATAGGGCGGTTCTTTCCCAGATTCCAGCTCGAGGACATAGTCTCAGGCCATTGGGTGATCAGCGAGAATCCCGAGGCTTTTAGGAAAGGTTCGTCATTTTAATACTAGTCACGATCACTGCTGACCCGCGCAAAGCTGTCGTAGACTTCTTGCAAGATTCTGACTGAGCTCTTGCCTGTCCAAACATTGTATCATCACCATACTCTCGATATTGTTAGCCATAGACCTCTCCTATTGGGTCTGTACCCATTGATAGACTAGATGTGAAAAGCTTCAAGCATGATTCACAACCTGTGGCTCCGGCGCCCAATGTGAAATACTTTACCCTCAGATCTTCGATCTTCTCCAGTTTATCTGCAACCTCTTTGTTCCTGGTTTCTTTGGTGTACCCAGTGATTACACCATGGTCTACATTGTCACTCTCCTAGTTACTATTGTTCATGGTCTGCGTTAACTTTCTCACCTCGATTTCTCACAGTCATCACTTCTCATGCGATCGAAATGGAAGGGGAAGGGAGATAGGCAAATAATCTCTTATGAGTTTTGTTTAACTGAACATCAGATCAAGAAAAAAGAGGAACCGAACGGGCCTCAAGTAAAAGAAAAAACGTGAACGACGCAAAACCCCAGGCCAATATCAAGATAAGAGACAAGGAGGACAAGGCAGCACAATGAGGTCTTGAACTCCAAAGAATGTCACAAACCCCACAAACACCAAAAGGCCAAAAGGAGACCACAATCCACCGAAAGCCTGAGCGATCCCACCTGGAAACAAGCCACCCATGTCCCTACAGTTCGATGATCACCAGCCGTATGTGGTGAACCTTGGCGACGTAGCCACCACCCTGTCCTGAAACTCCTCAGAGTTTGGATCCTCTAGACGACCGACAACAGCACCGACCAAAGCCTTGTAGTTATACAACGCCATTTTTGCGGTCGTGTGGCGGCCGATGTTCGCGCATCTCACTTTGCTTCGCTCCATGGTAATTGCTGCAGCAACGAGACGCTCGTTGCTCAACGTGGCCTTGCCGCGCTTGAGTGCTTCCTTGTTCGCGATGCGCATGGCCCGATAGATTCTTTCCAGCTGGAACTTCCGCTCGTCCAGCTGCACGAGTAAGTCCTTGTTCGCATCCTTGGGTATAAGTCCTTCAGGGATGGACGAAGAACGGTCGGGGGTGGCGGCCGGAGCAGCCGGAGGAGCCGGAGCAAAAGCCGGTAGGTCCAAGGGTCGGGTCCTTCGTGAAGGGGGCACCCAAGGCGAACGAGAAACGGGGGAAGAGGGAGAGGCAGAGAAAGCAGGGAAAGGAGAGAGAGGAGAAACAGGAGAAGCAGAGCGAGAAGGGGCGGCAAAGCTAAAGGGGGAGGAAGAAGGAAGGGGAGAGAGAGAAGACTGAGCCCGGTTGGAAGTGGGAGTGGGTGCCGTTTCATTCAGTGGGAGGTCCGGAACCGATTCTGCTGAGCAGAACGAAGTTGATGAGAGAGAAGAAGGAGGAGGGGAGGGAGAGTCCAGAGATGAAGGGGCAAGAGGACCGAGAGAAGCTTCATTCGCGTCGACTAGTGTAGAAGCCGGCGAGGCCTCCCGGACATATCTTGGTGATGATGATGGCAGAGCTGCATCCAAGCTCATGTGGAACAGAGGAGGTTCTCCGACCGGAGGAAGAGATGTGATCGGAGGGAAATCAGCCCATGTTACCATTGTTGTTGCTGCGGGTGGTTGTGGTGGTGGCGGAGGAGGATGAGCAGTCCCGTTGCGGCGGTTAAGATGTTGATAGATATATTTCACAATCCAGAAGCCAAGGACCAAAACCACTAGAAGAAACATGAACCCCTCACTACCCGCCGTGTCGTCGCTGTCGGAAGCGATGCCAGGCTGTGCTTTGGCGGAAGGGATAGACGGGTAGTCTGTAGGGCCATAGGTCAGGTAGTTGGTGTTAGTAACATGATTGATGATGTGGTTGTTGATTATGGTTTGGGTGACCCAAGGAGTACATTCGCAAGCGGACGGCATGCTGGTGGGGGTGGTAGTATTGGTAGTGCTGGAGGAGGAGCTTGATCTTTTGGCGGCTTCGATTCGACGCAGTCGCGCTTTGGCTTCAGCTTTCTCCTCCTTGAGCTCCTGCTTGCGCGCGGCGGCTTGGGCCTTCCTTGCGCAGCCAAGGGTTAGGGAACGACAGCCCGCAAGCGACATCCATGGCACGTAGAATTCTGGCAGACCAATGAAGATTATGTACTCGAAGAACCCCTTCACAAAGGAGATGAGGGCCTGGGCGGCCGCTGCGGGAGCACGACGACCGACGGTGACGATGACCTCGATGGTGTTGCTGTTAACCATAGTGATTGAGATCTTGGTGGTGTTGATGACGACAAGGACGGATGTGCCTAACGATGTAGTCTCTGGAGTGAGAAAAGTGGAGGTGACTGGAAAAGTCTTCGAAATGAGAAGAAGGTGTTTTGGTAACTGAAGGTGAAAAGGATAGGTAGACTTGCGTCTGGTGGCTCGGTATCTGATGCAAGAGATACGAAGATGAATTGGTAGTTGGAGAAGGTAAAGTTGAAAAGGCTGGATGGAGCTCAAGAAATCTGCGAGTTTGTTTTCTGGGGAAGGGTTGGGAAGAGTGAAAGGGATCAGGCAGATACTAGAAGATAGCCTTCACGTAACGCACGGTTGCTTTACACACGTCCCGTTGCAAAGCGGCATACAATAGGAAGAGATTTCGATCGCAGTATGGTGAAGGTCAAGGTCAATCGGTGGAAGCATACGCAGTGACGGGCATGGTCTAGAGGACGATAAGAACGGTCAACTTCCACACAAATCGTCTTTCACTTTGTGAAGGTGCCCTTATCTCAATACGTCACTGTACAGTCGTGTGATATTCACCTAGGCCGATGTTGGATAAACACAGTCACAGGAAGTGATTGTGGCCTGGAACAAATAAGAGTTTGTTGGGAGCAGAGACCACGGAGAAAATCTGATCGATTAAACTTCACTCGGATGATCTCTGGGGCTTTTGATAGATGGATGGATGAAAATTTCGCACTCGTCTTGTAAATGAACATGGCTACGGTCTACTTAACACAGCTTCCCACTGTGGAATAATATCTTGTAGCAACTCAGATGTACGCACTTGGTCCCAATCATCTGCAAGAAGCGCCTTCAACATTGACACTCCAAGATCGACTAACTTCCTCGTGCCCTCCTCACCGACCCACTTCACGCGTATGGGCCAGTACGCAATGTGTACCGCCCAATGTATGAGCACCCTCTTCGCCCAGCCTCTGCCTAGTGGGATCCCTTCACCCTCTCTTGCTTTGAAATATGCTTTGAAGAAATTAGATAGAAGCGGACGCTTTGCGTGAAAGCGATTCAGCAAGAATGCCTCAGCAGCAAATTGAGCAACATCAGTAGCAGACGTGCCTCTCCTAACCATCTCCCAGTCTACCACGGTAAGCTCAGCGTGAGATTCGCCGGTTTCGTCCAGTTTCACAAGCACGTTACCGGGCCAGAGGTCGCCGTGACAGATGCATTCATTGTCTGTTGCCAATTTACTCCCATACTCTTCGTTAATCAGCTTTGCTAAGCCTACATCGTAATCATATTTGGCCAGTGCAATGTGGAGATTGTTGTATGTGTGCCGGTAAATGGATACTCCAACGGGATTGTTTGACCCCAAGTCATGTGGATCTTGAAGTGAAAGTGGTGTTTTCACCGTGGAAAGATGAAGAGAAGCAACCCAATTTCCGAGATCTTGACCAATCTGAGGTATGTCGAGGCTTTCATCGATGTATGCAGTCTTCAGGTTTCGCGTTCCCCCATCCTCGATGCACAGAAGTTTATGCTCTTGATCGTAGCTGTGCCAGCCAACGGCGTGAACTTTAGCTTTCGGAAGCGTCGCGACTGGTAGTGGGGCTAATGTCTGGAGAGCGTGGCTTTCATAGTCCATGCGGGTGGGGTCGAAGGCAAAGTCGTTATTGGAATGTAGATATGGAGCTGCATGCTTGTATATGTTTTTTTGGCCGTCTGGAAGAGTAACGCGGTAGACATAATTGGCCGTACCGCCAGTGAGCATAACAATGTCTTCATACTCAATTAAACGCTTGGAAAGATAGGCGCCGAGCCCTTGCTCTGTAGTTAGATCCACGATCGCTGTCATCTCTTGGAATATGCAAAGACTGTCGATGAAAAGAATTTGGGACAGGTTGAACCTTCACGCAGATGTGTGGACTTTTCTAGGGATCTCACAACCTCTAGATGACTCTTATATATACACTCAATGGTATTCACTTGGTGTGGCTGGATGTTCCGATTTTATGATTCATCTACAGGTTGAGGCATGATACAAAATGAGTCATGCACGATGAACAGCTCGGATACGATGATTGTGTATGAACTAGCCACTTTGGGTATAGTCTGATTGTGTTCTCTGAACATGCACTCACCAGACAAATGCAGCCAATAGCTAAGTCAATTAACCATCACTTCATCTTTAGTAGTATCGTGAGTGTAAATATAGGAGTTTAGAGTTAGTCCAGTAACTCGATTTCCTGACGAAAGTACTAATCGCCCATTTAAATCAGTTCAAATATCCTCATCAAAAGATCCACGTGGCGGTCACAAAGATCAAGACCAGGCACATACACGAATCTCAGTTGGTCCTGCTGATCCTTACAAAGGCGAATCACACAAGATGCTGTGGTCCCGGGTCACCAAGCCACTCTTCAAAGGGAGAAACGAAAGATTGATCCTCTGAGGCCTCGGTATGAATCTCCGCTAACACACGTAAAAAATCGCCAATCGTCATGTCCATCGCTTGGCTCAAAAGACGGTCATCAATAGTAGCCAACCCGGTTTTGGCTCGGAAGTTCAGTATGAGGAGTGCTAAGATACATGTACTGTAACTGATCTCTGGGTTTCGAAGTAAGGTCGACTGGAGAGACCAACGAAAACGGCAGACATTGGAGAAAATAGCAACTCGATCTGCAACGATATCGTTGTCGCATCTCTCCGTACCATGAAATGCTTCCGCGTAAAAGAGTGGGAGTTCGCTGGTCGAAGTGCTGGAAAGAGGGTTGTGATCGTTTGATCGGGAAGCATCGAATCGGTATTTGATGAGCATGCTTAGGTGAGCAATGATGTTGTAATCTTTAAGTTGACTGCACGAGTCTTTGTCGGCGGACAAACGCTCTGCTGTTTTCCAGATGGCGTGGAGGTTGGCTTGACTGACGCAGAATGAATCGGAAATGCGTTCACAACCCGACAGTTCGGGATCTACAGGGATAAGGTAAAAGCAGGGTCCAGCACAATGTCTCTCTTGAAATGTCCTTTATAAAGCTGTGAGCATCTTGGAATAAGTCCACGATTGCGCAAACATACCATGTTCGAGTGAACCAAGAATCTTCCGCAAGATGCATTAATGCTAAGTGTAAGTTTCTTCTTCTGATCGAAAGTTTTTGATTGGTGAGAAAGTCCACTTCCATATCGGTCCCATTGGAGATTGCGTTGAGAGCTTCGAAGAATTCCGATCGGAAGATCATGCGGGAAAGAATGACTGCAGTGAACGCGCTTCGTTGATAAATCTCATCCATTACTTGGAGATGGTTTTCGATATCGACGTTGTCTGCTTGATCGATACATTCCTGATCGATCCTAAAATGGCTTAGCACCACGCAAAGATTATTCTCAAGCGTAGAAACAACATTCCAGAAATGACTAAAAGTGTCTTGATCTTACCATATCAGAGGTACTGCAAGTCGACCTCGCGCAAAGGCCATCGCTCGATGCAACACCAGCAGGGGACACTTTGGCTCCCTTGGTTGATCTGCATTTGTCCAGATCCTGTATCTTGGCAATGCTTTACCATACACGTCTTGAAGTCCAGCAGGCTGATTCCAAGTGTACGATACTGCAACGTACGGCGAACTAGTATTATATTCGGACAGTGGAGTCAAACGCAAATGGATCTCGCCGTCTGAAGCCTTGGGCTGAGGTCGCAGCAATGTCAGAAACTTCAAGTGTATATCTGAGGTCTTTTGCTTTGTTCGATGCAAAGCCTTCCTTTCAATACTCGAGAGATGATCTTGAAGTCCACCCAATGAACCGTGAATGCTGCGGAACGTTCTGCTTGTATCGTGTTGCATATCCATTGTTGCACTAATCAAATCCTACCTGTTATTCGAACAGTGGTTGTGGTTTATGTGAGGCATGGATCAATTACGTCCATTAGGCGGAAGCCTATTCCGCCCCGCAACCCGCGTCGTTACTTTATTCAACCCTTGTCATGTCATGCAGCCGCCAAGGAAAAGAAGAGCAGTAAAGGGTGCTTGTATTTCGGGTTCTATTGCCTGTACACGAGTCGAAACATTTAATCTCAAGTAATGATTCATGGACATGACGCTCGTATTTTAGTACTTCTCCCTATGATATGCTGAGGAGTGATACGCAACGCTGACAAAGATGGTTGCATCAATTCAACCTAAAGAGCATTAGAAATACTTTCCAAAGTATCTACAACCTGTGATCTAAAGGCCTGCTGCAGTTTGAGGTTATCCTGGGGATCGACTCCAAATTCTCCAGTCAGGCATGCTATGACAATCTTCTGGTATTTGTCTCCCATCTTATCGTGAAGTCTTCTTTGCGCTTGCTTGATGAGCTGTGACTGGATCACATATGGATCCCGCGCCGTCCTGAAGTGGTTCTTCTCAAGTGTAATGGCTCGCTGCCAAAGCCCGATTTCGAGGAGTACGACACCTGGTTCAAGATCAGATCATGTCGGAACAATTGCCCGAGGTTGAACATACCTAAGGCATAGATGTCGTGAATCTTGTTGAACATTCTGCCAGGCCTACCCTGCCTCTCCGGATGTCGATATACGTCACGGTCTATACACAAATCTGCGAAGCCGGCCGAGAAGTCGAGTTCAGGCCTGGCAAATTCAAAGCCAAGGACAGAAGGATCCGAGTAATCGATGCCTTCTTCTTCATCGCATTCGAAAGAGGCTGCCCGTGGGAAAAATATGATGTTTTCACTTCTGAACGATTCATGAACCTGCTATTGTCAGTATTGCCCCACGATGAAACCATGATGAACGCACCCATTTCACGAGTTGCAGTTGGGTAATGCACTTGCTAAGGGATAGTGCGAGCCTAAACTTTTGCGTCAAGCCCAGTCTAACGGTCTTCAGGTCTAAAAGCTGGAAAAGACTGATTGGCTTTGGCTGCTGGTGTCCAGAAATCTCAAAGACAAAAGCGATGCTGTTCTTCTCTGATAAATATTCCCATCCAATGCACCGGGGAATGCAGAAGACCTTCTCCTTTGGCTGAGATAAGAGCCCAGCAAGATTGTTGACTCGCAATCGTGTCCTCTGGTCTAATTCACCGGGCTGATGTATGTGACCATCGTTTCGCCTATATTCTAGTAGAAAGGACTTGTTGTCGTGGCGAACAAGAGCGAAGCGCTGTTCGACGGGGGTTGCACTGTATAGATCGTTGAGCCACCGTGAACCTAGTTGATAGGAGAGATCTCGTTGGCCGGCCTCGGCAGCGGTGATTTGGAGTGTGGCATCAATATCGAATCCAAGTTGTTTAGCACTTTCGTCGTTCTGCAGGCGTTTGAGATGTTGCATGTTAAGACCAATGGACGATGCTAAACACCAAAGTTTGACCTGTTCATGTATGCGGCCATTGAGCTCGGAGAACGCCTTCAGGATTTCTTCAGTCCGTTTCTTGTCTTGAAATGACCACTTCAGGATGCTGATGGATTGCCTGGAAAGCGACTTCCAGGAGCGTGGCGACGGGCTGCGAACGCTCTGTTCAGATGAAATGGACAGTTGCGACATATTGGAAGTAAGCGCAGGACTCTTCTTGTCCTCAGACCCATGTCTAGATTCAAGGAGGTCTAAGGCTTCTTGAAGCATATGAACCAGCCTGCCAAGAAAGATCTTGACCTGTTGTTGGACATCGTCATCAAAGTTGTCAAACAGCGTAACTCCGCCATAAATGGGGGATGGCTCAAACAATATGTGACGAAGTTGTCGAGTCCTGTTATTTTCATCAATGACCTTCGTGTGATAAAGAACCGTATCCTGCCCATTGTCAAACTCATAGAACAGATATTAGCAGGGGAAAGCGTCTGTCACGGACCTCGTTGAATGATCTAGCATCAGATATCAGCTGTGCTGTGCGATCTCCAAGTTTAAGAAGTTGATCAAAAATAGCAATAGAAAGCCCGGCAATTCCAATGGCATCGGCCATATTGTGATGTTAGGTTTGTCCTGGTTCGTCTTGGAGTTGCCGTCCACCGTATGCGTCTGCGACTTTGTGGCGGGGAGTGCTGTCGTAGTTCCATTTTGGCCCCCACGGATGAGTCGCATCCCCGCATGCACGTTCAGCCGCATCTGGCTTTCGGCAGGCCGCGAGGCTGCAATCCTTTACACAGTGGCTATCCTGCCAGTCTGTCGTTACAATCTCCATGATATCGCAGAGTTCGGGGATGCCTTTTGCACGCATCGATGGCGTCGCTCGACGGCATTTCCTTCGACATCGAGACGAGACCAATCTCGCGGACCATCCTCTCTAGTGTTGGTGGCTTCTCGCAGTCTGCCCGGCAAAACATCCGATCGCTTCAAGACCTACTCGCTACGATCCAGCGCTTCAATCTCCAAGTATTCGACTCGCGATCACTACAGCACAAGGATTACGTTGGGGAGGGTGTTTCTTACAGAGTGTCTTCCTGTTGGCATGAAGCGAACGACAGGGTGTATGCAAGGAAAGACGTCAAGCTTCCGCCGAAAACCGCCGATGCGGGAGCATTCGACCGCCAGGTCGCATGTGTGTTACGCGATGTTGAGGTGGGCGAAGATAATCTCGAATGAATTCGGGGGGATTCTAACTCGTGTCTTCCATCTAGGTCATGTATGGTTTGGCCCAGCGCCCGAATATCCTTGACATTTTTGGATACGGCTGGGACATCGAGAGCGGCAATGTCATACCTTTCCTACTCACGGAATTTGCGGAGGCCGGGACAATGCGGCAGTTCTTGAGGAGGAACGAAATTAGTCTGCATGAGAAGTTGCTTTTCTGCAAAGACGTAGCTCAAGGACTGCATGCAATTCACGTCGCCGGCATTGCTCATGGAGACTTGAAATTGGACAATATCCTTATGAAGCCCTACACGAACTTGGGTACCAGTCATAATTCAGAGCATGAGGTCCTCAGAACTAGTCTCATGCAGGCCTGCATATCTGACTTTGGCCATTCGTTGCACTTGTACGATGATGAAGAGGATAATACAGTGAAACAGCGCTATGGTGGTACATTAGCCTACAATGCTCCCGAACTGCTGGACAAGACTCACTCGAGAACCGACATAAATTTTCGCAAGTGCGATATTTGGTCCTTGGGATTGACCTGTTGGGAGATCATTCTCGGTGGACAAGCATACTACCACACAGCCAATGTCGAGCGCATCATCCTTTCGTCTCCCAAAGGCCCAGCATCTTTGCCTACTCCACCGGCTTCGAACACTGGCAGTCAATCCTCTTCTGCCAGCTTGCTCGAAGAACTCATCAACGTCACTCCCCACTTAGCCATGGTTGCCTCTGGAGATGTTAGTGAGCGAGCTGGGGTCTTCATAAGCCAAGCAGCAGTTTTTCGCCTTTGCCGAGTGTTCAGATGGTGTCTGTGTGTGGATCCCGCTCAGAGAATTGCTGATATTCCTCTCCTTCCAATTTTTCATGGCAGTAGGTATGTACTTGTCCTTTCAGTTCCTCATCCAACTCCAGAACACTTTTCCCGGACAATGCCTTGTGTATCACAACGCAACTCGCCCTTGATTATTATTATTGGCTAATGATTGTCAGTACCAACTCTACAACGCCGCTTAAGATAGAAACTCAGTCAGGCACTTCGTGGTCGTTCAAACTATTCGAAGTTGCGAATGATATCCCTAGCGAAGTCAAAAAACAGATCGCAAGTGATTGTCAAAAAATCGCCAACGAACCCGGTAACTCCATTGGCTCGGCAAGAGCCTCATTCCAGTTGGGTCTTGCGTATATTTCTGGGTTTGGTCTTGTCCAAGATCCCTCTGAAGCCTTGAAGTGGTTCGCACAGAGCTCGGAGAAGGGTCTGAATCTGGCCCGTCATTATTTGCCAGCTCTCAAATCCGCTGATACAAGCATATCCTTATCACATGAACAGTGTCTGGCAAATTTCCTGGAAAGTAATCGCGCCGCATTCAGAGCAAGATTCGAATACTTTTTGAAAAACGATGGCACCGATGCATCTGAACAGATTAAGCAAAGGCGCAACGACCAGAGTGATATCAATTTACGAGACGAGAACGGAGAGACCTGTCTGACACTGGCATCAAAGTTAGGCTTATCGTCCGATACCGTTGAGTTGGCCGCGGTTGCCAGCACATTCATGCCTGATGGTGGGGATTGTCTGCCTATCCACTGGCTGTTCATGCATGCAGATGAGGACATTTCTAGAGTTGCCTACAGTCTAGCAACATCAGGAGAATTGGATCTTTTTGCCGCGCTGGAGAGGCCACTAGTCCTTGACGAACAACTGCCACTGGCGTTGGGAGGTTCTCCCCTCGCGTTCGCTGTCTCTGTTCACTGTACCGAAGCAGTCAAGGTGCTGATAGATCTCGGTGCAGATGTTCTCCGTGGTCTTTCAACTTCATATACTGAACGTGTGAAGTTCAACTCTCCCTTATGCATTGCTTTTCGCTATCACATGGCGGACATCCTGGATCTTATCCTAGAAGTATGTAAGGATGGATCTTTCGGCCACGCCGATATGGTCGAGCTTTTAGATGAGCTGCAGACATGTGCGCCTGCACTGTATCTGGAAAGGGCGCTCGTGCACGGTGGCCATGTAGCTACAGCCGCCCAGTCCACAATTCGAATCCTCTGCAAATACTACGGCTTTGTGCCTACTGTTTGGACAATCTTGGAACCCGCTGCCTACACTGGAGATGTCGACTTTTGCATTGCTGTTTCCGAAGTTCTCAAAGACATGGGCGCAATGAACCTTACATCAGATCAACTGGACGACCTGATGCTTATATGTACATATAAGGCATGCCAGGCGAGTCGAGATATGTCCGTTGCAATCCGGATGATGAACTTTGCCATTTCCCAGGGTTGCAATCTTAATTGCTTCAGGAGCACAAACAAAATGCCGATGCACATCATTGTTAATCACCGAGCATTGGAGCTCCTAATGTGGATGGCGGAGCATACTGACATGGACTTGAATGCGCGCGATACGGAGGGAGCTGGAATTCTCCACCATATCATCGATAAAGGTTACTCCGGAAAGATCGACTTGGAGGAATTGATTAAGCGCGGCGCTAGACCTGATGCTGAGGATATACACGGAAGGCTGCCGATTGAAATGGTCCGGAACAATCAAGTAGACAACAGCCTAATCGCGTTGCTGAAACGCACTCCAGCTAGGGGGAAGGTACGGTTCTTATGGACCGCCGTAAAGGCTAACGCGACGGATCTACTCCAAATCTGTTTACAAGACAAAGAACTTGTCAGTGCCTACCTTCCCAAGAAGTATATCGAAACGCTAAGAGAAGCATTGATATATGCGGCCCAGGTTGGATCTGTTGGTGCCATTGAGGTCTTGATTGAGGCTGGAGCGAGTCCAGTAAATCTTGTGCCCGAGGACAATTACGATTTAATCCACTTAGCTGTCCGCGCTGGGAATCGTCAAGTTCTGGAGTACTGTATCAAGATTGGCCAGGACGTGAACGGGCTGAGTGCCCGAGGAAGACCCCTCGACATCGCCACAAAGTTTCTAGTAGAGAGAACCAAGAGCGGCGCAGCATACCAAGAAAATGCGTGGATTGCATGCTGCGATCTCCTATTGGATTCGGGAGCTTCTCCCTTGAAACTTTCCCCCGGCTTCAAGGAGTCGCCACTGATGACTGCAATCGACGAGAACCTGCGGTATTTTACGCGGCAAATGGAATTGGTTAAAAGAATGCTTACATGCAGACCTTTGGACACATATCATATTCTCAAGTTAGGCGAAGAGATGTGTTATGTCCTGTACCTTGGGCTCTACGAATTGGTGGACGCCATGCTCGACCAAGGCGTCTCAGTCAATTGTCCTACAAATGACATCGGTTCCGTCTATCCCGAGTATTTCGAAAGAGCCTATCCATTACATATCATCGCAGCCAATATAGACCCAATCTATGACCAAGACAGCGAAGACTTCTTGGAAAGGCCATCCGCTAAACTCGTCGTCAAATTTCTTGAAAAGGGCGCGGATCCATGGTACCTGAACGCGCAAGGAGATACAGCATTGGATCTTGCGATCCGTGAAGATAATGGGTTGGTCGCGTACCCACTTCTCGAATATATGCTGCGACCGCGCTTGACGCCACCTCCTCAGGCTTCTTTTGATCTCTTGCCACCAATAAATCCCCGCAATATCAAAGCTAATAAGAGATCCTCATACTCAAGGGCCATTCAGGCAGTGAAAGAACACTGGAAGAGCAGAAGGACTTCTTCAACCATTGAGCAACTGACCGAGAAGAAAGATTCTGCTTGGGACGACATCTCCTTTCGATACCTCAACTACCTAGACGAACCTTACCTGGAGGAGTCTTGGGACTTCGCCCTTTCCAACAACTGCTACGCATCTATGGCTTCTTTTGGTCTCGTGAAGGCTTTTCCCAAGACGCGAAAGCTTAGTCGGCGGCAGGCCATCGTGCTTTTCTACCTTGCAGTATGCTACGATCTAATGGACGTCATTGTTCTTTACACGGGTGGATATGACCTAATAAATAGCAATGTGTGGCATGATCCCGATGAGTACCTTGCTAGTGTGTGGGAATCCATTCGTTCTTTCTACGATTGCGATATGAATGCGGGACAACTTCTCTCTCTGCCGTACATTGTCGAGAATGGGCCGCCAGAGCCTGAGAAGGATGCGTATCTCAAAATGGACCAAGACGAGGACATTCCGGAGCAGATCCACGACTACGCTTATCACCGCATACAACTCTGGCATGTCGCAGACCAATGGTTGTCCCTCTACCCAGCGTCGCATCTGGTATGGTGTAATTTCGTCGAGGCGCAATTGGAACCAGGAATGATCGAAGTCGTAGTAAACCACCAAGCAGAGAGGGATAAGCAACAGCGATTGGCTCTGCAGTATTTGTTGGGTCCGGTTGGAGATGATGATTATTTCATATAGTTTTTGTGATTTTGCATTGGTATTTTTTTCGGACCTTGATTTGTTGCGAGGTTTGATACCATCTCTTTTATTTTCATATAGAATGCGAACAAGGAAATCAGATCCCTTCGCCGCTCTCTAATGACTTCATGTTTCCAGGTTTTTATTCCTAAAAAATAGGAGATTTTCAGGTATGATATACGTACACATCTAGCATAATCGTTACGAGAAGGTGTCTGAAGCCAAAAGGTTAAGCGACAAACTGCGACTCTACCACTCCAGCAGTCGCCTGATAGAACAAGTGTGGCATACTCGTACTCGTACAATTCAGAAGGCATGAGATAAATATAATTGAATTGCGGGACACTATATTAGGGTATCTTTTAATTATTGGTGGTTTCAACTGTGCCAGGCCGGTGCGAGTAGTGTAGGTTGACGTCTCGTTTAAAAGTGGGAACAACGGCATGACGTCACCGCTCAATCCTGTTCTTCGCATCTTCTTTTGATCGCGATCGTGTATCCACGCGAAGACAAAGAGGAAGACGAAGACGAAGACGAGAAGGATGTCCATAATCCATACGAGATGATCGATTTTCCTAGGAATATTTTCTCAAAATGTGCATTCACTCAATGAACATCGAAGGAAGCACGCCAACCGATAGAGCTAGATATTTGCAACAAGTTAAGCTACATAGCGATCTTGCCGTCATCATTGGCATCAAGAGCCAGGAACGAGGAACAGGAAAGATGGCATGCCGAGAGCGAGATCAAGTCACCTGAGTTCGCGATGAGCGGTAAAACACGTCTCCAACATGTCCCATTCGCTTCTCCACACATGTCGTCATCATCTACACAACCATCAAACAAGACTTACGCTATGCATGGCTATCCGGATCTTCTTTGCCGATTGAACCAGGTCCCTGGAATCTCAATTTAGGCTTTGCCTTAAGCTACTGAGCTTGTCTCGTTACGGCCTGCGTTACGTCCTTCATGATGCTTGCTCTGAGTTGTTTCCGTCGTTCTCCTGCTTACTTCTAACTTTCCCCCTCCTGTCTGCTTCTTGTCTTCCTTTCACCACAACCTGTCTTTCTCTTACACTCGATTCAAAACCATCATTCCAGTACTTGACTGTGGCCTTCCATTGTTTGTTATCAAAGCCATATTTACAGCTAGTCTTTCCTTGCTTTGTTTACTCGTCTATCGTGTTTCTGCATTCCGAGCACAACACCGCCGACATACGGCCGGACATGGTAGCTTCAAGACGACGCGAACTCATCTCCAACGGCTCCAGCAAAGCTGACCCTGACCATACCTACAAACACTTAGACTTAGAAAGTGGCAGCTATGGCCATGACTCCCACCTACGAAAATTCCGGTTCCGAGATGTTGTCGATGCGACGATGGACCAGAAGCATCTTCGCGAGATGAAGCAGAAGCTATTGAATTCGGTGGATCATAAAGGGTTGGAGAAATTCAGGCAGAATGAAAAAGAGGTATATCAAACATTCACGTGCATTTGTGTTAGAAACATTGCTGACGGAGTGATTTGTAGTTGAAAGCCATTCAAAATAAGAAGTTGCGCGCATTTTACGAAGAGCAGAACCGCAGGCTCGATGACTGGCTCGAGGTCGATATGGTCGTGACCACACTTGCAGACGACGTTTTGGACAGTATGGGCCCGCGCGACCTGGACCATGACGGTGTTGCTGAAGATCGTGGCCCGTTGCACACGAGTGAGGGGACCGTGGAGTGCTTTCTCCCTGACGAGGAGATTGAGAAGCGAAGGAAAGCCGACAGGAATGTGAGATGGGCTATCAATGTAGGATTCATTCCCCAATCCGTGGACGACATACACCAGAGACGCATGCTAATTGTTCGCAGATCAATGTCATTGTCAACATTCTCCTCCTCGCCGCGAAGGGAATCGCTGCTATATATTCATCCTCACTCTCTCTGATCGCATCGCTTGTCGACTCTGCGCTTGATCTTCTCTGCACATTAATCATCTGGAGCACAAATAAACTCGTTGGCTGGCGTTTAACACGTCTAAAAAAGAAGTTCCCCGTTGGACGTCGTCGTCTCGAACCGATTGGAATCCTTGTCTTCTCCATCATCATGGTCGTCTCATTCATCCAGATCTTGCAAGAATCGGTACAAAAGCTCCTCCCGAGTGGCGATCACACCACCGCAGAGTTACCTCCTATGGCAATCTTCAGCATGGTCTCTACCATCGTCGTAAAGGGCATAATAGGACTAGGCTGCATGCGGGTGAAAACAACGCAGGTCCGTGCGCTGGCACAAGATTGCAAAACTGATGTTTACTTTAACACATTATCGCTTCTTTTCCCCTTGATTGGAAACAAGTTGGACGTCTGGTGGCTGGATCCAGTTGGTGCTACTATCCTATCACTGTACATCATCTACGACTGGGCCGGCACCTGTATTGAGAACATCGTGAAGCTAACGGGAGAGGCGGCCGACGATCGCACGGCCCGAAAGATGCTGTACATGGCCTATCGGTTTTCCCCGCTTGTTGGAGGCTACAAGTCGATTAAGGCATATCACGCGGGAGATGGTGTCTGGGTTGAAGTGGACGTATTGATGGATGAGAAGACTCCATTGAAGGAAGCACACGATGTCGCCGAGACAATTCAGTATTGCATGGAGGGTAAGATTTGAATGTTCATCGTTTGTAGTTGAGCACTTACTGACATGGAGCAGGTTTGAAAGAGGTCGATCGCGCTTTTGTGACTATGGATTGTAAGTCTCTGAAGTCTCTTCAATTTGACCTCCCACTGACAAGGACTAGACACTTCGCAAGGCCCAACTGGACATGCGACTGAAAACGAGTGATTTAACTTTGATATGTATCGAATATCTTTTTGGCAAGTTCCACGAGCCCCAAAAATCGCATCATAGCGGCATTCCCAGGAGTATCATCATGTATTATATAGTTTTTCTTCAATAATGAAAACGCATTTGATGAGAACCTTTTTCGGTCCTTGAGTAAAGCATTCATTCTCGCGTTTCTGTGACGCGGTATATGCTGATGACGGGAATCTAATCTAAAAGGTCGATAGGGAGCATTGGGTATCAGGAGACTCCAAACTCCGAACTCCAACTCCAAATCTAACAAAAACGCAGCAAAAATATCAAGTCGCAAGTAATCAGAACGCTCCTCCCCGCCAACCCCGCCTCCTCCTCTTACTCGGCCATCTTGTCGATGCGCTCGTACTTCCTGATCTCCTCATCCACCTTCCCCTCCACCTTCTCCGGGCGACCCCAACTCGCCAGTATGGCGGCCCCCTTCGACCGATAGAACCCCTTGCTCTGTCCCGTCCTCCCACTCAACTCCACCAAGTTCTTCTCGGCCACCTGGGCCGTCTCTCTCATCGCCTGCCAACTCCAAATATACTTCCTCGTATATTTGTTGCCCATCGAGAACTTGGGCTTTCCGGCAAGGTGTCTGCTCACGCCGGCGATCTGTTCGAACACTTTACTTGTAAAGTGTCTTCGCTCTTCTGGACCAACGTGCTGGTAGTCGGTCGCCAGCGGCTGCAGGCTCAAGGCAGCCATTATGCTGCGCCAATCCCAGACGTGGTTGTCGAAGAGCGAGCGGTTTGATCCAGATGCCAGGCATGTGTGCAGGAGGTCATGAACCGCCTCCGCACGGCCTTGGCAGACACCTTGCGCGAGGTAGCGCAAGAACTCGACGGCGTCGACGGCCGCAAGCATGACAAAGTGTGGCGATCTCTGCGCCGTACTCCTCTCCGCGTTCAGGCGAACCAGTTCCAGCAAATGGGTTTGCTCGGCCAACCCAGCTGCCGGGATCGTGATGCTGCACCTCTGTGGGGCAGTCATCGAGGGACCGGCAGGGGTGGCGTCGCCGGTGGTGATAGTGGTGGTGGTGCTGGTGGTCGTCGGTGCTGGGACCGGGGCAGAAGCAGGGGCGGCAGCGGCAGCGGGAGCGGGAGCGGGAGCGGGAACAAACGCCGGGACGAATGCGAGTCTGGGGAGAGGGGGTAGGGGAGCAGAGCCACACTCAACCCATTCACCGTCACCCATATCTCGTCTCTTCGTCCTGCTGAAGTCTCCGGCGACGAGATAGGCATCTCGCGCTGAGCGCTTCAGGCTCTTGATGGCGGGTGCAGGTGCTGGTACTGGTACTGGTACTGGTGCTGGTTCTGGTGCTGGTGCTGGTGCTGGTGCTGGTGCTGGTGCTGGTGCTGGTGCTGGTGCTGGTGCTGCTGGTGCTGCTGGTGCTGCTGGTGCTGCGGGAGGAGTCGGGCAGTCGTTCGGTCGAACGCGTTTCTTCACCGGCCTGAAGTCGTTGTCAAGCCAGGCGTCATGCGCGGTGCGCTTCGTGCCATGGGCGACGACAGGCGCGGTGGAGACGTCGAACAACGTCTGCGATGTCGCCGGGGTGGGAGCAGCGACAGGAGCAGCTTCGTCGTCCGCAACGGGGGCAGAACCCCCCAACACCTCCTCGTTCCGCTGGTCTGGAAGCACCTCACTAGGAGGGCTTTTAGCGATCCAGCGGCTGTCGACTTGGAGTGAGGGACTACCGCCGAAGTCCCGTCGCACTGAGTTGGCTGTTGTAGATAATAACCATCGTCAGCAATCGTTCGAAGAATATCTGATATCAGGATAGGATCAAACTCACCATGCTCTGTGCTCTCACTGACTAGGGCGCCTACGCCCTGTTTCTCGACCGATTCCTCATCCAAACTCAAACCGAAGATCTGTACTCCGGTGGGGTTGTCACCCTTGGTGACCTTTGGAGGGTGCATCGACGCGCACTCCAGGTCTGGCTCCAGGCTCAGCTCGAAGTCTCCGCCGAGCTCATGATGAGTCTCGAGCGGCTCGCTTCGGTAGTCGGGCTCAATGCCCAGACTTTCAACGGCGAGTTGGTAGACTCTATCCGAGATGGCCCTGGCCGTGCCATGGGATTTGGTGGTATATGAGTACTACGGTGACGGGACGTGTTAGTTGTGAGCGACGGAGTATGGGCAAGCTGACTTCACTTACGAAGTTGCGGAAATCGTAACGAAGTCGCGCTCTCTTCTCCGGCGTCTCGAGGGTTCCGTGGGCGTATTCGACGCCGGCACGGCTGATGCCCTCCGGGGCTCCAGCGGAGCACTTCTCGACGAGGCTGACGAAGGAGGTGATAATGCCGTACATCATGATGGCGATGGTGCGGCGGATGAAGAAGAAGGAGAAGAGAAAGTGAAAAAGAAGCTTTGGTGGTGGTCGCTGAGGGACCGAAGAAGAGGAGAGAAAGAGAGGTGGGTGTATATAGGTCTTTGGTTTTGGTAGTGGTGGTGGTATATAAAACCGCGTTCGTCTGTAGTTGAAGTTTGTGAAGCTGGTGGGCGTTTCTGGATAGTCAACTGGTAGGCGAAGTGGGCTGAGGGGGAGAAGGAGCAAGAGGGTGGGTGGGCGATAGAAGTAGATGGTGGAACGTGCGTGTGGCATCGAGCAGGCTGGCGAGAAGGTAAAGGTGGGAGACTGGGAGTGAGAGTGAGAGCCTGAGAGAGGTGAAGGTGAGAGACTGCGAGTGAAGTGAAATTCCCGCTCACCGCTGCGGACGGTGGTTGGGAATCTCCATTACCTCTGAGCCTCAGTCAACTATTGGAGGGGCTTCCTGATGCTAACCCGCGCCTTTTTCATTCTTGCAAAGTGATTGTATAATCGCTGGAGTATATCGCTCATTTTGAGACTTCACTGCTGTGACCAGCACCTTTGCTTCGTCGAAGCGATTATATGACTGAGTGGAAGGATTGTATAGAAAGAAGGCTCATGAAAATTTCCCTATGAAGAGAATTGTTTCTCAAGTATCCATTCAAGCTAATTGGGAGGGAAATCGACCTCCATGCTTTGCATAAATAGACACAATGTTGGACGTGCCAAGAAATGAACGTCAAGCGTCGAAGGGCATTTAACATTGACTACAAAAGTGTATCAAGGTTCTTATAACTCCTATATATACCTAAGGTCTTCATCAACACACAAAGCGTGTTTGTCTTTCACCGTCAGTTCTAGAGATTGCAAGAGCGATCAGTGTTTGGCTGTATATTAGGTTGCGCTTTGAAGATCTGAAGTCTTGGGAGGCAAACCGACGAATGTTTGCGGAGACCCATTCCAATTATTTTACATACATACGTACAAAGACCTTTTGCACATGTAGCAATTTTCACTTGATAATTCAATTGTACGTTTAACAATTAATTAAAGGACGTTTTGGAACGTGACATTTGGTGCTTTGAGAACTTTATTATTTGTCGTGGAGGTGAAGAGTACTCACTGACTCGCTCAAACATCAACAACACACCCAATCAGCTATGTAATTATGATCTGTTCTTCTATTGAACCATCGTTCTTAATTGAGAAGAGCCGACCGCCGTGTTCTTGAGAGCCCGCTGCTGTGAGAATAACACAATAGTAGATCGCTAGACTGCAAGTGTTTCATCTGTGCCACGCCAATTGATTTTGCAGTGCTATCTACACATCCCCGTAGCTGATTTCAAAGGGAATCTCACGAAACAATATGGCAATCATTTGATATTTCATTACTACCCATTTTGGCCACTCCACACACCCCATGAAGACATCGACTGAAATGAACTCCAAAGAATTCGAAAACCTACAATAAACACCGACACTCATACTGATGCATTTGGAAACTAATCGATCAATGCAAGCGCCGCGCATCTTTACCATATGTAATACCATGCAATTCAATACAATGCCATGCCATGCCGTGTCCCATCTCAATGCCATCGACTGACGTTAACTTTAAGGGCGGCACAAGGGCTGACCACTCACGCCGCCTTACCCAAACAGGCAAAAACAAAATGCTTAGAGTTCGGTTCGCAACATCACTTCATTCGCCAACATGCTCGTACATGCGTCTACATATAATCCTCACTCCCACCATCTCATCTTCTTCAATTCATATTATCGTAACCCTCTGGCCCTTTTTAAACCAACACTCTCCTGTCAGAAACCCCCCAGAACAAAGCAAAAGTGAAACCGAAAGAACCAAATCCAACCATGGCATTCACCATCCTCCCCGCCACCGACGCCGACATCCCCCTCTCCAACGCCATCGAAAACAAAGCCTACGCCAACCCCATCTCCCCCAACCCCCTCAGCACTATCCTCTTCCCAGGTCCCTTCCCCGCCGACTCCACCGCCCGCCGCATCGCCTCCACCATCGCAGCGCGGGAAAACAACCCCGCGATCAGGTACGTCAAGGCGGTCGACGAATCGACGGGCGAGATGGTCGCGTTCGCGTCATGGCACGTGTACGACACTCCGGAGCTGGCGAGGGGCGCGAAGAGGAGTGTGCCCGAGGACGCGGAGGGGGTGAATGGGGAGGCGTGTAGGGCGTTCTTTGGCGGGTTGGGGGAGTGTAAGGAGGAGGTTTTGAGGGGGAAGGAGCATTTGTGTAGGTGTATCCCATCATCGCCTTTTATGTCTTTGAACTATCTGTGCTGTGTTGCAATGTGTTATGTCGTACCCGCCAACTAACCCACCATCTACTAGACCTGCACCTCCTGCACACCGACCCCGCTCACCAAGGCCGCGGTGCGGGCCGCCAGCTCGTGCAGTGGGGGCTCGTGAAGGCGGATGAGCTGGGTCTGCCGTGTTATCTTGAGTCGAGCCCTGCGGCGCATGGGTTCTACGAGAAGCTCGGGTTCCGGGACGTGCGGTTGTTTAAGCTGGATCTGACGCCCTGGGGTGGGCCTGAGGAGTTGTATGTTACGCCGCTTATGATTAGGGAGCCTGTGGGTAAGTAGAGCTGATCGTAAGGTGGATTGGGCGGGGAAGGGGGAAAGGGGGGAAGGGGAGGAAAGGGTGTAAATAGTGTCATGGCAAGTCAAGTAAAAATTGCAATAAATTATTTTCATTGACCCATCGAGCAAGGCTCTTTCGCTGCTTGTACTCATGGGGTGGGGTATATAACTGCTTCTCTTTCCTCCTCCGAAAAGGGTACTCAAGCTTCGACTTGTAGTATCAAGTCGGTAAATATCAAGACGCGATTAAAACAACAACAGACCGTGACCAGGGAACTTGAAAACCGATCCCAAGGCCTAAACACCATTCCAGAACGCCCCCAGACCCGAAACTCCAGGAAGACCCGAGAGGAAGACAGACTGCTAGTACTGGGTACTAGTAGATGCAGTCCATTTCATCATCATCCTCATCATCATCTTTTATCTCCACGTTGTTGTAGTCCTTCGGTGGGGCCTAGACAATACAACGTTATTGAAAGCAATGCATACGGGATACAAACAATACTAACCTCAATCAGACCCATCAGCGGGCTCATCAGCGGGCTCGCACTAACTGTGCTATGAGCAACCGAGACCTGAAAGCCCCCAACGCATTAGCAAAGTGCATTGTGGGCTGTCGTCGCGGGATACGTGATGAACTTACTGATAGTCTCGATTTGGTGATGGAATGCCTCTTTGTCATCTTCCTCTCGTTGCGGCGAGCCAACCGCCTCTCCCTCTCGACGGCCGCCGTGTGCTTGCCGACCTGCTCCTTGAACGACGCGTTCACCGACGCGTTCACCGATGCGCTCAACGACGCATTCAAGGACGCCTTCTCGGCGTCGACCTTTGTCGAGAGAGCCTCGACCTGTGTTGGCAGCGGCAGCAGCGGCGTGACGTCGGGCATCGCCATGAAATTCTTCTCCAAGGCCTCGACGCGGGTCGGCATGTCCATGAGTTTCTTCTCCAGGGCCTCGAAGGCCCCGGGAAGGTGGAGGAACGGCGTGATGTCTGGCATCGGCGGGATCGACAGCATCATGGCGTGCGTGAGGGTCGCCTGTTCCTGCACCAGCTGGATGTTGGCGCGCGCCTCTTGGGTCTCGGCTTCCGCGGCCTGAAGCCGAGCCGTGAGGTCGGCTACCTTCCGCTCCAGCGTCTTGATCGTGGACACGAGCTGCGGGTTCGGCGAGGTGGGGAACGAGGGGCTTCGCGGGACGACGGGCTGGGGACGAGGGATCCTGGACTCGAGGCGCTCGGTCATACGGCGCAGCTGGTCGTGCAGGTACGCATTCATCTCTCGTTTTGCTTGCACCGTGGTGTTGTAGGCGCGGTCGAGGTTGACAGCCAGGCGGTCGTCGAGGATCGTTTCGAGATGGGCGATGGCAGCTGCTTTTGCGGCAGCCATCACATCCTCAAGAGACCCGTAGGCCGGAGGGGAGGGAGCAGAGGCTGAGCATTGGAGTGAGAAGGCAGACACTGTTTTGAGGAAGTGGATCAACTTACAGTCGTGGCCATTGGCCCTGTCTTCAACAACTTTGATGTGCATATAGATGCCACCGACCAATCCGAAGAAGGCGATCAAAAGACCGAGGAAAAGACCGACAATAACACCAGGCATGATGATGGATGGTGGTGGTGATGGGTAAGTATGACGAGTAATGAAGAGAAAGATGAATAGGAGGAAGAGGTGACAGTGACAAGCAAGTGAAGAGGAAAGAGGTTTGTGTATATACTTGACGTATTCTTGTCAAAGTCAAAGTGAGCTTTTTCAAAGCCGAAGCAAGAAGAAGAGCAGATCTCTTTTCGTGACTGGAAGACTGGTATATAGAAGAAGTATATGTGTATGAAGTGAGGCCCAGAAGTGGAGCAGAAAAGGCTGTATGCTTAAAGCAGAAGAGTAAAGAAGTGCTGGTAGCAAGAAGGCAGAGTCAAGATCACGGGATCTGGAGGTTGTTGGTATGGAGTGCGAGTAGGGTTGAGGGAAGAAAGGTTGTGGGCCAGCGAAAAATTGTCCTCTTATACTACTACATTCACTCTGCGGTCGAGGCGGGGACGTGCACGATGGCAGTGGCGTGGCTAATGGCCATAAGTAGAATCACTGTGAGAGTGAATGTGGGCCAAAGCTTGAGAAGTGATTGTTGTGGGATCGGGTGCACGTGTGTGGGAAGGCAACTGTACGGATGTGGATGCTTGAGGTAGAACATCCTATGTCGCGTAGTTTGTATATACGGGGCATTGAAATGCAATAAATATAGTCAGACCTGATGCCATAGAACCGATGCTTTGCTACGATGGAAATACATCATGTATACTTCGACGAACCAACCTCACTGATAACAAGCCGCATATCAATTGTGGAGTCTTGTATAGACATAGCAGGAGACATTCGATTGAGTAGTAACTCCTCCCCGAGAAGCAGATCCTAAGACGGTGAATCTCCTACTGGCCCATATCATCATGAAGGAAACCTCTCGGTCTATTGGCAGCTGTTGCATTTCTCAACGCCATTGACTTTCACATCATTCTGATACCCCCGCATAACGAAAGCTGCGACCTGCCTGTAGGCGTACCAATTAAGTTCGGCCTTTGCTAAAAGATAGCCGGTGGAGATCTAACCTGGCGTTCCATTCATGGTCAAAGAATCACCCCGTTCGTGACATGCGTTGAAATCGCCAACCACAAAGCGACGAAGGAGAGGGAAGTTTCTGCCCCCGTTTGAGACGTGCCTCGAAGGGACGATGGGTAGACTGGCCGGGGGCCTCCGTGGATCCAGGGCGGATTGGAAGATATTCTCATGCTTGATATCGCAGTGAACGATGCCGATGAAGTGCAAGTGATCTATGCCTTCTCGGATGTCATTGAGGCATGAGGCCTTGTCGAAACCCACTCTCTGGTCTCCCCCTCGCATCAACGTCCATACGTTGCTTGCCTCCTACCTCGCAGCAGACAAGGATCCGATCGCAACGAAGGCTACCCAGCTGTAACGCGGCAAAGCACTGGCATCTGGATTGGCTTCTCACTCCCAGAGATCCCGAAGTGTGCTTTCGTGACGTTCGTAAATGCGAGCGCAGACACGGCCGTCATTGTTGAGAGCGACACCATGGTATGCGCAGACGTTTTAGTGTAGGTATCGCATCATGAGCTCGCTGACTTTGATTTCTTGTCTGATGAAATGAACCCATGATTGTGGAAAAGCTTCCTTGCTGGAACGGAGAGAGTCGAATATGAATACCTTCGGGTAGTATTTGGGGTTTAATGAATCTAGACATAGTATCATTTCCCCGGGTTCAAATTGGGGAAGGAATGTGTTCAGGTCAACTGGGCGCGGTTCAAGCAAAATCGCTCTCCTCCGAAGTTGGCGCGTCCAGTAAATGATAGTTCCATGATCAGGTTTCAATTCTCTGTACTTCTTGAAGCTCTCATTCTTGCTGTGATTGGTGCCATTTTGAATGATTTTGATTCTCCGTGGTGCCATCGCACGGAACTGGTAATACTTAAACGATATGTGTAGGAGTCGCTGATGGAGATGTGAACAGGTCGAAACAGAATGAATTATGGCATTGAAGTTTAAGACTTTGGAGGCCGGCGAGGCATGAAGTTTAGCATGCCGGGTTAGCAACTGCCTAGGTGATCAAGCTTGCACGTCGTGAGGAACTAAACAATACCACGGAACGCTATACACAGCAGGCGCTATCTATAATACCCGTATAATGGTTCGCCTATCCGGCTTGGAAATTCTCGTTATGAGGTAAATTCAGAGATGGAAGAAACAGATATAAAAGTAGCAACCGCTTTAGGACGGATAACAAAAACATGCCATTAGATTTTCTCCATAAAAGAGGCTGTCGTTGAGTCATTAAGGTGGACATGCAAACATCGCTGTCGCAACAAATGGTAATCGCTGAAAGATGTAGCAGATGAAGGGCGGGTATCCAGCATTTTGCGAAGAGAAAAAAATAGCTCAAAGAAACTGAAAACTCTAACGGCAAACGCGTTGTAAACAAAGAACGCTAGAAACTTTGCGAAACCTGTGGCATGAACGGTGGAAACACCCAGAGGCAAGGCAGATCAGAACCCACGCTCAACGTCAGCACTCCTTCTTATCCTAAACCCAGTACTCTGCCTCTCGACTGGTGTAGGTAATTCCTGATGATCGGTAGCAACGATCTCGACATCTATTTTCCCACGCTGACCAGCGGCAGTGCCACCGTTCGCGTGCGAGCCCGTCTTCGCTGTACCTCGACTCGTCACGGGGAGCAGAGTTCCACCACCGATATAACTCCCGTATGTTTCATAGCTCCTGCGACCTGCACGCGTGCTGCGACCCACGCTGAGCATGTTTTCGAGAGGTCGCATATCGACGACGTACTCGACACTGGTGGCTGCATGCTGAGACAGTTTCTCGTTGCTCGCGCCGCCGGCGTAGCTGACAGAGCCCTTCCGTTTCGATGACTTGCGGTGGTCGCGGATGTAACGTTTGATGAGACGGAAGGTGTCGCTAATGGCGTCGAGAGAGAGCGCGGTGGCGATGAGAGGGATGGAGACGGCGAAGCTGATGCCGAACATGTATTTGCTGACCCAGCTTAGGGGGAGGCTGGGCTCGCCTTCCGGATCTTTGTGTGGGAACTCGCGAATGTTGATCGTGAAGAAGGCTGCAATGAAGGAGAGAGGGAGGAAGATGATGGTCACGATAGTGAAGACCATAATGGTTTGGCTCTGGCGCGCGGTGCCGGCGGCTTGGTCGCGGGCGAAACGGGCTTCGAATGCGTTGGCGTGTTTTTGCTTAAGATCGAGGAGATCGGTTATGCTTTTGTAGATTCGCTCAGCCTGCTTGTCCATGCGATCAATGTCTTTTAGGTGCGTGTCGATAGTTTTGATCTGCTCTCTGATGCGGCGTTTGAGATCCTGTTGGCTCTTGTGCTCTTCTCGTAGGATGTCGGTGATTGACACCTCGATATCTGGAATCACGGAACGCTGGTCTTCAAGAACCTTGGCTATCATGTTGAGCTCGTCGCGAATATCCTTCGTCTCGGCAAGGAGGTCTGTCTCAGCACCGATGTCTAGAAGTTTGTCGACGAATAGAGGTGTATGAACTGGTCCGTCATCATCGTCCCGGTAATCGTCTCCATTTATGTCGTGCAAGGAGTCATTCGAGAAGATATGTGTGTGGGTCCTACGCCTGCGGTTCTCATGCTCAATATCACGTCCTTGGGCTTCTAACTGACGGGAAAAGCGATTGGGGCGACGATGCTCCCTCAGCCACTTAGATGCTCGTTCGGAGGCATCGTTAAACTCACTGAAGAGTTTGGTCTCGGCTTCAGTGGCATTGCCGATGGATGCTTCGAACATGTCGAGGAACTGGTAGTCCTCGTCCTGCCGATTGCGGTCGAAAACACCACTGCATCGACCGGTGATGATCAAAGCCAGGTCATAGATGGATCGCACAGGTTCGCGGGTCTTGCTATTGATATCTTCGATGATGCCATCGAGCACGTTGAGTGGATCGTTCTTGGGCTGCTGCCAACGCTGAGGGAATGCAGTCACGATAAGATCTTTGCCCAGCACCCACATCCACAGTTGATCTACCATGAAGATCTTGGGATCAATTTCGAAGGGCTCGCCCTGTTCTTGATCCTTCATCTGGTACCGGTAGACGACCTGATCTTGGTCGCGCGTTCTCGTGTCGATATTGTGATAGTAGAATTGATCCAACGTTCGCCTGACATGCAAAGACACATTGGAAGAACTCAGATGAGCTCGAAGCAACATCTCGTCGTAGGTAGAGGCCCGTGGCAGCATAGGTGGGCAATGGCGTCCTTCTCTCCTCTCGATCCTTTTAGCTCTTTGTGCACGAATGATAGCCTCTTGCATTTCATGTCGCCTGCGGTTGGTTTCAAAATGCAAGTACGGCATGAAGGTAAAGATGTTACCCTTCGCCGATGCTGTGGGGTCCTTTCTACCCGGACTCCCTGGCGACCTCAAATGACCGCTGCTAGTCAGCGGTTGGCTAGTCTTCCGTTGTTGTCTGGCGTGGTGATCGCTCTGTTTCGTCGGTGTTTCTGTGCCGCCTCCAGACTTTGAATGCTTGCTACTTCCGCCCCATTTCGCTGTCTTCTTGACTTTTTCTTTCCCCTTGCCATGTTTCCTATCTGAACCTGGGGCGGACGCATTCGATGTCAATGTGGCATCTGTCTGAATAGTATCTGTCCTCCTAGGGGCCCTTGGTGGCGGATGTTCCTGCGCCCCAGCTGAGGAAGACTGGTGGCTTGACACACTGATACCTAGGCCAGGGCTATCACTGACGATAATTTGAGGCGGGCCATGGTCTGCTCCGTCCGAGAAGTCCGATTCTTCGTGAACCTTTGGCGCCCTTGGAGTGCTATGACAGAGCGGTCTCATGAAATGCGAATGGATCTGTTGTCCTCGATGCTGATGGTTGAAAGACCGCTCTAAAGCCTTGAACCCTTCCACGTCGGATGCGCCCTCCTCGATGAAAGCCTTGGTTAATAGTGCCTCGACCCAGGCCATGTTGTTGGCCGGAAGATGGATCCACCTGAAGCTTGTGGCCTTCGAGTCCTTAGGGAGAATGGAAACGGCTGGTTTCCTCGGGTTGACAGTGTCTCGGCCGTAGAGTAACTCGTACACCGTCCGTCTCCGCACCTTGTTCTCGTTGTGAAAATTGCCGAAATCGACGATCGTCGCATTGAATCCGTTGCACGCACCCAAAGCATCCTCACTTAGTGTCTCCACGTGGTTCGATGGCGCGAGGAGATTGACTATGTCTTTCCGTTTATTTTGCGCGGCGCGAAGAAAGGGCGTGATTCCGAACGTATCTCTCGCTGCGCGCTTGAGGTCTTTGCGCTCGAGCAGACATTGGACGACATCGAGATGGCCAGCCTGTGCTGCGACGTGCAACGGCGTCATGCCGTTCAGCAGTTTTGCATTCAGACCAGCGCCTGAGGCGAGCAGGATCCTGACAATCTTGACGCTACCCACCTCACAGGCATTGTGCAACGGCGTCCAACTGCCATCGCTCTTTGCCGTGACATCGGCTCCGTAGTGAATCAGAAGCTCGACGATGTCATCTCTTTGATGCGCCACCGCCAAGTGCAAGCTCGTCTTCTCGCGAACCTCAACGGCATTTACATTCGCCCTCCTTAAAATCAACCATTCGCAGAGCTCTTTCTTTCCCGTAACGGCTGCCCAGTGTAACGGACTTCGCTTGAGCTCATCCTGACCCTCGGTACCGTCAATGGCAATGTCCGTCCTCAGCAATACCTCAATGACATCCCTCCCCCAATTACAATGTTTATCCGCCGCCAAGTTATGCAACACGTTCCTCCCCTGATTATCCTTTTTATTGACATCCGCCTTGCACCTCAGCAATATGTTCAAAATATGAAAATGGTTCTTCCACGCCGCCGTCATGAGCGCCGTGCGCCCCTGCTTGTCCGCCACATCGACATTGCCCCCAAACTTGAGCAGCAACTGTACGATTCCGACATGGTTCTTCTCGATGGCTTTCAGCAGGGGACTGACGCGCCCGCCAGCTGCGCCGTCGGGTTTCGCGCCGTTCTGGAGTAGGTACTCAGCGAGGAAGTTGTTGCCACGCTCGGACGCGCGCATCAGACCGATGCGGAGGAGGTGCTCGATAGGTTGGGAGGCTGCCCTTGCGGACTGGATAACGTTGATGGCATCGTCGTTTTTCGATTCGTCGATCGCTTTTAGAAGGCGCGGTTCGGCGCGCATGTGGTGTTCTGAGGCTCCGCCATCGCTGGAGCGCGAGGGCGATCGGGGGGCCATGGTGTGGCGGGGTTGATATATTTTGGTCGGAACCTATGCGCTCATGGTCGTATCGAAGGGGTAAGTGGTCGTGGGAATGTTGGAAGGGAAGGAGGATTCGAGTGGTGTTTTGAACAATATCGTCTGTCGTCCGATGCGATATTCGACGTCAACCAGAATGGCGATCGAGGCTCCTCCCTATTCGACCCCAAACAAACAACCACACCTAACTGACCAAATGACGCTTTCTTGCAGTATATGCAGTGAGAAAAAAAATCGATATCAGCAGACCCTTGTTGTTGCCTATTACACCCACATACACAAATTCCTCCTCACCTCAGACGTACAGACGTATAGGAAGCAAGTGCAAAAAGCTAGAAGCAAGAAATTGGAATAATGGGGTCGGATTAATTATTAGCAAGGTCGCAGGGGGAGGGCAGCGCCACCACCGTGCGAGAGGACCGGTGTGCATGGTGCATCATCACGTGTAGAGGTATGGAGTCGAGTGCAGATCCCATTCCAATGTCCAGGTAGCCCTGCCGAATCATCATGTCGGTAGTGTAGAATGAGCCGACGAAGTATCTACACAACAGGTACGATACGAGGTGGCTAGACAACAGCTGAAAGACGGAGAGAGGAAGAGAGGTGATGAGAGATGTTGTGTGGAGTGGATGGGTGGGGGCCGAATCTTTGGCTTGGTTGCTCCTTCCAAGGTATCGCATGGCTTCGTATAGGGGCGCATTCTTGTCAACCATATGGTGGACCGTTCCATAGACTGTTTTCTTCTTCTTCGTCCAATCTTCAACGGATCAGACTGATCGAGAGCAGTGATACTCGTTTTAAAAACAAAATAGCATCTATAAATACCATAATAATTGCCGGTGCATCCCTCGATCGCGGAGAAAATCCCCCATCTTTTCCAAGCCCGGGCTAACCCCATCTGGTCTTATCATCCATCACGTACCTACCTAATCCTAATAGGGTAACTACCTCAGCTATTGAGCTACACATTGAGATAACTACAGCTCGACTTCCGCCTTTCTAACACCACAACTACAAACACAAAATAGCATCCCGGAGACATTGATATTCATCTAGTTTGTGACATCTCTATAATTGTACCTAATACGCCATTTACTCACTTCATGCGAACCGGATCACCTCCCAGTATCCGTCCACTCAAGCATCTAGACCCTCCATTCCCCGCTCGAACGCCTTCATCCGAGGACGAATTGTAACAACACAACGCAGCGCAGGAGCAGGGATGACGTAGCAACCCTTATCACCGCCTTTTAATACTCTATTTCCCGAATACCGAGGTGCTTGTTTCGTGTGTATTATAAGTGTATATATATCCAGATGTACGTTCCCGGATGGGGTTTCCAACTACCACCGCCGCCGCCTCCGCCGCAACCACCACTCTCAACCACTGGTAGCGAGAAGGAGGAGGAAGAAGCATCGCGCAGTAGGCATTTTCTAAGTGATCCGCGTCGAGTGTTCAACACGCTTGACGGCGGATCGAACGTTCCCGGTGTAACGTCAGGCCTAGGGCTGGATAGGCACGTGGGAGCCGAGGACGACCAAGAAGAGGGGGTTGAGAAGGTGGAGAGACCACGCAAGGCTGTATCTGAGGATTTGGAGGGACGGTCGAGTATATCATTCAACAAGAGATATCAAGCAGCTGGAAGAGACGTGGTCGTTGTTAATTCGAGGGTCTGGGCCACGGTTGTTGTCTGGGTCATCACTGTATTGCTCATAGCCTCTGGCATATCGCTCCTCGCGCTACTTTTCCATTTCTACTGTACAACAAACGGCTTCAACTTCCATTCTTGCTTTCGCTTCTACGACATGACATGTTCGTCGTTCTCATTCGCGGGGTCTCGAGACCACGAATCTCACTACCACGGGGAGTTTACGAAGTCCATCTTCCTTCCCTACTACGCCCCCTTCAGCTCCAACTCCACGCCCATGATAACAGCCACCCTCCCAGGCGGCCGCCAGCACGGAATCGCCATCGACACAGGTTCAACTGGCCTTCTACTCGGCGCGCCACTACTCCCGGACATCGACCCCTCCGCCGGCACGCCTGCACACTCGTACCTAAGCAGTAGTCGGATTCTATACACAGGCCGGCTGGTCGAGATACCGATCAAGTTCCACGGGCGTGCGGGAGCCACGGCTGTCGCCCGCGTGCCGGTCCTTGTCGTGGACGAGAGCGTCGTGTGCCCCTGGTACGACCCCGAGAGACACACGTTCGCGTGTCCGTACAATCCCAACGAGCCGAGGCCTGTGCCGAGGGATCTGTCGAAGATTGCGTACATGGGAGTTGGGTTCGGCCGCAATGGACCGAAGGAAGGGAAGCCTATCGCGCTGCCCAGTTTGAATCCGTTCATCAATGTCGTTGAGGTGAACGGGGAGAATGTGGCTGGGGTCGTGAGACAGGGCTACACGATGTCGACTGAGGGCGTGCAACTAGGGCTCACGGCGGAGAACACACGCGGTTTCGTGTGGAAGGATCTCGAGCCGGGCTTCACGCACGACAAGGACAGGAGGGACTGGGCGATGGTCGGGATGTGTTTTAGTCTCGACGATAGGGGCAGGCATTGCGGGCCTGCGCTGATTGATACTGGGGTCGCGCAGATGTATCTGAGGACTGGCGGTGGGCCGGACGGGGACATTCCCACCGTGACGATACCGAATCCGAATCCGAATGGATATGCGGAATTCGTTCAGAGGGTGAAGCCAGGAACGAAGATTACGGTGGAGTTCCCGCGGGAGGACCAAGGGGGAGATGATGAAGAGCTGGAGCCGGTGGAGGAGTACTCGTTCAGAGTGGGCGAGGGAGCCACGCTGATGGAGCCAGCGTACGTCGTCCCTGCGAAGCGTATGTCGCCGGCGTTTGTGAACACGGGGAGAAACTTCTTGTACGGGTGTTCTGTAGCGTTCGATGCGGAGGGAGGTCGATTTGGATTCCGGCGCGTCACGACGTCCTCCTCTTCCTTGTAGTAGCGATGACGAAAGCGATATGAACGACAGAAATGAAATGAAGATATATCTTGGGTATCATAACTCCCGCTATCCTTCTCTTATCATCCACTCTCCCTCTTCCCTTCCCATCATTACCACTTAAACCTCTCACTCATTTCCCCGTCACGCTCCTCATAGGACTCCTAAACCCATCCCTCAACTCCCTATACTCCTCCACCGCCTTAACAATACACCCATGCGCCTGTTCGCCCTCCAAACCCGCGACCACAATCGCGCCCACCACGCCCTCAACCCCCTTAACGAAAACCGGATACCCGCCCCCCTCAACCGTATACTTCCCCCTCTCCTCCCCACTCACCCCATAATACTCCGCAAACCCCCTCTCATCCCCCTCAAACCTGCAACCCAGGTACCACGTGCTGTGTCCCCACCTCAGCACCGTCGCGCGCTTCCTCGCCACCCACGTCTCGTTATCCGGCATCATGCCCGGCATGCTGGGGGCGTGGAATAAAGTCTGCGAGGAGGAGAGGGAGATGTGGATGATGGCGGGGGCGTCGGCGGTGCGCAGCGCGTTGCGCAGGATGTTGCCGATTACCCAGGCGTGTTCGCAGGTGAAGTGGGAGAAGGTGAAGGAGCGTTCTTGGGACGCGAGGGAGGAGAGGGAGCGGGTTGGTGAGGGTAAAGTGTCGAGCATGGCGGCGATTTGCTCGGTTGATAGCATTATGGGGGGGGGGGGGGGGTTGTTTGGGGGGGGGGGGGGGGTTTTATATGGGCGGGGCCTGCCTGCCGCGAGGGGAGGATGCGTGGTGTGTGTGTGTGTGTGTGTGTGCGTGGTCCGAGGGTGACGCCTTGTTGTGGGCCTGGAGTGGTGGACGGGGGGATGGGGATTGATTGATTGAGGCGCGGTGCGGTGCGGTGCGGGACGAAGGAGGCGGAGGTGCAGTGTAGGTGCAGGTTAAGGTGCAGGTAGGCGGACGATGGTGGCGGATGATCTGCCTGCCTGGAATACAATATTGTATGGATGGGTCCACGGATTGGATGGGGGTGAGATGGTGAGATGGTGAGATGGCGTGGATGGGTAGGGTGCCAGGTGGGTACCCGTACGATACGATACGAGGTAGGTAGGTCGCGGACAATCTGAATGATCGATGGGGTGGATGTTTGAATTGACCGTCTACCTGGTAGCGAGGTACAAGATAAAGATGTAAGAGAGATGTGATGGTTAGAGTGTAAACAGAAATAGAAGTTCTGGTAATATGTGGTCGATTATATAGACCAGGATGGTTGGTGGGAAATGGTTTGATGCTTGATGGAAAGATGGGTCGGTGATAGACACTTATATACCCAGAAGACGAAACGACAAACAACCACGACCACGACAATGGATGGATGAAATTGTGGGTAATCCAAGAAACTAAATAAGCTCTCGAATGCTTATCGAAAAAAAAGTCCTTTGTTTAATTGCTCGGGGATGGGGAGGCACAGGCACAGGCACAGGTACAATCCGAGACGCTTCGAGGTTCTTGGCTGGGTGAGGTGAGGTGAGGCGTGAGGCGAGAGTCGGCGCATACAGAGCGACGTCCAGTGGTAGATTCATCGGTTCCTTAGTCAGTACACAAAATAGATCGTAACTGCTTGTTACAAAGTAATTACGTGAACCCCAGTTCTACCTCCCTAGGGGAACAATTGAGGATGTAATTACGAGTCGTGGGACAAACGACACAAACGAAACGAAGCCAGCCGTCGGAGCGCAAGAATGAATGAGGAAGGGGAAAACGCGACGAGTGTGCGGAATCTCGTCCGTCACATGTGTCGATCTATTCTAGGCCGGCGAACGCATCAGATAGCTAATGGCAATTTGAGTAACTATCACAATGCAATATTCGAATGGTCCTGCTAGCTGAATTATGGTCGTGCATAGGGGTTCGGCAGATGGAATACTGTGTAGTTGACGACTAACTGTGGTTCGAGATGTTTCTCCATGGGCGGCAACGTCCACAATGGTGAAACGGAGACTGTCATGTCCTCCGTGGCCCAGCAAACTTACCTAAACCATCAACCATCACCCACATGTCACGTACAATCACAACTACCGATCCTCATTATCTTCCGAATACTACAAGCTAAACCATGTCTACGACTGCGTCTACGTATGTCAACGGCATCCTGATACACAGTCCACGTGTACATCCATTCCATTCCTCTTCCACGGTCTCCGCGTCTTGACACCACGTTCTTGACGATCAATCTCACCCCTTCCTTTTCCTTTTCCCCACCCCGGCGTCTTACCTCCGAACCGTCCCTTCATGCAGGAGAAAAAAAAGGACATGCGATCATCGCAATGCACATAATACAATAATGTCCCGAACCCGGAGGCAACCCTTGAGAGAAACGAAACCCTTCTTCCCCCGATTCGGTACGAGGTTAAAGTACCCCATTCTTGCACGTGCACCCTCTCATTGCGGTCCATCACATTCTTGAAGTCGATTCAGATAGAACTCTTCCATATCCCACAATCCCACAACCGCAATAATAGCCCAAACATAACCACCCATATTCTCCCATCCCTATCAACTAATCAAACACAAGACAAGACAAGACAAGACGACATGCGAGTCGAGGTGATGTGAGCCTGCCTGCCAGGTAAGCTAACCTAAGCCGCCACGCCACGCCGCCTGTGCAACCCTCCCTCCCGAGACGCGACGTACGCACGCGCTGCCTGCGCCGCACTAGGCAAACGCCCGTCGCCCCGTTCCGCTGCCGTCGAGTGTCCCTCGTAAAATATGTGGTTATGTTACATACTCGTAGGTATGCGTCTAACGAACCACCGTGTCTCCTCGGATGTCGTGAGACGGTGAGGGAGGGAGGAGGGGTTTTACGCGCCAGCCTGCCAGCCTGCCGCGCATACGTCGTAAGAGAGGGGGAGGATGCGTTCTAAGGTTTCATTCATGGGGATTGGGGGTTGTACGCGCGGATGGGGCTCTGGGGTGGGGTGTCGTTTGCTGTGGTTTGGTTAGATGTAGGATGAGGGTGTTTGTTTGAATTGGAAGTTTTTGTTTAAGTCGTTGGAAGTATTGCGTGGTTGTTTGGGTATATGCGTGAATGGGATGAAGCCCCGCCTCAGCGTACGAACAGTTCAATCACATTTGACATGTTCTCAGAGACTCAATTGAATACAATGCACATCCTATGCTCTCAATTCCAAGATAAGTATTGTCTCTTAATGAATTCCAATTAGATTACTAAAGTTAAATTAATGATAATAAGCTACTAAGCTGTCTAGGATAGTAGGAAAAGGTCCTTATATAGTAGGATAGGTAGCTACTATATAGGCTATTTACTAGGTAGTAGTGTAGGGGCTACATATTCTATCTAATCTAGCAGTGAAAGCTATCTCATCTGATATTAATACTCCATCGTCCAATAGTGATTGATCCAGTGATCAACCGTTACAGTTAGCCCCGCACTTTAGGAAAACCCCTCTTCAGGTTGAAAACCACTGCAAGCCTTTCTCTGGAGCTTGCTTAATGCGTTACCTACGAAGGGCGAAAGTTTGCTACATAAATTGTGTCGTTTTAGCTAAAACACCTCGAAATATCAGATTTGTCTACTACTTTAGGTCCGCACTGTTGAAGACGCTGTAGCGGAGCTAGTCTAGCCGACTTCGAGTAGCTCTTTCACACTGCATCCCAGAATAATGGACAATCAAGAGTGGATTCTACACTTCTCAGCCCATTCTGCGGTCCACCGTTATGCATCTGAGATCCACGATAGCAACGACCGGCATCGAGAGTCTCTTGTTGCTCCCGATAACAGTGACATTGTACCTAGGCCTGCCACTGTGACCACTGGATATGACAACCTCTTCCAAAACATCTTTGGTATGTGACTTCTCATTCGACTCCTTAGGGTTCTATTAGCGTTGACTTTATGACATTAGATGGCAATCCGAACACCAACTCTACACCAACCCGCCGTATCGTTTCTCCCCCCTTCTTTGAGCATGGGTTGCTCGACAAAATGCGCAATCCATTGGCCCACGATGCCGGCAACGAATCCATTAATACTATATCATCCGGAAACATGTTCAATCAAGGAAATATCGCACAAGGTGTACAGCTAGGACAAGTCACGGTCAGTCACCATGGTCAGGAGGAGACTGGGATTTGGGATGCCGGACATGGAGTGGCTGACTTTCAGCGGGCAATCGATAATCTTGTTACCCAACCTCTTTTGGACTCCTCGCGCTGCTTTGATTACTTGAATTCTAACTTCCAGTCCAACCTTAGCTATCAGACAGACCTCATGTTCCAACCCGAACCCAATATCAACGTCAATCTTCTACCCGACTACAATCTTCGTCCCGACTTCAGTTTTAGGCCCGAATCCAGTCATACGTCAAACCTTGCCAGCCAGCAAAACCTTATCATTCAGCCTGACTTCAATATTCAGCCCGATCCCAACATTATGATCGATCTCAATATGATGCCCGACCCGAGTCTCCAGTTCAATGTGAAGTCGCAGTCAAACCCAGCTTTACAGTGTCAATCCTACCACGATGTCTCAGCGCAACCATATTTACAGCCTGATGTTAACAGAACAGTTCTTTGTCCTGCAGCTGAAGTGCATAGCGCCTTGAATCCGGGCACTGTTGGCGCAAACCTTCTGCATGAAGACATCGACAATGATGAGAACAGTGCCACCTATGATTCGAGGCCCGAGTTGAGGAATATAGCCGTCAACGACGGCTCTTCGGTGCAAGCCACTATTGCCAGGCGAGCTCAAACATTGAATGTTAGCGGGGTCGCCAACAGAAAACATCGATATTCGGAGGCAGATTGGAAATACATGCGTGATAATCACATCAGACGGCTACGAGTTCAATACAAGCACACTGTGGACGAGATCGCGTTCGAGCTTGAGGCAATCCACAACTTTCCCACTTCGTGAGTGTCTGCCGAGTATTTATCCTTAATTTCACAATCTAATCGGAGTAGAAGTAGCACATTGGCAAAAAAGTTTGGCCAATGGGGGCTAGAGTTCAACCGAAACGGAACCGACTGCTCTGAAGGGGAGCCTCGCCGCCGAGCAGCGCGAGCTTTGCGTGGTAAATGGAAGAAATCCTCGGGCCCTAGTCTCGTCTTCTTCCTTGTCACCATCTTCAAGAAGCAGTTCAAAGGGATAGGTGGGGAAAGCCTACCGTCAGGTTTAACTTTTAAACCATATCAATATAGTGAGAAAATACTCCATGAGCTCGACATATTTATTAAGGGGTGCTTTGATGAAGGCACTAATGGTAAAGGGTGGACTTACGGCACTTCCTCTTTCATTCCACCTAGCGGGGCTGCTGCAAACTCGAAACTCTGGAAACTTCTGGCTGCCGATTGCGCTGGCATTAAACTTCTCGGAGACGCTTTACTGGCCGAGCAAGTCCTTCACCTCTTCGGGAAGATCTTGAGACGCGCGAAAGCAGCTGCGCAGACTTGCGATCCCAACTTCCTCATCCATTTCTGGACAATATGTCAGTCTCTTTGCGAATTGCGATATCCCAGGCGTCATGATTTCACCTTGCTACGGATATTCCTCGCACAACTAAGGGATTCGTTTCTGGGGTCTTTTGGACGCCATCCCTTGGTTAATTTCTTGGAGCTATTACTCCAAGTCTTGTATTTCTCGCTGAAAGACTTCCGGCCAACAATTGGCCTTGCGTATTGGAAAACCATCGACGCCCTTGTGAAATCTGCTGGCGTCCCATATGATCATCGGATTATACTAAAGATGGGATCTCAATGTACAAGGCAATGGAAGAGCAAGTTCCAAGCGCGTACAGAACTACTCGAGTCACATTATAAGACACTCATTGCGACGTTAGACTCCCGAACCGATACCAGTCCAGAGCAAAAGGTCAGACTTCTGCATGATTACATCGAAGCTATATCAAAGCCTCGGTTCAATTACCCCGATGTCGTCGAGCAAGCCACGTGTCTTTGGATTCAAAGTAGGGCGCTTTGTAGGGACCGCGTAGGAGATCAAAACCTGCGGTGGACAAAGCACGGCCAACCATTTGCGTTTGCTACGGAACTGGTCGCGTTGCACCACATAAACGAGCATGGAAAACCTATTTCTCCAAAACCAGATCGCGACACAGGCTTTCGGTACGTGAGCGAGGCAATCGATATACTGCGGCTGGGAGACCTCTGGTGTCAGATTCGCGCTTTTGCATTCTCAAGACAGCTGCGACTCTGGATGAAGGCTTTTCACGCCCCCAAATCTAAGCAGGTAATGGAGACAGTCCGGTGCGGTGAAATCCGAAGTTGCATCCCAAAAACGGCCATTCAGTTGACTGAGCATCAAAGAATGGTTATTCGCGAGAGAAAGGCTAACGGGACTCGCCACCGTCGATGGTGTAGAGTCACGCGAGACTCGTTCCGCTCTCAACTATCCTCAGACAGAGCTGATGGTTCGTCGTAACAGTGCATCTGCGAGCGCCAACAAACTATGGACATGTCAGCAAATGGACAGCAAATGCCATTGAACGTGCTGGAAGTAGTCCAGATTGGGGCGAAGCAAGTTTGAGGCGGATGATCATTGGGCGATCCTAACTTTCCGTTCGCTTCGTGCGGAAGACCCCACCTTTGCATCTGATTTTGACCACTAGCAGAAGAGCGATCCTAAGTTGCCATTCGCTTTGTGCATGAGGCGTTAATCGTCTTATCTGAATTGAGCATGCTGCATTTGCTCTGTAGGTCAGTGATCGTTACTGATGGGCGTGCTAACTCCGATCGTATTTGTTATTCTCACTACTGAATGTATAAGAATGATCGCTATCGCTTGACTGTGATGGGACCAAGGAGTTCGGAGCAAACCATCAGTAATCTCTACACTTTGCACGTTCTTCGCTGCTGTTCTCAACCTCAGATTTTCCACAAGGCAGCCTCCCCTGACAGAAACTTCGAAGTCAATAAAAAGGCAGTCAATATGGATCAAACTCCAGAGCTCCTAGACCGCCGCCAAATTGAGCTGTTTGACGCGCTGGAGGAACTCAAGAAGCTCAATGTCGCCAGCGATCTCATTCCACAGCTTGTTGTTATCGGCGATCAAAGCAGCGGCAAGAGTTCTGTCCTGGAAGGTCTGGTCCGGTTCCACTTTCCTGTATCCGAGCGCCGCTGCACCAAGTTCCCAGTCAACCTTATCCTCAAGACATCCAATGAAGAACGGGGGGCAGCCAGGATTAGGCCAGTCCAGGGTAGCGAGAGAAGCCCTGCAGAAATTTCCAAGATGCAAGGCTTTCAGAAAAAGCTCGACCTTTCCTCCTTGTCTTCTCGGGCCACATTAGAAAAGCTGATGGGTGAAGCCGAGGAAGCGCTGGGTATACCTAACGCCAGCGAAGAGACTGGCAGACAATTTGCCGAAGAGATGCTGGTCATAGAAAAACATGGGCCAAATTTGCCAATCTTGAGCTTCATCGATCTTCCGGGATTGTTCCAAGGTACTATCTCCAAGGCTGACGAAGGCAGTCGCGACGCGGTCGAACGAATGGTCGAAAAGCAGGTCGCGCTGAAGAACAACGTAGTGTTGCTCGTCATTAGTGCATCTAGCGAGGTGTACAACCAGACTGCGGTGCGCAAATTCCAGGACATCCTCAAGAAGGACGCGACACTTGGTGATCGGGCGATCGGCGTTATAACAAAGCCAGATGCTGCCCACGACTTTGAGAAGGCAATGTTAGAATATGTCAAAGATGGAATTGACAATGTCGAGCTAAAGTACGGTTGGTACGTTGTTCGGAATCTAAACAAGGACCAAAGAGAGTCTTCTGAGACTTTGGACAAGAGAGACGATAGAGAAACTACGTATTTCAAGGAACCGATGTGGCAGGATATACCGGGGGAGCGCAAGGGCATCAAGAACCTGAGAACCGCTATTAAATCCGTTCTCTGGATGTGTACTCAGAACGCGCTTCCACAAATCATTGAGCGGGTCAGAGAGCGGATCGCCGAAATCGAAAATGAAGTCGAGGCAGAGGACAAATGGAGAGCGAGCGACTTCAGCCGTCGATGTTATTTGAATAAAATTGCGAGAGAGTTCGCGGAGTTGACGAGTCAAGCCGTTACGGGCAGATATCGAAACCCACCTTGCGATCATCTCCGCAAACTCGGCGAGCCTTGTATTAAATGCAGACCCTTCTTCCCTGAACCTCGAAAGGGGTACAATCCGAACGACCCAGAAGGCCAGAAAACAAAGCTTTGCAGCAACATCCGGGGGCTGAATGCACTATTTTCTGTGACGATGCGTGAATTCGGCAAGACAGAAATCGTCAAACGTGTCGTCGGGGTGGCAAGTACTGCGGAGGATAACGACAGCTTGACCTCAGACTCCGAAAACGGGACTTCTGTCAACCAAGACCACGGACAAGCACGCACTGTAGAAGAAAGTGACAACTGGATCGAAAATCCTGAGATTAGACTCTCTGTCCAACAAGACAACGAACAAGCAAATAGAGTGAAAAATGATTATAACTCTATCGAAGGTCCAGGGAACGGGTCATCGGCCCACCAGGACGAGTATCAAGCAGACCACTTCCCGCCGAAAGATTTTGTGCGCGATTACTACACCTGGCCCATGGCTAATGTGATCGCTCAAAGCGACTACGAGAAAAAAGTTGTAGAGATCATCAAACGTAGTCGGGGGGCCACGGAGCCTATTGGAGAGGTGAACTCGACGGTGTATCGTGATCTTTTCCTCGATCAATCCCTTAATTGGGAAGGCATAGCCACCAATCACATCAGAGCTGTCTGGGGAGCTGCAAACACGTTCGTCGACCTGGCGCTCGAACATGTCTGTTGGGACAAGAAAGTTCTCCAGCTCCTCCGTAAAGAGATCATCAAAGCAAACTTGGACGAGCTGGAGAAGAAGGCGTACAGCGCCTTGCGGGATCTCCTCGGGTGCCTTAGCGAAGGGAATGCAGGATTTTTTGACAGCTTTTCAGCCGTGTTTACGGTGCAGAGACAAGCAAGCGACATTGCCGAGCGGCTGGACACATACGGATGGAACGATCTTGAGACTGAAAGCAAAGATGATTTGGTAGCCATGATTCGAGTTGCTCTAGACCACTTGATCCATTCGCCGCTTGGCTTTCTCTCGGTTGAAGATCGTCTCAAGGACTTGGTTCTCGGCAAGGCCCTAAGCATCGCGATACCAGCAATCAGGAGCGTTGGGAAGAATGAAGACGAAAAGGAAATCCGTGCCAAGATCCTCGAATTTTACCCTGCAGCAATCCAGAGTCAAGACGCGGGTCGCGTCACTGGGATAGTGGAGGCTTATTATAAGGTGGGTCCAATCTTCTCGTTCTCATTTTTGTTTTGATTTCGGCCACAATAAGATCACTCAGAGCTGATTGAAGTGCGATCTCAAAGCTTACGATGCTGGCCTTCACTGGCTACGTCAACGCACTAGTCGTCGACAAATGCATCCTTAAACAACTTGAAACCGCTGTGTTCGGTCAAGCGATCCTAGACAAAGTGACACAAAAGAAGATCAATAAGATAACAGCAGAGGACAAAAGTGAAGTCGAAAGACGTGCCCAGAAAAAGAAGGATTGTGATGCTCTGGAACAGCTTTTGGAGGTACTAGAAAGAAATAAGTGACTTAGTGGAGATGGAATTCAGTTTGTCTCACAAATTTGTGCATTCTCCCTTGCTAATTGGGTTCTAGAAATGTACCATTGTTTCTTCCAAGGTTTCTCGTTGCAATCTCAGTTCTTTATCGTATCACAACGTGAAAGCTCCTCTGTGCAGTAATGACTGAATAAACTCTTTACCTGCACCAATGTTTCCGCCGTACATCCCACATATCACACGCCTATGGACGAAAACGCACCATACAGGATATCCTAAGGTCATGCGAATGTAGTCACCGAATCCTAAGGACCTCTCCTCAGAGAATCGTCTCCTAATTCAATTCATTCCCCTCTTTCAGTTCCTGCTCATAGTGATATTACATAGCATTATTTAATTGTATTTGCAGGAGACAATAAAACACAAATACTTCAACTCGCCACCTTTAGCAGGGAAGGCGGCCGACCCGCTCTAGCCATAACCTTGTGAGGTAGCGAATATATAAGAGATGAGTTAGTTGTTGGGCAAATAGAAAGCTGTAGATGCACGTATTATACCTTGCATCAACTATAAACACTAGCAGGTGGCCAACCCGACGTGCCAACCCTCTGTACTCGAGCGCCCGCTTTGTTTCTGCACCCCCGCTTTCAAATCCGGCCTTTCCTAGAGGCCACCGACCGAGGGTTCCGCCGTAATCGATAGGCGTTACTGCGTGCCCTGTTAGGATGCGTTGAGATTTGTGTGAGGCGCATAGGTTCGATTGGATCAAAATGTAATCGATGTTTGAATTGCTTAGGAATGTTGAAATAGATTCTTGGTAATGGACGCCTGGTGATCTATCTGTCTAAGGGTCAGCATGCCGAATGTCGTGTACGTGCTTCTTTTGATGTTGGTGTGCGATCTGATAGATTTTAGATATAAATTCCATCCTCCCAGCCTCCATTGACATCATCAGCAACAACACGAACTGTCGAGACAACTCAGATATTACATTGGCACCTAAAGCCTCCCTAATTCTCTATCTGTTCATCATTAGTGTATATTACCGTCCACCACTCTCAAATTTAAATGACGGACCCAAATGCCTTCACGTCCCCTTTCCAAGCCACCAAATCCATAAGGCGGGAAATCTATCCGGCCATCGACCCCAAGAACCCCGACTTAAGTGCCAAAGGAAAGACCGTCCTGATCACTGGAGCAGGCGGCGGCATAGGCGGCGTAAGCCGATTCCTTCCACACCTCGCAACTATGCTGAATCGCGCACACAGGAAGTAGCACGCGCATGGGCGATCGCAGGTGCAAAAGGCATCGTACTCGTTGGCCGCAACAAGTCGCTTCTCGAAGAGCCTGCCGCTGCCATCGATTCCATCAGTTCCAGCACGAAAGTGCTCGGTCTAACCGCTGATCTCACGATCGAATCTGATGTTGAAAACCTATTCAAACAGGCCTTGGAAAGCTTGGAAACCATTGATGTGGTAGTCCATGCTGTCGGTATCATGGGGGATGGAGCTGTCGGCGACACGGAGCCTAGTAAGTGGTTCAGGGACTTCGAGGTTAATGTGAAGGGGTCGTACGTACTTGTTCACTACTACCTCAAGGCGGTGGGTTCGGGGACGTTCATCAATATGGGAACGCTGGCTGCTGCTATCACGTTTCCTGGTATAAGTGCCTACTCTGGGAGTAAATTGGCTTTGGTGAAGTTGAGCGAGTACCTTGATGCTGGTAATTGACATCGTCTTTGTGATTCCGCACTGTGCTAACGTAATGACAGAGAAACCGAACTTGCGCGTCTTCACTGTTCACCCTGGAATCGTCGCTGAAACGAAGAGCGGTCGTGGAAGTGTCGTCGAAACTTTCAAGCCCTACGCACACGACCAAGGGATACAGACTGGTGGTCTTTCGCTCTACCTTGCGCAACCCAAGGCGGATTTCCTGCGTGGATCGTTCATCAGTGTTAATTGTAGGTTCCTTCCTAAGAAGCCTCCCTGGCTGGTCACTGGCGACGCTTGCTAACTTTTGACAGGGGATGTAGAGGAATTGGAAGCGCATAAGGGGGAGATCACTGAGAAGAAACTACTTAAGCTCTCTTTTCTTGGTGCTCAACTTGGTCCTGAGGGTCACCCTTGGTCCACGTGAACGGGAGATTTTGAAATCAAAAGTAGATAATGGTTTCAGTGCGTTCAGCTACCTTGTGTCGCATTGCCTTCTTCATTCCAGATAGGAGAAATGGGAAGGTGCGTGGATGAAGTATTGCAAGTCACTTGTCTACAACTTCCCGTCGAAAAGTATACATTATAAAGACATTCTGACCTTGAGTACTTCCAATCACAATCACAAGAACATCATCATCATCGCTATACGTTATTCATCCGTTTTTGAGACCCCACACTGCGTATTTATAACTCACTATCGCTTTCATCATGGCAGTCCAGACTGTCTTCGATAGACATCGTACACCAGAAGAACTCGCGACTGCAGCCAGACCAAGCTCTCCTCCGCTCGTCAATATCGAACTTCGAGACCTCTCATCGCCGACACCGACCGTTGATCCTCCACCAGTGGTGGATAGTGGTGAAATCGCGTGGCGCCAGGTCCTGTCTTGTTTCTTGACGGTCATGAATAGCTCCGGCTTCGTTTCGTCTTTCGCGCTATTTCAAGGGACGTGGCAGAAGTCACTCTCGCGGTCCGCTTCTGATATCGCTTGGATCGGATCGTTCGCGCTTTTCCTAGGTCACGCTATTGGAAGCGCGTGCGGATATATGGTACATCCGAAGTACTTTCGTTTCCTCATGATTTTCGGCGGTTTCAGTGTCTGTCTTTGCATATTCCTCACCTCTATCTACGACGATAGTTATGGGTACTTGGTCATCGTCCAGGGCATTGGAATGGGCATAGGCAATGGACTGCTACTTGCGCCCTGCACTTCACTGATTTCACAACATTTCGTCAAGCGACGAAAGCTTGCCTTGGCTCTCTACAGTTGTGGAGCTCCCTTTGGTGGCGCCATGTTTCCTCTTGTAAGCAATCGGTCGACAACTTGTTCCTTCTCTCCAGACTAACCGACCTTGTAGATTTTCAGCCACCTCAAGCCCATGATTGGATTGAAATGGACCCTTCGGGACATTGGATGCTTGACTATTTTCACCTCCATCCTGGCCGCCGGCCTGGCATCACCGAGACATGTACAGCGTGAGGGTCCACTGATAGACCTGAAAGCATTCCGAGATCCAACATATTCTCTCTTTACAGCCAGTACCTTCTTCACGTTCCTGGGTCTGTACAATGTCTATTTCTACCTACCGATTTGGTGGCAAACACAGCTCGGTGTCTCCGAGGATGAGTCCTTTTTCTGGCTGGTGATATGCAATTGTGCCGGCATCGTAGGGCGCCTCGTGCCTGCGCTCGTGACCGAGAGATATTATTGGACATTCTTCATGCTGTACAAACTGTTCATTGTACTCACGATGGTGTGCTTTTGGTGGCCCACTCAGAACAACCGGGAGGCTTTCATCTTCTCTACCGTCATGTATGGGTTCTGTGCAAATGCGGCACAGTCGTTCTATCCTACAGCCCTGTGGACTCTCTTTTCAGAGGCTCGTACTGATTATCGCTTGATCGGCGCGCGAATTGGAATGACGTTCTTGGTTGGCAGTTTGGCGTGTCTGATCGGTCCACCGATTGCCGGGGCGATTATGGATTACAACGATGGGAAAATGCTCGGGCCCATGATCTTCTCAGGCATTGCCATTGGTCTAGGGTGTCTGCTGTTGGGCGCATCGCACACCATCTGGGTCCGACCTGTCGGGTTAATCAGGGCTCTTAATTCTTAATTGAACTCATCACGCTTCATGACTAGTTTATAGATCTCCCGACTTGACTCTCATCAAGTGCTGGTTTTTGGTTTCTGCACATTAGAACTGTCTCTGAAGCAGGGCTTTGGTCCCTCATTCTAGTGGCACAATTTCAATATCATGAGTTCCAGTCTGAAAGTTGAGAGTGCAGAGTGCATGCATATCCCATATTTTTCTGGATTTGCAGCTCTGTGAATCCTACCCTACAGGTGAAACTGGTTTTGCAAGAACATAACGCGTGGATTCCTCTGGTGCAGTCGCAGATGCCCAAGTGAGTTTCTGTGGAAAGATCGCCGGCCGAAACTCACAACTCACAAAGCACCACTATCCTTACTACACACCACACCACATCCAAATCGTTTACCAACTTGGAAGCTTTCAGAATCTCCAGAGGCAATCACTTATACATCACATACCACACACCACATGCAAACCGTTGCTAGCTTGAACGCCTTCTCGTAACACCAAAGACAACCACTCGCACATCACAGCTGTCGGTATGCTTCTTCTCATCATTTGTATATCTGGTACCCTCTCACATAAACAAGTCTCAGCCACGAAGGACCGTTCGTCGCGACAAATTTCTATCCCAAGCCAAATAGAGCAGTGTCGCAGTGTCGCACAGCATCAACACAGTACAAGCGCCGCAGCCGACCTCGTGCAACATCAGCAAGATGGCCGATGCAAGACAAGAGCACCCTGTACCGACGATCCCTCAAGATCCATCAAGTTACACGAAGTCCCCCGAGCCAAGAGGAGTTACATTCCAAGAGCCTAGCCTACGAGCGGCATCTCCTCGACGACACACGCGTTCCGAACAAGCACCATTCAGACAGCACCGGCCTGCATCACCGCTAATGGCACCTCGATGGTCATTGAGCACAACTTGGACTAAAATCGATTACTGGGCTAGGAGGATGTGGGTGACGAGACGTTTGAAGTTCTGGATTGTAGCGATGCTATTCTTTGGCATTTTGGGGGCGATTGTAGTGTTTGGCGTATATGCACTACTCAAGTGCAAGAAGAGTAGCGACAAGGGCGTTTTCAGTTCATGGAGGGTTTGCAATTAGGGCGGCTTACACGAACATCTCCCGTGGAAGGTCGGATGGCAAAGAAGATCGGAGAAGAAAAGGGTATATGCGATTCATAGAAGGGCGCTGCTTTTGCCGTGGACTAAGAATAAACTCACGGTTCTTCTAGAAGAGTTCTATGGCCGATTGCCTGAAGGGGTTAGTAGGGTTTCTTATCTCGGTTAGCAAGCGGATCCACGTGGCGGTTTAATGGTCGGAAAAAAAATATGATTCACCAGCCAGCCAAGCATCGTGAAAAGATTTCCCCGAGTGATAGGATAGCCACAAACCACTTTCAAATGGGTTTAGGACCTGAGTTGTGTAAGCCTGTATGGCAAATGATATCCTGTATTCTCGCTTTCTAATCGAAAGGCGAGTATGACTGCTTACTTTGGGGCACGTTTCGTAAACTCGCTCGATAAGAGGCCCAAGCGGTGAGCCACGGCCTAATCGAGAGCTAACATAATTATTACCATTTTTCTTCAAAATTGGTCGAACATGGCCGACCGCAAGCCGGGCCAGGCGCGGGAAATTCTCTGATACGAAATCGTTCCTTTTTCTGCCCCCTTAGCGAATCCCTTAAAATGCTCCCTACCCGCCTTCCACTCCACTCTTGATCTTCCCCACGCTGTTCTCCCCCACACCACGGCAACGTCCTCTCGAGGTCAATGAGCCTCACCGGCCATTATCTGACTCCTACGAGCAGCCTGCCACCGGTTCGCTCCCTGGTGGCTGCTTCCGAGGAACAAATCCTATCTTCTCTGCGCAATCTGCAAACAATATACTGTCCACTTCGACTTCCGGTCACCGTCCACTCCGACCCCAGATTTAAGCGGGTGGTCAGCGCTTCGACAACGCCTGTGGATTCCGGTTATGTCTCCCACGATGAAAGTGCCGGCGGCGTAGACGCTGAAGCTGCGATTGCCGATCTCCGTGCAGATGTATTCGAGCGGAACTATGTCATCCGGTGGTTGACAGCATTGATTGCACGTGTTGAAGAGTTATCAATCGAGTCAGAGAGCGTCAGGGAGTGCGTGCTTGACGATGCCGCATTCATTCTCTCGTCATTCAGCGATTCGACCGAGGACGGGGAAGATCAGTCCATTACCCGCGACTTCTCCTTCCAAACCTCCTTGCCAGATTCCAACCCCGTCAAGGTCCAACTCAACGACGCGCCTCTCACCGGCGTAGACCACACCGACGTCGGTCTTCAGAGCTGGGGTGCTTCGATCATTCTTTCCGAACTCCTCTGTCTCGACCCCACTCGCTTTGGTCTGGATGGCGTCTCCACCGTCGTCGAACTCGGTGCTGGCACCGGGCTCGTCAGTCTCACCCTCGCCACTCTTCTCCCCCAACTTCCTACCAGCACCACCAAGCCCACCGTCATCGCCACAGACTACCACCCGGCGGTCCTCGACAACCTCCGCGCAAACATCACCACCAACTTCCCCTCCTCCCCCTCCTCAGCCGTGCAAACCGCCCTCCTGGACTGGTCCTCCCCCTCCCTCACCGGCCCCCTCTCCTCCCCCGTCGACATGCTCATCGCCGCGGACGTGATCTACGCGCCCGAACACGCCCAATGGCTCCGCGACTGCGCCGCCCGCATGCTCGTTCCCTCCGGCGTCTTCTGGCTTATCGCTACGGTGCGCAAGTCCGGGAAATTTGAGGGCATCGCGGATACAGTGGAAGCGGCTTTCAAGATCGAGGACTGTCCGCGGTACGAGAGTACCGGGCGCGTGTTTAGGATTCTAGAGAAGACGGAGGTGGAGAAGAAGAGGGGGATTGGACGCGGGGATGAGAGTGGGTATTTGCTTTTTAGGATTGGCTGGGACTGATGAGGAGCAAGAGGACCTTGTTTCTTTCTTTTTTGAGTTGAAGTTTTACGAGTGATTGTTGGGGTTTAAAGGAAAGAGGGGGAGAATGGTATAGATGCGTATAGATGCGAGATACCCATGCATTAAACGTAGACATATAGAAAAGATGAGAACCTAGATACACAGAGTAGATGGGATATATAATTGGGCATTAGATGTATGCGAACAACGAAGGAATAAATTTGAAATGGTATGGAGAACATGGCTTACTGCATTGGCTGCATCACGTTCCAGCTATGCTTTCCCCATTATGACAATCGGTGCTATAGGTCCTCAGTATCTGAACTGGTCAGCTATTCAACTATAATCTAATTGCATGGAAGCAATGCTGGCTTTATGCAGCGAATATCGCAATGTTGCATAAACATTGACGTAGTTGAAAGGCTGTATAAAGTTTTATAAGGAATCCATGACGAAATAGGAGTTACCCCGAGCTAATGAATCAGAGATCTCGCTTCCATATAAATGTTTTCAAATGAATAGTAGGTTTTCGCGCTACAGCATTGATCTGATACCACGGCCCACGCAGCCATGGAAAACATCTTTTGCGCTATCGGATCTTTGGACATGATTCGTATGTGTGATCCTTCGTCATCGGAAAGTACAAAGCCGCGGGATTTTACTGAAGGAACAACTATGACTGTAGTTAGTCAAATGTTTAAAGATGACGGAACATCATTAATTTTGACTCTTACCATTTCCCGTCTGCTATGGAGTGTCGCGATTGGTGTCTGCCTGATATCCTAGACACTTAAGGATTGTACTCCGATCTCTCCAACTATTCCGAGCACTCCGACAGCCAATAGGTCATCATCGGTCCCTGAGAAGCACGGAAGATCTGATAAGGACCTCCCAAGATCAGATAAGCGCTTACTGTGAACTAAATAATGGTTTGTTCTCTTTCAATAGAACTCCTATGACTTTGGTTATATAAATGAGATGTCTGCTGTCCTGCTGTTATGTCGAATCATCAGAACGCTTGTACGGCTCTGAAAGCTTTGGAGTCTACAGCCCTTTTGTTGAATTTTTTCTAATTAATACATTCATTGCGGTGTCCTAAATCGCATTATCAGTCGTGAACTCAAAGTGACTGTTATAAAACCCCATCAATTAAGATGGCGCCCCAGCCTGACGTCGAGTTGGCCGACGTGATCGCGCCCGTCGACTCTAAAAGCGCTTCGGAACCCGTCAAGACTTCCCTGAAAGCCCATGATCCGTTCCTCGTGGAGTTCGACCAACAGTTCGACGCGGACAACCCCAAGGACTGGCCGACGGGACGAAAATGGGCCGTCACAGATGTTCTCTCCGCGACCGCGTTCAATCGCATCATGGTCTCCACCATCATGGCACCAGCCCTTTCGACAATCGGCCATGAACTCCACATGTCTCCCACTGAGTCTGCAATGTCTCTATCTATATTTCTGCTCGCAACGGCGTTTGGCCCTCTCTTCATAGGGCCACTATCTGAGATATATGGCCGACAGCCAGTTCTCCATGGCTCCAACGTATGGTTTCTCGTGTGGAATATCGCATGCGGATTCGCGAATTCGAAGCATCTTTTGATTGGCGCGAGGTTTTTGGCTGGGTTCGGGGCCAGCTCGATTTATGCACTTGCTGGAGGTGTCATGGCGGACTTGTGGAGACCGGAGCAACGGGGTCGGTCGCTGGCGATGTATATTCTGATTCCCATACTCGGAGCCGCTGTCGGTAAAACTCAACAACCTTTGCATTTCTTCGTTGACAATTGCTGACGCGTGTGGAATTAGGTCCCATCATAGGCGGCTTCATGGCCGGTAGAACGACATGGAGATGGATGTTCTGGTCCACGTCGATATTCCAAGCCGTCATGACCGTCGTCTCCATGACAGTCTTCCGCGAGACGTATGCTCCGACAATCCTCAAACGCCGTGCCAAGGCACTTCGGGAGCAAACGAAAAATGACGCATACTACACAAGCTACGAGCGAGCGGAAGAAAAGGATTCGAAGATGCTCGTGCTGAGGCGTGCTCTTACCAGACCGCTGTGGCTCCTCGCATTCGACCCAATCGCACAGGCGACTTCGATCATATCTGGCGTCGGGTACGGCACGCTATACGTATTCCTCTCCAGCTTCTCTGAGCTCTGGATTAAGCAGTACCATATGTCCGTCGAGAAGAGCGGGCTTCACTACATTGCGTGTGCTCTTGGAGAGGTGGCTGGGAGCCAAATAGGCGGTCCCTTGATAGACTACCTGTACAAGAGGCAGCTGGCGAAATCTCAAGGAGACATACAGCCCGAATCAAGGGTACTCCTCATGATTCCGTGTGCACTACTCACCCCGATCGGAATCCTCATCTACGGCTGGACTGCTCAGTATAAAGTCTCGTGGATTGCCGTGGACGTCGGAATGTTCCTGACTATGTTCACGATCCAACTCGGCAGCCTACCGATGCAAGCTTATATCATGGACATCTACCAGAACTACACGAGTAGTGCGTTGTCGGCGACTCAGTTTCTCAGGAGCCTTACCGCGTTCTTGTTTCCACTCTTCGCGCCGTCCTTGTACAGTCGACTCGGCTACGGATGGGGCAATACCCTTATTGCTATATTGGGATTGCTCGTCAATCTATGCGCGCCTTGGGTACTCTGGGCGTATGGCGCGCGGTTCCGGGCGAAGGGGTCGTCGGTTCGGTAGTGTTTGGGTCGCGCAGGTTGGAGGACTGCATGCTGACTGCTTCAGAGCGTGTATGTATGGACAAGGATAGATGCGCTCGGTGGAGTCTGGCTATCATTACTGGCCCATATGAGAATATGTAGGCTTTAGAGAGCGAGGTGTAACGTTTCAATATACCTTTTGTCACCAATGTCAATGTCTAGTCGCCGAACATTGCAGTAAGCCAATTTGCTCATCTTACGTAGGAAGTCCTCAACCTGCGTCTATTTGCATTCTCCCATGGATTGGCTCTGTTGGACCCTAATATCCGTTCCTGTCCCTTGTCAAAAGTAGGGACGTCATCCAGTCGACTGGGGCCGAATTGATCAGGTGGGATTGCGGTCCGCGTGTATATTCCATCACTCTCTACGCCCTTGTCCAGCGATTAAGGCGGTAGTTACGCCCCGTGGAGATATGTGTTAGACTAGATAGAGTAATTAACCAAGCGCATATCGGAACTTCCAAGGAGGTGGTGGGAGTTTGACTGGATTCCTTCGAACTAGGGTCTAGGAATTTCGAGATTCCACTTCTTGGGTCTTGCCAGGATGGACGACACAGCGTAGCTCACAGGACCTTTGATAGTCAATGGTAGTATGAAACGTAATCGTGGTCGTGCTATGGAAGGATGTGGAATTCCTGACGCAAGAAAATTTGTTGACAGCGATTGTCTACACCAGACCCAGACAGATGATCAACCGCAAGGCAAGTCCACCGTAAGCGATCTACATCGCCTCACACCAGGAACGCCTCTCTGTCATGGCTATCGTCATTCGAGTCAACAAACTCTGCGATCATCTTTCCAGTAGGTCTGGCGGAAGATTTCGTCCAGCACGCACTCCATCCAGTTTCCCTGTTTTCGCGTGAAGCTCGGCAATTGTATGGTTCCGTAACCGAAGCAGACTGGAAGCTGCCGTCTGATGTGGCAAAGGCTTGTGCTCATCTGTTGAATGTGCGCTTAAATTAATCATTGGACCGGATCATTCTCTACGTGCCGTACGTGGCTTGCGCTTGATCGATCTGGGTATTTCTTGATCAATGTCCGCGCATGCAGTAAGCAAGGTCTTTGAGACATTGCATTGGGAAGTCGTCTAAGAGCAATGGAGTGTGTTTCAATGTCTCGTCTGTCAGAGTTGACGGATTCATCATGCTGCACAAGATACCTGGCTGGTCGCATGAGGTGGAGACGGTCACCTGATGCTTCGGCGACGGGTAGACAATTCTAAAGTCTTTGGTGATACGAAGCTAATGGATGATCTGAGGCGTAGTTATAGTGTGTGTCGTATTCACATGCAACAGCGGGCCGTTCGGCGGTGAAGGATGAAGACAGGCGACATTCCATCCTGCCATGATTCCGCACCTGGCTGGCTCACTTAGTACATGGCTGTTATTAATGGAGTAACATGCACATTTACTTGGCATACAATTCCTCTCAATGGAACCCCCTTAAACTTGCCATTCCAGTAGACGAAAACATGTTTCAGAGACACATACGCAATTATCTAGAGTTGAGTGCAATTTCAAAGACAGACGGTGAATGCAGGATGAATGTTCCCTGAGGGCGTATTGTTTGTTACGGAAACGAAGAGGCCGAAAAGTTGCCGTAGGAGTTACCACGGTAGCCGCCACAGTGGGGCCCGGTCTCTGCTCAAAAAACTAAACATGGATTGTTTTACAATTCGGGTCGCCGCCCATTGTTGGAATTTGCACATTGGCAGCAGTTACACGATCGATCATGCAATGGGGTGGAGAAACAAGAGGCTCAATGCACCTTGCCGACTAAACATAAAGTGTGCGTCTTGCAGATATTGAAGGATCCCCCATCAGGACGAAACCAATTGGCAAAGAACTGTGCCTCAGTGGGGAGAGGCTAGTGTGCCGTTAAAGGCTCCTCCGTCGTTTTTAGGTTTGAACCGGGCGTTTCCCCGTCTAGGCTATGAACTCCTGGAGGATTTCCATGTTCCTCAATATATTTTTGAAAGTCAAAGTCTATTACTGAACAGTGCATGCTTCGAACGGTTGGAAGGCCCAGTTTTTACCCGTCCGAACAACGTCAATCCCCATCATTGCAAACTCAATTGAATCAACATCAGTGCTGTCCTGCGTTTCTGGAAGACTAGGACCGGCCCGGCGTAAGGAAGAGGAAGCCCGCGTCTAGTGTTGACAGTTTCGTTCAGGATGTTGGCGGATTGGACGGGCCGACCGCCACTTCCAGTCTTCGCAGTCTCTCCGAGCATATTTATGCATGTGCTGTGCTCAGACAATTGGGGATTATGAATTGTAACAAGGAAAGATCTTCTTGAGGGCGACAATCTCTGCCATTAGGGAAACAATGCACAGGGCAACTGCCAACGCAATACAATGCCGTGACTCGTGAACAAACGAATTGCGCCATTGGCGGGAACGAAATGGATTTCCTACTTATTATTATGGGGGCGTTCTGCCAACCATTTCTCCAGACTCTAGTCGCCCGGAAAGACCCTTGTGATCGAGAAATGCAGGTCTTCCATAGCTTTGCTTTGTGTTGTGGTGCTGCCGCTTCTTGGTTTTGGAGTTCACAATGGCCAATGAATAAAGTCGCGGTGTATACTTCCCCATGTCGCCTGCTTCCTTAGGCCTAAACCGGCTATGTTTTAGCTTATGGCTACTGGAGTTCAACAAAATCTTTACATCTAGCAACGGAACATTGCAGAACGAAAGATAAGACTGCTTCAACTTGGTCCCTCAGTGCTACAGGTACATCCGCCGTATTGGCGGTTATAACCGAGCACTCGATGTGGGCGCTTCGCGCCAATCTAACTTTTTGTTGTTCCATAGATTCATTAATGACAACGCTTATTGACATCTCACATAGCACTACTATCCGAGATGCCCAATGCGGATAAATATGCGCTATTGCCAGAGGGATCGTGGAACACACGGACGTGCGCCGACAGCAACAGTTGGTTAATCGGCGCCTTAAGATGTTGTACAGACCGAGGCCGTTATGACGATCGATCTTGACAGCAGAGCGATAGCAATGATTGTCGACCGAAGAAGCTCCCGTTGGTAATGTATTGCAAAGCAGACAGGCTTCTGGACCCATTACAACCCCACAGCTTCATCGTCATCATACCTGGAGACGCACCACGCTGTCCAGATTGGCACGACCGTATGCCGCTTTCGTTTTGTAACAAGGCAATGCTGGATGAGCTTATGTTCGTCATCTGGTTAGAGCGCTCAACTTTACTTGTTACAGCGCTGGATAACGACAGTACAAGTGCCGACCCAATTTTGAATGTACAATTCGGCCGAAATGGCCGAAGTGGCTTTGGTTGTGGGAAAGGGTCCATCTGTGCTACTAGCCCCTTTTGCATTGACAAGAAAGACCATGGTTGTACGGTACCGAAAGGAAGAGGAGGCCCATTGAATTGTCGAGCGCAAAAGCCATGTACATACCATGAAAAGACGGTTTTGAAGAATATGAACGGGCATTGTAGCAATATGAACATTGAAACCGGGTACCCCGCAAGATTGACAGATTGAAAGCCCCGAATTCGGCCCATGAATGGACGAAAATCGAAAACATAGGAACGGCTCGCGCGCCTGTATTGTCTGTGTATGTGGGATTGACAACAATGTCCCGCGGCACTTTCCTACCACCCTACTGTATGACCATGTCGCCTCATTGCATTGAAAAACCTTCCCTACCCTGGCCAAAGGACTTTTCTATTAGGGACTGCTAGGCCTGGCGAAGACTAGCCATTCCTGCAATTTCCAGGGTGCGAGGCTCATCCGTTAGTCCCGACAAAGCTGTTCGCGGTCGGTTGAAATCCTCAAATTGTCAAATCCAGCAACTGCATAGTCGTATTCGTTTTCAAACTGTCATATCGCTCTTCCCAGGACTCAAGACATTAGCTTCATGTACTTCCTAGTAAAGCAAGCGCGATAAGCGTTGTAAATGAAGGTATCCCATGTCCCAATATAAATGTACCCGGCAGCACCTTATCCTCGGAGCGCGAGACAACTGGGGTCTTCGCCATAGTCTATACTAGATATGGCGCCATAATTGACCGACTTTTGCTAAGCTGGGATCTATTTTCTCACTGCACAAGGGACAAATGCATGTCGTCTCATCAGAGCGCTTAGGTTGCTGGAGAAAAAGTGGGCAGAGCACGGCCAATGTTTGAGTCAAGCCGCGCGGAACGGCCTGAATTCGGCAATGCCCCCTCTTTGACCTCACATGTTTTGGGATTGAGGCCTTAAATCTTGTCTGAAAGGCGAGACATTGAAAACTGGGATGCTTCGGCTTGCGCTGTAGTGGCATGTACGGTTCAGTGCATCGGGTCGTATTCGACGGTAGCTACCCAGATTGGCAGTTAAAACCATACTTGAAGCTATGCATTGGCGTCGTAACAGGAATGTTTTGGAAAACCAACAAATCGAAAATTTCTATTTGCTAGGATTCATATCTAAGTGGGGTCCGACTCAGCTGTTTGAACAGTATATCCATGTGCCTTCCGGAACTGCTCTCCCACGTGGGTCGCCTTTTTTGTATCTGACCATCATAACTGACCACTTACCTCAACGTCGGATCCAGTCCCATCAAACCTCTCCCCATTATTGCATTGTCTAAAGTGAAAATACACCAGTGACAATACAACCGCCACAATCGCCACAATGACAACAGTCAATGGGTTTCTTCCCTTGAGCAAGAAAGTACCTGAGCTCACTCGGAGAGACACGCTGACCTCAGGAACGGGATTGCTCAATGGGAATAAGAAGACAACGGAAGTTCCTCGAGGAAAGAAGGTTGTAACAATCAAGCTCCCAGGTCTCTACACTGGACTCCTGGCCCAGCCTGCACGCCTGAATCCTTTTCTAAAATCTGACATCTCGCGGCAAGCTGAAGAGTGGTCACGCGAGTAAGTTCCAGCGATTGTCTCTCGACTTACGTTTGCTGAACGAGTCAGGATAATGGGACTGAATGAAAAGGGATACGCCCGATTACGGGGCGCTCAATTCCCATTGCTAGCAGCTGGTTTTGCTCCGGATACCGATGCGAACGGCTTTCGAATACTTTGTGATTGGATGATCTGGGTAGGCACAGACCTCGTTGTTGACATGACGTTCCGTGATGAAGCTGACCTTGATTAGGTTTTCTACTTTGATGATTGTAAGTAACAACTACATTTGTGATTCAATCGTGCGTTGAAGATTTTCATTTCTGGAGACTGACCACGTTCTGGTCTATAGTGTTTGATGATGGAGAGCTTCGAAATGATCCGATGGCAGCTCGACGAGAGATCAATGCGCATTTGGCGCTCCACTCAGATGATCATCCGGACGTGTCTCCCAAAGAACGGCCTGTGCGTCTTCTATATCAAACTCTCTGGAGAAAGATCAAAGCGGTGAGTAGTCTTCCTAAGCGTGAACCGATATCGTCATAATTGTGATGTTTCTAACACATATCAAGATATCGACAAAAGGTGCCCAACAACGTTATATCCAGTCAATGAGGCATTATTTCGAAGGTATCGCCCTTCAAGTCGACTCCGTTTATTGGCATTCTCAAGGTTACACCGCTACTACATTCGATATGTATTGGCGTGGACGTACCCACTCTGCTGGCAGCCGACCTTGCCAAGCGCTCCTAGAGTAAGATATCATCCGTACTTCTGTTGTACGTGATCTAATTGAAGTAACAAGACCTCTGTACAAAATCACACTGCCTGATCATGTGTGGGATCACCCAATGATCAAAGAAGCAGAAGACACCGCCACACATTTGATCATGTTGTAAGTAATGGGTCTGATCTCTTTTTTAGCAAACCAGGAAATATGCTGACTGTTCCTATCACAGTTACAATGACGTATTGTCGTATCGTAAGGAAGCAGTAAGATGCAATGATCTCAATAAAGCTATTGCATTGGACTAACGTATTACACAGAGTGAATTAGTGCCGCATAACAGCATCCATATTTTGCAGCGAGAACGAGGCTACAGCTTGCAGGAAGCATATGATTTTGCCAATCAGCTCATTAAGCAGATGTTTCAGCGTTGGTATTGGGCGCAGCAATGCTTGCCAAGTTGGGGCGAAGAGATAGACATCCAAGTCCAAAAGTATCTACAGGGCGTATTGGACCAGGCGAAGGGAAATTTGGATTGGAGGTATGTATACAGTTACATCACCTCCATAAGAACCTGATCGCTAACATTTGCATAGTTTTGGATCACGGAGATATCTCGGAAAAGATAGTGAAGCTGCCCGGGCCACAATGACTTTGGATTTTGTTGTGGATGAGTAGATGTCGGGAGAAAGGAATGACTTTCTTGTTTTAGTTTCACGGCGTTTCGATATCACCTACGAGCATTCCTTCGGCTGTTTTCCCTTGCATTATACACACAGATAGAGTTGAACGACAAGTCTGAACAATCAATAACATAATTTTCCAATTTTTGAAACTGAATAATGCGTCCACATATACACCAGCTTCTGCACTTGTGCGCTGTAGTTACTCCATTTCAGACAATGTCATATAAACAAAGAGGTGTCTCTTCAATGGCAAGGATTGGAACTTGCAAGAGTTAGCTCCAAAACATTCCATAGACCTCGTATTTCCAATGTAGTCAGCATTGTCGCCCTAAACGACATAATCCCAAAAGCGGTATTGCGCCAAGCCTAATGCTTCCTCAGGAATAGCACCAGCCATCCCAGGAGCCTATAACCCAGGGTAATGACTAGCATGTATCCTACATATTTCCCGACATCGCCAGTTTTGTATCCGTAGTTATGAAGAACGGCATTGCCGTCGATCAAACATTGATCCTCCAGAGCGCTAGGGTAAATGCAGCGACAATCCGACCCGCAGCTGTAATTTCGACCTCCAAACTCATTCACCATCATGCCTCTGAAAACATAGGCTTGGTAGTCGATAGGATGGAACACGTATCTCCAAAACACATTCAATGCCTCAGGTTGGACCATAAACCCATTGACGGACATCCATAGGCCATTAGCGAATGCGGTTGCTGCCAATGCGACAACAAATATGGGCACAAGCGAGGACAGGAGCACGACCAATGACTCAGCAGCCAGCAGATCGAGGAACAGCCAAATAACCCATACCCAGAATCCCTCGCCGGTGCTGCGGAAGTTCGACAGCCAGTATGCGACGATTGAAAAAAGAACCGCAATCACGAAGAGATAGGGTATGCCAATGATGAAATTCGCGACCATGAATGCCGTGGGGCCATACAATCCGTTCGCGCGTTCTCGTGTGAATATTTGGAGATCTTCCAGAAATGCGGGGATGTATGCGACGGCCATGAAGGACATGAAGGCTCCGCCGAAGAAAATCGCATTGATGAAGGCGCCGATGTTGGCCTGGGTTGGCTCCAGTCGCAACCAAACCGTACCCATCATAATTGCGAGTCCAAGATACATGGCAATGCGTATGCCATAGGCCACGATATCCCGGTAACTTTTGATAAAGGAGCGATGGATGAGCGTCACTGGAGTCAGGAAACGATTGCTAGATTCGTCGCTGATGTGCTCGGGTATTCCATCCTGGGATGCCTGGCTCGTGGCAATCGCGTTTTGGACTTCTGAGGCTTGAACGGATGCTGACCACGAAGACTGAAGTTCGGAAAGAACTTCAAGTGCGGATGTTTGACCGTACGAAAAGTCAGTGTTGACCAGCTGAATCACATACTCTGCTGGGTTGGTGTAGAGCGGAATTGCATGTCCAAGGGAGGCGAAATAATCCACCATGCGTGCAATGGGGCCATTATAAACAGTCTTACCGCCCGAGAGCAGAAGTAGTGAATCGAAGAGCTCGAACGTCGCAGTAGACGGCTGGTGAATGGAGGCGATAACGATAATCTTCAATTTGCAATTGTCAGCCTTGCCCAGCTATAATTTTAGCCTGATCGCTGGTGCTTACGTTATAATCCTTCGCGATTCCCTTTACGAACTTCATAACCTCGAAGCTGGCGGTCGAGTCCAATCCGCTTGTTGGTTCATCTAGGAATAGTATCTTCGGCGAGGTTATCAAATGCGCTGCGACGCTGACCCTTCTCTTCTGGCCTCCAGACAAGCCTTTCCGAATGGGTGTCCCGATCAAAGTGTTCTTTTGCTCGGTTAAACCGAGAGCGCCGACCAGGGACGTGATTGTCGCCATTCTTTCAGCTTTGCTGACGCCGCTGTGGTTGCTGTCAGCACTGAATCACTGCGCCCCAGCTGTCCATGAGCTGGGTTTTTTGCTTACTGACCCTGGCAGTGATAATCGAGCTGCAAAATTCAACGTCTCGTACACAGTCAAAGACCCGATGAGAGCATCTTCTTGTTCAACGAATGCGCTGGTTTTGCGAAATGCGTCTAATGAGGTCTCGGAACCGTTGAGGTTTATGGATTTTTGGACGTTGGCATTAAGTGATGCTTCACGATGAGCAAGGACATTGAGAAGAGTAGTCTTGCCTGAACCACTGTAAATAATTAGAACATTGGCAGGAATTGAGAACAGTAGAGCAAGAAAAACGTACCTTGGTCCCATAATCGCTACCATATCTCCTTTTATTGACAGTTAGATAAGGAAACAAATAAGCACAGCCAACGTACCTCCACTGGCAATGCCACTTATACTCGAGAGTATCTCTTTGGGCGAACCATCATGGCGGTCATTGACTGTGACCGTGATATCCTTCCAACTCAGAGTTTTGATCGAAGTATTTCGGAGATGCGTGTATTCGGAAAAGGAGTTTTTCTCGAGGTCTTCCGATTCCTTGCCCATATTGCGATCACTCTTGAAGAAGGCTGAAAAAACAAATAGCTTGACTTTATTGAGTATCATTAAGTTGTGTTTTGATTATAGAGAAATAGATTTCATTGGGGATGCCGCTGAACCTTTATTGATAATGACTGCGCAGACTAACACATTTGCTCCTGCACGGACTTACCCATTTGCCTTCCTGCACGTCTCACTACGCCCCAGGTCCCAAGACGCCGAACAGGCAGCATCTGCCTCGGCGAATGGGGCGTTACGTTGAATACTCGTATTTGTTGGTACTATTGGGATAAATTTTTGACCAGTCGCACGGGAGCGTAGCGATGAGCCGGCGCAGCGACTATGCTCTTTGCCAACCGAGTTCCTCGAAGTCAGCACCTTAATTCTAGCGCTGATCGAAGTCGCCGAATATCACAACACTGCCAACCTGCAAGAATGTAAATCATACTTCCCTCGATAATTCGATTTACGGACTCGATGCTGTCAATTCAATACTGTATTGACATTTCCCAGTGAGGCCAATCAAAACCTGGTTGATGATGAACTCTTCTCGCCAACGTGTCGTGGAAACCAATCTTCGATTTTATGTTTCTTCTGTCCCCACTCGCTTTGATGCTATGCTTTCGATGCCAGTCCATTGTGTGCAATCTCTTTATGATACTAGCTGACATTGGAAGGGCTGACGAATTGATCATATGCGCTTTCCCTAACATTGGTATAAACAGTATCAACCATCTTCCCATCAATTAATTGCACACGCGTAATTAGCTGTACGACGAGTGAAAGCAAGTTGCTTTCAGTTTTCTATACTCTCATTCACGGTCAAATGGAGTAGTAGGCCGCTAGTGTAAGGTTAATCCAATGCACCGCCTTACCATATTTGTCGGGTTTATCAGATGAACTACAAAGTTAGGTCGCCGATGTGTGATTTTATCGGTGACATCGGGCTCCCCAAAGTTGTAGCGTATGACCGACTCAATGTAGTACTTATAGGTAAATGAAAACGCTACGGCGTTTAAGAGTACTTCAAAAACCTCAATTTCGGCCATAACAAAGCTAACTCATGTCGGGACCTTCATAGGTAAAGACCATGACTTCGATGCACTACTATAGGAATGCAATCGCCACCATTGCTGGTGTAGGGTTCGGTGTTCAGAGACACTAAGTACAGGTTCTGGGGCGTGGCTGATTCTCTGCCCTAGCACATTTCGAAATGACAATGGATGTGTCGATTTTGACGGAATCATAGACATGGGTTTTTCGAAAGAGTAAAGCGTAACCACGTGCTCAAATGAGCCCTCATAGCTAGTAAAAGCTACCAAACTCTATAATCGTCAGTGTTCATTTGAGTTCTTGTGACGTCACCTACGGACAATGAACACCCCGCCTTTCGCCACAAAATTATGGATGCTGCATCACCAACTCCGAACCGCTAAAGGATTCTAGGGAATTAAATCAGAAGGCCTACTTCGTCGAAAATAAATGGCTGAGATATCTTCACCAGCCCTGACAGCCGTCATCTGTACGCTGGAACACCGAGCATGGGCCGCGTTATGCTCCTCTGGAGCTGAACTTCTCCCACTACTTTCCTCCAACCCCGTCATGATATTCCCCGGAGACAACGTCTTTACCGCGGCATCGTCTCCAACACTAGAACAGATGCTCACAAACGCATCTTACAAGCCCTGGAAGAACTACACACTTAGCCACGACGAGGTTATCCCACTCGGCGAATCGAGTGCATTGATCTATTACCGCGTGGAGGCCACCAGAGATGATGCAACTTTCCGAGCAATTTGCTCGAGTGTTTGGTTGAGGGAAGGAGATAGCGCCCAGGATTGGAAGATGGTCAGCCATCAACAGACTCTTTTCTAAATTGTCTTCATCCTGGATGGGTTTCGAGGCTTGAATTCTCAGGTCCATACCCGCATTCGTGGTCGAACTCGTCCTTTGTCTATCGTAATTGGAACGGAATGTAGCCGAATGATTTGGCACAAACTGAACACACGAAATTGTTGAATCTTGTTATTATGATATTCGTTCGATATTATTTACTATGCGTGCGTGGGTGGTTTGTTGCTGTTCTTGGCGGAGCAAGGCAATTGTATCTTATCATCGTTGTTGTCTTGGTTCCATCCTCTTTGGCCTCTCTTATTGCCTAGCTAGTCGGTGTCATCATGGATCCTATGATATCGAACCGGGAAACACCTAAAGAAGTCGCCAACGATCTCGAAGCTAGAGTTCAAGGGTTCTGCTACCTTCTCCATACTCTTCCGTCGCTGCTCCTGTTTGTAATACATTGGGTGGAACTGGTATATTGCCGTCGAATGTTTTTGGGCGAAAGGGACGCGGTACGTCTAGATAGGCCACAGGAGGACAACACTAATTGTGACCGGCATGTTTGTTTTAACATTGTGCTCGCCTTGAATGCTTGATGCTCCTTGTGACTTCTTGTGTAGTAATTTTACCTGGCCTTGTTGGATTCCAACACCGGTCAGTCAGAAGACATGACACACAGTCGCTTGTATCGTTCTCGATTATTGGCAACGGAAGGGACAGGGCCGCAGTGCCTATGATTTTGCTCGTTCATGATGGTGAATGAAGGTCTGCTGCGAGACATCTGTCAGGATATATCAATTGGAACCTTTGATGACAGTCATAGTCACCAAGTGTAGGCATACTCATTTATAGTGATCGCGCAGAAATGTGACGCGCGACCCTAGGTGCGGCATTTCATTCTAGTGATGTGCTGGTGAAAACAAATATTCGAGGACCGTGCTTAGAGGTTTAGAGTAAAGTGAGGAGTAAGAGGTGAGCGAAGCCACTGGCACAGATCATATGTTAGGCATGAATCTGTATTTGGTGCAGTGAGCAAAAATGATTTCTTTGGGTGAGTAGTTATCACTAATTTGTCTCCAGGAGTAGTCATTGTGTAGGCAGAGAGTCTGTTCCCACACATAATTAGCTAACACTGCCCAAAATCAGGTGAAATAGGTTTTGCACAATGCTACCAATCGCACCGAAAAGCGAGAAAACATCGCTCGGATGAAGGCTCCTGCGTTACACCAGCAGATTCACTTTTCCTGTCCCCAGACCTTCCGACCTGGTAATAAACCCCCAGTCTCCCAATTCGATTTTCACTTCCCCCATATCCGTCTACCAACTACAACCCTTTTACCCACACAACCTCCATTATCTTACAACCTATCCTGCGCAAACACGTTGTGCGATGCGGTTCTCTGCGATTGCCGCGGTTCTTGCCGGGCAATTCGTGGTGGGCTACAGCTCTCCCCCCGCTGCGACTGAGGCTTCGGAGGCCGTCATCGAGCCGGTACACAACGATTCACACGTCGGTGTGATCCCAATCCTCGATGTTGGTCTCCTCTACAATCTAGGCCAGTCCTCGAACAATGTCTCCACTGGCCTGGTGTTTGGACCCGACCCTGAACCTGGGCAAATACAATGCGGACCCGACAAAGAGTGTATCGATCAATCTTGCTGTAACTCTGATGGCAAGTGCGGTTTCCAAGAGGTTCACTGTCGTCCCAAGGCTCCAAAAAAGTGTCTTTCAAATTGCGATGCTAAGGTAAGTCACACGATTCCCTTCTTTTTTGATTAATTCGAAAGCTAACAAACGAACTAGGCCATGTGTGGTGTCGACTCTAAGGACGGTAAGAAGAAGTGCGGTCTCAACCTGTGTTGTTCGTACTACGGCTGGTGTGGAACCAACACAACTCATTGCGGCAACAAAGATGAACACGGATTTGATACGCCATGTCAAAAGGGTTTTGGTAAATGCGAACTGGTAAAGCCACCGTCATGCGGCAAGGACAGCGGCTCGGCCTCCAATGGCCGGCGCATCGCATACTATCAGTCCTGGAATACTCGTCAACGACCGTGTAACCGTATCTGGCCCGATCAGATCAACACTGCTGGTCTCACACACATGAATTTCGCCTTTGCTTCCATCGATCCGGAAACCTTTCGGATTCGGCCAATGCACCCTGACGATGTTGACCTTTATCGTAGGTTCACCGCCTTGCAGTCTCCGAAGCTTCAAACCTGGATCGCTGTTGGAGGCTGGGATTTTAGTGATGTTGGTCCTACCCACGAAACGTGGTCAAAGATGGCAAGCACAAAGGAAAATCGGGCCGCTTTCGTCGACTCTGCTCTTCAGTTCATGAAGGAGTATGGCTTCCAAGGACTCGACATCGATTGGGAATATCCAGTTGCCGCAGATCGTGGTGGCTCCGAAGGCGATACCGCCAATCTTGTCAGCCTGGTTATCGAGCTGCGAAAGACATTTGGTAAATCGTTTGGTCTCTCCAGTATCCTTGCGCCCGACTTCTGGTACCTCAGCAATATGGACCCGAAAGCTATGGAGGCTCAGGTCGACTGGTTTAACTTCATGGCTTACGACTTACATGGTGCATGGGACCAAAATACACCAGGCCTTGGTAACAAGATCCGTCCCCACACTGATCTTCGGGAAATCGAGAAGGATCTACTTCCTCTCTGGTACAATGAACTCAATCCCAAGAAGGTAAACCTAGGTGTCGCCTATTATGGACGTGGTTATACGGCTTCCGATAAGAAGTGTCTCCAATTCGGTTGCGAATTCTCCGGCCCCAGCGCCGCCAGCAATTGCACGAAGGCACCGGGACTCCTGAGCAATCATGAAATCAGTCGACTAATCAAGGACAAGAATCTGAAGCCTGAGCTTATGAAGGATGCTGCCGTAAAGCAAATTGCTTGGGACGACCAGTGGATTGGTTACGACGATGATGAAACTCACAACATGAAGCTAGCCCACGCCAATGAACGATGCCTAGGTGGCTCATTCATTTGGTCGATTGATTTCGGTTCCGGATCAGGAACTGGCGATGTTCCGGACCTCCCAGGTGGCGGTAACAACAATTTCACGGAGGACCCAACTGCAACCGATGTCTATGTTCCACCTGGCGTCTGGTGGCAGTCTCAACCGACAGTGCAGTGCATCCCACCCTGCACTCTTGTACTTCCTCCATACACTTTGGACGAGATGACTACAATCTCGTGGCCCCTTGTCACGACTACTCTGGTCTCGTATGAGGGTGGTACTACCTCGACTGTGACTTCAACTTATGAGACTCTAGACAATGGTGTCCCCACAAAGGGGACTGTCACATTTTTGACAGTTGGTAATGCGTCGCCTAAGACTATTACTACTACCCTTACAGTGCCTCCGATCACAACGAACAAGATTGAGTTCTGGCCGGTTTCCGTTGAGCAATCTGATATGGGTCCTAACATCACATTTGCCCCTCAACCTCGAGTCTTCCCACCGCCGGTTCCATTGACAATGACACCTTGTCTGTTCACATTTCTACCGGCACAGTATCCACATACCTTCACGCCTACTGCAACCTCTTCTCTTGTGGATGACATTCCTACAGTCTGCGTTACCGACACATACGTACTGTCACACTACCCACAACCGACTATTGGCGTGCCCCTTCCAAAGGATCCACGCAAGAGCTGTACTCACGACTGGTGCGAAGGGCCTCCTACGGCCACGGTTACTTGCAATTCCTTTTGGTGCTTCACTCCAACTGCCACGTCCAGTTCGACTCCGTTATCTTACCGATTCCCGTCAACGATTACCTTTTTCCCAGATCCACCTTCTGAGACATGCACACAAGGCTGCGGTGATAAACACTGTGCTCTTTTCGGATGTCCAGGTGGGAGGACGAAGGGCGGAGGTGGAGGCGGCGGAGGCGGTGGTGGTGGATGTCATCCTGTATTCCCAAGAATCGGTTGTGGATGTGGTCCTCTTGGTCTTCCTTTTCCATGCGGCTCCGGACGGGGTGGCGGTGGTGGAGGCGGTCGATGCATTCTGCCCGGATTCTGCGATCCACATGGCACGAACACTTGCGGTATTTCAGGATGTGGTGGAGGTTGTGGTATTCATGGCTGCGGTGGTGGCTGTGGTATCCAAGGCTGCGGTGGTGACTGTATCGGTGGCACATGCAACCCATGCTCCCTCTCTGAATGTGGTGGCGCTGGATGCAAAAACCAGCAATGCGGTCCCAATCCACCAGCAGGTTCTTGTAAGGACGGCCCTTGCCCACCAAATCCAACCGGCGGCGACCCCAATAAGCCTAAATGTGAAGAGGACAAGAAGACTACTGTCACCGACTACTGGGTTTCCTGCACCAAGTTCAACCCAACTTCTTCATCCTGCACTACCACAAAGTCAATTACACTCACTGGATGCGGTCTTCTACCGACGACAACGACAACCAAGAAGGGCGGTAGCTGCACAAAGGGCACGTTGAATCTTGACGATGACCAGGGAGACGATCAGAACGACGTACCTTCAATTCCATCTTCGATCCTGACGTCTTTGTCGCGAACTCGGACGAAGAATGTTCCATCTTCAACCCCAGCATCCCAGACGCCAACACCGACTTCTCAACCTCCTTCATCTACGCCGAAGCCGTCCCCGACATCACAGAAGCCAACTCCTACGTCAGATCCGCTTAAGTGTGATGCAAATGGGTGTGGATGCTGCAACAACTACTATCACAATTGCCTTCAGAAGAACTGTTTTGACCCCTTGTCTGCTGACTGCATCAATCATTGCGTTGGAATGATGTGCTTTGGTTTTGACTCTCCATCCGAATGTCTTGTCGGTGGGCGCTGCGCCTCGCAATCTTGCCCGAAGTCTCCTCCCAGGTGCGAGGGGACTTGTCATTGCTGCAACGATTTCTATCAGAGGTGTCTCCGCGACAACTGCAAGGACCCATTGTCTGCCGACTGCATCAATTACTGTGTTGGACAGATGTGCGATAGCCCTAAATCACCAGAGATTTGTCATACCGGCAACGAGTGCGGCAACAGGATGGATATCTGTCCCAAGAAGAAGATCACAAACAAGTGGAGGATCCGAATTCATCAGGCTATGGAGTATGAGTGGTCTGCCCTTCGGTGGACTCTCATCGACAGCAACGGTGAAGAAGCTGGTCAAGGACAAGGCACTCCGATCGAATCGAACCGTAAAGAGAAGGACAGGAGTCTGTCTCACAAAGTCGAGGTCAAGGTCCGAGACCCGACCAACAAGGATCGTACCAACGTCGAGTTCACACTTGATTCCAAGTTCGGTAAATGTCGTCCAGTCTGGACTGTCGGTCAATCACATCCCAAAGGCGAGCGTGCTATGGTCAAGCCTTGCAAGGATGAGTTTATAGACAAGTTTAGATGTGATCTTGTCTCGAAAATCGAGTGGAAGGCGAAGAACGCCGGATTCGAGCGATACTTCGAGTGTTGGTTCGAGGACGTCAGCGCCTAGAGAAATGATTTACCATTGAGCAAGATGGCGGAGGAATACACAACAAAATCATAGGAAAAGGGAACAAATGCGACAATAGGTAGACACGTTCGTATAATTAGTGGAGCAGATCGGCCATATGTTGATCTGTACTGCGACAATAGAATGACATCTACATTCATCTTAGAAGTGCAAGATATTCATGCATTATGCGACTTGATTCAATTGTGGTCTGCCATAGAGATAAAGTTCTCGTATTGCGTTCACGAACAGTGATCGAACACTAAATTCAGTTAGCTCTTTTGTAGGCGCTAAGCCCAAACTAAACATTAGGACCGAAAACGTAGACGACATCGCGTCTTCGCTCGCACTCGCACTCGCTCCCGCACTCCTGCCTCAAACCTACAACATATTGCCAGGTACAATATGCCGCGTCTAGGATCGAAGAAGTCTCGAAATGGATGTCAACAATGCAAGCGAAGACGTATAAAGGTGAGCCATTGCTCTCCTCACAGGGGAGGGGGGGAGTAGGAATTTTCTGACCGAGTATCAGTGCGACGAACAGTCTCCATGTGCGAACTGTATGCGATATGACTTCGAGTGCAGTTTGCTGCAACCTGACCGTGGACTGCCTATAGTTCCGAAGCATACGCAGTTCATAATGGAGGATCCAGCACCAGGTGCACAAACACGTACCAGCTCGGCTCCCCCCCAATCAAGTACTGACGATGCAACTCCTTCTGTTCCATCTCCAACAGTACATGGGTTATCTCATAACATCTGCGACTGGTCAGATACATGGCTGGCGGATCTCGAGCTCATGCATCACTACACAGCACATGCGTACCTCAGTCTGCCAGGATCACCCGCAGCAAAGGAAACTTGGGGATTTTGTGTGCCTCAGGAAGCCTTACAGTTTCCCTTCTTGATGCACTGTATTCTTGCATTCTCGGCGTATCACCTTGCCCACATCAAACCGTCTAGCCAGCGCAAATACAGGTATCTTGCTTCGACTCACCAAGCGGCCGTGTTAGGCGAGTTGAACAAGGTGCTGTTGGAGGTTACAGCGCGTAATTGCCACGCCATCTTCGCCACCGCAAGCATGATCACTTTAAATGCATTTGCAGAGGCAGAGAATGCAACGATGGACAATCTGATGGAGGTCTTTCATTTGTTACGAGGCATGGATACCGTACTCAGTTCCACGGAATCTTTAGTACATAATGGTCCCTTCGCTACTATCTTGAAATCTGATGCCGATACCCCTAGACCTCCGCCACTCTTATCTGCAATGATAGCAGAGCTGCAGGTTGCAGCGGCTACCGTACATGATGATCCGCATGGATCGAAGGCAGCGATGCTCCAGCTCAAGGACGCACTACAGCATGGCATAGACACGTCGAGACATGCAGCTTTTCGGGCGACGGTCTATTGGCCGATCAAGCTTAATTCTGCCTTCATCGAGCTCCTAAAGAGCAAGGAGAATGATTCTGCAAACGAGGTCTTAGAGTACTACCTCAAAGTTCTGGAGTTGGCGGGCACAGACTGGTGGTGGCTATCTGGATGGAGGAATTTCGCTCGATGATCATTGTTAAGAATGACAATGGTATCATATTTCGCAATGATGCACCGCATCTCTGATCCGACGCTTGTACAGTACATCGGTTCCAGTACGCAATTTTCGACCAAGTACCTTCAGGACTATGTTATTAGGCCTGGCGAATGGCGATTTGGGTATTCCAAGATACAAGATCTCGAGCGAGCTGGACTATTAGATTCCACCGTCTCTCATCATCCGTATTGTCGTTATTGAGGCTGTTGAGTTCTGTACCAGGCTGCTTGAAGACCTTCTCTACTTCAAGCCGTTTATCGCTTTCGGTGTAGCCTGTGCTGACTTTCTTGAAAGCTTCCTTCATTGCATCGAATTGTTTGATGGCACGGAGAGACTCGACGTTAGGTGCCGTAGTTGTTACTGCCCCTTGACTCTTCACGTGGTTGTGCAGCGCTCCTAGTCTGACACATTGTATAATAAGTGCCGCAAGACCAGCAGCCAAAGCTGTTGCCACGGACGATCCCGTCTTCGGAATATCATCCTCTTCTGATATCTTATCTCCCTCACGTAGCATGACGTTGTGACCAGGAAGGATAAAGTCAACCTGGTCTGAATTGCCGGCCCATCCATACATACTGCCGTCCGCTTTCGCAGCTCCGATCTTGAACATATGGGGAATTGGACGGCCGAATGGGTAGAATGAAGTCATTGACTGTCGACTTGATGCGCCAACATCCGGGGCAGAGCAGAAGAGCATTGTATTGTTCTTCTGCGCCCTTTCCAGAGCGCTCTGAAGGCGCTTGAGGTGCGCGTTGCTTTCGGCAGCTTTCTCTTCGTCATCACTTCTTTGGATCGTCCACGACATTGATATAATATCGAATCCACGATCCACAGCGAACTCGACCGCCTGGAAAACAATCAGTTTTAGTAGTTGACGGTAACTAGAATTTCCACTCACATCTGCGGCACTTTTGGCCGTGAAATTAGCTGGAACGCCAGGTTCTTTCCTAATGGTATCCAACTTGCACACATAGATTTTTACATTTGGACACACACGTTGGATCATGTATGCCATGCAAGTACCATGTCCAGTTGTTGAGCCATAAAAGGGTTCAGGTGCTCCCAGCACATCCTGATCCCCATAACCGCTATCAAAACTCTTACCTTTCGCCAGCTTGTCAGCAAGAGCTCGATGCATGAAACTCACGCCGTCATCGATTAGAGCAACGGTAACATCTTTTAGGAGGTCTTCAGGAAGATTCGAAATCTTTGTTAAATCGGCCGGAAGGTCTTTCAGCGGGTTCCACCTCACTAGGCCATCTGCAAAATTATCCATGACGGAGAGCCATTGGTGGGTATCCATGAGACTACCAGGATCTCTGCCCTTGCCTTGTTTCGATATTCTTCCTTTGCCTTTGGGATCATATTGCGGATCTTGTTTATATTCAGTAACGGTTATGCGCCCTAGTTCGAGTTTTTCACGTTCTCTTTGCAACCTTCTTTTGAACTCTTTTATGTTAGCCTCCCGGCGCGCTGTCGAATCAAGGCCGGCCTAAATGGACATAATTAGCATGCAGAATCTCTACGGAAATTGCTAGTAGTCATGTACCTTAAAGTCATGGAGATGAATATTCTTCAGCTTCGGAAGTCTCACTAAGCCGTCTGATTCACTCCAAGCACGGAGTATAGCATTGTTGCCACTCCACCAGAGATGGATCTCTCCTAGGTTCTTTGAATTTTTATGGCACGCGTCGTATATTGCTTGCGGACAAAGATCGCATTTCCTCCAATCCAGAATCTCGATATCAAACTGTTTCAGAGATTCTTCAATCGTAACGTCGCTGTGCGGTATACCTTCTCTGTCTTCGACGCTGACTTTGATGATGTTCCTGACTCCTTTCTTGTACAGCCAGTTGAAAAAGGGTTGGACATCTTTACGACCGGTACCGTCACTATCCGGTCTAATGTTTCTTTGCCTTACTGGCGGGCGCTCGAGCTCAAGTTTCCTAAAGTCAACGTACAGGAGTACATCGTCGAACTCGAATCCATTGTAACTGTGTTCGAAATCTTCAAAGCTGACCTTTTCTCCATCTTTCAACCGATAAGGTGGAAAGTTGAAACAAATATGTTTGTCTGAGGTAGAGAATTAGGAATCACTTCAATCTGAGCTATATCACTAGACATACCTTCAGCGTTTTGACCATACAGGAATTCAATCGCTGAGTCGTGGTTTCTCTGGATAGCTGCCCTAGTCTTTCTTTCTTTCCGCTCAGTTGGCCTGAAAGTGGTCCGAAAGTAGTGGAGTTTCAATTCTTTTGCTACCAGATTTGCCACGTCCTTAGAGGGTACATTCTTCGAAGTTCGACTCGTGCCAGAAGCCTTCGTCTTTTTGGTGGTCGACGACGGGGCGCGTTCGGGTTCACCGGCGACCTTTTTCGGCTCTTGTTGCACAACCGTCATCCTTCTAGACGACTCTTGGTTCCCTGAATCTCGCTTCATTTCTGGCGGAAAATCCCTGAATGGATCATCGGCGCTGTTCTGGAGGAAGTATTTGCGAGCCTCGAGCGATTGCTGTGAGTATACTTCCGTTTGTCTATTTGGGAAAGCAGATGTTCTGTCCAACGCAGAGCCTGTTCGTTGTATAGGCCGGATAGAACTCCTATCATCACGAGTTGGCCCTCGATCATCACGACGGCCCCTCTCCCTATCCAAAGCTTCCACATCGCGAGACGATCGCGTTCTACTACTCGTTGAATCGGCATTTCGTTTACTTCGTTCCTTATCGTCGACTCTAGGCTTTTGAGTTACTGCTTTCCGGGCTTGCCCACCTTCAGATCTCTCCGATCGTCGCTGTTCCTGCTTTTTCTTATCATACTTCTCTCGGGTATCGAGATGATGTCGGTATATGGAAAACTTGTCGGGTTTCTCTGTCACTTGGTCGAAAGCTCTATCGCCGCGCTTAATAAGTGACATGATGATGTCCTTCCGTGCAGGCGTACATCTCTCGTACTCTACAGCTATATGCAGGGGAGTGCGACCACTGCCATCCTGCGATGCAAGAGTATACTCGGAAGCCTGATCAATAAGTTTCTTGGTCTCAGGCACTCGCAAATCTTTTGAAATAGCGACCTGGATGCAATTGTTGATATTGCCGCTATTCAATCGTTTTATTCTGTCGTCTTCGGAAGTAGGGCCAAGCAGAGGCTCCAAATCCTGCTTGGAAATGCCGCTGTCCAGAACGGCATTTATGTACCAGAGCCTTTCGTATATGACTGCGACCAGAAGAGGGTTTCGGTTCACCTCGTCAAGCTCCTGCAGAAGCTGTGGATAAGATTTGACGAGATGTTTCACAAGCCATGGATGCTCTTGCGGCGGGCCTTCATACGCCATTCTGTAAAGCATATTGCGCCGTTCAGTTTTCGACAGATCCTGAGGACGCAGGTATCTGTCATATGATTCCAGAAACGCTCGTTGCTGCTGCTCATCTTTCGCCAACGAAGCGCTTGCTAGTTGGACTTCGATTTCCTTTAATTTTTCATGGAGAATCTCTTCCTGAGCCTTCTGTGCTTCTATCTGTTCCTCTTCCTTGTATGCGTGCTCGTCATCATAATCCTCTTCGTCGTCGTCGGTAATATCATCCGTGTCTGTAGACAGTTCATCATCCTCGTCCTCATAGTCTCCAACGGGACTATAGGGGATGAATTCGCGCTCCATGGGCGCGTCCGCCATGTTGAAGTGTATACAGGCGCAACAGGCTCCCGGACGGCTGTCATGACTGCACGCACGATGTCCTCCACGGGTGTCTTTATTGCAACAATACTGTAAGCGAGACAAGGTGCAGGGAAAGGGCGGGCAGGGGACCAGACCAGGTTAACGAAAGGATTTGGTTGGCAGGATAGGGAGATGTAGTTGCATGAGTGGCTGGCACCTCTACCTCCCACCCTTCCTACTCTACTTTAGTCCTATGACGGACATGCCGGATTGAAGCTCGACCCGCCAGTCGGAGGAGGGGTGCCCAGCCGCTCCAAGTGACCTTCGACGCCTGTCGCGCCTTTAAGCACAACCCCTCCTTCTCATAATGTAAACAGACATGTCTCTTTGTAGATATTGCATCAATCCAAAGTTACAGTTATGAAAATGTACTTTTCTGCGATGTACACACACAATGTGGCCTAAATGAATTTCTGCAAGCTGAATGGGTTGGGCGCCTCGCAGAACGCCAACGAGCACTAATTCTGCAGCTTGCATTTCAGCCCCCAAACAACCTCGACTACCGACCCCACCATAGCCCTGCGTGAAGTTTGCAGTTCACAGGACTTTTCAGCCCGGCAATGAACGGCAGATTCCAAGTTGTAGAAGGAGAGGTGAATTTATTATATTTGACACCATCATAGGAGCTGAACAACAGCATAACAAAACCTTATCACCAAGAAAGTATTCATTTGTATTTTTCTGCAGGCACGCATCCCTCTTACACAACGAAGTATGGCAGATAGCGACCCTTACGAGGATGATCTGGGAGAATCTGGTGAACTGGCGGCGGAAGACCTGTTCTCTGTGGACATGTCCTTGGATCCAGAAGGCGACGAGAGTGGATATCACATAACGAACGATAAGGACGATCCCTTCCAAAGACAACACATCACAGAGCGGAAAGGCCGAGTCGACGTTCGTTGCGACCTAAAGGACGTTGCCCATGGGTACTTCTCAGCGGATAACGATGATCTGTGTACTCTGATTGTGATTGAGTTCCGATTCGAACCAAATGGTCTTGCCAACCGCATCAGACAAGCCAACATTGATATCACATTCAGCGCCATCGAGAAGGGAAACAGAGATCCAGAGGTCATCGAAATGCACCCAAATGGTAGCTTTGGCATCGAGCCCACGCAAGCTTCAGTGTCGACCACGAAAGGCGGGGGTCTGAACCTTGGTGCTGGAGCAGGTCCTGTCAATCTTGGTGGCGATCTGAAGCTGGAAAGAACCGTGGAACGACAGCGACCTGATATGGCCCGTCTTAGAGGCTCAATCGACTTACCGCGATCGAGGAACAATGGCGTCAAGAGTGCTGTCTCGTGGGGCCTGACCGAGAATGCGACAGATGAGACTGGTATCATCTCTCTTTTGCGGGCTTCCATCTTACTGAAGCGACGGGACATGGCGCATTTCAAAGCCAAGGTGAACATCAAAGTTAAGGCGGACTTGCAAAGCCAGTTTGGTGCGTTCTTTAAAAGCGTGCCTAAAGATGATGATGTTTTGTTCAATCCAGAACGCGATCCGACAAATAAACTTCAGAAATACGATATCGAGAACCTCGGCCTAATCGACCTAAAGTCGTTGTCGGACGTTACCTATCAAACATTCCTGAAAGGTACTGTTAAGGAGCAATAGTTGCTAGAATACAAATAATAAAGTCGTCCTCCATGTGAAGATATATCTGCCCAAGGAGCTCTTCTCGCACGATGTGACAAGACGATACACAATAGCTCAATGTCCCGCCCCCACTTAGGCATCACGGTATCTGCACGCCCGGGAGATTATAATGTACTCGATGATGGCCATTGGCTGTGCCCTATCCCCCATGTTCGATTAGCTGAGGGTCCCATGTCGCCCGTGCATGATGGCTTGATTTTGCACCGTGGCACCGAACTTGTAGCCTGGCCCCGCGCGCTGCAGTGCGCTCTTCGGCTGATAGGGCGCCCGACTCGCCTCACAGATCCTGGGCCTGCTTTTCACGACTGCAATAACCCCACTGCCGCCTTATTCAGCGTGACCGCCAACTCCAATTATCAACTCCACGACGCAGAACGGGTGCGCAGAACGAAGCTCACGAAAGAATGATATTGTGATCATGGCGCCTTCTGATGGTTCTCCATCACCAGGCGTCGGGCCACCGAAGAGGTTGCGTATCTACAAATGGCCAACCTCGATAAGAAATGATGATGTATCAAGCGTCAGTAGTCTGGAGAGCAAGAAGTCCGATGAGGACGCCTCAATCGCAAAAGATGCCAGCGGAGAAAAAGAGGAAAATGAGAACATATCTAGTGAGGAGACTTCGGCCACAGAAAGAGAAGGGGTAAAGGACGCAGCCGATGATGAAAAGACCAGCAAGAGATCAGATTTAAAAAAGAGCAAGGACTACAAGGACAAGAAAGTGAGACCATCGAAAGAAGAGGGCGAGAAAAAAAAGGATGAAGACGCCAAATCCGTAGACACGGATGCAGAAGAGGATGAGAAGAGACCTGGAGATCTGGTAGAGTAAGTTTGAATGCTATCAAAGATGATCAGATTTGGTGGCCTTAAAAGGGCTGAACTAATTATCTCATGCAGTGTGATTGCAGTCTGCGGTTTCAGAGGCTCTCGATATTTTGCAGACGATATTGGAATACATACTGAATGGTCTATGGATCGTGTGGCAACCAAACATCCTAACACTAGGATATCTGTTTATGAGTATAATCCTTTCGGCGATGACGAGAATGTATTCTCAAGAGATGGCCTACGAGCTGAGGCTATACGCTTCTTAGAATCGATTCTTGAGCTTGACCGTCCCCTGAATACGAATATTGTATTAGTTGGGCACGACATTGGTGGCATAATTATAAAAGAGGTAGTCTCTTTGCCACGTTTATTGCATTTAGACTGACATTATATAAGGCGATGATACAAGCTGGGTTTGGCTCAAATAAGTACAGATCGCTTTTCCACGCATTTGCGGGCAATGTAAGTCCAAGTCCAAATACAGATGGAGCGACCAAGACGACGGACTGATCGATTTTGCAGTTTTTCATCGGCTGTCCTCATACTGTTGTGGCCAATATGCCTCTGCAAGATGGTCTTATCAGGCTTGTCAATGAACACATTTGGACCGATACTATTTCTGGTGGTTTGACAGACCATATCTCCTACCTGATCGCCGAGGTGAACCAGGACTTTTTAGAGACTCACCTTAGAATGTTCCTCTCAAACATCTTCGTTAGTTCAACTTTCAAGAATATAGAGGCCCAGGTAAGTGTCGTTCATGTTTTTGAGAGGAGTTCTCTCAGCTGATTGTTGCAGATCTTCATTCAATCCTCTACCAATAAGTGGCTATCTGGAGTGACTGGCACTCAACTGGACTACGATGTTCGTCATGCAGACCTTCCACGCGTTGCTGTCTTTGACAGCCCGTCTCTTCAGGGTAAATGTGAGTGTCTTGTTGATATTTGCTCGGAAATGCAGTACTAAGGGTTATGTGTAGCCCCATTCATGGACACTAAGGAGATTCAAATAATGCAATTCCAGTGTGCTCCACTGCTTACCCCGCATGGATGGGCACTTCACGATCTCCCAACAACACCCGACACTCGTCTTTCCATGAACGTTAGGGATCCAGTATTCTCGACCTGGTTCGAGGCCAAAGGTGTATCATACATGATCGTTCCCGCGAAAGTTCCTCGGTCAAGAATGGCAACAATATTTGCCCATATCTTGAAGCATTCGGGCGCCGACGTATCGGTACAGCCATTTCAATTTGACGAACATGATTGTCGCTACAACTCTGTGGAAGCTATGTTGCGCATGTTCCTCGGTCAAAGTCGCCACATGTACGGCCCTCGGCCAAAGGATGTGCTCGATCGTCATAAAACTTACGAGGAGTTCCACGAACTCAACTTGGAAGACCTCTGGTATCTCCTGGTCGGGGTTCTACGAGTTCCACCAAATGACGTGGAAAAGTTTGTCTGGGTCATCAAGGGGCTAAACGAAAACATCACGTCGTATTCGTGGCTGTTGACAAAGCTTGAAGAGTTGGCGAGACACACAGAGGTCAATTTGAGGGTTCTTCTTTTCGCCTCGGTGGATCTGGGACCCCTACGAGATGCACCGAACGTTCAAATCACAAACAAGATACCGGTGATATGGGGACCAAGAGGAGGCCCGCCGCCGCCTCCACCACCTCCCTACACGCCGCCACCGTTTCCATTCACGCCTCGTTCACCTCTATTGAGTCCTAAACCACCTCTATCCGATGCTGCGTCGATAAAGACTGCGACACGACATGCTGGATCTGCTGCCGAGGAGAACGACGCAGAGGAAAAATCTGAAGCGGACGAGGGCGATTCTGATAATGATCAGAGTAGCCCCACACGCAGCCGCTCTAATAGTAACGTCAGTGGAGCTTTAGATAGCAAGCATGTCGAAAACGCGTCTTCTTCAAATTCAATATCTGGAGAGTCAGTATCGGAGAGTTCGGCGTCTGAGAAGTCCGAATCGAGGAGGAGCTCGTTTTCAGGACCTAATGCACTACGTGGTCCTGCTGGAAGCCACAACAATGCGATACAAAGAGCTATTCTGAGACTGACTCAAACGAGACCCGATCTGCACAGTTCAATTCCGCTCCTGAAACGAGTCCTAAAAGAATCCGCTTCCAATCGAGAACTGCGAGACATGATTCTTGATTGGCTCACCTATTCTGATGTCAACGTCGAAACATTAGAGAAATATTTGTCAGACACCCAAGTTTTCAATGTAGAGAAACTCTTCCGTCTTGTTCTGACAACTCTCACGTTCGGCGCCGAGAAACACACCATATTCCACCTGCTACGTTTAGCCGTCCATGCCTTCCGGCCCCTAAGTCTGCACGAGTTCATTGAGCTTCTTCGGGAGTATTTGCCTGTCCAATTTGAAGCAATCTCCAGGCAGCAGGAATCATATTCGCCAATAATTCCAATATTGTTCAAGGGTATCCTCATTATACGCCAGAACGAGGTGCGCGTGGGTCATCCTTTCCTGGTAGAATTTCTCCGCAATGAATTCACAACCGAGGCTGAGTTTTATCCCGATCATGAATCAACTATGTCACTTGCGGAAGTACATACTCAAATTGCGATAATGTGCATGAAACACCTTCAGGCTACATCGATAGAAACATTACAGTTGAGGCACGCTCAGCCTAATCAAGCGCCAGTGCCTGAGCCTCGGCGAGATTTCCTATGCTACGCAATCAGATACTGGCCTAAGCACGTGCAGAAGGCACAAGCAAACCAAATAGCAGGTCCAGTTTCAAAGGCTTTTGACGAATTACTCAAGATCAAAGGCCTCCTCAATGCCTGGGCCAAAGCATATTGGAGCCATACAAGTAGGGTTGTTCCAGTAGACGAATCTCGCGTCACAGCATCCTTCATCTTGGCAGAGTATGGTCTATCAGAGTTGCTCCAGAAGCACCTTGCTCAATCCGAGGAAGGAGATCAAGGAGATCAAGGAGATCAAGGAGATCAAGGAGAGCAAGGAGATCAAGGAGAGCAAGGAGATCAAGGAGAGCAAACAGAGCAAGGAGACTCAACTACATACGATGCAGAATTCATGAGCGCTCTCGAGGCTGCGGCCAGGTACAAGCAAAAGGACATTCTTCAGTCACTACTTTCAAGGTCAAAACCGCAGGACAAAGCGTACGACCATGTCATTATAGCCTCCTTGGACTCAAATGACGAATCCATGGCGACTGCATTGCTGGAAAAGTGGAACACAAAAACTGACCGCATGAACGATCCAGTGGCGGTACTTAAACGAGCAGCGGTTTTAGGGATGAATTCTGTGGTAAACTTCATCCTGACAAATTTCAAGGAAGATGTCACCCTGACCGCTCTGTTGGACACATTCCCATCTGCTGCTTCAAGCGGGAAACTGAGTTGTACGAAACTAGTGCTAGAGGCGTTCCAAGATGCTGTCCTCACTGAAGAGCAGGAAACACAAGCGCGTCAAGGTTTGTTTGTAGCTTGCATGGAGGGCCATACAGAGGTGGCCGAATTCCTCCTCGATCGAGAGCTCGTAAGGCGAACATACGGCGAGTTGCAAGCCGAGCATTTCGATTTCGACGGCAAGTGGATGTTCCGCAGCGCCTTCGATTACGCAATCCTGAATGGCCACCACGTTACGTTGAGACGTTTGCTTTACGCTTTTCAACGTCATGAAAAGTATCTTTCCGTTTTCGATCGTCTTGCGCAGTTTGCAGCGTGGTTCGGACAAAATGCATGTTGCCAAGAGATCTTCGACTTCCTCAAACAGACTACCCCAGACATTAGGGAAGCATGCAGATTGCCCGACACAAGAGTATCGATTATGGGAAGAAAGAAAACACTCGGGATTTTCTTAGACGCGGGTTTCGAGCCGAGTTATGAGACTGAGAAATTCGTCCTCGGTTTGAAACCAATCTGTCAAGTGTACACGGATGCAGCAGTCAGCATGATCGAACTGCTTCTTTCGAGAACCGAAGGAAGAATCGACAAAGAGCAATATCAGGAAGGTCTGGACCAAGGACTTCTCGTTTCTATTGATAGCGACAACTTCGAGATTGCCTCAATGCTTCTGGCCAAGGGCGCAAATATCGAAAGCCGAAATGAAAACGGCCAGACGCCCCTATTCATAGCCTGCATTCGAGGCCTTGAGTCTTTGGTAGAGAAGCTGCTAGATGCCAAGGCCGACATCAATGCCCAAGAGAAGAACGACGATCCCTGGGGATGGTTTCCTATTCATGCAAGCTGGAGCAATATCATGAACGTCCGCGCCATGATCAAAGCAGGCGCCGATATAAACACGAGAGCGAAGAGCGGCTCAACAATCGCAATGCTGGCCTGCGAGTGGAAAGACGAAGTACTTCTTCGGGAAGTGCTCTCGCATGACCCAGACCTCACGATTGTTGCTGACGATGACAACACAGCGTTGTCTATTGCTGTTTATGGCGGCCAATACCAACTTGCAAAACTGATTCTCGAGACTGGGCTCAATCCGTGCACAACGCCGAACCCCCACAAATTGCTGTCTTACTGCGTCACTGAGTCAAGACTCGATATCTTGCAATTGCTCGTGCCCTACAAGTTCGATTTGGACGCTAAGAACCCTACCGACAATACTGCTCTTAATTTCATTACGGTCGCTACTGATATTTCCATCGTGAAGCTCCTCGTCAATCTCGGTGCGAATATTCACACTAAGAATTCCATCAACGTTACGCCTCTACGAAAGGCAGTTATGGCTCCAAATTTCGAGGCTGTTCAATTCCTGATATCGAGAGGTGCGGCCATCAACATCGAATTTGAAACCGAAGGTACTGTTTTCCACGAAGCATGTGCAGATGGCAGACGCATGATGGTTGAGTTCCTACACGAAAAGGGTGCCAATCCTAATTGGGTTTCCAAAGGACTATGGGGAACACCTTTCCAGGCAGCCTGCATTCGTTTCAGAAGCGCACAGACAAACGCAATCATTGATTACCTCTTGGAAATAGACGCCGCGGATATCAAGATAAAGAGCAGCCGGTGGGGTTCAAATCTGAACACTGCCTGTGTTGCTACAAGCGTCGAAACGGTTCGGAAGCTGTTAGATGCTGAATCAAGCCTAGAACCAGCCCAGCGAGAAGCAATCATCAAAGGAGGTGATGCGATCGGGCGAAAGCCCATACACTTCGCTTTGTATAATTCAATCGAGCATGTCGAGTTACTTCTCGCGCATGGCGCCGATCTATACGCCAAAGATGACATGCTCAGGGGTCCATTGCATTTTGCAGTGGTGACGGGTTACCTAGATCTAGTCAAGTGGCTGATTGAGCGTGATGACAGTCTCGTTCATCAAGAAGACATTGATGGATGGACACCGCTGTTATGGTCCCTCATGGAAGGCCAAGACGAGAGATGGGGAATGTGCACAAGTAGTTTCGATCGCGGGAAAATTATCAAGGAGCTCATCAGCAACGGTGCAGATATCATGGTTCAAGGCAAAGGCACAGACAGAACCTGGACTCCATATGAGTTGGCGAAGTATTATGGTCGTGATGAAGAGATCATCGACCTTGTACGACCAACTGTCGAGCAAATAAGAAAGGCCAAAAATAGAGGTTTCTGGCTAGAAACGATGGAAAAAGACATCAAGCCTGTAGTGCGGGATGCGGAGATGTATTGCGATGCTTGTATAACGGTAAGTTGAAGATGTATCCGAGACTCTATGATCCGTTAGGCTGATTGTGTGTTCTAGCGTGTATTTGGCTCTTATTGGGAGTGCGAAGAATGTGCAGAGTTCGCACTTTGTTTCAAATGCTACCGAAGCTCGGCTGAAATACATCCTGCTCATAAGTTCAAGGAAGCTGGCGGTAGTGTGGCGTCAGAACATGACGAAGGATCGGATACTGGTAAGCTTGAAGATATACCCGAAGAAGACGAACCCAACTCGGACGATGCTACAAGTCATGGCGGTGACGGATCTTCATCAATAAGGGACGGAGAGAGCGAGAGTGTTGACTTTGACGAACCTTCGAGCATCCTCTCGCCAGAGTCAGAAGCATCGTACGAATCCGACACTACCGAGGTCTGAGATGAGATCTAGCCATAGAGGGATCAATACAGATGTTTCCATACAATGCGAGTTTGTATGCTTCATGATACTATTGCTACACAACTTGTCGATGACAGCATCTTACCACCACAATACGTAAGCTTTGAACCCAGGAGAAGTCTCACAATCTCACTTGTCAAAACTCATTACTTCACCCATGGTCCTGTAGAAAGGGTCAATTACTTGATAAAAACCCAAAGACCTCTTCATTAGCTGCTTTATCTCTACTAATCTCTATCGTCTTGCGGGCGATCGACCTCATGTGGATGGATGAATAATTAAAAACATAATCTTTTGTTGCCAGGTATTTCTGGGTTGTAATTCACCAAGTCAAGGCCACGCAAATATACACTAACAGCAAATATTGAATTAGAGAGCAGGCATGCACCCTCTCTGTTAGGATTTATTGAGTATAATCCTCTACATCAACTGTCGGCTACTGGCCTTGCTGAAATATTGCATGTTTTGTTGCGCCCTTCGTTCAAATCTGCAGCGTGCGGGAGGCATGCTAAAGTTATGAGCAAGCGCTTCAAAATTTCGATTCCTCCCAGAACTAAAAGCAGCAGTAGTAAGTCATATAAATGCCTTACGAGAATAGAAATTATGGTGGAGTACATGTGTTGGATGGGGAGAAGTTGCCGGAAACCGTAGGGCCGGTTACCCGCTTACTCATGTTTGCACTCGGACTCGTACTCACGTTGCGCAACAGCATCGGCGAAAATTTGCACACGATAGGATAGATCGACACGGAACGAACACTGATGGTACAAACACTGTTACAATTATTCTCCGCCGCCAGAATTCACTAAACCACCATCCCACTGTTACTATACTCGGTCTTCCGCATCTAGATGATCTCTGTGCCGATTCCACTAGAGCGAGGTTTCAAGGATGTAGATCTCGGAGATATTCTGTTAACGAATACTCATCATACAGTTCGGGAGATTCGGACAAAAAAGATTGCTTGTTGATCGCCCTTAAGAAATGTTTGATTGACGAGCACGGAGAGGGTTGGATGCTGAATCATAAGAGCCACAACAGATCCTCCGTCAATTGGCATTCCGTATGCCTGTTTCAACCTCAACGATCTTATTTGCACGGAAGAAAATCATTTCAACCTAGAAGCCCGATCTACAGCAGTTTAATTCCAAGACCTGTTAATATCATATTTACTGTCAGTATAAATAATGTACAGTTCAGTTCCCTTACTCCATACCAACCTCAACCTTCTGCCTATCTTTAGCCATCACCTATGCTATTTTGACTGGTCAAGCAATAGCATAGGTCACTACATTCTGATTTATTTTCCTTATTTCTTATGTTAATGAGCCATCATGCGTGTCGCTAGCATAGTTATTTTGGCTGTCTTCCATAACCGGATTAGAACATCGCATGCACTCACAGATGCTGGACATTTGGGAGTAGACACTCACGATACTGATTACGAAGACTCTTTCAAGAGCGATTATCTTGGAGGCCTTGAGACTCGCGATCTTTACGAGGGCAATTCTATCGACGATGTAGATCATGGGGAATATCACGGGGGTCTTGAAGCTCGTGACATTGCCGAGGACTACTACAAGGACGAGTTTACTGGAAGGCTTCAAGTACGCGACATTCCCGAGGACGAAAATACTGGAGCTCCTGAAGCTCACAATCCTGGGTACGAGGCTTATGACCAGGACGAATTCACTGGAGGCCTTAGAGATGATGATATCCCCGAGGACTACCTCGATGACGAATCCTCTAGGGGTCTTGAAACCCGCGACATTCCCGAGAACGAATCTACTGGATCTCTTGGAGCCCATGATTCTGAGTATGAGGACTATGACAAGAACGAATTCACTGAAGGGTTTGAAGATGACGATATCCCGGAGAACGACTACGAGGATGAATCTGCCGGGGGTCTTCAAGCTCGCGATACTGCTGGGAACGACGAATACTCTAACGATGAGTATGACGACAACTTGCTACAGAACGAGACCGACCCAGATCAGGATGATTATGACGATTCTTATCCAACTGAACTCGACGAAACGCTTGATAAAACGTTGTTGAGAAAGAGGCGAATGATGTCCGGCGATTCTTATGCAAATGAATTCGACGAAACGCCTGATAAAACGTTGTTGAGAAAGAGACGAATGATGTCCGGCGGTTCTTATCCAAATGAACTCGACGACATGCCTGATGAAACGTTGTTAAGAAAGAGGCGAATGATGTTCAGCGATTTGGATCCAAATGAACTCGACGACATGCCTGGTAAAACATTGTTGAGAAAGAGACGAATGATGTCCGGCGTCCAAAGCCCGCCGCAGTAACCAAGTCATCAGAGAAGCCACCAGCACCCCTCAAACTAGATATTCCACCTACCCATAGAAAATTCCTAGCATGCTAACTAAGATTACATATTAAAATACGAACGTATTGGAGAGAAGCTAAAATTTGGTGTAGGTCAATGGGGGTGTGAAAGTGTAGATATTTATTGACATCTTGATTGCAAGCGGTGCAAAACCAACCGGGTTAATGTCATCACAAAAGGCCTTTGGGCTACAGTCACTTCATACCTACCTATAAAACTACGTGATATCATAATCTATAGAGTCACACCGAAGGGTTTGCAAAGTATACGTAACATGCTTTACTAGTTTACTTCTGTTGTTATTTTAGTCACATCTGTCCGGCTCGCTGCTCTCCTGGATTCAACGAAGACTACTTCCAACTATTAGCATAGGAATCTGCTTACGATTCCACACTTAACTATCAGGCTGCTGGTGCGTTGCTTAAGCCGAACTGAGCTTAAGGGAAGACATCTTTTCAATGCCCAAGGGCCGCACGTATTATCCGCTTTGGGATATGTAATATATGATAAGTAGTATATAAAGTATTACAGCACAGGACACAGCGTGTGTTTGGCTATTGGTACTGCAAGAGACCAGAAAGGCCTAGTAGCTAGCTCTTCGTACCCTCAAGGCCTTTATGCAATCCTGCGGCCAGCCATACTTGGAATAGATTCTTTGTATCAACCATACCCGGACAGCATCTTCCATATTGTAGCCTTTGCCCTATGGGTTACTATACAGATATATTCCAACAGAGGGAACATGCTTATAGTCCTTCAAAATCTTTGTAAGAAACGGTACGAACCTTTCGTACATGATCACAATCAGCACCGTAAAATCTCCACATCTGTGCTGAGAGTCCAAGTCGTCTCATTAGAAGCTCTCCTACGCAGTGCCTTCAACGTCTCATCTTTGACCGCTCGCGCTTGAAACTCTATGTCTAGTTCACTGCCAGTGCAGGGTGCCACTATGCCTGCATCGCCGTCTGATGGTGTGAGGAGTTTCGCGAAGGGCCCAGAGAGTGGCCCCGGAACATCGAGCATTCCGATGCTCTGATGATAATCAGTGCTTGGGTGTGAAATATAGATGATATGCAAGCTAACCTGTGTCTCTGCTATTTCGGCAAAGAAGTATGTGCTTCGAAAGAACATAGTCGCATTGCCCGGTAGGACCGCGTTTCCTTGCGCGGTAGTACCTCGCGAATTGATCTTCATCTTCCAGCCTTTTTCAACAGTGACGTGGCTTACAATGTTGCACATTCTGAGCGAAGATCCAAATGGGCCCTCTAGCGTTGGTAGAAAGTTGGAGAGAGTGAAAGTGAGCAAAGCACTATTTGTTGTTGGGTTCACTGGCCCAACAACCATGCTTAACCCCCCATCAGGACATGCACTGCCCCAGTAGGCAATGTCTTCCAGTTTCGGTTGTGGAGCTGAGTCGCTCTGGCCTACGACAATCGAAGCAGAGCCAAGTAAGAGCAAAGCAATGGGAAACCGCATCGTGTGTTGAGTTTGATTTGGACGTGGGAACGTAGGAAATGAAGGAAGGCCAAGTAGTTGAGAGGAATGAATTTGGTCTTCATTGCTTGTTATCTACGGCTATTGGATGCCCCACTTGACAGATAATGTTCTCTTTACTGCCGTATATTGAGTGTGTCAATGTAGGCCAGGATGTTGATTCGCGATTTCATTTGTAGTTTGTGAGCCCGGCAGATTGCCCCACGAACGTGAGATTACGCATTTCAGCACCAGAGTACAAGCACCTAGAATACAGCGATTATACTTATAAATATTTTAATTAATCGAGTCGGAAGCTAGACTTATCATCAAGGCACAATTAGCAGTACCGCAACAATGCTAATCTTTGCGGGTTATACGAACTAGATTATCATTTTCATTTTCTTTCTCATAACGATGGAAAACAGAAGCAAGATCACCCGGAGTCAAGTTTAGGGGGAGCATTCTGTATTACATCCATATTCTAGTTCGTTCTGTTCTCGCAGGTCTCAAATTGCAAAATTAGCAGAGATTCGGCTATATGCACTGCTTTCCTTTATACAGTTAAGGTGATGCGGTATTGTAGATCTCCCCCTTCGCTAGATCTTCACACCGAAGTACGTATGTATACCTGTAGTTATAGGCATTTTCTCCCTAGTGCTAAGGAAACCCAAAGCGCTGTGGTAATAGCCACCCACTACATCGGTAGTTTTCTATGCTTCCAATACAGCCCGATGATTAGTAGGCGTCCGTAGCCCAGTTCCTGTCTTCTACCACTGAGCCTACGCGTCAGCAAGGCGAAAAGGTCTGTACTGGCGTGTGCGTTCGGTCTTTTGTAAAGTCAGAGGTGGTATTAGAAGCATGAGCTATGCATCAATAGGTCTGGTAAAGCAGAATACTAACCCTATGCGCCAGTGGTATATTGGAGCAACTCTCCTCTACGTCATGGTATGCCTGGATAGTTCATAGTTGCACTCCGATGGCTTTATTTGCACTACAGTCTACACCCCTTCACGTTTTGTTAACGTATCGCGCAACCTGGCGGTCTCGCGTCCAACCCGAGATTCTGGGTTGCATGAAACACCTTATGCGACAAGTTTGCGACTCCCATACATACATACATACAGCCTCATCAGTATCTCTGTGGCAAGGAACACTTTACAGATTGATGATAACGCGTGTTAAAAAGTGTGCCAAGCATGGTGGAATCCTTATTACTAAAAGCACGTGATGGAGCTGTTATCTGTAGCGAAAGTTGATTTTGAGGTGTTTCAGCAGATCGCAAGAATTATCGTTGAACCGAGTATTGCACTTTAGCCGAGACTTGTAGGCAGTTTCATGTCTTTCTACGAGCTATCCAACCACAGCCCTGAACCCCCTGCCTTACCACATTGGAGACGAGACAGAACCTCAGGTGTATCAGTCGGCACCTTTCTCAACCAAGGTATGTACAATACTACTGCAAAAGCTGTCACATTCATACGTATCCAGGCAGGATATGATACAGGAACCTGGGGAAGATCATCCTGTCTCGTACGATTTCTCGATTATGACTGTGCGATCTGCGATCCATAGCTCTAAGAAGCACTGTAACGAGCAACATCGTGTTGCAGGCATCCAAAATAGGCATTTAACTTATGCACCGTCAAAAAGAATTATTTACCCACTTCAGCCGACTCTTTTTGCGTTTACGTTCTTTGGTTCTGTTCAGACAAGTTGATCCAGCTAGAAGCTTGGAACAATGGCCGTTGAACAAGATAGGTCATTTCGCCCTTGACATTGGAATGATCACTCAGATACACTCGCTCTTCTTCTAATTTCTTTATTAAGACTCATTTTCGTCGTCTCGCCAGGGAGTTGATCTCTTTAGGCATCAACTAATACTAATCTTTCTTATCTCAACTATCACCGTGGACACCTAGACGATATACAGCCAAAATGGCAACATTATCGATCCCCCAGCTTTCACTCGACTTGCCGAGCACTCGCATGAGCGTCAATTTCGATAACTTTGCAAGCAGCAATGAATCATCCGTTAGACCGGGTCGCTTGCCTTATACCAGCCACCTACTAACAAGAAAACCGCTGCCTTCACATAACGGCAAGCCCATACGGCCCGGTTACGCTCTACAGCCAAACTTGACCGGCATCGAAGAGCATCGCGAACCATATCCTCCAGCACCAGCTCGTCATGATTCTGCACATGGGCCTTCCAAGGCAGACAAACTATTACACTCAATCCACAGCGCTTATTCTCTTTCAAGAACAGACTCGAGTGCGTCGGCCTCGACCTCTTCCAGCAAATCCACGGTCGTCGATTCCGTCTTTTCACGAGTTCCGAGCTCCACAAGCACTCGTGCTTCGTCGCCCAATTCATTCTGTACCCCCAAGAAGTCAGGCCCGTACTACGAGCCGACTCAGCTACTAGACCTGCCCCAATCCATAATCGAACAAATTCTGAGCTACATTCTACCAATAGGATACACCGTAACGATTGGACCGAGTTCAGACGCCCAACGCCACATGTTCCACCGCTACCATCGCCCATCCCTCGACTACATTAACCTTCGCCAAATCTTGAAACACCCGGTATTCGTCATATCCAAACAGCTTCGCTCGGATGCCCTGGACGTTTTCTACCGGACGTGCGATTTCTCGATCGACCTGGCCAATATCTATTACACAAAAGTCTCCTCGACGGCAGACGAGAACTTGAAACGCCACCAGCGCTTCTGGAATCTCAACACTCCTCTGGCTATAAGAGAATCGCTACGGAGAGCTTCTAGGTTGAACGTTCGTCTACCAGTCCCCAGTACCGAGTCACACGGCAAAGGGAGAGACGAGGATGACTGGATGGATGGCAGCGACGGCAAAGGCGGCGGCGGCTGGATCGTGAAGAGCATGAAGAAAGAGAAGGAGGACGCCGCCGAGATACTGAAGTGCCTTGAAACCGTCGTGCGCTTGATTATGTCGCCATCGGAGGAGGACCAGCCGCCTCAACGACTAGGTAGAAGCTTGAGTCTTCGCAGGAAGGGAAGCACGAAGAGCCGAACCAGTTCGCCTGAAATGTCGGGAGAGGATAGTAAGAAGAGATCCTTGAAGAAATTGGAGGTTACTCTGGTCAAGCGGAATCCGTATACGCTGGTGTTGCCAGAGTCGCTGGCGCTTATCCGCGCCTTGCGATCCATGCCGGTTACTGGCTATACCAGGTACTACTTCGAGCTAGAAGGCCAAAGATCATTGTGGGCTACAAAGTATCGAAGTAAATGGCGAGGCAAGGAGCCGGACGGCGAAAGCCTCCTTCAAGGTACGTAGATGCATCCTCGCGCGCCTGAGTGGAACTAACCGGTATCTTAAAGATCTTCAAAGCCTGTCCATGGCTGAAAAACAAATCGAACCGATCGTTACACCCACGGAGTTCAGGTTTGTGGGTGTGAACAGGAGCGGACAGCTACAACTCTCGGATTTCGCAATGCCGAAAACGCCCATCACGCTTGAGAAACCAACTAGGTCGGCGAAAGATGCTTCTGACGCTCCTCTAATGCCGTCCTCCGCTGTCAAATCTATTCTACGAACCCCTTTGACGATATTTGGGAGGAAGACGCACGCAAGACTTGATAGCTATACTCTGATCATGAATGAAGGCATGAATGGATCTCAGCCAAGTAGTAAACCCAAATCGGGTCGTGCACAACCACCATCCATTGATGAATTAAGGATGATTGCAGACGGTATCAGGAATGGCACCTACTAGAGACGTTTCGCACCACTTTTTCACGAGAATCATGACAAATGTAAACTTAATATCGTATATATACTTAACCAAATCAGTGCTGTGCGCTGAAAGATCACTCATCTTGTTTTTAGATGGTTAGAATTCATCGCTGCAAATGCAACAATACTTGAAGATGCTCGCTTCCAGCACATAAACGCTTATGCATGCAACCTTAGTATATGGCAAGGTCAAACCCATACAGCTAGACCTCCAAAGAAATAATGTTCTCAACAGATCATGCATCGTCCTCATCCACTACCTCTTCATTCGGAATAGGTTGGTACGCCGATGAATCTTTGAAGAAAAGCAACACCACAAAGATCAATGCGAACAGCCCTCCTGCAAACAAGTAAGGAAGACCCAACCAAGACCATCCATGATCCAACCCTGCGGCATACAAGCCGGCATAGATGGGGCCAGAGACAGACGCTCCGATAGTGCGTAGCATGGTCATGGCGGAGTAGGCGATGCTCACCCCCTCGGGATCGACCATATCCGTCACCATCGATCGCAAGACAGACTCTTGGGCCGTACCAAGGCCGGCCATGACGATTCCTGGAACGTTGCATTAGTACTGCGATCTGTGATGACGCGAGGAGATTCTTACCAAAAACAGCTAAACCTATGACAGGCGCAAGACCTAGGCACCATAGGCCGATCACAAGAGCTGCAACACTGCCTTGTGCAATGTATAGATCTTTAGAGAAGGGCGATACGCCGTATCTCGAAAGACCCATAGCTATCAAGGGAAGGATAGTCAGGCAAGTCGTTAGTTCAACGAGCATCTGTAGAGAATGCAGGAAGCTTGCCTAAACCTAGAGTCAGTGTCCGTTCGAACCAATCCGCCGAGCTGTACTTACATTAGCAAAGCTCCATTCGAACTTCTTTGAGACATAGATGGATAGCATCAAAGGCAGTGAATCGAATCCGAGCTGCGCAATGGTCACCAGGGCCATGATTATCATCACCTTCGCGTTGCCTGACAGCACTGAGAACACGAATTTCGGATACTGGATGGCAGACCGGATTCTGTCTTGCCAACTTTCATTGTCGGCGTCGTCCGACTTGCCGACACGTTGAGATGGCACAAACATCATTGCGACCATACCGAGAAGGAACGACGTAAGGGCAATGATAAGAGGTAGCCATATGCTAATCTTCATGAGCGCACCTGAAGCGGCGTAGCCAATGACAGCTGACCCAGTGCCAGCTGCACGTATGCGGAAGAAAATGGTACTTCGCGTCGTAGCATCGACGTGATCCGCGACAATCACATGGAGGAGCGTCCATATCATAGTCTGGCCTCCGCCAAAGATGTTGAAGATGAAGTGCAGCCAAATAAGTCGAATAGGGAATATGTCCGGGAAATAGCAGACGATCATCGGCCACAACTCTTCGAGGAAAATGCCGAAAAAGGCGAGAGACAAGATAAAAGAATGGCCATATCTATCGGCGAGCGCAGCAAATGGGATGGCGAACAATGAAGGTATGAAATTGGAAAGTCGTTCAAGACCACCCAGAAGCGCTAATTGCTGCTGTACTGCTGAGATTTTGCAGTCATGAATGACGTCGGTCGTACTCCTGTAATGATTGCGACATAGAATTCGCTCGTAGAGTTCGGCTCTTGGTGCTGGTTGCAGACTTTCTCCAAATAGGAATAAGAATGTTGTGAGATAGACTATGGGGATTACTTTACCCATTGTAACAAAGAAAACAACGAATGGATACTATTTCATGAAATGGTCCAAAAGAGAGGGAACAGGACAAAGACATGGGATCTAATCTGATTTTTCCAAGATTGACGCTATACTTAATTTAGAAAGTGAGCTACCTCTCGCCTCATGTGACATGATAGCATCAAATGATTTCTTATGGTTTATAATTAATGTTTTCTGGATATTTAGATATTCTCAGTGTCCATGGTATTGGAATACGTTTAATTAAAAGGACTTACGAATGTTGTTTCCGTATGTGCAAAGCATAAGGTTCACATCGATGTACCGAAACACATGAGTTAAGAGGTACCTTACCAGGTACCTACCTAGGGAGGTACGTAGACCCGAATGGCGCTCAGGCGGTAGCTCTTCCATTAAGGGCTCTATAAATAATTCCTTAAGATATCTAGGACAAATAGCGATGAAGTGATATCGTCTGGCGTTATCGTGGAGCCCAAAACAATCGTTTCGGCTACTGCCACAAGATTCATACCATAATGTTCATTTCAAGAACGTGGGTAACTGTGATGAAAGTAAGTGCCACCTGAGGCGCTCCCCATTACTTTACACGAAAGAGATAATAATTACGCCGTTATTATTCCACTGAATACTCAAAATTTATATATTAGTCCACAGACAACAGTGTTGAAACAAAGTGCAGTAAATCCGATGCATGCCAGGTGACGTTCGGAATTACCACATTAGGTAGGTAGGTGTATGGCTACGTTATCAATACAACCTCAACCAAACAACCCGTATTATATCCTTACTTCCCGGCGATTGAACTCAAGATGTCTCACTCGGATCCCCGAAGAGTTAAAATTGGAATCTTAGTTCCATCATCCAATACAGCACTTGAGCCTTTGACAAATGCCATTCTCAACTCCATACCCTCCTCAGAAGCCATTGTAACGGCGCACTTTTCTCGGTTTCCCGTCACAAAGATTGCCCTTTCAGACAAAGCACTCGCTCAATTCGACCCAGAAAAGATACTCTTCGCTGCACAACTATTAGCAGATGCCAAAGTAGACATTATAGGCTGGAGTGGCACGTCATCAGGCTGGCTAGGCTTCGAAGCAGATGAAGATCTATGTCGCCAGATTGAGAAGCGGACAGGAATCCAAGCGACAACCTCCGTCCTTGCCCTGAACAAGGCATTGAAAAAGATAGAAGCATCAAAATTAGGACTCGTTACACCCTATGTCGATGATGTACAAGCCGCAATAATCAAAAATTATGCCGCAATTGGTATTGATGCTTCGGCCGAACGTCATTTACGACAAACAAATAATGTCATGTTCGCGAGTCTAGACGAGAAATTTTTTGATCGTATGGTGGAAGGAGTTGTCAAAGAAGGAGCAAGAGTCGTAAGTACGTTTTGCACGAATATGAGTACAGCGCAGCATGTGGACCGATGGGAAAGGGATTTGGAGGTGACCGTACTGGATACGGTGACAACGGTTCTCTGGGATGCTCTGAGGTTGTGTAAGGTCAGAACGGAAACGATCAAAGGATGGGGGAGTATCATGAACATCCAATAAGCTATCGGTTACGTTTTGAAAATCGATCCTTCAGAAAATACGATCCTATCGTGATTATCAAGGAATTGCAGAACCAAGCTGTCTTCCACAGTTTATTTTCCAGTTTACTATACAGAATGAAAACCCGTTGAGCCTGGTCTTCAGATGTTTTTACTGGAAAACATCGAATTCACTCAGTCCATGATAAAGAAAGTGCATAAAAAAAAGCGAAGTCGCTTAAAATAACTGGCTGCAATATGTTCGCATCGATTGATACTGGGGGACCGGAGCCGTGATGATGCGGAGGAGATAGCCGAGGGCCCTCGACCTAACGGGGAAGTGCGACACAAACCAAGGTCCACCACCATCACATCTGAATTACTACGCAATCACAGTAATTTGTATAGATATAAATTTTAAAAAATCCATAGAACTGTTACAAACTGTTAAAGAACCAGCTCCTTTACCCGTCAAAGAACCTGCTCCTGTCTAAATAAAATGCTTCAAAAAAGAAGTGCCAAGACATTATGTGCCAAGACTGATTGTTCTCGATGATTCCGAAAAAATTGCTAGGTAGGGCAAATCTAGCCAACATCAAAAACCACCCAATCCACCGCCTCTCAATTACCCACTCTCTTATCCACCCTCCATCTCTTCCTTCTTACACTGCATTCAGTTGGAGTCTGGGAGTATCATTTCATCATTGGCAATTTCTCATACACACATCTCCTCCCACATACACAATGCAGCGCGCTTTCGCATCCCGAGCGCGGTCTTCCGTCCTCAACTCCAGCTCCAAGCTCCGCAACTCCAGCTTCAACCTCCAGCAGCAGCGTTTCGCCCACAAGGTACGGAAGCTCAGGCATCGGACAGTATCGTATAATTATCATTGAGACTAACAGTGCGGCTGTAGGAGCTCAAGTTTGGTGTTGACGGTCGTGCCTCTCTTCTCCAGGGTGTTGACACACTCGCAAAGGCTGTTTCGACAACGCTCGGTCCCAAGGGCCGCAATGTCTTGATCGAGTCCAGCTATGGCTCCCCCAAAATCACCAAGGGTAAGTTCGATATGCCCGTTCTATTGTATTGCTTTGGTTTTCTCTTTGCAAGTAGCTGACCCTCATAAGATGGTGTAACCGTTGCCAAAGCCATCACTCTCCAGGACAAATTCGAGAACCTCGGTGCCCGTCTCCTCCAGGATGTTGCTTCCAAGACAAACGAGGTTGCCGGTGACGGTACCACTACCGCTACTGTCCTTGCCCGTGCCATCTTCTCCGAGACCGTCAAGAACGTCGCTGCCGGATGCAACCCCATGGATCTCAGGCGTGGAACTCAGGCTGCTGTTGAGGCTGTCGTCGAGTACCTCAAGGCCAACAAGAGGGATATCACCACTAGCGAGGAGATCTCTCAGGTCGCTACCATCTCCGCCAACGGCGATACCCACATTGGCAAGCTCCTCTCCAATGCCATGGAGAAGGTCGGCAAGGAGGGTGTCATTACCGTCAAGGAGGGAAAGACTATCGAGGACGAGCTTGAGATCACCGAGGGTATGAAGTTCGACCGTGGTTACATCTCCCCCTACTTCATCACCGACACCAAGGCCCAGAAGGTCGAGTTCGAGAAGCCTCTTATCCTCCTTTCCGAGAGGAAGATCTCCGCCGTCCAGGACATTGTTCCTGCTCTCGAGGCCTCCCAGCAGCTCCGCCGTCCCCTTGTCATCATTGCTGAGGACATTGATGGCGAGGCTCTTGCTGTCTGCATTCTCAACAAGCTCCGTGGTCAGCTCCAGGTCGCCGCCGTCAAGGCTCCCGGCTTCGGTGACAACAGGAAGTCCATCCTCGGTGACATTGCTGTCTTGACCAACGGTACCGTCTTCAGCGATGATCTTGACATCAAGCTCGAGAAGGCCACTCCTGATCTCCTCGGATCCACTGGCTCCATCACCATCACCAAGGAGGACACCGTCATTCTCAATGGTGAGGGTACCAAGGACAGCGTTGCTCAGCGCTGCGAGCAGATCCGTGGAGTCATCGCTGATCCCACTACCTCTGAGTACGAGAAGGAGAAGCTCCAGGAGCGTCTTGCCAAGCTCTCCGGTGGTGTTGCCGTCATCAAGGTTGGCGGTGCCTCCGAGGTTGAGGTCGGTGAGAAGAAGGACAGGATTGTTGACGCCTTGAACGCCACCCGTGCTGCCGTTGAGGAGGGTATCCTCCCCGGTGGTGGTACTGGTCTCCTCAAAGCCTCTGCCAACGCCCTCAACAACCTCAAGCCTGCCAACTTCGACCAGCAGCTCGGTGTCAGCATCGTCAAGAACGCCATCACCCGCCCTGCCAGGACCATCGTCGAGAACGCTGGTTCTGAGGGCTCCGTCATTGTTGGAAAGCTCACCGATGAGTTTGCCAGCGATTTCAACAAGGGATACGACAGCGCCAAGGGCGAGTACGTTGACATGATCTCTGCTGGTATCCTTGACCCCTTCAAGGTTGTCCGCACTGCTCTTGTTGATGCCAGTGGTGTCGCTTCTCTCCTCGGTACCACCGAGGTCGCCATCGTTGAGGCCCCCGAGGAGAAGGGCCCACCTGCTGGTGGCATGGGAGGAGGCATGGGCGGTATGGGCGGTATGGGAGGCATGGGCTTCTAAATAACGACTTAACGGCCCATCAAAGATTTCCTAACGCCCCCGGCTCCCACTATACCCGCTTCTAGCACTCGAGGCTTTCCCAGACACCTGTATTTTTACATGGTATTGGCACTCCGCTCCTCTCCTCTTCATGTCTTAATGTCTTATCAAAAAAGCGTAGCATTGTGATTTCACATTCTTGGATTATCCTTTTGTACAATATCATGTATTAGGTATCTACCGGCCTGGGAAAAGGCGAGACTCTTGAAGTCGAAATAAATGCAAAGGAAAGAATGTTTTAAGCTTCAATGACCAACAGACTGCATAAGATGTGTGATTAACTGACTGCATTGATGTTTCTTGTGATCTCGGTATCTCGCAAGCAATAAACAGCGGATTCAAGGTGGCAACACAACAAGAAAGCGAAGTATCAATAATCACAGATTATATAAAAGTGGACAGCCAATGAGTTTGAGTGTTGGGGGATCGCTTGTTGCTGTGGCAGTGCCTCCTAAGCAAAGGCAAAGCAAGCAAGGCATGGTGGCAGTAGGGCAGGGAATAGCAGGCGGCGGAAGAACCCCACCAGGACTCTCCTTTCAAATTCTGCCCCGCGGCCAAACCACCTCCTAGCCTCACATCAACACTTCCCCCAACCCAACCTACAATCTCCCCGTCCAAACAGCTCTCTCCTACGGGATCCAATACTTCTCGGCCACATCTCCTCCGTAGCCGTTTCCAAACAATCCGCGTAAGTTGGCGCGACTCTGCTAGGCATCTGGTTTTATTTTGTTGCCTGTTCCCTCTAGCCTCCGACCGCTGACGACGCTGATCGCTAACAGTCCATTGATAAAGCGTTGCCTCTCCCATTGTCTTCCACAGACCTTCTCCAACACAAAAGCACAAGATGGTGAGTATATCTCGACTCCTAGCTAATGCTGCAGTGGGCTGACATTAGGCTACGCAGGCTCAATCCGGGTACGTAGTACACGACCTCGCTCTATCACGACTTCACCGCTCGCCCCACCAGCCAGAATGACCACCTTTTCCAATCGCAATTCCAGAACCGCGCCAACCCCATGCTAATACCATCCCTCCAGTGTCTCCGTCGCTCCCGAGTGTATCTCAACCTTCAACGAGCTCAAGCTCGGCAAGGACATCAAGTGGATCATCTACAAGATCAGCGACGACTGGAAGGAGATCGTCGTCGAGGAGTCCTCCAACGTCGCCGACTACAACGTCTTCCGTGACAAGCTTCTCAACGCCAAGTCCAAGGACCGCAAGGGCAAGGAGGGTATCGGTGGCCGTTACGCCGTTTACGATGTCGAGTACGACCTCGACAGCGGCGAGGGCAAGCGATCCAAGATCACCTTTATCGCCTGGTGCCCCGATGATGCGCCTCAATACGTAGGTTGCCCGAGATTGATATGATGTGACCATCACGACCAGTCCGTATACTGACGGAAAATAGCCCCGCATGATGTACTCTTCGTCCAAGGAAGCTATCAAGCGCGCTCTCAACGGTCTCGCCGCCGACATCCAGGCCAACGACGCTGACGACATCGAGTTTGACAACATCAAGTCTCGCGTTTCCAAGGGCCGTTAAATGCCACCCCCACCATCCCTTTTCAGCAACCGCACAAAAGTCGAAGAGGCGGGTCATCGTGTGTGTGCGAGAATGGAACGAAGATATGATCCGATAGGTGTGGCTAATTTTCCCTGTCAATGGTAACCGTCTGAAGGGCTGTCAGGCTCTGGCAGTCTGATGGAATCGTGAGCGTGTCTTGATAGCTAGTGATTCACTGGTCTTTGTAGCAAATTGCATCAGCAAGATGTGTATCGTTCTTGAGATGACGGAGCATGGCTGCAACAGTCACTCTGACATTTATCATTGAATCTGTGTTCCTTTTTGTATTTGTGATGAATGGTATTCGCAATCGCTAAATGCCCATGCCCACACCATATCCGCCCTGAACGTATTGAAAGTATCCATGTGCAAAGAGACTATGATAACCGCCCATTCCACCCGCCTTTACCGACTCTTCTCCCACGCTTCCTTGAAAACACCCACCAGCCTCTGTCCCTCACCCTCATCCCGTATCCTCTGCACGACAAAGCTTTGCAGGTCTCCCCAGAACTCCTCACTAGCAACAACCTCCTTCCCACTGGGCCCCTGAGCCGCCGGGCCTCCCGCACCCGCAGCATCTACCTCCGCCGAAAGACCCTTCTCCCCCTCCGTAGGCGGCGCAACAGCCCGCGGACTCTGCACAGGCGTCGTCGGGACCGCACCACCCATCAGCATAACGCTAAACTCGACCTCGCCGCCGACATCCTGACCCACGACCTCCGCCACCGTCTTCGAGTCCGTAGCCGGCTTCTTCTTGTACAGGATCTTTATCTTGGCGACGGGGATCGACGTCTGCGTTGCGTATGCGCTCTTTAGGTCGAATATGGAGGTCTGCGAGGGGGTGACCGCAGGGAGAGAGACGGACGGGAAGGTCGATTTCATGGGCTTGAGGGACACATCTATTGTGCCTGCGGAGGCTGACGAGGATGTGCCTTCTGCATCGCTGGGGTTGGCGGCGGTCTTTGCGTTGGGGCGAGCTGGGTGCGGTGGGTGGGGGAGCTTGGGGAGAACGAACTGCGGGATGTTAGGAGCTGGGTGGAGAGAAGGAGGTTTGAGGGGGAGGCATGAATGGGGGGCTTACGGCTGATTGTGCGGGATAGTTGCGCGCGTCGGCGATGTGGTCGCCGGACAGCTTTGCGGGTCGAGAGTCGAGTGCGCTGAGGAACGCTCGACAGAATGTGACTTCGTCTGCCATTGTGGGTGAGGTGTTCGTGGGGAAGACTGGAAATGTGGTGGATTGTCGCAGAGGGAATGGAGCGTGTGTATGATTTAGGACCGAGGAACCAGGGAGATATATGGGGCAGAGCGAAAGGAATGGCTCCAAAGAAGCTGATTGTAACGAGGTATACACTGAACTACAACACGATGACGCTTTGGTGTTGCGGGACAGGGAAGCGGACCGACACACAGGCCGAGTCGTTCGAAAAGCGGTCGCGCGCGGCAGAAAATTATCCGCGAAATTTATCCTAGCGACTTTTTTTGGAGACTGGACCTCCCATCGCAGAACAGACAAGTTCTACAAACTACTCAAGAACACATTTTTTTGTGTTCGCATTCCACTGTAACTATGGCTCCCAGGAAAGGTCCCAGTAATCGCATGAAGCACCAGGGTGTGCCCGTATTCGACGAGTCTCTTGTCACACGAAAGCGAAAAGATGCGCCGCCTGCACCTGTCGTCGAAGAGCGCCCGAAGAAGAGGAAGACCGATGGAAAAGGAGGAAAGAAGGACGTGAAAGCGGACACTGGCAAAAACAAAGGCAAAGGAAAACCCGTAAAGGTTGCGAAAGCTGCGAAGCCTGCGAAGCCTGCGAAGAAACCTGCCCCAGTTTCCGACGACGATATGATCAGCGAAGATGACGAGTTTTCCGATGCGATCGATGACCCAGATGTCATGGAGGATCAACTCGATAGCGTGAACGTCACTGGCCTTGATGCGCTCGGCAGTGCGTCTGAGGACGAGCTCGATGACGACTTTGCTGGATCTGGTTCCGATATCGTGGATGACTCCGACGACGATGTCCGCAGAGTTGGCTTGTGGTCCGACGATGAGGACGAGGACGATATTGAGGAGAAGCTTACTGCTGCCAATATCGAAGGTCTGTCAAGGAAATTGGACATGCAGCGCGCTGTTGAAGAGGCGGAGGCACAGGCAGAACTCGAGGAGGCTGCCCTGCAGACCAATATCACCGAGGACAGGCCTAAGATTCTCGAGGATGATGACGAGGAGGATGGGGAGCGTGCTATCACAAATCTTGCTGCACAGGACCTGCAGTCTTTGAGGACAAGATTGACCGAGACGGTCAGAGTGCTAGACGATTTCAAGAACCTAGCTGAGGAGGGTCGCTCAAGGGCGGAGTACACCAAGCGATTCTTAAAGGATGTTTGCGCCTACTATGGATACAGCGAGTTCCTGGCTGAGAAGCTGGCAAACTTGTTCCCGGCTCGGGAAGCTTTTGCTTTCTTTGAGTAGGTTTCTAAAGAGTCATAGGTCCAATTTCCAGATACTAACACCACTTTCAGAGCCAACGAGACACCCAGACCTATCGTCATCCGCACAAACACCCTCCGAACGCGTACGTTGCTCATTCTAGGATTTCTTTTTTTTACATTGAATCGTGGGCTTACATTTATGCAGATCGAAGAGAACTCGCACAATCACTTATTAACCGTGGCGTGCAACTTCAACCCATTGGAAAATGGAGCAAGATTGGACTGCAAATATTCGACTCCCAAGTACCTCTTGGTGCTACCCCGGAGGTATGTCAAGGTTGACGTGTCAAGGCTTCGGGCGTTTGCTAACAAACATTAGTACCTCGCGGGTCACTACATTCTTCAAGCTGCATCGTCTTTCCTCCCCGTTATGGCTTTGGATCCTCAGGAGCATGAGAGAGTTCTCGATATGGCCGCTGCTCCTGGCGGTAAAACTACTGTAAGTACCAAGTTGTACATGATCCTCATAGAGCCTTGAACTAACCATCCATAGCACATTGCCGCTCAAATGAAAAGTACGTATCCAAAGCCTTGGACAAGCTCACGCAGTTTCTTCGTAGCTTCATCATGATTTGTGGTCTCACTTCTGCTAATCCAGTAATGAAAAATCGCTGACTTGACTTGTTAGATACCGGATGCGTATTCGCCAACGATGCCAACAAATCTCGTGCCAAGGGTCTCATTGGTAACATCCACAGATTAGGTGTCCGAAACACCGTGGTGTGTAACTACAATGCGCTTGAGTTCCCCAAGGTCATGGGAGGATTCGACAGAGGTTAGTTCGTCTGTTACGTTTTTGGATTTGCCGAGCTAACGTTACACAAGTACTCTTGGATGCTCCCTGTTCCGGAACTGGTGTTATCGCCAAAGATGCCAGCGTCAAGACTAACAAGACCGAAGCTGACTTCCTCCGTCTACCCCATCTTCAAAAGCAGTTGATTCTCGCTGCCATCGACTCGGTCGACTCGTCCAGCAAGACTGGAGGGTTCATCGTGTACTCTACCTGCAGTGTGACAGTCGAAGAGAATGAGCAGGTCGTCCAATACGCACTCAACAAGAGGCCGAATGTCAAGCTTGTCTCCACGGAGCTGACCTTCGGCAAGGAGGGCTTCGTTTCATACCGAGGAAAGAAGTTCGACCCCAGCCTCAAGCTCACCCGGAGATTCTATCCCCATGCTTACAACGTTGACGGCTTCTTTGTCGCCAAGTTCAAGAAGTTTGCTCCAACTCCTCTCTCAGCCACGGGCGCCAACGGCAAGGCCGATTCGTCGAGCGCCCAGGCGACTGAGGAGTATGTTGACAGGACACCCATCGGTGCAGAGGACGAAGAATCCGATGGCTTTGGTGGCTGGGATGATGAGGAGGATGAGAAGTACATGGAGAAGGCGCAAAGGAAGGAGATGCGTCGGAAGGGAAAGAACCCCAAAGCAGCACCAGGAAACTCGAAGGCAGAGTCAAAGGACAAGAAGGCTGCAAAGACTACCAAGGATGGCGATGCAAAGAAGGATGAGATCTCGAACGGCACTAAGAAGACGAAGAGTGCCAAAGCGAAGAGCAGCAAATGAGGAAATGGACATTGGTGTGAATACCAGACTAGCCAAGAACGTCCAGAACGCTCTTCTGTATGCTTAGAGCCGTACGCCTCAGCGATTGCGACCAACGGACACCATTGGTAGGGAAAGGGTCCAAGGCATATAGCCATTGGCCGAATAGTTGGATGGTATTGAGGCGGAGCCCAAGCCGTCGAGGGGCACTGGAGCGCGCCAGACATGTATCATTTTCAGGCGTTGTAGTCTAGATTCAACGTAACTTCTCTTGCGTGTTATGCCTGGCCAAATCTGATGGATTTAACATTTGTTTTTACGTTTTTTGTTCCAGTAACACATTGATTTTGATGCTGTGAAACCGTAAGATTCGGAAGTACTGGAAGTAAACGGAACGCATGAAATGCAAACTAGCAATCCTATCCGAGCATGAGAATATGCTTAACCTATTTCAAGTATATCATATCATGTCACCAAATCAATATATTTACACATCTTTCTAGTCTCTCCACCGTCGCCGGTTAGCCCTTGCAATATCTGCAGAAGGCACCGCATTTGGGCTTGACTAACCAATGCGCAATTCTCAGCCGCATGAACCCACCCGTCGGTTGAGGCTCTTTCTCACATGAGGCCCACAAGGTGGGCTGTCGCTAAGCTATGGGAGAATTTGCGGAAGGTTTCGATGGTTGACGGCCTTAAGTGGATCTCTATCTCGGTAGGTTGTTTGAACCTAAGGACCAGGATTTCGGAACGCTAGAACACATTGGCGATATTCTAGCTTGCTTCTCAGCATCGTCGTACAATGAAGACCGGGGGGATGCTCTCTTGACCTCTATCTCCACGTTGTTGGGGTTCTGCGTGGAGGGATGATAATGCGATGCAAGGGTTCTCCATAAGGTGGTAGGTGTTGGAACGTGGAGTTATCTGGGACTTGGGGACCCCAGATATGGTTAAGTGACTTCTCGATAACTAATCACGCCTCTCTTTCTCCCTAGATGCAGGTTGAATCCTCCAATGTAAGACTCTAACATCCTTTTTCCGCTCCACTACACACCTCAGTCCTATGCCCAGAAACTAAACGACTGCAAGAACCGACGAGGGTAAAACCTCCCCTCTTTTGTAGGCGCCGTTCGCTTCGAACTCCTCTCCTGGCACTCTTTTTCTTTCGGCCCGAATCAAGAACAACAGTCCTGCAACCTCATTAAGCATGCCGAGACAACACCACCAGCGCCTTGAATACTTTCATTGGTATGCTACTTCCTCTCGACGGCCGAGTTTTCTTTGAGCTTCATCGTGATTGGCGATGTGGGAGACAATGGAAATGGCGCATTGGCGGACGTGACGGACTCTCCGAGGGGTTACAGCATGCTCGAAAGAGAGACAAGGAAGATCACCCCAATCTCGTTCCGCTTTGCTTTTTCCAAGGTTTGCTGGTTCGTGCGAAATGCTACACAGTATTACTGTGAGCGCTCGCGGCCGCTCATGCTTGCTTCTTACATGCGCAGATACACAATCTGTATGTCAGCTTCAGCCTGTGGGCTTCCCCAACAGTTCTGTACGCAGAGCAGCTACCCCGTGGTGTCGCGGAGGTCTGATTTGCAAGCCGGGGATCAAAGCACCATCCGCAAATCACAGCATGAAAAGGCTGTTTGTGCTTGGCATGACGTTGACATTCCAGTGACAACAAGCAAACCAAAGAGCATGGCTTGTCTTTTGCCCAGAAATGCTAGGATCACTTAGCTTGATTTGATCTCCGGCAAGCGTCTTGTCCATGTGCATAATGTGCCATGCCTGACAAGTCGACTTCCCGACAATAGTCCCTATTGGTTACACACTCTGATGCACTCCATCTGGCAAGCCCGTCGCCGCTCACGTAGGTGGTCATTCGGTCACCCGTTGACAAGATTCTTAGTCTGGGGAAAGGCCATCGGGCTCGACTGTGTCATGCAAGCCACATCCAGGCTTACTGGCAGAGACTGATCTGATGGTCGTGCATCCACAGGCTATTCGGCCCATACCTCAAGGGTTGGAGGTGGGGATACATGGGTCGGCGATGGGGATAGGAGCAGAGAAATCCAGCGTGTGATGCCTTCCTAGTCACCGTAAACATGTATTAGTAGGATTGGCATTGTTGTGGGGGCCCGTGGGCAAATTCACATAAAGACCTGGGGTACGCGTCCCAAATTGAAGTCGCTATCGAGTGTGCATTCTACCTCATCGAGACCACCTTGCTCACCACTCAGATAAATCAATATCGCCTTGTGAGCTGTCGCCAACATGGTCAAGTTTATGTTGAAGAAGCCTGAGAACGAGGCTGGAAAGTCATGGTATGCTCTGCCGCTAGCTGCTATCAGACTCTCAATTAATCTCTATGCAGGCCAGCCATCGCCATCGGTCTTTTCGTCGCTTTTGGTGGTGTTCTCTTCGGGTCAGTCTCTACGAGCAACTCCTCTCGCGCACCATAACTAAATATCACAACTACAGATATGACACGGGAACCATCTCTGGTATCCTCGCCATGGATTACTGGTTGAAACTGTTCTCGAAGAACGCAGAGCATACCATTACTTCGGCTGAGGATTCCCTCATTGTCTCTATCCTTTCCGCAGGAACATTCTTCGGCGCTCTTTTCGCAGCACCTTTCGGTGATTTGCTTGGTCGTCGCTGGGGCTTGATCGCATCTACTGGACTTGTCTTCAATCTCGGTGTCATTCTGCAGACTGCATCAACATCTCAGCCCATGTTCATCGCTGGGCGATTCTTCGCTGGTTTGGGCGTTGGTCTTGTGTCGGCTCTTAGTGCGTTTTCCACCTCCGCACACCATTTGATTGGGCGAACTCTAATATACTTTCTAGTTCCCATGTACCAATCCGAGACGGCTCCCAAATGGATTCGAGGTACCATTGTTGGTGCATACCAGCTGGCTATTACCATTGGTCTTTTCCTTGCCGCTATTGTGAACAATGCCACCAAGGGCCGCAATGATTCGGGATCCTACCGTATCCCAATCGCTGTCCAGTTCCTGTGGTCCCTTATTCTAGTCATCGGGTAAGTCGATTGTAAGACGGGCCGCATGGTTCCTGGACTGACATTGTCATAGTTTGCTCTTCCTCCCCGAGACGCCTCGATACCTTATCAAGGTGGACAAGTACGATGAGGCCGCGAAAGCCCTCGGCAAGCTACGACAATTGCCCGTTGATCACCCTGCCGTTGTGGAGGAGTTGAATGAAGTCCAGGCAAACCACGCATATGAGATGAGCCTTGGAAAGGCCACCTATCTTGATTGCTTCAAGGGAACGATGGGCAAGCGTTTGTTGACTGGCTGCCTGCTTCAAGCTCTCCAGCAATTGACTGGTGTCAACTTCATCTGTATGTGCTACCGCCCTTTCATGGCTGACGTGACTAGAAACTAACTTCAATGTAGTCTACTATGGTACACAATACTTCCGCAATGCCGGATTCCAAAACCCCTTCATCATCCAAGTCGTTACTAACTCCGTCAACGTCGTAACCACTCTTCCCGGTCTGTGGTTGGTTGAGAAAATGGGTCGCCGCAACCTGCTTCTCATGGGAGCCATCGGCATGTCCGTGTGCCAGTACATCGTCGCCATTACTGGAACTGTGGCCGGAACGACCGATCTAGCTGCTCAGCGTGCTGCCATCGCTTTCGTCTGCATCTACATCTTCTTCTTCGCCAGTTCTTGGGGACCTGTCGCCTGGGTCGTGACCGGAGAGCTGTTCCCTCTCAAGACCCGTGCCAAGTGCCTTTCCATGACTACCGCCAGCAACTGGCTCCTCAACTGGGCCATCGCCTACTCCACCCCCTACATCGTCAACGAGGACCACGCAAACTTGGGATCTAAGGTGTTCTTCATCTGGGGCAGTTTCTGCTTCGTCTGTATCGCATTTGTGTAAGTTCCAAACCCCAAGCATTTTAACTGTTCGAACGGACGCTAACGAATTCTTCTAGCTACTTCATGATCTACGAGACCAAGGGCCTCACCCTCGAGCAAGTCGACGAACTCTACGGCATCGTTGGCAAGGCCTGGAAGTCCAAGGCCTTCCGCCCGGCCGTCAGCTTCGCTGACGTCGACGCCGAGACCGGCAGGAAGAGCTCGCTCGCTGATATCGCTGCGACCCAGGAGAGGAAGAGGAGCGTGCAGCACGAGGATAACACGGCCAACTTGGCTAGTGAGAAGATCTAATTGATTTCCAATTGATTTCCTATTCGGTGGTGGTGGCGAGGGAGGATGTGGGTAATTGAATGTGTGGAAGATGTTGATGGATGAGGTGTAGTGTGTAGCTTTTTGCAAAGAAAGTTTACTTGATTTGGGTGCTTGGTTTTCAGTTGAATACCATGATCAATGCAGAGCGGACGTATTACAATACGAGATTTGAAAACAATGTGACATTTATCTTTCTACGTATGGTTGAATGCCTAAACCACCAATTGACAAATAGGACCTACACTTTCAAAAGTGGACTTTCATTGAAGATAAATGATTAGATTCGCACATTCGCAAATAGTTAGTTGATAAATCTTAAACTTAAATATCGAACATAGACTGCACCATACGATCGTAAAAGAGCAAAGAGCTTCCCAATCTCGCCTGACGGAGTGCATGCATAACACGAATACGAGGAATGACTAGCCCACATCCCCGCAGCAGTAAGACACGTTCCGCGGATCATTCAGCACGCGACTTGTTACCCCCTATCGATAACAAACGAGAGCCTAACCCTTTCTGGAACCTGCGAGGTTTTCGCGCCAGACGGCTGATTGGTACTTCTTCACGTCGATTCAACGAATTGCGTTTTCTGATAATAAACTGGTTCATTGAGGCGTTTCTGCGTTACATTGAGTCAGGTCATCTGATGTTGCACAGTGCTTCATAACTTTGGTTCCTATGCACCCTATCTGAGCAATCGTTCAACGCTTTTGATGAAAGTCTTCCAATCATCATCATCCACATCAAACAATGTTCACCCGCCGTCCTATACAAACACTATTCGTACGACATCGCTATCTCCAGCCAGCCTCAACCTCCCCCTTCTCACCCAGAAAGTCTCAATTCACACTTTGCCCTATAGTCCACCTCAGCACCTCACCCCTTCGACCACAATGTACCAAAAGCAACTCCCCACCCGCAAAGCCCAGAACAACCCAATGCCAGCACAAACAGAACCAAGCGTCCACCATCTCCCCCTGGACACTTGAGTTCTGGAGCTCGACGCCTACGCTCAAGCGTGCATGTATCAATACGTTCCGATGTCTTGTCGGCTGTACGACGGGAGACTTTTCAGCCATGTGGTATCTGCAGGCATTTCACCCGGAGTTGGGAATGGGAGGGATTATGGGGATTTCGAGTAAGTCTTTTCTAGCTAATACATTTATTTCATTCCAAATCTTCCTTGTTGGACTTCACGATTGCTAAACATGGGGAAAACAGTGCTATCAGGAATCACAACCTCAATACTCCTTGAAACCGTGCTCCTGCACCGCGGCCGCGACGCCATGCCGTGGGTGACGGCTGCGCAGACCGCTGTCGGCATGAGCATGATTTCTATGCTGACGATGGAGCTTGCGGAGAACGCGGTGGACTTCCACCTCACGGGCGGGGTGGTGAAGGTTGGAGATCCTGGGTTCTGGGGTGCGGCGGGTGTGGCGATGGGGGCTGGATTCGTGGCGCCGTTGCCTTACAATTATTGGAGGCTGAGGAAGTGGGGGAGGGGGTGTCATTGATGGTTGGGAATGAGTTCTTTGTGGTGGACCGTGAAGCTACGAGGTACTCATCTACCTGTGATGTTTGTATGACATAGATTTCCATATGAGCCCGTAATTTTAGTTGTACTTTATATCAAATGGACCATTCTTCTCATTTCATCTGCATATTTGCTTTTGATACTTTCGCATGGAAGAGCGCAATTAACAAAATATTCGGATATTATTGAGATTTGTCACAATATAGAACCTAGTTGGTGACCTCATCTTTCAATTCGAAGGCGTATCTACGTTGTAAGATGGTCGACCAATTAAAGTTGGGCAGTGTTAGCGCACGCCATGTTTTCACTGGTCATGCTTGACGTCCGCACAAAGGCCTCAAGCACGATGATTGGCCGTGTATAGTAGCTGGATCCACCGGGCGCCCGCACAAGTCCCGCTCGCCACTATCCGCACAAACCGCGCAGTCTTGACTAGGTATCAAGTGCATTTGCCGACCAGTAGCATCATCAGATTTTAGAGTTGTACAATAGAGGGTTGTTTGTTCTTAGAAAAGATTCGTTAGAAAATGCAAGAACGTTCTGCGTTGTGTCATTCTGATAACGTGCTTACCATCGATGCCTACGCATATGTGCCGCACCATGAGCATATAACAATCTTTTTACCATTCCATGCCGACGTGCTCTTTATAGAATTTTGCACATTGCCAACATGAACTCCTTGACTCTACTTGCAACAAATCTGCATTGTCCATCATGTGTCTCCCGTATCCAGGACATTCTCTCTCACCTACCGGGTATCGTCACGCCGGTCGAAGTGTCGTTGATCCACCAGAGCATAAGAGTAAGCTACGATAGCAGTCGCCTACACTATCAGCGCATCATCGACGATTTAACTGAAGCCGCGTTCGAAATCCAACACATCATCATCCACAACGAAAGAGGAACTATCATTGACGAGCGATCATTGCTTGATTCAAGTCAACCCAAGGGCACGAGAATCCGACCGACCCAGAAACATATCGATAGTTGCGATGCCTGTCGAATAGAATGGACAGAGAGCAACGTCCAATCACGGACATCGTTTACATCTACCGATGGATTTGCTTATGGTAACAAGAACCCTGCCATCATCAACATCGAGGACCCTGGAGAAGACATCACGTCTTCCGCGTACATTGCTTCCCTACTCATTGACGGCATGAGCTGTGGAAGCTGTGTTGGGAAGATCAAAAGAGCACTGTTAGATTTACCATTCGTTCTGACAGCAGATATCGATATACTCAGGAATGGAGGTACTGTCACTTTCGTTGAAAAGGAAAACCTGGCCCTCATATTGGATGAAGTCAAGAATGTGGGGTATAACGTTACTCTTGCCGATCTTGTGGAGCCAAAGCCGAAACCAAATTCAATCTCCATTGCCTCGTTGTCCATTGAGGGAATGACTTGTGGAAGCTGTGTGGGAAACATCAAAGGAGCTCTCAAAGATTTGACATTTGTCTCCAAAGTGTCCATTGACCTGATGTCAAACAGCGCGACAGTGGAATTCCTGGGAGGGAAGCAAAACCTAGATGCGATCATCGACAGTATCGACTCTGCCGGATACGAAGCAACGCTCAGCAACTTGGTAGAACCGAGAACTGCGCCCAAATCTCGACAACGTGTAATTGATATCCAAATCGACGCAATGCATTGTGCACGCTGTCCGGATCTAGTTATGGAAGCCTTGGAAGGCCTTCGCACGCAAGGCATGTCGACTTCCGAATTTCAGATCTCGAGACCACCATCACTCAAGGTTCCGCGTGTACAGATCACTTATCGACCGTCACTGGAGAAAGGCCTTTCTGTCCGAAACTTTATTTCGACCATTGCCGCCGTGGACCCTGCCTTCTCTGTTTATATTTACCACCCACCTTCTATCGAGGAGAGATCAAAGCAAATCCAACACAGGGAAAGACAGTCGATTTTGTTTCGTCTGATATTCACTGGCATAGTCGCAATACCATCGTTAATTATTGGCGTTGTATTCATGGCTCTTGTCCCCGCCGACAACGCCACTCGGATGTGGTTCGAAGAACCGATCTGGGCGGGAAACGCCTCTAGAATCGAATGGGCATTACTGATCATGACCACACCAGTCATGTTCTTTGGTACGGACATCTTTCATCGGCGAGCGTTCAAAGAAATCTGGGCCATCTGGAAACCGAAGAGCACGGTACCCTTTCTGCGTAGATTCTATCGGTTTGGCAGTATGAACATGTTGATCAGCATGGGCACCAACGTCGCGTACTTTTCCTCCCTCGCCATTCTGATCATGGCTGCCACCCAGAAGCGTAATGCTCATCATGGAACAAGCATGTCTTCAACCTACTTCGACGCCATCACCTTTCTGACCTTCTTCATCCTTTTGGGTAGGTACCTTGAGGCATACAGCAAAGAAAGAACCGGCGACGCTGTTGCTATGCTCACCGATCTAAGACCCAGTGAAGCTCAGCTTGTGGGTAAGGATGGCAGCATTGGAAAGATTCCGGTAGATCAGTTGGAAATCGGGGATACTGTACAGATTCCACGCGGTCACTCGCCACCTGCGGATGGGCTGGTAAAAGACGATGGCGTTTTCTCGTTCGACGAGAGCTCTCTTACCGGTGAATCGAAACCTGTTCAGAAGAAAAAAGACGCTGTTGTCTTCAGTGGCACCGTCAACGTAGGTGACCCTGTCAAGATCACTGTATCGGAACTGGGAGGAACATCAATGCTTGACCAAATCATCGACGTAGTTCGAAGTGGTCAAGCTAAGCGTGCTCCTATTGAGAGGTTTGCAGATGTTATAACCGGATACTTCGTCCCTATTGTCACGTTGCTCGCGGTCGTGACGTGGGTCACTTGGCTTGGACTTGGACTGTCAGGACAACTACCAGAGGCTTGGCTCGAATCTACACAGGGAGGTTGGGCATTCTGGTCATTGCAGTTCGCGATCGCAGTTTTCGTGGTAGCATGTCCCTGTGGCATAGGCCTCGCTGCCCCTACCGCACTGTTCGTTGGGGGTGGTCTTGCTGCAAGAGAAGGAATATTGGTACAAGGAGGCGGCCAAGCGTTCCAAGAGGCCTCTGGTGTGAACGCCATTGTTTTCGACAAGACTGGCACGCTTACGCAGGGTCAGATGAAAGTGACTGAATTCACATATCTGGATGGGGCACTAGAGAAAGAAAAGTTATTGGCGATGGCGATGGCGAGGGCTATGGAAGCTGTGTCTAGTCATCCGATCGCTCAAGCTATCACGGAGTTTTCCTCTTCTAGTAAAGAGAAGACAACTGTGGCTGACATCAAAGAGATCCCTGGCTACGGAATGACAGCGAAGATCAGCTTTCCTGACAGTTCAAACACCACTATCCTTGAGGCCGCGATCGGCAATAGCAGGCTTCTGGAAAAACTAAACGAAGACTTGGACAGTCCTACAACAAATGGCGTCGCCGGCTTACAAGAAGCCCTTCATCATCACCAGGTCAAAGGCAACTCTGTCGCGATCATTGCCATCAAAAATGAAGACCAATTCGAACCTGCAGGCATATTCGCAATCTCCGACCCACTTCGACCAGAAGCCATTGAAGTTGTTGCGTCTTTACGTAACATGGGACTCTCGATTCACCTTTGCACAGGTGACAACGCCACCACAGCTAAAGCCATTGCCTCACAACTAGGTATCTCGCCAGAGAACATACGCGCAGGTGTATTACCCCAAGGCAAAGGAGAATACATCCACGAACTTCAGCATCCTCGCGAGGGCGGACGCAGAATCGTAGCCTTCGTCGGAGATGGTCTAAATGACACGCCCGCTCTAACCGCTGCTGATGTCTCCATATCCCTTTCCTCTGGCAGCGACATTGCAATCAATGCATCGTCGTTCATCCTCCTCAACTCTCACCTCGGCGCCATCCACAGACTATTCACGCTTTCGAAACGAGTGTTCTTCCGAGTGAAAATAAACTTCTTCTGGGCGGCCATCTACAACCTTATCTTGATCCCAGTCGCGGCTGGTGTTTTCTACATGATCGGCGCGTCTGAGCATCACCCCGGTTGGCGGATGAGTCCTGTGTGGGCTGCTATCGCGATGGCGGGAAGTAGTGTCAGTGTTGTGTTGAGCAGTCTAGCCCTCAAACTCCCTGAGATGAGGTTTCCCGGGAAAGGCTCTGCGGGGAAAGTAAGGCAGTAATGGGAAGGGGCGGAGAGAGGATTGATATGATGTTAATTGGGGCTGACAGAGGATTGATAGGATGTTAATTGGGGCGGATGCGGTTGTTGATAGGATTTTAGATGTAGTTGTTTGATACCCAGTATGCTACTTATTGTGAAGATGGATGTAACAATTTATTCACACGATCTTTCCGAAATTTCCGTTATCGTGTCGTTCTAGTATTTTATGTGACGAGCCTGACACTAGATTCTACGCCCCTTTGGAGAACTCATCAAGTGTCATATCACATCGTTTATGTTGAAATATTTGATTAACTGACTCTGCAATTGTCATGTTGGGCGGCCTATCTAGTTTACGTATTTCCTGAGACATATCAGGCCAAAATCTACTCAAACAGAACCCTCCACTTCTGATGCCACTTCTCCGCCTTCACACGCGGAGTCTCATTCGCGATGATCTCCTCCAACCCGCTCACCATATCCACCTCTTCGCTCGGAATCATCCACGGGTCATTTCTCCCGTGCGTGAACTTATGTCCCAAATAAAACGCCAGGAAGATGACAATACCCACATAGCTCGTGATGAAAGTCGACGTATTCCACATCCCGTTCAAAAACACCTTAAATCCCTGCGCGAGCATGAGGATGAAGAATGCCGCGCCGGAGACATACGACATGTACGGCTGGAACCGGGAACGGTAAGGGAGGTCTGTGATGTTTTGAACCCGAGTGGCTTTGCGGAAGCGGAGGTAGATGAAGCAGATGGAGACCCAAGACTGGAAAGCGCCAGTGTTGATGAGATTGACGAACCAATTGAATACAGTCGCGCCGCCGGACGACAGTGTCATGTAGGATAAGAGACTGATCACAGAGCTAGCAGCGAGAGCAATGTATGGGACTCCCGAACTCGTGCATCGTGTGAAGATGCGGGGCGCGTCGCCTGCGAGGGCGAGAGAGTACAGTCCTCGGCTCGCGAGGTAGAGGTACGAGTTCCCGGCGCTCCAGGCGGAGAGCAGGATGACGGTGTTGATGACGGAATCGAGGGCTTTGATGCCTGCGAGTTTCGCTGCGATGGCCCAGGGGGATGCGCCTGCGCCGGAGCCGCCGCCGAAGAGATCGGATGCGTTGGAGGGGACGATAAGGCCGATTGCGAAGGCTCCTAGGCAGTAGAAGATCACGAGGCGGTAGAAGTAGCGTTTCCCTGCTGTGGGGAGGTTGCGACGCGGGTTCTCCATTTCTCCACCTGTGACGATGAGGAGTTCGGGGGCGAAGGCAAAGGCGTAAATGGAGAAGCAGATTACACCGACGAAAGCGAGGAAGTGACCAGTTGAGCCGGTAGAGAGGTACTCGTTTATAGGGCCTGGTTCGGTCCAGTATCGAAAGCCTAGTCGGTCGTGCGTGGGACCTCCTCCAAGGACCAGGACAACGGCCATTATGAGCATTCCGATGATGCCGAACACTTTCATGCTGGCGAACCAGAACTCAGTTTCTCCGTACACGCGGACTGGGAAGAAGTTGAGTCCGATGATGACGACCATGAACACGGTTATGAACACTGCGTCGTGGCCCGGGAATGTAGGCTTCCAGTAGTTCACGACGACGTTGGACACGACAATCTCGGCTGGTACTGTGATTGCGAAGATGTACCAGTACATCCAGCCGAGTGCGAAGCCTAGCGAGGGCGACACAAAACGCTTGCCGTAGTATGATGCGGAGGAGCCGGGAACGGGGAGGTACGAACTCATCTCTGTCGTGGCGGTGACGATACCGAAGACCAGGACAGTAATGATAAGATATGCGATGAGGAGAAAGACTGGGCCACCCATGCGAAGGGCTTGTCCCGAGCCGACGAAGAGACCTGTTTGAAGTCATGTTAGAGATGAATCATGAACGTGGATGTTATAGTGCAGTACCTGTACCGATCGTGCCTCCGAGCGCAATCATCTGTGCATGACGAGATTTCAATCCTCGTTTGGTTCCATCAGGACCAGCATTGCTCGTCTGGCCTACGACATTGGAGGTAGCTGACTCCAAGTTGGCACCAAATGTGGTTTGGATAGTTTCTTTCATGGGTTGCTTTTCGTCATTCGCAAATGCTGATCTATCTGGAGACGACATAACTGCTTTTTCTCACTCAATGGCTAGAAATGGGAAAGGATGGTGCGACTTGAATCATTACGAAAAGGAGAGGATCATCGAGATCTTATACTTCCACCCCTTAACAATCCGGATTCGTATCTCGCCATCTTCTTGAAACGTAAAGATAGTCATTCCCCACGGGGTCGTGTTGCTATCTACAGCCCGGGTGGAGATTCAGTATCCACTCGAAATACTAGCTAGCTAAGCGTTTCGAAGATTAATTATCGCAGTGCTTAGTCCGGATTAGCATGCGTGTTTCTCTACTGAAGTTTGGGATTAGAGAATGCAGTTCCTAGAATACGACGTATTGGGGACGATTGGCTCGGAATGAGTTGCCTTCGGACGGTGTGTAAGATAGGTCTAGACGCTTGAACGGTCCGATAGGAGGGGATCGGTCGGCTCACCAATCAGAGTCGGTTGCTGTATTTTAAGGGTAGAGCAACACCAAGTCTCACGATTAAATCGAATCAGGGGAATTTCGCACTTAGTGAAATAGGTGGTAGTCAGTTCGAGATACTGGAGTTTAGAGATTATCGGCCACATCACAGGTTTGGATTGATAGTCTGATGTTAGGAAGATTAGATAAAGATATGGCCATCTAGATCTATACAACATCACTAAACAGCGATTGTGTCTGACATTCGTCGTGAATCTGTTGAGATAGCAGTAGCTCGAGTCTGAAGCCAACAACCAGCTGCTAAGACCAGTGCAGAAGCAGTAACATTCGGCGTTGTCAAAGTGGTTGCATCGTTTGGCAATCCACCCAAGAGGAGAACGATAAAGGCACTCATATTTCACTGACTAGTAGTTGGAGTAAAATCACGCGTTTGAAGAAAGTACATTATCGACACACTGTTGTATGGTTACAAGGTAATACCCAGAAGGCTGTCCGGCACGACAGGAAGTTCAAGATGAAAGTAGAGCCTGGACCATGACCGACACCGGTCAGAAGTCGGGGACTTCTAGGAAATCCCCTACCAACTATTCAAGCTCGTGAGCCATGAGTGCGAGGTGGCTTCAATTATCCACTAAAAATTGTCTTTCTTCAAAGTGGCGACCTCTGGAAATCTATCCGCGTCGGGGCCCTGGAGCAACGACCCTCCCATCTCGCCTACAAAACAGCCGTTCATCCACTCAGTCGTATATGTCGACATGATGCCTGTTGACTGAGTTGGTGAAATTGTGCCTAGTAGGGTCTCGAATGCCTTTGTGTTCTGTCCAGAAGTCTGAAAAAGGGATGAGAAATCTAGCATGCCCTCGTGCAACAGACCCGCGACCTTAATCCACAGCTTTGGGCCGTTAAGCTCTGGCCATACTCCTAGCATCCTAGGGTCGTCTTCGCGCTCGGTGGCCACATATAGCACTGGCTGAGATATTCCGGACGAGGGCAGAGCGCCAAAGAATGGGCCATCCCAATTGATGACACTGTGAATCCGAGGGTCTAGGCCAGCAGCGAGAACAGCAGCGGCACCGCCTAGAGAGTGACCAGTCATGGCTATGCGATCTGTTGGGAACTGCCGAGGTCCGTGTTGGGGAAGAAACTGGGCCATGGCGGTAGCGTTGCTGAGCTGATCGATGATAAAAGATGCATCGGCGGCGCGAATATATGCGTATTGGGTCAACTCATCGATATTGGTGGGGTTTGGGAGATCGCTGTAGGCTACATGGCCATCAGGATAGACTATAACGTTTGTCTCTCCCGGATGGTCGATTGTGATTACTGTATAGCCCTCGCTGGCAATAGCGGAAGCAATAATATTATAGTAGAGCCGACTACCTCTGTAGCCAGGAGACAGGAGTAGGATTGGTGTGTTACCCAGGGATGAGCAACTACTATTATCATCTGAGCAGACTTGCAGGCGAGCCTCGGCCAAGAGAGATGTAAGGTCAACTGAGATGTTAAACATCTTCTGTATCCATGATCCCTCATGTTTGGCAGTTTCGTTGGGCATGTACAAGACGGGTACAGTAGAAGTGCACGTCACAGGTTGAAATACAGACAGCATCAATGCTCGGGATTCGCGGTCGTAGTCGATGATTGCCCCAGTCCTCAATGTGACATTGTATCGCCCTGGCGGGTTTGGGAGGAGGTACCCTGCACCCATGGTGGCGAGCAAGAGAGGAAGAAAGGGAAGGGTGAGTTGCATTTTCCTGAGTACGTTGTGGCGTTTGATGATTTGATGCGATGCTATCCGACAAGGTGACCACTGAGCTTTTTATACAATATTTATTTTCTTTTCAATTAATCAATACTATGTAATTCAGTCAAAAATAAAAGTTGAGTTTCAGCGCGGAACTACGACTCGCGCTCCCCTTGAAATGTTGCAGGGGTTTGCATCCCGTAGGATTTATACTGGATCCACTGAGAAAATCATTGCAATTGAAGAGGTCAGGTCAGGTCAAATGAGAAGATTACTCTCGAGTTTGGGGTACGCATTGCGCAGTACAGATTACGTAGGACAGTCCCATGTATGCGAAACATCCAATCAATTCGCCATGAAGAAGAAGAAGTTATTCGTAAGCTTCCGATTTACGCCTGAGATGGGAGTTCTGACCAGCACTATCCCATAGCATACCGCTTTGGTGGCTCGCTTATACAAACCAGCCAATCGTAATTATCGATTTAGGACGCTAGACTTCCAAGATTTGGCCTAACTGTGGGTCTGAAGATTGGAAAAGGCGACACTACATGATTGTTGATCGTGGCGAAGCGTCCAACTTGTTCAACCTGATCAAACACACGTACTTACTGTATACGTGATGATTCTCATTGGTCTCAATGGACTTCCCCAATTTGGAGCTTCTCATCTGCCCCGATTGCTGCTTCAAAATCTAAGTACAAGTTATAGAAGTGAACAAAATAAAGCGAAATCTTCCACCCGAATAACAAGAGAGACTGAAGAATTCGCTGCGCTGTTGGTCAATGAATATGACCTTTTCGGAGTATATTTAAGCACGTCTCATGGCAAGAGTTTAGAACAGAATACGACGAGGATTATGCGGGAGCATATAAACTGTGGTTCAACTTATCAGTGAAGCTATTAACGAAAGACAAAACCTATGAACTGCCACATGTCATGAATAGAAGAAAAAAATGGCTTCATGGAGGTTTCTTACATTACCTTCCATGATCTCACATTATGAAAGCATGAGGTATTGTTGATTCTTCCAGGCAACAGTTCCAGCAAGTATTGCTCCCGCATATCGTGACCTTTCCTATATTCTTCTCTTCAAACAGCTGTATCAGGACTGATGTCGTCGCTAGACGAGCAAGCCAATTCCCATGCGCCCGGACCACGAAACGATCATTCGAGAAATTGATCACATCGTCCCAGTCTTCGATGGAAAGCGGAGGCCGATGCGGCACTTCACGGTTCGTATGAATACATTCGCGCTTCATGCTGTCCCAGGATAGCCTTCTGCTCTTCAGAGCCCTCAAAATATCCACGTCTGCCACCCATTTCCCATAATCTTGAATTGATATTACAGATTCCAAGATGCAGACCTGAGAATCTATGCCTTCTCTCGCATGGTTATCAAATATAGGGACTTGGTGGTCCGTGAATGAAAGATGAACTGAAGTTCCACGGAAACAGTCCTCATTCTTTGCATCGAATATCGTCTGTTGTAAGGACATGAGTCGCTTATAGTCAATTTCTCTTATCATGGGTGCTTGTGGTGGCATTAGGAGGGCAAGCCCTGCCTTGCCAACGTTGCCTAGGATTCTTTCCAAATGGTAAGGGGCAGGTCGTTCGGATGGGTCGCACATAATCTGTGACAACTTGTCAGTTAAACATCTGTGCAGGTGCGAAGACAAAGTCCCACCTGTCTTGGGAAATAAAGGCTGTCTCCAATTGACACTGCCATTACATCAGCTAGGTCTCCAGTATGAAGACTACAGCTGCCCGAGTCTAGGAATGCCACCAATGAGAGGGCGCTAGGTGTACTGAGTGGATTTGTGTGGGTTTCCCCGACGATTCGATGTCTTCTTCCATATCTAGTACGAGGGAAACACTCAAGATCTGTGAATTTGTGTTCTAGTGACTGTATGGCAATCCTTGCATCTGGTAGATACTTGTATACCGCCTGCGCATAGTTCAAAGAGATCAAAAACTCAGTTATATCGTTGAATCTTCGTTTGCGGATATGATCTTTCAGCCTCTGGCAGCAGATAAGATCTTGATCAAAGCACCAAGAGATATCGAGAAAGTCGATATCAGGTGTAGTTTGCGTTACATCTTCGTTGCAAAATATCGCTGCACTATCAATGTCCCCCAAAACTAGCCTGAGCCAATATGGAGCGCCTGAAGTGGGGATCATAATATGCGAAGTCGTAGATAGAACGGAAGACGTAGATAGAATGGAGGAAGCATCGTAAAGAAGAGATTGCTCGTCCGTATCGGGTTTAGCATCACAATCTTGTGTAGGTGCCCAGCGACGATATGTGGAGCCAACGTGTTGTTGTGTCATCGTTGCCAGAACCTTTGGGCAGGTCATAGCCTTGCAGATTGGCTCCCATGAGGAGGGACCCACGGTTGCATAATGAAATGGGCCTTTTTTATCGTCTTTTTCATTCTCCGCTTCTGATAGAGACTCTATTGCAACAGAAAACTCGGATAAATCATCATCTGAAACATTTCCCCGCTCGGTCGAAGAGATCTGATATGGACGCGAATGTGGTATTCTGGGGCCAGAAGAGGATTCAGGGAACTTCAAATTCTCAGAGGAGAGAGATCGGTTGCTTTTTACAGTGATTCCCCAGTCTACTCGATATTGAATCAAACAATGGTCGACTTCGATTTTTGGACACCTTGACATTAGATACCTCAGAAACTTAATTCTGGCTTCATGATTCTTCAAGCATCCTAGCAGATGACTGTAGCCAAGAAGTCCAAAGCAACCTGGATTTGATCTTAGCCCTCTCGTGTTGGTATCGTCAGCCTCGCCTATAAAGCTCCTGAAGCGCCGTCGGCCAAGCAGTAGCAATCTGGTGGCACTATCACTCTCGCACTTGCTCACTTCGATGTATTTCTGAACTGTATCTCGGATTGTAGCCGCCCAAGAGAGACTCTGTGTCGCTTCTGATTCCCGAGAAAGTGAATCGCAAACGTGATATAGAACTTCCATGGCGGAGTTGATTTCATCGAATTGGACTTCCCATCGGCCTAAAAGGGCTCCAAGAGCGGCGAACATGAACTCTGGAAAGGTTATCCTGGTAGAATCGTGTTGCAATCGTTGTTCTGTCCGTACAGGCTTCCCATAATGCCGCAGATGAGCCAAAGATAAACACCAATAGACACCGCGGGCATTGTTCCTTAAAGGAGAAAGTCCGAGACTTAGGACACCACCCGGATGTATGAGGCTGTCGTCCATGTTCACTTCAATTTGGGAAGTGAATATTTTGAGGTTTGGATACAGATGCCAGGATGATAAACCTAACAAGATTGCGCCATCCTGAATAGACAAAGGTTCCCCTCGAATCAGTTTCTCCATGCTTTCAAGTGATGACCTCCAAGCTTCTGTAACGCTTTGGTAGAGATTAGTGTTGCTGTTCACAGGATATTGAACAGTTTTCAACAAATCTCGAAGTTTCATCGCCTCATCCTTTTTAATGTCGTCGGCAGTATTCATCCACGCTCTGATGCTAGCATCCCATTCGGCTAGCTCTGTCTTCCTGATGTCTCTGCGACAAGCGACATTTACCAATGCAAATGGCACCTGTTCGCCACATTCAACCTTGTCTGCAACCTCGCTCTTTCTTGCTCGAACCATTTCAACCCAAATGGCTACAGCTTGCGGTGGTTCAAAGATTCGAGCGATCATACATGCAAGCAAATGTGCCTGTATCGCTACTTCAGAAGATGTTGCAGCAGCCCATATTGCGGTTCCATCGATCCCGCTATATTCGGAGAAGATTGATCCAAGGCCTTGGTTTCCGAATCTTTTCTTCGATGCTTCAGATATCTCTGACACACGAGTACCATACGCCTTCAGTAGCTGAGGCGTTTTTGGACATATGCCTGTGAACAAGGCACCAAGTTCCCGTGCCAGAACGTGTGCAGAACCCGATTCAGCTTCCGCCCTCTTCACCAGAGCAAGGGAGTCGCCGAGGGGCTGGAACTCTTTTGGTGCTTCCACTTTGATAAGCGTGAAGTCGAAATTAATATTCGCAGCAGCAGCAGTAAACTCGTTAGTGACAGCACCAAGAGCAGCCTGGAGTCGTCCTACGGACATTGCTCGATGAATTTGTGAACTTATTGCCCAGATACGCTCAACAAGTGCCGGTCATCAATCATACGAGTAGAAAGCAAGCACGAAAATTCAAATGACAAAGATTAAGCTGGTCACTTTAAAGGAGCGGACGGCTGATGGGAATGCTCCATTAATGTATCAATAAGATTTAATGGCAAGGCTGAAATCTACCAAGCTATCTAACACGCACATGAGCAAAATTTTGCAATTCGGGGCTGTCAATTCGGTGTGCCAATAGAACGAATGAGATCACAGAGATGGGAGCTGAGAAAAACAAAGCTCACCAACCATCCTGATCCTCAAATCATATAGAGTACGGAGGATGCTCAGCATGTCTAATGCAGTCTAGACCCTAGTCTGCATCGTACCCGAGTCTGCATCGTAGACACAGCCTTGTGACACCATCGCCTGATAGCCGTGCACGCCGTGGCCTGCCAGACACCGATATTTTGATGATGTGAACATGATCTAGCTGATAGCCTTTGCTCGACTATGTTTGGCAAGCGAAATGATTACTACATGTCTTCCGCTTTCTCTGAAGGTAATCGCCTCGATTATGCATAGGAAAGACATTCCAATTGCTACCAGCAGAGAGGCTGCATTAGGACTGCAGCGGGCTGGTGGTTTGGGCGCACAACATTGTCTTAGCATACATGGTGCGTCGCTAGTTGTACTACATACCCCGAAGTAGTGATCTTGGGTTCGTGTTCTCCCCGCATCCCCGGCCGATTGCCCTGTATTTTGCTCGTTTCTTCCAGGCAGCTATCAATCTAGGTCGTTGCGAAGAAAAACCAAATAGAAATATCGCTCTATCCGTATTGCTCTGCGTTGTTACCAAAACAAGAGTCGAAAAACGATAACGGGACGAATACAAAGGCTAATCGCATGACACTGGCCACACTACTGGCTTCCTTGACCTTGTCTTTGGTTTCGCGGACCTGAAGCGATTGAAGAACAATCTGCAAGTATGTCTCGCACATGCGAGAGAGACTTCTTTCTCGATCAAGCACATACTTAGATTCATCCTGTCCTTCTACATCTCGCTATTCATCGCAGTCCAATTGTACCGTTGCCAATTTATGTCTGAACTGGATACGATAATTCGACGGACAATCTTGCGGAGAGGCACGATTGGATCTGCTTCGTTGGCAGCCTTGCTTCCAATCCGGTTGGTACCTGCCAGCAAGCACGAAGAATGTGCCTTCAGAGGTCACTTCCCCATCCACGTGGCTGCTGAAATACTCGGGTAAGGATGTAGCACTTTGGAAGAGTGAACTTTGCCCCTTCTGTGGTCCATCCACATAAGCAGGATATACCTTGCTCCAAGCTGAAGTGGGGTTCATCGTGAGTAGAGATTTCTCGAACAATTCATTCGCCTATCACGACATTATGCTCCAATTCACAGGTGCTATACTCCGTACTAATCACTACTTTGCTACCGACAACAACAATATCCGAGCTAGTTTCTATAAAATAACGGGGTTAGAGTATAGTTCCAAGAAATCTATATTGAGTACAAATCGCGACGTGCACAGATCGGCCACGTTGTGCACGCAGCACAGCTCACCAGTCAACACCACAAGAGAGGGGACAAAGCAATAAGGTATCGCATACTTCAGACAATAGAAATCTCTATAGAAGAGTTCCTCAGGCTCCTCCGCGCTGTTCATTTTCCTAACGGGTTCTCGCATCTAGCCGCTGTCGAGTCTGTTAGCCGGTAAGGTTATTTCTAGCCGCATTCATACTTTGAAAAACCAATATGTGAAGTAGGCATAGGCTTATTGTAATGATGCTTTTCTTCTGTCGCGATTGGAAAGTTGCATGGCGTTTTCGGACCGAAAGAATATTGCGGGAGTCGTTCCATCAAGTAAAATAAGATCACTTAACTGATGCTTATAGGTTTGTACAGAATCTGCCATTACTGCTACATCAACAATCTCCCCTAGGCATATGTTAGCTATTTGAGCTTCATTCTTGAACATAGCAAACTCTATATCTGTATTCAATCTTAAGTCTTCCTATGTCTCTGACAGTAATGTTATTATGCATTTCTAGCTTTACCTTGGTTTTGGGTACGTTTTGGGTTATAAGCATCAAAACGAAATGAATAGGGTTCCCCAACCTTGTAGAGTTCCAGAAAAACTGAGAATGCATTGATGCTTTCAATATGGTTTAGGGCCTCGAAGGATGCTTGATGAGATGTTAAAAGTATCTTCGGTCCTAACTCACACTGCTTTTAAAGAGCCTCCACAATAGGATCGTTGATCCCCAGGAAGATAAGCATCACGCTCCAGCATGTAGCGCCCTTGTCTTACGTGAATGCCGATAAGAGATTATAAGGTATCATATTCTACATACTGGATTCTGTAGTCAGCAAGGATTGTGTAAGGGATTGGGTAATAGAGAGAAGGCTTAAACTTCATTCCAAAAATCTGTGATTCATCGCAGGGCGCACCGAACACCACCTGATGTACGCCTCTACATCATGGAGGACACAAATTCATAGGTTCAATAACCGAACATGTTCGGACCCGTCTGTACTGCGAGTGGTCGACCTGACCCAACAAAAGTATCCTTCAAAGCGCTTACCAGCATTGTATCGGTCCCTGGAGGTGACATGACGGATACTGCAACAGGTAACGACTCAGCACGCTTAGTTATCTTCAAGGTGTAGCCGATATTGCCAACTAGAAGACTATCAGATTGTTGAACGGATTCAAGAAGCTTCTCTTGTAGCTATTTGCTTACCTGGTACGGTTATTTCGGGGGCACCAAGAACTGGAGAAAGCCACAGCGGATCCCAAACGTCTTGTGCGAACGGCATTCCTGGGTCAACATCGCGATAGTTTGGTTTGGCATCCATGATTGGGAGTACCACGAGCGCTGTGTCCTCAATCACATTCAATATTGTGTCTATCACCCAAGATTTGTACACTTCAGTACGCTTCCTGGCATCATTTCTCTGTTCTTGGCTGATCTCACTTCCATGATCCCTGTGCTGTTGTCAGTATCACCGGCATAAGAACAGGGTACTAGAGTTCGAAGCGTACCATCGCCACTGTGTGACTTTATTCACAAATGGACGGTGACCATACATTTGCTGGTATTTATTGCGGAATTCTTCGGAATGGTGGTAGAAGTCATGCACAAATGTATAAAGTCCAGCCTACGAGAGTGTTAGTTGAGCATAATGTGGACAAGGGAAACATACCTTTTCCAAATAAAGCTCCATGGACCTCTTTTCTGCTTCAACCGGAGGATTCGCCTTCCAAGAATCTCTGAAGGATACCTTTTTGACCGCTACCTTGAAAGTCGTGGCAAGATCCTCAACTAAGTCTTGAATCATTTTTTGCTGCTCCATGTTCGCTACTGGCAGGCAGTCGGTTGGATAGATGATTACTGTGGGCTAAAATGGTCAGATTGCTCAATATAGATGGACTCAGTTCGACTTCCTACCGTCTGATGCATCGTTGGCGCAAGATTCGCGCATGAGACCTTGACAATCGTGTCTAGATCACATAAATCGCGCGTGAAGGCAGCAGGAGCATCGAACGGCCTGGAAAAAGCTCAGTACATTTCTTCAAGTTCCGCGCAGGTAGTATAGTGTGACTGACGTATAACACGGTCGTATTCCTTCTAGAGAAAAGACCGTATGTGAAAAGCGATGTTGGAAGCAACCGTTGACAAAAGCTGGTCTGCGACTACTTCCGGTAGCTATCTCCTCTCGTTACTGCACAATCTGAGACATAATTTTGGGCATCATACTGTCTGATCCGATGGTGAAGTCAAGCCAGTCGTAGGCGGCGGTGGCTGTTGCACTCCCATTACTGCTCCCCACAGGTGATTGGTAGCCGTCTCCGCGAGGATTCCAAGGGGCTTGGAAATCGACTGCCTCAATTGGATCCTCCCTAGATATCATGGAACTACACTTTGTACTTCCGACCATGGTGGCCCCGGCATCGAGCAATGATTGGATTGCGGCTGCAGTGTTCTCTGCTGGCGTGGAGACGGCGTAGAACGCTCGATTCGAGAGGGCCATGCGAAGACCACTGATAGCAAACAATTCCTTTACAGCCATACGCTTGCCTTTCAGTGGTGAATGTTTGGTAGGTTGTCCTGAAAGCCTGGAAGGGACAGCTACACTGAGAGATTGTGGGTAGCTTCCAGCAACTTGTAATGGCTCAAAAGACCTGTACGATCAATTTATATCCTCTCTGTAGAGACAGTGTACGAACCGACTGTTCTTCCATGCTGGCTTTGTGGGAACCATGAACGAATTCTGCACATCATCGTATAGTCGGCAAACGTGACAGAGTCCGATGGGTGAGAGAGCGTAAGGGCCGGTCTATTCGGATTAGCAGCATATAAGCTTGCGGCAGTATTTACCCACTGGAATTGTAAGCGTTGGGACGACAACATGCCAAGAAGATAGGCTTCTGATTTTGGCTAGCAACCCTGGAGATGGAGTTGAGAAGGATTGGTCTGTCGTGGTGATAAGTAAACCTTGCAGGAAATCGGGATTCCACACGTCGTCTTTCAAACTGCGAAAAAGGTCAAGTTGTTTGTCCAACCACGCATCATCTTCGAGGTCGCGCGTATGTGAAGTTGCAATGACCGTCACAAGAGACACTTGAGCGTGTTGCTCGAGACCGTGCAGTGGTGTAGGCAGATCTGCAAGAGTAGCCAGATATCGCGTACCGCTTGCCCGGAATTCGAATTGGCGTGACACCGATAGTGTGGAGACTATATGCATGATGATACAGACACGTAGATGTGCCAGAAAGGAAAAGATGGGGGGCTGCGTTATGTGTGTCAGGAAAATGGATGTTGCACTTGTTTGTTTGCTGTGTTTTCAGAATAGTTGCAAGGCTTGGCATTTGGTGCACTGCTCAGTCGTGACGTCCCTCACCACTTACTTATTATCGTAGGTACCTTTTAATCCTGCCAGCTCTCCTGTCATTGCAAATTCACGTTCTTCGACTATAATGTCAGCCTCAAACGACACCCCTCACGACGAGAGTTTGCTGCTCATCGCGCACTCTAAGCAACAAGAGACTTCAGCTGCGGAGCGCGGCGCTGGACAAGGACAAAATCAGCCTTTCGAAACTGACGAGGTGTCTTCGCGCCGCCTGGCGCTCATTTTGGGTAGCATTTTGGTTAGGATATTCACGACACAAATCCCGCAAAGTCATTGTTGTGAGCTGACTGTAAGAATATATAGATTGGTGTCGTCTTCACTGCTGTGGACGCAACTGTAGTGGCAACTCTTCTGTTGCCCATGACTACCGACTTTCAATCCCTACAAACGTTGTCCTGGCTGGGTTCAGCTTTTCTGATCGCTGCCACGGCAGGCATCCCCCTCGCGGGACGATTGACAGATATCTTTGGTCGAAAGTCGGGCGCGGTTCTTTGCAACATAGTCTTCACTATCGGTACCCTGCTATGCGGTATAGCACCAAGTGAGTGGGTGCTGATACTTGGCCGTGTGCTTGCAGGATTAGGAGCAGGGCCGCTTCGGACCATTTCGTCTTTCGTATCGTCCGACCTTGTCCCAACTAAAAAGCGCGGCTTGGTTCAAGGCCTCAACCTCCTCTGCATGGGTGCTGGTACTGCTCTGGGAGGTTCTTTTGGTGGCTGGATGAACTCTCTCCTTGGTTGGAGATGGGCATTCCTCATCCAAGTGCCTTTCTTAGTTGTCGGTACCATTCTTGTCTACCTCTTCGTCGACACGCCGCGAAAACACTCGAGTGTTCCACCACTACGTCGAATTGATTGGCTCGGCTCCATTACGCTCGTGATATCTCTAGTCCTTCTCCTTGTAGGACTCAACGCCGGGGGCAACTTGGTGCCTTGGTCACACCCTCTGATTCTGTTAACGACGCCCCTCTCTGTTCTTGCACTATTAGTATTTCTCTACAACGAACAGTCATGGGCAAGCGAGCCAATCCTTCCTTTGCGATTGTTCAAGAACCGTACCTTTTCCGCATCATACCTGACATATCTGTTCGCACACGTGGCAGCCTTTGGCATCATCTACTTCATCCCAGTCTATGCGCAAATCCAAGGCTACAGTTCGGTACACGCAGGGCTGCAATTCATTCCCCAAGCTGCTGGCAACGCTACGGGTGCGCTACTTGCTGGTGCCTTGATACGACGAACCGGGAAGTATCTGTTTTTGAATGGAATTTCGCAGCTTTGCCTGGTCCTCGCAGCGACCTTGCTTTCCCTTCTACCGCATGGGGCACCCTCATGGCGGCCATTTGCGTACCTAGCATTGCACGGCTTTGGATTTGGCATTATGCTGGTTGTGGCATTTATTGCGTTGTTGAGTGCCATTCCACATTATGATCAAGCTGTGGGGACTTCTGCTCTGATTGCACTGGGATCCGCAGGCTCCGCGCTTGGAGTCACGATATGCTCCGCTATATTCCAGAACGTGTTGAGAAAGGAGCTCTATAGTCTACTAGGCAGCTCCGACGTAGCTGAGGATATCATCACGCGCCTTAGAGAGTCGTTTGGTGTCATACCCTACATCGATCCATCGGTTCGACCTCTTGTCGAGAAAAGTTTCATGGCTGCCGTTCACTCAGTATTTAGCTTCACGCTTGCCGTTAATATCATCACTCTTGTGTCTGCACTCTTTATCAGACAGAATACTCTTTACAACAATCTAGCTCGCCCTGAAGAGTCTGATTGATCGAGCTACAAATGAAAATCATTTTTGCTCTTATCGAGACCAGAACGTAACCAAGTCGTCAAAATCAGTCTCCTCCAGTACTTCGATTGTAACTACCGATGATCCAGTTATTGTTGCGCGCAGAACCGCCGAGCTCCCCTGTGACAGACATCTGCGGTTTTGTGGTGATACTCCCCGATAGATGACTGATATTGTAGCAAAGCATTTTTGTGATATTTTTTACTGTGTAGGAAACCCCTCACCAAGTTTCACGTTGCCTATCGCATGGTGAGAAGTAGGATCAGTAGATATCAATCAAGATAAAGGTATAAAGTACTGGTACGATACGGAGTCCATAGGGCCAAATACAGATTCTCTGTCTTTCAACCCTGCAGTGAGGATATCCAATGCACTCTTGAGGTCTCCCTTCAACCGATACGCAAACCCGACATTCAAGATTGGATTTGAGTCCATATCCTTCTCATATGTCGATAAGGGCCTATAAGTTTCGATGAAAGTCAAAAACGACTCAATTGCCTCTTCTGTGCGATCCGCCATCATGCATGCTACAGCATATTGATTGTGCGAAAGGGCGGCCAAGCGAACATCAGGCGCGCCTCGAACTTTGGCAGCTCTCTGACGCATCTGAACGAATAAGGAATTGTGTTTCATGCAAGAGTGTACGTCGTTGGACTCATTGGCTAGGACACCTTGAGCATACAGGATATCGCACAGCAAATCGTAGCGTCGATCATCGATTGCACCTGATTCGTGAATGTCAGCAGCCTGATATACGATGATTGCGTGTGCAGCTTCACAAAAAGCTTTGCAAATAGGTTGGCCTCAACGCCCATGTTGGAACCTGCAGCGATCAGCTCAGTCGCGCTCTGAATCAGGAGCTTGCGGTAATCGAGAGCCAAGGTAGCCTTGACTTCATCTTGAACCAGACGGTGCAGAGGGAACTCCTTGCTGTTTTCGTTTCTCTATATGAGGGAGCACCGGAGCAGTTCTGTCCTTGCGCTCGCATAATGGAAACTCTTCTCCGGAAAATGCTCCAGTCTGCCACTTTTAGATGGGTAGGAAACAAACAGATCTTCTTAGAAGCAGTCCGGCCGGATCAAGAACTGAACACAGGTGCAGTAGATTTTGCGCCTCTTGGCTTAAATGGTCGAGCGCAAAGACAGAAGCGATGGTCCCTCTACGGAGGCTGATGCGTCCCCCAACCGAGTAGTCATACGACTCACTTCGTTCAGACTAGTCTTTGTATCTCCCAAGGAATTCAGAGAAGCCTAGCTGCTGATACCTTACGATGCCTTCCATCTGCGCAATTGCAAGGGGAAGGCACCCTAGCTCTTTTGTATTTCTCTGGCAGTCTCATCGCTCTCGTTACTGGGGCGGGGCGCCAGTCTTCGGAATAATTGAGCCCCTCTTTCCTCGCTTGAAGGTTGCATACTGACACCGGTACATCCAGTGCCCATCCTGTCTTTTGCAGAAGGATCTCGACTTGTCACTAGACTTGAACCACCCCCAACGATTGGCCAGTACTCTTCCAGGATTTCAGAGTCGTCGAGGTTGTCGAAAACAATTAGCCAACTTGCCTCGGTCTGACCGATGATGTCGGTTGCTGAACGGATGGCTTTCCTAGGATTGGCCAGCCACCCCTTTGCCAGTTCCCGACTGGCGACTGGATTCTTGATCGCATTGGGGTTCTCGAGGCCCAATTGCCTGGCAATGTTTCCGAAATATTTGCAGCATCATAACTGTCAGTTATTGTATTGTTTTTGGTAACCAAGCTCGCTTAGCACTCAATTACTTTCAATCTTCAAGTCTTCCAGTGTCATATGCACGAACCCAAAAGATAGCACCAAATTTGTCCTTCCTTGTGAATACAAACTGAATGGCGATTTGAGATTTCCCTAGCCCACCTTGGCCATAAAGAGTCCGATGTGTCGGCCGCGCAAAGCTCGACGGGTGTGATTGTCGTAACCTTCCCCCTTAGGCACAAGGACATCGTCCAGAGTGCCCAGGATATCCTCTCTACCCCAGAAGTCCTTGTTGTACAGTCTGCTCTCGACCATGAAACAAGGAAGAACATGAGCCGATTTCATTGTAGTATGAAAGTTGTTTACAACCGGCAGTATATCAAAGCCTTGTGCCGTTGACGAGCCCGCGACAGCATCAGTGCTTGCATGCGCACCATCAGGTTGTGGACGCTGTCCAAGCCCGCTGGATACGCCAACTATAGATGACATCCTCGAAACAAGTTCTCCAATGGGATCGCTGCTATCACACTCTGTGGATACGTCAATAAAGATTCCATTTGATACATAGTTGAATATCATCGAGGGCGTAGTCCGTCAACATCCGTGCGGCCGTCAGAGGCACATGCGTCAAAGCTGCCACTCTTTAACCAACTTTGGACATTCTTCGATGCTGCGGAGCACAAATTTGAATGTTCGCATTCAACTCCTAAACAAGTCTTGGTGCGGGCTTGAACTGTGACGAGCTGTAAACTTGCCGAAAAGCTAAGAATATCAACCTTCCTACATCCGTAGCCCTGTGACACAAGACGCGTGGAACAATATGAACGAGCGTTGTTTGGTACGACGTCATATTCAACCTACACTCCACCTACCGTGGCCAATCTTGATCTCTTGATGAATTGACCCTTTTTAACATTGGACCCTATGCTCTCGTATACAGACAACACATCAAAGCGGATGTCAATACGTTCGAAGAGTAAGAGTATATCCTTGACATGGAAAATCCATGGAAATATTCGTCGCCAAGGCACGTAAGACACTTCCGGGATATACTGGGTGCAAGAGCCCGCACAATCAGCTGCGTACACTCGGAGAGCAGAACCTCGTCGCGTGTACTGTGTGGTGTTCCGAGAAATACGACGGCTGCCGTGGACCATAGGATCTCTCTGTATGCGGTTTGGGCATTGGCAATGACGAGTACCACATCATAACACAATTAGCATTGCCACCATCTTCATGATGAATCCAGGACAATTCTTTACACTTCCTTGCTGCAGGATTATGCCGCCTAGACTATGGCATATGTATAGGCATCATTATTCAACTAAGCGTGTCAAATGTATGTCCAGAGTCAATATGTCCGTACCTCAGCGTGTGACTGAAGACTAGCAAGCTGCTCCGCCAAGGGAAGGCCCAAGGAACCGTAGCCAGGTGAAATTGTGGAGAGCGAGACGTTGTATCCCTACACAAAGTACTCAGGCGCCCCGTTTCCTTGATTCTCTTTCACGACTGACCATTCGGTAGCTGCTAGTGTGCCGATGCCTAGAATCAGAAGTACACTGCAAATAATCGGATCAGCTCGTCGCAACCCTATAATCAGACCAAGAGATTGGCTGTTAGGCTCACTTCACGGTTGCGTCACGATTGTTTTCCGTGTCAAACAAAGCCCGTAGCTTTTGGAGTGTCGGCCATTTTAGTATTGCTTGTGTAGAGAGTTGCAGGGCCTCACTATGATGAGGAAGGAATTGACGCCAGGAAATAATGAGTTTAAGGTCAAAATATGCTGCCAGAAGGGTAGAGAAGCTCAACTCGGGAGGTTACCGTGCGAGTTCTCATCACGTTTGACGAAGGTGAATAATTGGCAATGCCATTTGATGACCTCACAGCATAGTCACCGTGATCTGCCAAAAAGGTGCGTTTTCTATAGAGCCGTGTCTTCACCGGAATCATGCAATACGACGTCTCCACTGCAATCACCGCACTTGTGATACGCAAGATTGAATCAATGGACTAACGAGGTCAGACCAACGCACCCACACCACATAGCCTATTCAAAGGCGAATAACATGGAAATTACCAACTCAGGTCAAGTCTCGTAGCCAGCCTCAGACCAATTACCATTATTGTTCGCTCCACCCAGCAATATTCAAGTATTGAGCACGGCCAATAGGCATCAAGCCAGTGGTTATGAGTTTTTACTTTTTTTCAGACAAGCACACCATTCTCAGCCATGCTTATGTCTGCATGGTCAACGATTGAGTGTGACTTGATCGGATTTGCTGAGGTGCTCTAGGACACATGCCTGTGAACAAGACATCAAGTTCCCAAGCCATAACGTGCGGAACGAGAATCAACAACAAGGCTGAAACTTACCAAGGTGTTATTCAACATGCACATGAGCGATATTTTGCAATCCAAGGCCGTTGACTTGGTATACTAAAAAGATATAAAGGAGATCACAGAGATAGGGGCTGAGAAAAATAAAACTTGTGTATCATCCTTTCTCCTCGAATCATACAGAGTATGTTGATCATATCTGACACAGCCCAGAGTCGAGGCCTATGATATCTCCTGCATTCTGGACATATCCTTGTGACACCATCGTCTAATGGTCAAGACCCCTCGGTCGTCGAGATATTGATGATATGAAAATCCTTTTGCTGGTCGTCATCGTTCAGCTAGTACTCGTAGAAGTACGGGGTAGCTAGTTCGACAAGATCAAAGTGCGAACTCGTCTTCTATTGAGCCAACAGGCCGTCACCTTAATAGCCGAAAAGGAAAGATGATAGAATTCCTGGGCTGGTGGTTGTGGGAGTAAGCGTACTCATGGTGTGTCGCTAGTCGTGCCACTTTGAAGTAGTGTAACGTTGGGCTCGTATTTTTCCGCATTTTTAGCCGGTTGTGTCACAGTCCAGCTCAGCCGTGCTTGAGCCCAACAAAAATCCCTCAAAGCTGACCACCCTCATTTTGTGTATGTATGTATATTCTTTTATTTAACCTTTCTTCATCGATCAGTACAACTGATCAATCATCTCCTCTTCACAGAGCGAGTTGAGTCACGCGATGGGCTTGTGGTTTAGTGGTATAATTTTCCCTTAGCACGTGACGTCCTACGTCTCGCATCTAATCATGGGAAAGGTCCTGGGTTCGATTCCCAGCAAGTCCACCATCTTTTTTCGCCATTATTTTTGTGTGGAATCGCTCCTGATTGCGTTGTTGGAGACGGGAGATATGTTTTTTGATGAGTTTTCTTAGTGGCGTTGGGCTGGTGGCGGGCGGTGTTCCTAGATGGGACTAGCGCTTACCGCCTGGGATTTGCCGCATAACTTTGTTCTGGCAACGCCGGCTCAACATGGGCCGGCCGTATTAGGATGTATTAATACAAGATTGCTTTGCTACTGGCAATTGTAACAATTCCAATTGTGGTAGTTGTTGAGACGTTGCGATGGATTGCCTTCCGGCATATTCTATAGTAGATCGTAACTGTTCTATGCAGGCAAAATGATCAAGTGTCCGACTTGAATCTATATTCTTCGCGATGACAGGGACGAAATAATCCCGCGCCCATCGGAAATTCGACAAAAGGCTCCCTTAGTCTTTGGGGAGAGGTTACTAGAGTGCGCGAAGATGGCGGTAGTACAGCATTTCCGTTGAAGGCCATTCCTTGATGCAGCGAATATCACGACTCCAACCATCGAGAAAGATAGTACCAAGAAAGCAATTCTGATTAAGAGCAATGTGTAATCTCAATCATTGATTCAGTCCTCTCCTATAAGGACCACGTGCAAGTCGCACTTCCATTAACAGCCGGTTCTGGGCTTAGTGCACGGAATACCTGCTTAGTCTAGACCGTGACCTGCGTCAAGTGCGCCCTATAGTCATTAATTTAGCAAAGAGATACCCTATTTCAACGACGTTCCGCCGCCATTATGTAGAAGTCAACATTAGGACTTCGGCTCATACGGAAACGAACGAAGAGGGAACTCTGGACTTGGGCCATGTAAAGAGTATATCATGTCCACGAGCTCAACTTGCTGTACGCTTGTTTGTGGAATGTCCATCCGTGCTCAGTTATTCACGCCATAACTCGCAGCCGATACTGTGTGGTAATTGAAGAAAGAGTTGCAAACCCAAGAGAGGAACAATCTGCCGAGACCGCTCCAAACTCCGCATAGAGAATTTCCAAATTGTGATTCCAGGGGCCTTGATATTAGGATCAGTTGCAGCATACGAAACGAGCCATGTTCAATTCTATCCCCGATCTGAGCATCCCTCCAACTGCAGGGCCATCAGTTCCGAATGAATCGCAGGCCAATCTCGATTTCCAGGCTCTTTTCAATGAAACCATAAATATAGAAACCGATTGGCCATTGGGGCTGTCTGGAGATGCTGCTTCTCAAAGTGCTGATGCCGCTCTCTTCCAGAGAAGTTCTTCTGTTGCCTCCAACCAATCTAGCATCCAGGATCAGTTGGGCGAGTCTGGTTACAACTCCGTCGACAGCTCTGCTGAAAACTCTGTTTCTGTCTCTGTTTCCGGAAAGTCTAACGTGCCTCCTCCTAAAGTGGGTACTAGATTGTCCCGCGATACCATTACCATCTTAAGACGTTGGCTCTTTTCTCACCTTGATCACCCATATCCCACCGAGGCAGACAAAAAGTCGCTGCAGTATCAGACTGGGCTTAGCAGGACACAAGTATCGAATTGGCTGAGTAATGCTAGACGGCGCGACAAAATATTCATTCAGCAACGTTCCTCATCCTCTGCGGAGAAACCCAGGAAAGATGATGTCGCAGGAGCAGTTGAAATACCCCGGAGATCAGGAACTCCAGCACCTTGGGACAGTCCTCGTTATAAGACAGATGACCCTCTGCAGCGCTGGGTGGAATCTCCGCCCGAAGACGAACCGGCTGATCTTACAGCGATTGCAAATGCTGCAGCCTCCAGCTCCAGAAATTCACAAGGTACGCCAGATATTTCCAGGGTACGGTTCGTATTTGCATATCGATTAATGATCAATGAACCACAGATTCCGATGGGAGCATCTCCAGAAGAGAGTGGCAATTGCAACCACGTTCTCGTCCATCTTCGGTGGGCAGCAGTGGTAATTCGGCTTCTAGCGAACAATCCACTGCTTCCGCGCACTCATATTCCTCTGACATCTCTGGTGTATTGAGTCGACGTCCCCTTGGGCGCAATCGTGTACGCCATCGAAGGCGGCCAATTCGGACACCTCTACTGCAACCGAAGCACAAATACCATTGTACTTTCTGCACTGATACGTTCCGAACCAAGCATGATTGGCAACGGCACGAAAAGTCCCTTCATATGCCCCTGGAAAGATGGGCATGTTCACCCAATGGGCCTACTGCATTCAACGAAGACCTTGGAAAAGATTGCTGTGTATTTTGCGGTCACGTCGAACCTGATCTCAATCACATTGACACACACAACCCAACAGCATGTCAACAGCGAGAGTTCAATCGAAAGGATCATTTGAAACAGCATCTACGGCTCGTACACGACAGTCAGCTGCTCGACTGGTCAGAGAAACTATGGAAATCGGCACCGTTAGAAATCCAATCCCGATGTGGGTTTTGCGACTCCACCTTGGATACTTGGCCAGCTCGAGTCGACCACCTGGCCGAACACTTCAAGATGGGATCAGACATAGCCGATTGGAAGGGAGATTGGGGCTTCAATGATTCGGTACTTACGGTGGTAGAGAATGCTGTTCCGCCGTGTCCGTCGGCCTCTTCAACGCATACAAATACTTGCTAATAATGGAGCAGATCTCATTGAATATGAACGCAGTTCACCGTACCCTTATCAAGCCAGCCGATCGCCTCCCGAGTCCCCTCGAAACGCGTACGAACTTCTACGCTTGGAATTAGATCATTTCATGCGGCTATTCTATGATAAAACTGGGAACATGCCCAGCAACAAAGATGTACAGCTTGAGGCTTGTCGCATTATCTTTGCCTCCGAAGTATCCTCCATGGAGCAAGAGCTTGGTAAACTTTCGGCATCCTGGTTGCGCGACATAGTCACGGCGGACAAAGACTTGACCCGGGAGGCTCGATTCCGACCAGTACGATCCAGAGCTGAAAGTCTGATGTCATATTTGCACATCAAAGGCAAACTGGGACCATTTGAGAACTGTCCCTGCGAGCTGCAGTTGCTACAATATGTTGCCACTAGGAACTCACTACACCAAGGACTCATCACCGACCAAGAGCTACAGAGTGAAGCTATCCAGGTGCTTGTTCGACTTTCCAGCAGTTGGCAGGAATGGGGTGTTTCCTCAACGGACTTCGTGACCAACTGGCTCAATCAAATGATTATCTCTTCTCCCACGTCTTGGCTTGATGGATTCAGGTCGAGGCATAATCTCCCTCGGCCCGCTGCGCCGATTGAACCATCTTTTGGAGGAATGGATGATATCTTTGAGCCTACAGCCACTGAGAATCTTGGTGGAGTTCCCCTTTTCGACATTAGCGGAGACTTTCACCACGGCAAACAACAGGTTTTAACACCTCCTACCACATTGCTTGCCAATTCCGAACCCGTCAACCACAGCCCCTTGCTCAATATAACCCCAGGCCATGGACCAGCGGGAAACCACCTGCAATCTTTCACCCTTCCACCAGACAACGTTCAACATACATCCGGCACCACATCACCACCGTTGCCAATTCCCCAACACCTCGTTCTCTCCCGTGCTTCGTCGCCCGGGAATCCCATTGAAAACCCCAAGGTCAACGTGGCCAATCTGGATAAACCACCCCAGCCAGCAACTCTGTCCTTCGTACGCGACTACGCGTTCTTCAACGACGCGAACTTCGAAGAGCGTCTGATCCAGGAACTCAGGCGCTGGGTTGCATCAACCATGTCGCCCAACAACCCCAATTGCCACGTCCCGTCCGACGAGGAAATCCAGCATCAAGCTCGGTTTATTGTTTTTGAAGAGTAAGTAATACCGTTGGGTTCCCATTGCGAAGTACTGTATCTAAATGGTTTAAACTGACTAAATGGTACATAGTGGCGATCCTTGGAATCAGACTTCTGCAGACCATCCTCAGTGGTTAGAGAATTTCAAGCGTACTGTGGGTATATAGCGATCACGATGCGGTTTTAGGTGGCCTTGTAGATTTTGATTTCATTTGAAATGCTTCGTTCAATGATTCAGAATCAAGTACTTCAATTATTGTTTGACACGCAGATGTGAAGTAGTACTATTCGCTAAAGCAAATTTGAAAGATGCTATTCTCTGTATGAAAAAAAATCTCTCGTCAAATAATTTCGAAATTTGGATTTAGTTTCGTTAGGTTGATAGGGTGCCCTAGTTGGTTCAAAGTCCTCCCATTGACTACGCCTTAATAACATTCTCAAACCTGCAAAGTGTTAATTCTGTTCTATGCATTTGAAGAAGAATTGAATATCTTCCACTTACCTCTTCAGTGCCAACTCAAGCGTCTCCCGAGTCATCGACGAGTACACCATCCTGAACCATCCAGGCTTGAGAGCATGTTCCTCATGCGGCTGCAAGAAAAGCCCACCATCAATGAACTTCTGCGCAAGGACTTCTTCCCGTCTTTCCTGGGACAACCCCTCGCTCTCCGGTGGCAGATACGGCGACAAATCGATCCAAACGAAGAACCCAGCATTAGTCCCTCTCAGGTACTTGATTCCGATTTCATTCAACCGCCCAATGACAAATTTATACGTATCAGCAAGGCGTTCACGGCTTTTGCCGATGAACGATCGAACCCATTCGCGATCTTCCAGCATGGCCGTTGCAATGGCTATGGATGGCCCTGAAGTGCTATGGAAGCGAATGACATTCAAGAGCGATTCTTTTAGGTCCTCGTTCTTCGATATCAGCGCACCTATGCGCAGACCCGGTGCGCCGAAGTCTTTACTCATAGCATATGTAACGTGAAGGAGATTGGGATCAATGATATCGGTTGGATTGATAGAGAGAGCCGACGTAAAAGGGACAGTATCTGGCTCGCCAGAGTCGAAGACCGAGAGTCCGTAGACCTCATCGGAGATAAAATGGATCTGGTGCTTCTGGCAGAATTTCATGAGAGCCACCAAGGTCTCTCGGGGATAGCATCGCCCTGAATTGGTAAGTAAGCAAAAGAAGAACGGGTATCTGGGTCTAGGGGCATAATCACCGAGTGGGTTGTGGGGATTGACAATTAGTAGAGCGCGAATCTTGACGCCTTCGCTATTCGACTTTAGAAGGGCCTTTTCATAAGCGTCTACCACATCGGGTTGAAAGCAGGTCTCTGCCTGAGTGTCTGCGGGCACAACCGCGACTTGAGCCTTGTTTCCGAAATCAAGCTCAAATCGGCCGTAGTAGGGACGTGAGAACAGCACGCCCTCACCAGGACTGGCAAGACTGAATGCAAGGATCTCGTGTAGTGCAGTTGCAGCAGAAGTCGCTCTAATATCCTTTCCGGTGATAGGTTCGTAGGGGTTGAAGTAGTCGTTGAGGAGGCCTGCCAATGCTGTTGGGAATTTTGGACCACCTCCTGCGGTGCTGAAACTGTAGGAAAATGCTTTGCCAGGAAAGAAGACCTTTGGCAATTATTAGCACTTAGTCTGGATTACATCTGCATATTACTGGAGAATGGGCACCTTATTGTTCGCAAAATCTTCGAGCTCTTGTTGTATGAGAAACTTGAAAGACAGCAATGTCAGTACTTCAGTCTCTTTGCCATTATTGGCAATTTATTGGTCTCTTAGCTAACATTTTCTGCTGTCGCAAATGAAATTCTCCCGTCTGGATTGGTTTCTCGATCGTAAGTGGTACCCAAAGCAAAGCGCCATGGGATCTTCGTTTGATCCGCGATTTTTTGACCACGATGAGAAAGCATTTTGGTATGACTAACAGAGGTAAATGAAGTAGTCGCCTGAAATTCTGTTTTAAACAAAATGAATTGTCTTCGATATATATATTCTTCAGTATACTGATCGCAGGTTCTTCGGAGAAAGTATCAATTATCAGATCATCCCAGGCAACAAGAGAAGCGTATTCCGAGCATCTCTTATGTTCGGAGTTGTGACAACCATGTTGGCTTCTCGGAATAAATGAAGAGAGATGATTAATATGCTCATTCACCTCCCTAAGACGGTTAATCTGATGTGGAGCGACATCGCATTCGCCCGTATGACGCCCTATCACGTGATCTATCCAAAGCGCCAAGGTACCTTCGACTCCGTGCGGGTCGGGGGAGCTCTCAAGCTCGCATCTGTAGGCGTCATCCTGTAGCAACAAGATACCCTTTCCGAACCACGCTGGGAGTTCCCAATGGCGCATATCGAACACGAGCTGTAGTCCGACATACTAGCCATGCTGTGATACCTTAGGATATTCCACCGCCATCCGAACTCGAGAAATGGCGCTTGATATGTCGACCGGCTATGCTGCACCCAGCACGAGCAACCTGCAAGATGCCGACGCATCTCTTCCAATGTTCAACGTTGAGCTCGTCTCGCTGCAATTCTCTATATCCTCCGACTTTGTAGCGGCCGAGGTCGCCAATAACGTCCTGATACTGGCCCTATCCACCGGTCGCATCCTCCGAATAGACCTTGATAGTCCAGCAGACATTGACGGTTCGAATACCTCCACCTGATAATTAATGACACGATATACTGATTGTGCAAAGATATTGACCTCCCTAAGAAACCTAGCGAAGTTGGCATAATAAAGCGCTTATTCCTAGATCCCTCCGCATCGCACTTGATCATCACCACCACTCTCGCCGAGAATTACTACCTACATACCCAATCGCGAACACCGAAAGCTCTTTCAAGACTGAAAGGCGTGTCTATAGAAAGCATATCCTGGAATCCTTCACAACCTACCGCATCAACAAGAGAGATACTCATTGGTGCATCGGATGGCAACGTCTACGAGGTCTACATCGAGCCGTCATCCGAGTTCTACAGACGCGAGGAGAGATATCTGAAGGGAGTTTATAAAACAGATGATGGACCAATCACTGGACTGTGGACAGATCTTGTCCCTGGGAAGCCAGATCTACGACGGGTCATCATAGCGACACCGTCTAGTTTCTTACACTTTGCGGGCAGGATAGGGAGACATGGGCACGAGGGAAGCGGCTCAATCTTCTCTAGACTTTTTGAGAGCGAGAGCGCAACTGTACATGAAGTAGGCAATGTCTCTCCGAGCGCAAAGTCTCTCCTTGCCGTGTCTCCTGAGCGACCGGAAACCCCTTCGTCAGATCATGCGAATGCGGAACGTATCTTTGGCTGGTTGACATCTCAAGGTGTTCTCCATGGGAAGCTTTTCCTTTCCTCGGACACTTCTGAAATAGGTGGTAAAGTGCTGTCAGACTCCCGAATGTTACCTAGGTCGCAATTACCACCATCCCAGACTCCCAGTGGCCGCGCAAAAAAGACACAAGACCCAGTGAGCTCGATGATTCTGAGTCAGTGGCACATCTTGCAGTTGGTGGAGGGCCGCATTGTTGCCACCAACCGCCTTGACGATACTGTTGTGCTCGACCAGACTGTTTTGGAACCTGGTCAAAGCGCGCTTGGATTGGTCGCTGATATTAAGAAGAACACGTATTGGCTTTTCACGACACAAGAGATCTTCGAGATTGTTGTCACGGACGAGACTAGGGATATATGGAAGATCTTGCTAAAATCGCAGCAGTTTGAGGCAGCCTCACAATATGCGAAAACGTCTTCACAGAAGGATGCTGTTGCTACGGCTTCGGGCGATTATCTCGTTGGCAAGGGCCAATATCTCGAAGCAGCTGCAGTGTACGGACGGAGCACTAAACCCTTCGAGCAGGTTGCGTTAACCTTCATCGACAAAGGCGAACAGGATGCCCTGCGGAAGTACTTGTTAACGAAGTTGACAACTTTAAAAAAGTCTTCCATAATGCAGCGTGTACTCGTCGCTACATGGCTCATTGAGCTATACATGGCAAAATTGAATGCTTTGGACGACACGATAACAACTAAAGCTGAGCTTTCAGAGAGTATGAATGCTGCTGAGAGCCAAGATCAACTGTCATCCATCAGAATGGAGTTTCAAGAATTTGTTACCAAGTACAAAGCCGACCTGGACCGCAAAACAGTCTACGAAATAATAAGCAGCCATGGAAGGGAGGAAGAATTACTACACTTCGCAACAGTAATCAATGATTACAACTATGTCTTATCATACTGGGTTCAAAGAGAACGATGGCAGGAATCGCTCACTGTTCTCAAGAAACAAACCGATCCCGAAATTTTCTACAAATATAGCAGCGTTCTCATGGCTCATGTACCCATTGATCTCGTGGAGATCATGACGCGACAAACCAACCTGGAGGCGCAGAAGCTAATACCTGCTTTCCTCAACTACAACAACATCACAAAGGCTCCTCTGAAACAAAATCAGGCAGTCCGTTATCTGCAATTCGAGATCAACCAGCATCAGTCTACCGATGCTGCAGTCCACAATACGTTGATTTCAATCTATGCCTCCCACCCAACGGACGACGAATCAGATCTTTTGGCGTATTTGGAGGCTCAGTCGTATGCACACGAGCAAAACTACGATGCCGACTTTGCATTACGTCTATGCATTCAGCACAAACGAGTGCAGTCATGTGTCCATATTTACAGCTCGATGGGCCAATATGTGCAAGCCGTGGATCTAGCGCTCAAATACGACGATGTCGATCTTGCGAGCACAGTTGCTGATCGTTCAGAAACGGAACCTGCTCTTCGCAAAAAGCTTTGGCTGGCGATTGCAAAGAAGGTGATTTCTCAATCGTCGGGTATCAAGACAGCGATAGAATTCCTGCGCAGGGTTGATCTCCTACGGATAGAAGATCTCATCCCATTCTTCCCCGACTTCATTGTCATTGATGATTTCAAAGAGGAAATATGTGCTGCGTTGGAGGATTACTCGCGCAAGATCGATGAGTTGAAAAAGGAAATGGATGAAAGCGAAGAAACGGCCGCGCATATCAAGACAGACATCAAGGCTTTAGAGCAGCGATATGCCATTGTGGAGCCCGGCGAGCGATGCTATGTATGCAGCTTACCGTTACTTGCTCGGCAGTTCTTTGTATTCCCTTGCCAGCATGCTTTCCATAGCGATTGCTTGGCTAAAAAAGTTGTTGAGTTGGCAGGTATTGCGCGAGGAAAGCGCATCGCTGAATTGCAGATGGAAGTGAGTAAAGGCACTGGCGTCGGCGCAAAGAGGGAGAAGGCAATTCGGGAGCTTGATGCCCTTGTAGGCTCTGCATGGTACGTTACCAGGTTCATGGTCCTCTGTACCCCGCTAACACTCGATTACAGTGTGCTATGCAGCGAGATGGCGGTCAAAATGATCGATGAGCCATTCATTTCTGCGACAGATGACAAGGAAGAATGGGCGTTGTGATCCAATTCGACAGCGATTGCATACGTAAAGAACAATTGCCAACTTCTTTATTGGAAGACATGCAGTGATCGTGGCTATTGAGAGTCTGATCGAGTGGCACGATCCGTTCTTCGAAAGGACGAGAAAGGAATGCCTTGCATACACGGCCAAGAGATGCCAGTTGTGGAACATCTCATGGTCATGACACCGCATGCATGCTAGTGGCGGGATCTTTACCCTAATCTCCGCAGCATTTAGTTAATGAAGCTTTTAGGTAGAAACTTATTTACCCTGGTCAATCAGGCTACCATAGCTTCTTGCATATCCCCACCATTTCTATAAAACTAACGTCCTATTCCGCCCTCTAGCTTGCACCGCGCTTTCTTCCGCGAATGGATCCCCAATTGAAGATCCTGGGGCACTGCAATGTCGGACCGTAGTGTGTCGATGTCAAGAGTTTTAGTCCACTATTTTGTCTCTCAACCGTCCATCGAGCATCACTCACGTGCGTGTATATTTCCCCATTCAGAAGATCTTCCGCCATGTATCACGCATCTTTACCCATGACTGCTCTGATTTCATGAAGAATTTTCCCGAGAGTTTCCCCAGTATCACGGTTCCATTGAAGTGTTGAACGACCAGGATACTTTCTGGAAACATCCCCCGCCCTTGCTCCGCTTCCCCTCACAGGATCTGCGAAGGTACCATGTCTGTAGCACGAACTCCCACAGCCATAAATTGACCAAAGCCCCGAACCCAAAATGAATGTTCATCAGGTTAATCCACCATGGGTGCCATGTTCAGAATCTATTCATTGGCAGCTTTGGCTGGCGTTGGATTGGCCCAGCAAGGTAAGAATAAAGAATATGCATTACCAAACAAACCTTTCCGAACGCGCTTTGCAACTTCAAAGATCACACAGTCACCTATTTATTATTGTTAAGCAAACATCCTGAAGTCTGAATATCACGGCTAACGTCAATGCAGCCATCACAACCTCGGGTACAAATTTCACTCTGAATGGAGATGGTGTATCGTACTTATTCCACGTTGACGACAAGACCGGCGACCTGATCTCCGATCACTTTGGCGGGCCTGTCGATGATTTCACCCCACCTGCATTCGTTCTCCCCTGGGGCTGGAACGATGGGTTGGCCAATCTCCGTCGAGAGTTCCCAGACATCGGCCGTAGCGATTTCCGACTACCAGCAATCCACATCAAGCACGCCGACGGCGATACCGTAACAGCTTTTCGGTATAAGTCCCACGAGGTTGTCGAAGGTAAACCTGCGCTTCCAGGATTACCAGCAACATTTGGGGATGCTGGGAACGTCTCTACTATCATTGTGAATCTGCACGACAATGTATCCGATGTTTCGGCTGCATTGTCGTACTCGATTTTCCCGAAGTACAATGCTGTCGCACGCAGCTTTCAGATCACGAACAATGGTACCGGCGAGATCTCCATTGAGAAAGCAGCAAGCTTTAGTGTGGATCTTCCGGCGCTCGATCTTGATATGATTGAAGTTCATGGAGATTGGGCGCATGAGTTCCACAGAGTCAAGAGGCACATTGAGTTCGGAGAGACAACGTAAGTCCCCCATGATTCTTTTACGATGAAAATCTACTAAAAAGCTCCAGTTTCCGAAGCTCGAATGGTTTTTCGGGACATCTCCACAATCCTTTCTTCGCATTGGTCACGCCAACGACGACTGAAGGCTCTGGAGAGGCATGGGGCTTCAACCTTGTCTACACCGGTAGTTTCGAAGCTACGACAGAGAAGTTCTCAAACGGTTTTTTGAGGGTCCTACTTGGATTGAATTCGCTACACGCTAGCTTGCCTCTGCAGCCGGGTGAGAAATTCGTTTCTCCAGAAGCTGTGGCCGTATACTCTGCCAATGGTGTTGGTGGAATGTCGCAATCTTTCCACGACCTATACCGAAACCATTTGTCGCGTTCCAATTACACGCACGAATATCGACCGGTTCTTCTGAACTCTTGGGAAGGCCTCAGCTTCAACATCAATGAGACCGCCCTCGTTAAGCTTTCTGGCGAAGCAGAGGAGCTTGGCATTGAACTGTTCGTCAATGATGATGGTTGGTTTGGTGTTGAATATCCACGAAACAATGACTCTCTTGGTCTTGGTGACTGGACTCCAAACCCTGCAAAGTTTCCCAATGGTCTCAAACCATATGTGGATCGAGTCAATAACTACACCATCGCCAATACGTCGCAACTCGCGGGTGAGCCTTTGAGGTTTGGTTTGTGGGTTGAACCAGAGATGGTCAATGTTAACTCGACCTTGTACAACGAGCACCCCGACTGGGTCTTGCACGCTGGCAAACACGCCAGAAGTCTGACTCGAAACCAGCTTATACTCAATCTCAGCATGCCTGTGGTTCAAGACTTCATCATCGACACTGTTTCTGGGATCCTTGATTCAGCCAATATCCAATACATCAAATGGGACAACAACCGTGGCATTCACGAGACATCCCACCCATCCGATGATTACAACTACATGCTCGGTATCTACCGCGTCATCGACAATCTCACCACCCGATACCCTGACGTCCTTTGGGAAGGTTGCGCATCCGGAGGCGCCCGCTTCGATGCCGGCTTGCTCCACTACTGGCCGCAACACTGGACATCCGACAACACAGACGCAGCAGAGCGTCTCACAATCCAGCTCGGCACATCTCTCGTCTACCCGCCCTCTGCCATGGGCTGCCACGTCTCCGCCGTGCCCAACGGCATCACCGGCCGCAACATCTCGATCGAATACCGGGCGCACGTAGCCCTGATGTGCGGTTCCTTCGGCTTCGAACTCAACCCCGAAGAACTCAGCGCAGAAGAGCGCGACGCAATCCCATCCATAATGCAGGAAGCCAAGCGTATCAATCCGATCGTCATCAGCGGCGACTTCTACCGCTTGGCCATCCCCGACGAGACAAATTGGCCGGCCGTGCAGTTTATTTCGAAGGATGCGTCCGAGGCGTTCGTGCTTGCGTTCCAGCAGAAGTCGACGATCAAGCCTGCGCCGCCGCCGTTGAGGTTGAGGGGCTTGGATCCGAAGGCGAGGTACTTTAATGATTATGATAATGGGACGTACAGTGGTGCGACTTACATGAATGGTGGGATCAATATCATGTTCGAGAGGAAGGATTATGTGAGTCATTTGATATGGCTTGAGAAGCAGTAAAAGGGATCTCTATGTAGGATTGGGCATCGAGGTATTCTTGCTTATACTGACCCAGCGGACGAATCTTGACAGGAGCTGATGTAGTCAATGACATGATGGAAAGGAATCACGACATACAATCTATATGTCATCGTGTAAAAGTCTGTCTATACTATAATTTTAGATATACGTATGTATAGACTTAAAAAACAATGAACGAAATAAACCAAGAGTGTTGCCTTGCAGTACTAATTTGATTGTATGAGAGTAGTTAGTCCGAGCTATGCACTGCCTCACTTCGACACTTCGGCCTATACTCCGTATTCCACCCAAACTTTCACATGTGCTGGGCACGATACTCCTCGAATTCTCACCACGCCCACGCACGTGAGAAACGACACTTTCTCAAAAAAATTCAATATTCTTGGAATTTAAATGCATGCTTTTGGGTCAATTATTGATTACGGTGATATCCAGCTGTAACTTGTTGGACAATGAGATCATTCAGGAGGTCAACACGAGAGGACGATCCCTGCCAACGTTCGGCTAGCATTTTAAGTTTAGGAAATTCTGTCTCGCCGTTTAGGGGTAGGTGGGATGCCTAAGCCGCGTATACAACCATTGAATAAAGTCACGTCCCCCCAAAAACGGTTGCACAGCAGTGGCCGCTCGCTACACACTCAACCCTGTTGTTGATTACTCCGTCGATTCGAAGACAATTGCTCTCTGCGATAATCATGCGTAGTTGAAGCCCATGAAGGAAGAGAAAGACATACACGTGACGGTCATCCAGCTGGACATCCCCAGGAAACCCCTACCAGTGTATTCGCCTGAGATCCGAGTTGATGGCACTGGCAATGGACCTCGCGAGTCGCTGCCACAGCGCGCTCTGAGATATGTGACAGTCGACGCGATCAAGGCACGTTACGAAACGCTCAAACCGAAGGTCGAATCGCTCAGCAAACGCACAATCTCCTCGGTTCAGGCTATTGATGTATCCTCCGGATTTCAGAAGGGCTGGACCAAATTCAAGGCGTTTCCCTGGAACAAGCAAATTCGCGCTCTCATTCTAGTCCTGGTCTTTGGGGTTGCACCTCTAGTAATCCTGGGCCGCTTTACATACTCTTGGACCGGCCCGTTTACGACCATCTTCACGCCGAAGACGCTGACATGTGGAAATATTAGCGGTACTCCGCAGAATTCCACCGTCTCCGGAATCCAAGGATTCTTCGTGCTGGACGTCACTTTCGGGAAACTTCCATTCTACCAGGTCAAAATCATCGATGTCTTGTGGGATCTCGTATTAGGTAGAGGCGTGCAACTCCTCGCGTGGTGGGCAAGCTACAGGATATTTGCGGATGTATTGCTGGGAATCATCGAGCGACATGCCACGTCGTATGAGACTTTCTTGCACATCGCACTGGACGGACCGTCATTGGCATCAATGTGGACATTGATCAAGGACCTTTTCCGAACCAGGAGTAAACGAACATGGGCCCTGTTCTTTTACATGTTAGTGTCGATTCTTTACGTGCTCTGCATTCCCGTCTTCTTGGGCGCAATGACAGGTTACGACAGCACCCAAATACCGTGGGTCGATCTAGACGACAACAATCACATCATCCCGGCCTCGACTGTGGACAACGGCCTGATAGTGCATTCGCTTGGAAACAAAACTTTCAGTAATCCAATTTGTTCTTCGGAATTGGACAGCAAGATCAACACTTATAATAACGAGCAATATGAGCGCCAGCAGAACTGTACGAGAGCAACGCATTTCTCTGAAAGATTACCTACTAATCCAACACAGGCGATTGCAGACTACCAAATGGCACAGTCCTTGCATGGACTAAATGGGCTGATAGATATTACTATAATTGGGGATCTGATTATCGCTTAGGCGATTGTAGGTCAAGTGTGCAGTCCATCTCCCGTTGCATTCACTGATATTACCAGGTGTTACTGTCTTTCCCAACACCAAGACGTACAAAGACTGGGATGGCAATACTAAGAGCTGTACGTTAACATTTGCAATTTACAACTAGCTGGAGCTGACTCTCGTGATATTCAGGCAATGGCTCCACTTACTACACCCTTTCCGACGATGGAAAGACATACGACGTCGCTACGGCAAATTACGAAAGCGGCTTTTGCTATGATGGCATTGGTTACTCGTACAGTACTCTATGGTCCAAATCTCGTTGTCTCCCTGACACCGCGCACCAAACCTACGAATGGGGTTTCTCAACCATGATGTCCGCAACGTTCATCTTCCTCCAGTTCTTGTGGACCATCACCATGTACATCATCTGGCAAGATGCGCAGATCAAGAGTAAGCTGGTGAGGAGCGGATACGCAATGACGCAGCTCAGGGCGGCGTTCACGCTGGCAGCGGCGGCGAGGTGGAGGACCGGACTGAATAACCGCGCGCTGGTGAGGAGGGACACGAAACAGCTGGAACGAGAACTTTTTGGGTCGAAGAAGGCGCAGAAGGAGCAGACTGTTGTGTCGTATGAGCTCTTTCAGGAAGGGCGGAATAGCATGAGAGATAGTCTTGAAGCGGACTTTAAGAAAAGAAAGGGATCGGAATATTGCGATATCTAAATCAATGAAATAAGTAATCCTATGCGTAGTATCGTAGTGTGATGGATGCACTTAACCAACAATATGGTCAGATCCGTAACGCTCCTGGAGAATCGAGCGCGATGCAATTTGGTTACACACAACAATAATGCCTCCTGGACTCATACATCCAACTCAACCAGGAGATACGAGTAGTGATTGGATACGAAACATTGGCACAATTCAACCTTATCGACGACCTCACTCGCGCCATATATCGTGCAAACTCGTTCCGATCGAACGAGATTTCGATGATAAGGTGCCGGCTATCGCAACTGTGTAACACTCCATCCTGCCAGTCACGATAATATGCACCCAATCGCGGGGAAATCTGCACCACCCGTGTCAGCAAAAAGCAATCGCAAAGTAAATCGGATCTGACCGCTTCACCGTATATCAATAGATCTCTATCTCTTCAATGGCTGATATCGATCCCACCGCACATACTCATATTCCTGCATTCTATCGCGTATTGTGAAAAGTCAACGACATCATGCCCGGACCAAATTTCACAGAATGCGGAAACACATACATGTCCAGCCCCGATCTCATATCAAAGTACGGCTACACAGGTCCCGTCAAGCTTGTGCCTTCCAGGCCATCCACCCAAATCACGTACGAAGGCTGTGTGACGCTGTGCGGGCGCGGAAACGAGTACTACCCATGGACTATGATGGCCAACACGATCACTACGTGGGTGCTTCCTATCGTGGGTACTATGCTGCAGGCACCGTTCGAGAGCAATGCGTTTCGGAGGACGATTAGAGCTTGTATTAGGTGGTTTGGGAGTCCGATTTCTAGCTTGGCGTTTATACTATGGGATGTGGATATCTCGGGGAAATGTGCTTTGTTTGGTGAGTTTATTTAGGGCTGGGTAGCTGCTGATGATAGTGTGTGGGTTTTTGACGGAGTACAGTTGATATGGCGACCCCGTACGATGGGCCTATTCCGAATGAGCAGAGCGAGTATGCCAGCATGCGGGACTCGTTTTTTATATTGATGAACCTCAACCAGTACAAGATGAAGCCTGTCATCAGCATGACTAGAGAAGCAGAAGGGTTGTTACGGATAATGCTGTTTGGAAAGGACTTGAAGCTCATGGGGACAAAGAAAACATTGAGTCAACTGAGACGCAAACTCGCTTATGATCTTAGATGCAATAGAAGGAGAGGGGTCGTACCAGTTTTCATATCTACACTATGGTTCATGGTTTCATTGGGAATATCGATTGAGGCTGGTAGGCCACGTTTTGCGCCTTAGCAAAGCATTACACTGACATGGTGCTAGCATTCGGCGACTTGGGCAACAATGCCCAGGCCCACGATCTTGCCATGGGCTTATTCACTGCCTGGCTCCCTGTCCTCATCTTGTGCTCCATACTCGATCGCAACCCGATGGCCTCAGACGACATCCAGCGAAAGTTAAACAAGATGGTGGACCTCGTATGCATCTCCCTACAAGACGACGCAACGAGAAACGAATACATCGCGTCCTTTCGAGGCTTGCCGCATCAACATCACATGGTGTATTGGACAAATAAAATCGTAACCAAGACCGCCTACATCAAAGGCAACTACTTCTGTGGCTTCTCAGGTCAATCCCGGACTCGGTTCCACTACGGTGCAGCTCACGCCATCCTTTGTGATATCGAGAAAGCCTACATCGCCGATCGTGGTCGTAATTGGCTTCGCAATGGCGACGAAGCCCGTGCAGCGCTGGTGCTCGGACAAATAGACCACGGCTTTGTGTGGTTTGACGGCCGGCAGATGTGGCAGGTTGTCTCTGCTATTGCGTTGGTGGTCGGGGTCAGTGTAGGTGGATTCATTTTGTCGTTGAACACTCCCACGGTCGGATTGGGCTGCCGAACGGGGGGATACCTTATCTACGTCGTCATCGCCCTAGCGTTGCATCTTGCGGAGCTACTTGTGTGGTGGTTCACGTCGCCGTTGAGGGATGAGGATGAATTTCGCGCTCATATTCGGAAGCACACGCAGCATGCACCTGATCAAGTGGCTGGAGAGACTAAGGTTATCGGGTTGCCCGGCCTTTTGACATCGAATGCGGTACTTCGGAAGTTCTCTCAAAAGCTCACGGAGATTCTTGTCTGCTCAATACTATTCTTGATTCGCTTGCTCCCCCTCAAGCATAAGAGATCTATTATTGAAAACACAGAGTACTCTATCAGGCAATACTGCAGTGCACTGCAAGATCTAACAACGAGAGACTGGTTAGAACGAATCTTCTTCACTCCAGTCGAGTTCACAAATACGGTCTGGTTATCCTACATGATAATGGCACAGACGGCCGGGGCATTCAACAACTGCGCTTGCATGACTTCTACATGGGGCGGTTGGGGAGGGTATATGGATTTCACACAGTCTGATCATGCGGATAGCCCGCTGGTTGCGAAATATTGGTTGCAAGGTACCATCATAACCTGTGTCTTCATGGGTGTGGGGATGGGCTACATTGTGCTTGAGGTGAGTAATGGTTCGTATTCTGCAGAAAGAGAATGAAGACTTACCAGTTCTTGTGTAGTGGTTGTTGCAAGCTCACTTGAGCACCGAAAACTATAGAGACGCCGCCAATGGACTCCAAAGAGTACGGAGGTTTCGAAGAGGTACTCATTGGATATTGTATCCTTCAACGTTGATGGTAACTGTCATGAATAACTTTCTGAGTGCATGTAGATTGCGTTCAAATGGTGAGCGTAAAATTCTTGTGTGGTCGAAAGAGAGCAATTATAGACCTCGAGTTGGGGCTGGCATTATTGGGCTTTCTACAAATGCATGATTCAAATCGACTGAAAATACAGATAAAAGCCAATACTGGCTGAAGAGTTTCGTAGAGGAGACAAAATCTTTGCCCAACAAAGCCCTGGAACTATTTCCAAATAAATGCTGACTTTTAGGAAGCGGGTGATCTAGTGTCTATAATAATTATGAGAATCTTATATCTTAGGCCAGAAGTTTTCCTCAGCATCTAACAACTCGAACCAGGCCCCCGATGCTCTATCAATGACCTGCTTCTTCAACTCCTCATCACCCTTCACAGCCTCTTCCACACCCTCATTCAACAACGTCTCAAGCGTATCCACAAACTTGATAAACTCATCGTTCGTCCAATTGGGAATAAACTCCGTCCTCATAGCTCCACCATCCTGATCCTTACTCACATCCGCATCCGCACCCTCCGCCTGCCTCTTCGCCCAAGACCACGCCTCAAAGTACACCTTCTCCGTCGCCCAAAACGTCACCACGCCCTCCAACCACGGCAAGAAAGACTTAGGCTGCGCACCCGTCGTCAACTTATCAAAGATCTTCTCGAACTTCTTCAAACCCTCAACCTTCCGCTCCTCCGGCACCCCTCCGCCTTCCGATGAAATATCGACATCAATACCAAAGCGCTCAGCAACATCCATGAAAAACCGCTCCTCACGGCGGATATTCACAAGCGCATCGACGAGCCAATCCAGGAGTCGGACTTCAATGGTGCCGGCGTCCTTGCTAGGCGTGGGCTTGTTGGGCAATTTGATGATGCGCAGGAGCTCGCCGGTGAGGCGGATGTAGCCGAGCATGTAGAGGCGGTCATTTGCGAGCCATGAGGAGATTGTGGATTTTGGGAGGGTTCCTGAGGCGGCTTCGCGGAGGAAGGCGGATTGGGTTGCTAGGGTGAATTTGGAGGTGTGGGTTGTGAGGAGGTGGGATGTGAGGGTCCAATTGGTGGTGGTTGGGGGTGACATTGTCGCGGTTACTTGTCGGAAGGGATTGCGGAGGGTTTGAGACGTTTTGGTATGAATATAAAAGAGCAATTGATGAAGCTTGGAAGTGAAAAGATACATGTGCCCCGCAGTCATGTGAATTCGCGTTCGACGCGTTAGTGGGTCGTGAGGGGCATTTCCGTGGAGTATGCGGGGAACGATATGTGACGAGAAAAACATCACAGAAGGACTTCATAATATATTTTGGAGGAGGCAGTACTCAATTCAGTCAAGCGCTCACTAATCTAAATCTCTTAGTTCCCGCTTTGGAATGACCTTTTCATGGGCACCTCTTTCTTTCGGAGCTGAAGTCTTCCACTGCCAATGGCTATCCTTCTCTTCACCATTGGACTGTCCATTGAGGACATTTACAACGTATTTCCCTATTGTTGGGAGGAACTTCCAGCTATGAAAACTTCCACCGACTGCAAGATACAAATTACGGAGCTCGGGGTGGGGATGCCTTGTGAGCAATTGATCTTGCGATGGCGAGATAGCGTCCCAGCATATCCTCCAATAATCTACAGTTCTGGTAGTGAATTCGGGTAAGGTGGTAGATACCATCTCGTCCAATGTTTCTTGCTTCAATCGGTCGGATACAATAGACTGATCGTGGTCTGGTGGAGCCGAGATCTTACGTCCAGTTTTCGTGATGATTGTATTCGTGAAAGAATCTGAATTCGTGAACTTAAGGAGCGAGCTTCCACGAGGAGGCGGTAATATCTCCCCACGATCGCCATATATAACGACGGGAACGTCCTTGACCCTGGCGTATTCCGCCTCGTTCAACTTATAATGCACGACACAGACACCAGCTGCTGTAACCTGCTTCTCGACTCGATCGTCGTCTGCAATGTTCAATTCATCTTCCACCGGCGACAAGAGCTGACTAGTCCAAGCTCCTGTTGCCAACAGGATCTTGTCTGCTTCATATACACGCCCGCTCTTGGTCTTTACACCGTGAACTCCACCAGCCCCTCGAACAAGCCCATCCACATCCCCCGTCTCATAGCGAACACCTCTCTTCAACGCATCCTGCAACATCGCCGCTACAGCATCACTCGCATCCGCCCATCCAGCATTCGGATTCCAGTAGCCAGTATCAAACCCCTCCAACTGCGTTCCCGTCAACAGCCCGTCCCACCTCTCTCTCAGCGCCTGATCCAACGCAACATCACTCGTAACATCGCTCCCTCTCTCCCGAAAGTTCTTCCGTATCCGTTCCGCAAGATCGTTGCCCCGATTATTCAACATGATCCACCCGCTCTCATGGAAGAACCTCTCGCCTTCCTCGTTCTGCAGAACGGGCCAGGTCTTCCATGCGTCGAGGGCTTCGTACGCGAGGTCCATGTAGAATCGCGATGTGTAGTCGGCGCGAACGATCTTGTTGATGTCGGTGGAAGCGGCATGGCTGGGAGGGAATGGGGTGCGGTCGAGTACGGTGATCTTGGAGGGGTCGGGGTGCGAGAGCGAGAGGTGGTAGGCTGTGGAGGTTCCTAGGATTCCTGCGCCGACGATGAGGGTGCTAGGGGCGGACGGAGGGGAGGGCTCAGGCATTGTTGAAGGACGTGGGATTGATTATCCTAGATGTGGTGAGTTTAGGCGCAATTGTGTTAGTATTCAATGTGTGAGCTTATGGAATTGCAAGTGAGGGGCGACAGATACGACATCGAGTATGCATAAACTAGCGTATTGATGAGAACGCCTATTGATTTAGCAAGGTACCTCGTACGCAGAACACATAACGGAGCAAGAGATCAATGACTCTTGAGAATTATGGATTTTGGGATTGCCCATGTAGGAACCAATTTTAAGTATCAAGAAATACTCCGCGCACAGCTAGTGCATCCTTCGTCAGTGGGTAATTGATAAATCATGCTGCAAGTTACATAGTTCGCTGTATGCAACTCAGAATGACTCATTTCGACCAGTACCTCTTTGGATTATACAAGTAGAAAGCCGGCATCATAGATATAATAAATCCAAATTAAACCCCTCTTAACTTCGAGTTCCCTTGATCAATCATCATTCCCGACAAAATCTCCCCCTCACAAAAAACAAACACACAATGCCTGACCGCGTACTCGACGTCGTCCTCGCCGACCGCTTCACACCCACCTCGCGCACAAAGCCAACCCATATAACCGATCCCGCAAACAACAAATTCACCACCCCTCTCAATGTCTGTGTCATAGGTGCTACACGAGGAATAGGCGCATCAATAGCACACGCATACGCCCAAGCTGGCGCATCCACCCTCATCCTCGTCGGACGATCATCCTCGTCACGTGAGCTCTTATCCGTGGAGAAGCACGCCCAGGAACTGCACCCCTCGATTCGAACGGCGACGTATTTCTGCGACTTGACGTCTTCTAAAGACGTAGAAGAGCTGGCAAAGAGGGTGAGGGAAGACATTGGGAAACTTGACATTCTCGTGCTAAACTCTGGCATCTCCGGGCCGGTGGTTTTGAAAGTAGAGGACGGCGACCCCCAGGATTTTCAGGATGTTTTCAATGTCAATGTGCAGGGGACGTATCTGGTTGCGCATTACTTCATACCAATTTTGAAGGAGAGTGATGGCGCGAAGACCTTCATTGTCGTGGGCTCGTTTGCGGCGTGCATCATCAAGGGACATATTGCGAATACGGCGTATTGCTTGAGCAAGTTTGCACAGAGCCGGCTGGTGGAGTTCATTGCGGAGCAGTCTGGGAAGGATGGGATATTGGCGGTTTCTGTGCATCCGGGTGCGGTTGCGACGGATTTGGCGAATGCGACTACGCCTGATAGCTTTAGACCTTGTAAGTCCGTGGATATGAGAAGCTCTTCGATAAGACGGATTGAGATTAATAGGATCACAGATTTGACGGACGATGTCAGCCTTTGCGGTGCTTTTTGTGTCTGGCTGTGCCAGGAAAAGAGGATGTGGTTAAACGGAAGGTTGATCAGTGCTACATGGGATGTGAGCGAATTGCTCGAGAAGAAAAAGGACATCGAAGAAGGAGATCTGTTAAAATGGGGTTATCGGACTGTGAACCACATAGACAATTGATCGACTCCAAGCTACAGCACGTCGCTTCGTACCAGACATATTGGAAGGAAAGGATGCACAAATACCCATGAAAAATTCGCTCGAAATATCATGCTCATTCCTCATTTTCAAGAGATTCTTCGACTGCAATGGCCAATTTCCCAGACGTAATTCTACGCACCCTCCGCCAACGACCGCACAACACTTCGCAAAGCCGCCACATCAGCGCCCAAAACCCTCTCAACCAACCCGTCCTCAGTCGTCCTCACAGATCTGCTGGCCTTAATACTGGGTACATTTACAGGACTTGGCTTTCCATTCTTGAAGAACAGAAAAGAGGGCATGGCCGAAACATCATAGCGCTTGGCAACGTCCTTGACGTGGTCGACATTGACTTTAGCAAAAGCGAGTTTTCCCTTGGTGGCGTGCTCATCAGCTAGCTTCGAAAAGATAGGTGCAATGGCCCGGCAGGGAGGACACCAGTCGGCGTAGAAGTCGACGACGACGGATGTGGAAGACGACAGTATGGAGTCGAGCTCAGACGATTGGGTGACCTTTTGTACATTCCCAGAGGTTTCTGGTATGGGCGAGCGGTCGGCGAAAATGGCCTGTACGGTATCTCTTAGCGTATATTTCGAGAGTATCGATTCGTCAGCGGAGACAAAGAATTGTCCCTACGCGAGCGAAGGAACAATAGTGCGTGTATAGCATTTGCTTTGCCCATCATGTTGTACGCAATTGCTTCATATGGTGCAGTTTTAGAAGCTTACAGGCCTAACCAAAACTACCAAGACTACTGCTAAGATGATGTACTGCAGATATTCCATGATGAAGAGGCGTACCAGCTTCTTGGTTCTCAGCGACGTGACGTTGCGTTTAGATGGAATATGGATGTTGGACTGATGAAGTATGAATGCTGGATGTCGTAAGTCGCCAAACGATTTGCCAAGAATCTGCTAGCGATCAATGAGATGTGGTTGCATTCTATCAAACTCTTTGGAATCAACGAAATACCAAGTTTTTGATATTTGTAGGAAATCTCTTGTCCTGTTCAATGACGTTACTGTGAACTGTGATCTTTATGATATATAAAGATTCGTAGCATCGAAAGCCATCTCTATGTTATGTGGCGTCCAATCACAAGAGAGCCCCTGCTTGGCCGCACGACGTCATCGCCTCTCAGCCACATTTGTCATCCATGCTTGGTGGACCTCACCTGTCCATCATTAATTGTCTTTGCCTCTAATTCTCTTTCCTTAAGTCCTCGTAGATTTGTTCTGGTGGAAGGGAAAAATAAAACGCCATGATGTTTCCTATGCGACGCTTTACCTGGAGGCGCTTTCTTCTCTTTGGATCTGCATTTGTATTCTTCTGGATATTTGTGTTCAGTCTTACACCACTGACAGCGCCGCTACCTCCGTACACTGGACAATTTGAGGTCGGCATTCTGGACCTTGAGGTAGAAGTGGAGAAAAGAGTTATCAATGAGGCGATATTGAAGGAGACGGGCGAGAAAGCTTTCGAGGTAGGGAATTGGTTTTCTTTGGTTTCCGGCCCGTTCCGAGACCTTTCCACGGAGACCGCTTTTCGATATATTTCTATTCTGGGGATATCAAATGTCTCTGGTTGTTTTCCCATCTTCCCATGGAGGATGAGTGTCTGTCATAGTTCACTCTATATGATATTGTCCGCTATCATCGATGCCACCTCATCGTCGTATATATTTCTATTGCCGAGGCTTCTTCTCATTCGCAATATCTTGCTACAGATTCTAACATGAGTATAGCTATCGACCCTCGCAGTAACACTGTACTATCCAACCAACAAACCTCTTGATCCAAACAAGCCGGAACCCTGGGCACGACCATGGCTCCCTCAGCCAATCTCTTTGATAGGCACCGGCTACGCTCGCCTTGCTGGCATCCGTTTCCCGCCATTCCAATGGGTCTTCACCTTCCTGCTATGGGCACTAGGATCTCGAACCGTAATTCCAGGCGTCGTGGACGCCCCCTTACTCTCACGGCCTGAAAAGCCCCTCATCGATGTCAGCGATAGTTACTCCAACGAGGCAGGACGCCTCGCTAATTTCGACGACGACCGAGAAGAGGAGCATATCGAGCTCAGAGACGAAGCGAAGGGCTCGCTTCCATGTGTCGTCTTCACCCACGGCATGGCCGGCATGTCGCAGAGCTACTCGCACTACCTAGGTTCGATAGCGAGCCACGGCGCGGTCGTCGCAGCAGTCGAACACCGTGATGGCAGTGGTCCAGGATCCATTGTGCATTACCCAGACGGCCGCGAGAAGAAGGTCTGGCACATGACGCACAACGACTTCGAGTATGCCATCCCACCCCCTTTCCACCCAAACCCAGTCCTGAAAAACCACAAACACTAACCCCCTCCCAACAGACCATCCTCAAACATGACCCCCCGCGCCCTTCAAATCGCCCAACTCGCCTTCCGCGAAGCCGAAATGCACGAAACCGTCCTCCTCCTCCAGCACCTCAACTCCCCCACCACCCCCCTCCACAACCTCAAACCCTCCTCCCCTGAATCCTCCTCCCTCCCCACCTTCCAATCCCGCCTCAACCTAACCTCCACAACCGTAATCGGGCACTCCTACGGCGCAACCGGCGCGCTCCAAGCCCTCAAGCCCCCCAACCCCTTCATCGCCGGGGGCATCGCCCTCGACCCAGGAAAGTCCTCCGGCCCCTTAAACCACGACATCACCTCGCCCAACCTCATCCTGCACTCAGGCGAGTGGACGGAAAAGCAAACGGCATTCTACGACCAAGGCCCGCACTTCGGCGTCGTGCGTGACCTCGCGCGCGAGGTCGGGAAAGTCGCGCCCGCGTGGTTCATGACGCTCAGGGGTACCGCGCACCCGAGCGTCACGGACGCGCCGCTCATTGTGCCGTGGGTTATGCGGCTTGTGACGGGGACGCGGGAGGATGCGAGGACGGCGTTGGCGGAGTATGTGGATGTTAGTGTTGCGTTTTTGAGGCGGGTGGGGCAGGGGAGGTGGGAGGGCGGTGGTGGTGAGGATGTGTTGGGGGAGGAGGCGGGGAGTCCTGAGGGGCCGCTTGGGAAGGGGGAGGATAGGGGGACGGTTAGGGGGAGGAGGGGTGGGGTGTGGGAGGTTCATGTTGCGCCGTCTAGTGAGGGAAGTGGTTGAGTGTGTTGTTGTGGGTGATGGTTTTGAAGGCAGTGTACGATATCCTGGATGTTTGAACGAAATATGTATATACGTATAACACCAACTAATGCCAGCGTTCCCTTTTCCATCCCGCGAATGACCAACCCAACGACAATAAGAAACAACATCAACAACGCCATAACCCCCCGAGATCCTCCAAAGAAAACACATCCATAAACCCTCGAAACTCCCTACGCACTCACTCCAAACACCCGCGAATCCCCCGTTCAAGAGAATCGAAATCGAAACCGAGACCGAAAGGCATTCACAGCGGCATAATCGGCGGTTCCGGCCCCGCAGGCACAATCCCATTCCCAATCGCCACAGTCGCATACCCGCGTTTAATCTGCCCTTCTCATCAGCCTCCATCCTCATCACCACCCCCTCCCCAAGCTTTCAAAAACACTCACCGCATAAAAGTCCGTACTATCCCTCCACACCCCACCCCCCCAATACAGCCTCCCCAACCACTTCCCCAACTCCGGATAATCCAACCGCACCATCTTCAAATTACACCGAAAAAGCGTATAGTACACGACGTCGAACCTCACGAGCGTCGTATACAACCTTACATCCGGCTCCGTGATGTCGCTCCCCAGCAGGTAGGGGCCAGCTCCCGGGGCGGCGAGGCGGGCTTCGAGCGCGTCGAGCGCGGTGAAGAGGGAGGAGATGGCGGCGTCGTAGGTGGGTTGCGTGGTCGCGAAGCCGGCGGCGTAGACGCCGTTGTTGATGGAGGTGTGGATTAGGGTGTTGAGGGATTGGATTTCGGGGGCGAGGTGTGGGGGGTTGAGGGAGGGGGTTGGGGAGGGGGGGAGGAGGGCGTCGAAGGCGTGGATGAGGAGGGAGAGGATGTGGGATGATTCGTTGGTTACGATTGTTTCTTTTGTGTCGGGGATGGGAGGTTAGTTGGTGGGAGGGAGATTGGAGGGGGAGGGAGAGGGTACGTACCGTGAGTTTTATCCCACAGCATCGGCACGGTGATGCGTCCCGCGTACGTCCAGTCGGCTTTCAAGTACAGCTCTTTGAGGTACTTCGCGCCGTACAGAGGGTCGCGTTCGGGGCCGCGCTTCCCGGAGAACATCCACCCGTGGACGGGGTCCCGCGCGTCGGCTTCGACGAGCTGGATGATGGATTCGAGGCCCTTGAGCGCGCGCACGATGATCGTGCGGTGTGCCCACGGACAGCAGTAGTTGACGTACAGGACGTAGCGGTTTGGTTCCGCGGGAAAGCGTTCGGATGGGATCGTGTTGAGGAAGAGGGAGGGCTTGGGCTTCCAGTTGCCGTCGGGGCCCGTTTGGCAGATTGCCTGGTGCGTGGTGTCAGTGTGAAGTACTTGGCTGGGGGTGCTGGAGGTATTGCTGTGCTTGTTTCACGACTCTGAGAATTGGTATAAGGGAGGTTGGCGCTGAGGACTCACACTGTTGTCGACGGTCATCTCAGCGGTTGTGATATATATCTCCCTTCGCCTTTGCAAAAGTCATGAATCTTCGAGATCTGGTCGTTGGAAAGCTATCTGCCATGGTGAAAAGCAATCACAGGAGCGAGTTCTTGCGATAATGTATATCTTAGGTGAGAAGTGCCTTGGTGGGTAGTTGGTTACGAAGGGTGGGAGGTCGGAATTAAATGATTACAAAACAAATAGAGGGGGCGCGGGAGTGATTATTATTTAAATATTGCTAGCCAGGTAGCTTGTCCGACCTTAGTTTATTTCCAGTGATACATCATGGAGAAGGAATCGTTTAAGATATCGATTGGCGGGACCTACGAGGACTGGAAATTCAATGTGCACTCGCCGAAGGGGGCTTTGAATCTATTCCGAGCGTGCATGTGAGGTCGGTATAATGTTCGATGGATATCAGATGGTGACGCCGGATGAGGAAGCGTGGGGACCGACCGAGGCTCCGCTAGACGTGCTAAGAGCAAATTGGTAATTAAGGTCTTGTTCTGAACCAATTTATTAGATCCATTCCACGGCTTATTTCCGTGGTACCTTTTTGGGGACTGGACAACTCATCCGTGGCCGTGTCGCGTGATGCCACGATCTTGTGAACTCCATTCAGCTATGTCGGCCTGCCATCGCACTTGGTCTTGGTATTCGGAATTCCTAGACATGATTACTATCATTTCAACAGGTTCGTAAACGATGCAACCTTCTCCAAGCCAGCAAAAGTAAGTAATCATCAGATGTAGTGGAGAGAGAAAAATCAATAGATCCTAACAAGATGAATCGCTAAAGCGCCAAATGTTTCGCACGTCACACCCAAGAGCCCCGAACTCCAATCCAAGAGTGCGTCTCCCAATGGCTCTCGCTAGAGGATAGGTAATGGGAAGGAATCGAGGGTATCTAGATGAAGATAAATGCTACGTGGGGAATTCTGCTCCCGCACTCTGCTCTTTTTCCCCCTGACATGCTGCTCTAAGACAAAATCATATGCAAATCAAACCGGCTTAATATCGATCATTGGCATTATTGCCGCCGCCGCTAAAACTGTATCCTGCTCCTCCCGGTGTGGGAGGGTACGGTGTCGGTCCGCTCCCACTTGTGGTTGACTGGTGGCGGTATTCTTCGTAGCCGCCGGGGCTCAGTGCATCTGGGTTGTCGTTGTACTGGGCGTAGGGTGCGACGGGTATGGGGGTGTGTCCATGGTCGCCTCTGCCGAACCTGTCGTCACCCCAGCTGAGAGGTCGTCCAGGATGTCTGCCCTCGTCCGTTTCTGTCGAATTGAGAAGGGCGTATTCGTCCTCCTCTTGGTTTCCGCCGCGCTCTGTGCGCCTGTCATCATCGTCTGAATCGTTGTGGTGGTCACCCATTTCCGTAGACCATGCATTATCCTTTTGCGTCTCGCCGGAGGCGTGGTGGGGATTCATCTTGTCTGATTCGTAGGGGAGGACGCCTTCCTTGCGGAACTTGGTGAAGTAGTATACACTGATACCGGTAGTGACGGCGAAGAAGACACTGTGAACAATCGAATTAGCACCGCGCTGATCGTCACCACAGGGCAATGGTTTCAGGGAACATACAATACAGCAGCACCGAATCCGACCGTGATGCGACTCAGGTTGCATTTATCCTCAGGTCCGAACTTGAAAGTTGTGCAATTGCCATTGCCATCTATTTTCTTGTCCTTTGCGCCTTCGCGGATACCCTCGGCATTCCACATGGCGACCGCAATGAAGGCTGCAAACCACAAGACTGGTCCGGTGTTAGCATGTTTGTGCATTGAGATTTTCCGGCGGGGAGGAGGTGCGTACTGGTATAGAGAGCATCGAGGGCTAGGAAAGCGTATGCGTTTGCGAATCGTTTGGCTCTCGACCACATGGGTGTCATTACGAGGTAAATGATGGCAGGCGCGGTAAGGAAGCCCTGCATGCGTTGTCAGGATACGAATTCCTCTTTGTTATACTTTGTCCCGAAAGGAAATTTGTTCAGAAAACATACCAGGGCAAAGAAATATTTTGTAGCACCTCCGGTCTCGCCATCTTTTGTGAGAATGGCAATGGTGATGCAGCCTCCGATGAAGATGAGCAGGACCTGGAAAACGTGCGCAACGACCTTGCACTTCTGAATATAGCTCTGCGGAACCCGCATTTTGGCTCAGTGGATGTCCTCGATGGCTCTGCTCGTCGGAGAAATATGCGGAGGTGTTGTTGTCTTCGTCGCCGTCGTTTTCGTCGATGTTAGTGGGTTGGGTGAGGTGTAGGGAGGGAGGTAAACAGAGCTGACACAAATCAACAACTGACTGTCGAGGGACCTCCGGCCGGAGTGGGACGGCAGACTGGGACTGGATTAGGGACTGGCTGCGGCCTGACGTCGCTGCTTCCCTTGGCGGCGTATCGAGGGTTCGCTAAACCGTGTCGCACGTTGCGGAGACGATAGGTTATGGGGTGGAGGTGTTTGAGGAGGAGAGGAGAGAACGAGGGAGAAGGAATTGTGTAAAGGAGGGCGCGGATAGTGTCTTTTTTGTTGTTTATTGAAAGAATTGCAGAAGGGGGTGTCAACAGGCAGAAGAATAAGGCCGCTTTCTGTAGCTGGCAAGCCATCATCCATCATCCATCAGCCATCAGCCTCATTCTCAGCTGGGGTCTGCATACTGACTAGACTCTAGTCAGTCGTACAGCCTCAGCATGTACTCGTACATCTCCACAACAAGCAATTGCGCTGCACTGCACAGCATTCCCTTTGTATATGATTCCTAGACAGGGTCAAGATTGGAAGAGTTTGAAGAACACTTGGACGAATGGTGGCTCTCTACTGTGCTGTACCTTTTGGTAAGTAGTATACTACATCAGGTACTTGTATTGTTGGTAGTTGTACGGGTAGACTACCGCGCGCATGGTGGCTATTCTTAGGCCGCCAACCCTGAAGGCGCTGACGAGGCCGCCGGGCGACGGGCGAGATTGGCTGCATTGGCCATTACAGGCTATTGGCTATTGGCTATTGGCTATTGCCTTTTGGCTTTTGGCTTTTGGCTTTTGGACAGACAATACAAGGAACATTGGGCGACACCAACCACGTTTCGAGTCTGCCATCTACTTACGCGTCAAGTAACTACAAACAATCATCCCCATCATCATCATTAAAATGAATACCATCACAATTGCTCTGAATCCGTCATTCCCTCTTCGACTTATCATTTTGCTCTTGAAAGATGAAAGATATCTTACTTTGTCAAATACACGCATTCGCACAATCCCCAGCCTTGGACACAAGAAGGGCCAGCAAGTACCCTAAGTTCCGGTAAGCGTATACGAACCACCCCCCAAGGCTGTGCAAAAAGATATGTCAAATTCCTTCTCTTTTAGTCAGGTACCTCTAGTTAGGTACAGACATACTCCTTGGATAACTTTAATCTCTTACCAGCGCAACGCCACACCTGAGCGAATAATCTAAGGTCACGTTCGATTAAACAGTTTTATACGAAGTACGGCGTATCTGGGAAAACACGAAACGGAACGAAGAGAATTCTCTTACTAAAGCACATCCATGATAATCTACTAATTCTCAATACTCGCTAATTGACTAATGATACAAACCCATTGTCCAGCAAACTACCTGGTAATAGAAGATCTACGTTCGCATCACCGGCTCTGTGCCTAATCGGTACCTTTATATGTATTTCATATGTACATACAACGCCTTCTCTCATATGGCGCCGACCTCGAGCCTTTTCCCCCTCCGAGTTATAGAACATCATCAGCCCTACGCAAAGTTGAACTGTGAGGCGTGATTTCATTGAATTAGGGCTTACCCGTCGATGAGTACAGGTACTTCCACTGCGCGTAAAGCTCGATGTTGTTGCAAAGGAGGACTGAGGTATATGCCGACGAATTATTCCGTCACAATGGTCATTTCCCCTCTGCGCTTACTGTTTTGGTGCACGTTGATAGGATGTCTTTGTACTACCATTCTGACATCTATAGTCTAATTCCAAGTCACTTAACGCATCACAACGAGGTAAATTCAACGAGTGATTCTACTGCGTGTACAAGATTCTGTTATTTACATTGTATTCATTACCACCATCTATCCACTTCTATCCTCTCCTCCCTCTCTTCACTAACTAAATCCAAACTACCCAGACATTCTTCACTTCGCATAATCACTCTCATACCCATCATAATTATTCTCATCATAACGCGCCTCCTCGACCGTCCCTCCCTTCCCAGCATGCATCCTGTTGAAATGCCGCAGAAACTCATTGTTGTTCGAGAACTGCGGTTTCGTCGGGCAGCCTAGGATGTTGCAGGACGTATGCTGGAAGCGGCGGACGTGGCCGTGCCAGTTGGTGTGGCACATGTTGTGCTCCGCACAGTATCGGGGATACTCTTTGTTGTGGGCACGCTGGCCGGCCGAGGAGTAGACTTCCTTGTGGCAGTACTCGCAGGGGTGGTGGACCATGGTTCTGGTGGGCTTGTCAGTGGGATGGTCAGTTGCGGGTGAAGATGCTGGTGTCTTTTCTTGTGTTTGCGTGGAGGAGTTGGGTCGTTTGACGACCGGACGACTGGATTCAGGGATAGAAAACGGGAAGGTTCGTTACGGTGAAGTTGGGTTTGAAGCTAACTCGTGCTTTGCGGGGAAGAACGGACTCAGGGAGCTCCAGTATACTCCGTACTCGCAAGCCTGGCGAGAAGTAAAAGTTAGATGAAGACAGGAAGTCACTTATTTATAACGATTTCCGCAGTGTTCATCGAACGGAAAGAATCATTGCGTGAATTTGCTTCAGTCTGCGCCATTGTCCATGAAGGGTGTGGGGAATTGTGACTTGATTCATCGATGCTTGCCGACTGTCAGTTACATTGAAGCACTTAGTTCGAGAGGTGGCCTTATAAACCTGCAATCTTCGTTGAGCGTGGTCACTGTAGGGGTGTAGGGAATCTTAGCTTGATTCGTTGGTGATTGCGAGTTGCATTGAAGCGATTCGAGAGGTGGGCCTCTCGACAAGCCTGATCATCTGCCACTCGTTATAGATATCTACGAGCAGCAAAATCGCCACGCAAGGAAGCCAGTCCATCGTGCTAGCTAGCCTCATGAGGATAATGCTTGATCGCCAACATCTGATCGTACATGGTGCATTATGCATTGTAGGGATGGCAGCGGTGCGGCAGTTGGTTACAGCCTTGCGGGCGAAAGGGGCACCATCTCATCCGATATATTTTCTTCAAGGCATGGTGCTTCTAGTCGGCTGCAGCAATACATGGAGGCTAAAATTTACAGATAGAAGATTAATGCATGTACACATTCATAGCACCTTTGCAATGCAGGTAATCTCATATGAATATTGTGGTCTGATATATGTATTCCCCTCTATAAGGTAAGATGGCACTGTGTAGTAATCGACTGCTTGCCTTCAACCAGCCTGTAGTGCGAGCAGTGGCAATTCATGCAGGGCCTTCCCGACTCCCGAAGGACCAAAGTCACACGATCGATCGCCTGGCAAACCGCAATAGGTAGGTACATTTTAAGCAGATGATCGATCATGGAGTAAACATTCTAGAGCTGCCGCATCTGAAGGCGTCGATAAGGCTGCGTACTGGGCGATGGGCGAGATCTACGTTGTAACAAGGTACCTAAGCTACTCGATGTACGGAGTACACGTCAAAAACAGACTAGCCAAACCATTGGAACAAAAGGACAAGGAATCCATTTTTCGTAGAAGCTGGATCTCTTCCGAGGTTCTTTCTCTGTACTGTACGGAGTGCAAGCTTTTGGAATTGATGGATTTTTAAAAGACCTGCTTGAATTACTAGGAACAAAGGATCAATGAGCGGCTATGCTGCTTGTAATTAGATTTCCAGCGTCATTATAAGAGACATTAAAAGCCACCATCTCTCGTCTATCGTGTTCAAAATCGGACTGTAGTGGGCAGTCTGGGGATAATCAGTATCATATGATTCATATTCTTTTCTATGGAGCAACTGAAAGCACCAGCACGTTACTCACGATAATTGGAAAACAGCGCACGGGAAAGAAAATCCTAATTAGAAGTCCCGGTATGGAAATTGGCGTTATGGAAGGAAAACATCATTCCAGTTTGTTTGGTAGTAAAACAATTGATAGATTCCTATTAGGCAAGCGGGTCCTAGGGAGCACGCCATTGCCAAAATTACGAAGTCCCACTTTCCATCCACTTCTTCCTTTCTTCCTCTCTCTTCATCATTCAAGAGAACACGGATGGCGGCAGTGGGAGGCTATGGCCCTCGGTACGATGCCACGATGGCATAGGGATCTCGCAGAAGTAGGATATGCTGAATGAGATCAGCGGAGATCGCATTGGGTCAAGGAGGCATTCGACATTCGAGGGCAGTCGATTTTGCGTGGGCCAGAATGGTGGTCTTCCGGGCGACCGAGGCTGCAGGGGCTGTGTTGCATAGGAAAGAAAAATTAGTTGCATGAGGGAAGCGTTGCTCTGGGTTGAAAACATTTCAGGTTGGTAAAAGGTTGCTTGGGGTTCTTCAATGCGCGTGTGGCCCTAATCAACGATCCTTCATCACGCCAACGACGACAAACACAGGAGCTCTTTCTCCTCCTCGACTACCATGGTTCCTGGAAGCAATCGACTACCCACGACCCTTACCGACGTAGTGTGAGTGACTAGCATGGTTTGCTCCGTTGACCTCCCGCGCCGTCCGCTCAAGATAAACTGAAGATAGGGTCCTCCAGTCTGGATCTAATCCACGACCTTGTCCCGGACAGCATCGAAGGTCACCTTGGCGGGATCCTTGGCATCAGAGTCACCCCACTCGATCTCGTAGCCACGGTCGGCTAGGTAGGTACGCCAGTTGGCATCCTCTTCGACCAAGTTGGGCGGGTTGGCGGGGATCAAGAACCACGCGACGAGCATTCCGAGAACAGAGAAGCCTGACCCGATGAGGAAGACTGCCTGGTTTCCACGGACTACGTCATCACCATAGGAGGCTAGGATAGGCTTGAAAACGCTGGTACCAATGGCGGCGCCAGCTTTGGAAATGGCAGCGCAGAGACCGAGCATTTGGCCACGAATGGATGTGGGGAAGAATTCGGAAGATGTCGCGACGATGGTAGCGCCGGGGCCGACCTCTCCAAGAGTAAGGAAGAGTCCGTAAAGGACGATGAAGAGTCCAGTATAGTTCTGGATCCAAGGGAGAGCTCCGCCCATGATGAATCCTAGAGCGGCCTGAAGACCGAAACCGAGGGCCATGGTCTTTCTGCGGCCAATCTTGTCACTGAGGTACCCGCCAATGAAGCCACCAGGAAGATAGAAGCACTACAAAAGTTAGTTGACGATGTCATGGTTCTACAAGCGAGACAGCAACGTACGGTGATGAGGGTTCCCCACCCATACGACTTGACCAGTGAGTCACCGGCATTGACACTGGCCGAGATGGTCGAAGAGAAGAGACCGAAGGGGTAAGCAACATAGTTGTACAGGAACCAAGCACCAGCGGAACCGAGCAAAGGGCGCCAGTACCGACGGACCGCAACATGGAAGGGCATCATCCTCTTCCTGGACGAGTTGCGTCGCTCCGCAGAAGACATTGCCATGCGGTAACGGAACCAGAAGATGGACACAGGGGGCTTCGACACGTCAGTACAGTCTCATTACATGGCCATATCACAGGCCACACCACGGCACAACTCACAATTATACCAAGAGCAAAGGAAATACGCCAGACTTTCTCATAATGCTCCTCCTTCTGATGGAAGCAGAGGAGAAGGAGGAGAGGAACAAGTCCAGAGAAGATGAAGCCGAGCGATGCAGATACATCAGCGACCATGGCAAAGATGAAGCCTCTATGCTTCCTCGCACGGGCACTATCATCTGTCGACTCTGCCGTACCTGCGCCTGATACTGGGTACTCGCCTCCAGCACTAGTGTCCTATTAGCTCGGATTCTTATTGAGCCCGTCCGTAGGGAGACGATGCAGGATTGCCTGTGTTTTTGGCTACTTACCCGAATCCAGCGATGCCACGAGAGATGGTCAACATCCAAAACATTCCCTTCTGGGTCACACCATGAGACACGGCGGTCATGATGATACCGATTGAGAGGAACAGCGTTGTCAAGACGGCACCAGACTTGCGACCAAGGCGATCACTCAGGAAGCCAAATGCCAGCATACCTATGATCTATCGCTTCGAGTTAGAACGACTACCCAAGACGAGTACCTTGACTCGGTTGTCTTACCAAACCAATGATGAACGCATTCGTCAGTTGCGACTGAGTTCCGATGTCGAGCGTGTCCGGGTACAGGACGGTCAAGAGCAGTAGCAATTGACCCATCAAGGCCGAGTTGTATGCGTCTGAACCAATGGCAAGACCAGAGAAAAGAATCATGAAGAAGATGGATCGCTTCGAATACAGGACAGGTTCGGCTTGAGCCTCCTCTATGTCCATCTCGACTGTGTGTGCCACCTTCTCATCACCTTTCTTAACGTCATCTTTGGCGATATCGGTCGAGTTGACCTTTGGGTCCACCTCTGTAATCTGCGAAGATTCCATGGCGACTGCGAGCGTTGGAAAATATAGAAGACACGCGCAAAAGATCACAATAGCCGCGAGAAGGGGCTACGCAGCATTTAAAGGGAAGACGGCAACGATTGTTCATTAGCTTGTCTCTACAATTCTCAGATGAGATGAGATTGAACGCCCAAGGCCTCTCGACATGACTAAAGATACGAATAAAACCCATATCATGTTCATTTGCCGAAGCGACGGGCAATTGTCCGGCTATCTCATCAAAACAGTAGCCTGGCATGTTGATCCCTGTGTATGGAGTAGAGACGGCATAGCGGTTTGGAGCACACCTATTAGGCCTATCAGACGGACGTTGATGATTGGAGCTATTCAGGTTTGGGAGCAAAAGAAGCGGAGAATTGTGGAGATGCAGGAAAACAGGATATCGGAAAACCGCATGTGCACGTGGAGTCCTCGCTATTAGTCCCGATTGGGCAAGCCGCGTCGGCCTGTCATCGGGTATATTCTGACCTCGTATCGTCTCTTCAGAGACAATTGCGGAATGGGTCCCCACGCATACCCACTGCTATGCTGATAATCTTAAGTTTTGTTATTCAAATGCCGCGGCTCGCTTTATCTTCCTCTGAATTTTAATATTTCTTTTCTTCCATTGAATTGGTCACCAACTAAGCTTCAACTCTGGAAGCTGCGTAGTAGGAGAGGTGTGAGTGACAGTCGCCAATATACATAGGGCTATCGGCAGTCTTCCGAAGTGTTACTGGTAACAATGAAGGAGCACATTCTCCCACCACCTGCTCCGGCAAACGCCCAGGAGCAGCAGAAAAGCCGCTGTCGAATGGCATCATGGTACTCGATTCGCACCCTATGCGCCATTCTGATCATAAACGTTTTCATCTGGGTAAATACTAGCCAATAGCACCAAAAGCACATATCAATGATCCCGACCGTCCAACGTGATCTCAGGAAGAACAATATGAACATTACTGACTGAAACCCTCAAAGTTCCATGGCTCCGCGTTCGTACCTAGGACACACCACAACTCATCCGGTAAACAGACCGACCTGGAAAAGTTCGAAAAATGCTCAATTGACACTTTCGTCGGTACTGGCATGGAGTTCCTCAAGACGGCGGAGCGTCCACCACTGGAAGAGTACGTCTTGCGACGCAACAATCTCGCCAAAGCGCTCGTCGCCGACTCAGTAGATGCATTCGTGGTCGAGCCAGGCTACACCTTCAGCTACTACGCCAATGTGACACAGCCTCAATGGGAAGTCTGGGAGCCCGAGGAGCGACCTTTCCTCATGGTGATCCGACCAACGAAGAACGACGATGGGGAGATTGTGGCTAACACGACATTCCTGGTCCCCAGCTTCGAGGAAGTGCGCGCCAGACTGTTGAAGATGCCATTTGAGGAGGAGATTGAGGCGGTTCCGTGGGAGGAGCATTGGAATCCTTACGTTACGCTGTACACGAGCGGAATCTGGGGTGATAAGCTGAGCCCCGTCCTCATGGTCGACGAGGAGATCCGCGACTTCATCCAACGAGGACTTGACAATCACGGATTCACCGTCGTAGGCCTTTCTGGCGAGGTAGAAGCCGTACGACAGATCAAGACGGAGCGCGAATTGGGCATCCTCTCCGCCGTCAACACCGGCACCGTCGAAGCCATCCGCGCCATGCGAACCTGTCTCTACCCCGGCGTGACCGAGAACGAAGTAGCCGCTGTCCTAGACAACACCATGCGCGCCGCAGGCTTTGAGCCCTTTTTCGACATCGTCGAGTTCGGCAAGTCGGCAGCCCTCCCCCACGGCGGCCACGACGGCGAGCGCAAACTCGCCCCAGGCGACTTCATCCTCATCGACGTTGGCTCGCACCTCTACGGATACTCCTCCGACGTCTGCCGCACCTTCTACCCATCCTTCTTCCCCAACCCCCCACCGCCAGAATACAACCTCACCGAGCACCTCGCCGTCTGGACGCTTGTCCTCGACGCACAGGCCGCCTCCGTGAAGGCCATGGTCCCCAACGCGACCGCCGCATCCGTCGACATCGCCGCGCGCTCCATCATCTCCGCCGCCGGCTACGGCCAGTACTTCACGCACCGTCTCGGCCACTCCATCGGCATCAAGGCACACGAGTCGCCGTACCTCAACAAGGGGAACTTCGAGGCGAAGCTCAGGCCCGGCATGGTGTTCACCAGCGAGCCAGGCGTGTATGTTCTCGGAAAGTTTGGCGTCAGGCACGAGGATATCCTCGTTGTGAGGGAGGATGGCGAGGCGGAGAATCTGAGCGGTGGGTTTGCGGTTAGCCCTTGGGAGCCGTGATTTTGAGATGTGTCTGCTACTGCTCGACTATTTCGTCCACCCATTCAGTGGACATTTTGGAGGGAGGGACGGAGGCCAATATATTCGGAGAGATTTGATGTGCGGTGAGAAGCAGTCAGGAGGGAAATCGTCTTTTTCCTTGAAAAGACAAAGAAAAGAAACGAAACGGAAATTAAAAACAATGTACACTACCGCAACGCAAAATGTACTAGAAAAAGCATAGAAATTCCGAGTCAGGTGTCATGTCCTGTATGTATATAAAGCATCAGCACGATTTTTCATTTTTCAAAGTTTGTTACTCTTATCACATAACACTCTTTTGCAAAATCTTTTTTCGTCGACAAAGGAAAGATCGGAACAATCTTTTATTGACAGGCAGGTACGTCTACGGATAGGTTTATCAGACGAGGAAGGTGCTGGACATCGAGCATCTCCTGCTATTTCCGTGTGGCCAGTACACAGCACGACATAGACATGTCTCGACAACAGACAGAATATACTCGCAGTACACTTTCAGCCAATGCCAATTCCCGGACGCTTCTTTCCCCACGGCTCTCAGAACGCACAATTTACCTTACGCCCGAACCCATAATCCTCCATAGAGCAGACACATCACAGTGCCCTGCTCCCTTTCCTTCTCGACGACGCTTGTGGACAGTTCATCGATTATCTCTAGGCAGCGGCGCTTGCTCTGTCATCTTTCTCCCTGTCGGCGATAGCATCTGGGTAACAGTATCTCTCCAGCACATACTTGAGAGCCGATCGGCGGATTGGTTTCGAGATGAAGTAGTCCATACCGGAGTCTAGGCATGTTTTCACGTTCGATTCCTTTTCGTCACTCTTTGTCAGCCCCTCGTATGATGCATGATGCAAGTAACATACACATACACAAACTCACCTCAGTGTAAGCCGTCAACGCGACAATGGGTCCCCTGAACCCGGACTGCCTTATGAGCCTCGTTGCTTGTAACCCGTCAAGATTCGGCATCTGAATATCCATAAGGATGAGGCTGTACGCATTCCGGTGACGAGCACTGTGTATGACTTTGTCGAAGGCTTCTTGGCCGTCTGTCGCGATGGTGACGTCGTGTATGTCCTCGAGCTTCAGCATTCGTAGCAAGACTTCTTGGTTCGTCTTGTTGTCTTCGGCAATCAGGATCCGTGGCTTATTGCTGGGTTGAATTGCTTTGGTTTCGACCCGTTCCGTGACTGCGGCTGTTTGCGAATTGGAAGAGGAGGAACTAGGGGCAAGTAAAAGCTGGTTGATGTCGACTTTGTGTGGGTCCGAATAGGTCTCCAATGCCGTTGTAGCTGGCGTCGCAATGTGTGGATTGGCAGTTCCTAATGTCAATCTAGGATTTGATTGCATCAGTTGCGGTAAGTGTGTGTCTTCAGTCCACCAAACTGCCTTCATTTCGTCGACAAGTCTATTCTGAGACGGCAGTCCCAGCACCGCTAGGTGTAGGCTTGAATTTCCCGAGCTGTCAGCACGGCTAGCCGCCTCCTTGAGCGGAATTGACAAGACGAAGGCACTGCCCTGTCCAACTTTGCTCCTCATGCGTATTGTACCTCTCATCAATTGAGCGAGTTGCGAACAGATGCTCAGGCCAAGACCAGTGCCTCCATACTTCCCACTGATGCCGAGGTCACCCTGCACGAATGGCTCGAAGATCTTGCTGTGGAGGTGCTCTGGAATGCCGGGGCCCGTGTCCTCTACTTCAAACTCGAAGGAGAGCCATCGCGCGGGCAGAGACGTCAGGCCTGGACGACGTGCGACATAGGGTGGATATTTACTCTTTACGGACATTGTCTTGGTGATGTTATATGCATCACAGTACGAAACTGTGGGTCCAATTGCGTTCGCCGAGACTCTGGCTCTTGAACTAAGATGGGGTAATGAGCTTTGTTGAGACTGGTCTGAGGCCTCTCTTTCTTCGGGCATGTAGACCTCTCCCATGCATCGAATGTTGACAGTGACTGAGCCTCCTGCCGGGGTGAACTTGAGACTGTTTGAGACTAAGTTAAGGACAACTTGGACGATGCGTCGTTCATCTCCATGGAGCCACATGTCTTTCAGCCGCCCGAATCCGAGCGACCCAGTGTTGCTTCGCTCGGTTGACTCTCCACCATCAGTGGAATTCACGTCGTTGTGATCTTCGAACTTGACTGAGAGGTTTATGCCACCTTCTCTCGCTTGTTCTCGAAATATCGCAAAAACCTGCGAGCCAATGTCTCTTAACCTGAACTCCTTCTCGTCTAGGCGTAGCTGTTCGCCAACCTGATTTTTACTGCGTGCTGTTAGCATCCCTTCAACCTTTCATACTCCCACGAACACGTCACCTAAACATTAGAAGATCGGTCAGCAAGCTCAGAAGCAAATCTCCGCTTTTATATATGATGCCGAGGTACTGCTTCACTTTCATAGGGTCGCCCTCAGACATGCAGACCGTGCACATTCCTAGGATACCATTTAGCGGTGTCTTAAGTTCGTGCGAGATATTCGCAACAAACAACGTCTTGCTCGCGTTAGCCGTTTCTGCCGCCTCCTTGCTAAGTTCAAGCTCTGCGGTCCGCTGCTGAACCCTCTCCTCGAGCCTTTCGTACTGCATCATCAGCTCGTCGGTCATATCGTTAAATGTTGTCGTGAGCTCTGTCAGCTCGTCGTGGACGAAGTGTTTGCTATCTTTGACCTTGGACGGAATACGGAACTGCCTCCTCCTGCTGGCTTCCCGCTTCTCTGCACGATGTGCTGCGGATTTCTTCCGGTACCGGATGACTTGGCCAAACGACCAATTATTGTGAGCAAGCACCTCATCTGTCCCATCGGAATCGGCATCGGCATCGGTATCCCCCTGGTCACTCGGCTCGAGAAACTGACGTACTGCGTTCTTCGCCGTTGCGTCTCGCAATCGCCTGACGGGCTTGCTGAAGTAGTGAGCGATCGGGAACGTAACCATCAGCAAAAACCCCATGGTGCCAAATACGCAGGCAAGGATGAGTCGTCGAAGTTGGTCAATGAGAGCCCAGACTTCGGCGTGGGAGCATTCCACTACAACCATCCAGTCGACCAGGGAACTTCTCACCATGGCGTACCCGACAGCGACACCGTCGTTTTGCTCGTTCTCCGTGGATATCACGCTCCCGGCGTTGTTCTTGTTTGTTGTGGCATGGGAGAAGCCTCCGCGGATGGCAGGGTACCGCGACCAGTCGAAGGGCGGCAGGCTGGGAGCGTCGACATACTGCATGCGTCTTCTTTTCACGTCTTCCCTTTTCGTCGGAGGGAACTTGTACTGAACTTCGACATTTGAGCGAGAAATGACATTAGGAGAATCGAACAGATAGCCGGCGGGGAATTTGTTCGTGACCACAGCGGGACCAATTAGCAAACTGAGTCCACTATCGCCGAGACCCTCTCTTGCATTCACAACATCGCCGACAAGCTGTGCATCAAGTACGATCGTAATCCAGCCCAGTGTCCGAGCATCTGAGCTATTGCTCTTGACAATCGGCATGGTAATCGACACCAGTGTCAGATAATCGTCAACTCTATACGGTCCTAACAGAAGATAATTAGTCCTATTAATTCCCCTCCCTTGATACTCAGCCACATAACGGCCAGCAATCCCTTCAACGACGTGGACGTCGAATCGAGGATACAACCCCTCCACAAACCCAGACTCCCCGTCCCCCAACTGTGCAGGTTGCCCGTCCGGCTTGCTATACGGCAAGGTGATGCCCCTCACACTTGCCGCTGTACGGCTGAATAGCACGCGATCGGATCCCTCTTTATGGTAGATGCGGGCCTGCACCGCGACGCGACTGTTGCCGTCTCCCGAGAAAATTGCGTCGTAGTCCTCGGCTGTACGTTCCCAGTGCTCGCCGTCGGAGTCGCCTTCTCTGTAGTAACATTCCAGCGCTGTTTGAGGCGACAGACGCATGGTGGCCTGTTTGACGAGCGTCTGCATAAGGAGGAGGCTCGAGGATATCTGTGCGGACTTGAAGGACGCAGTCATCATTAGAGCCCCGGATCTATGCATCTCATTAGTACGTGAATGTATTGTCTTCAGTGAATGTGATGTGATGGATTGGAGGTCCGTGGGGAACTTACCGCACATCGAGCACGAATTCGTGCGTCGTGTACCATGTCGCGAGCGCCACGACGGTCAGACTGATGCTCGTGGCGAGGAAGACTAGAATATCCAACTGCTCGCGTATCGGGATCCGCATCGTCGCGACGTTTTGTCTGTGGAACCATCGCAGGCTAGACAGGCCCCCTAAAGTAGATGTGCCTGCGCTCTATGGGCGGATGGAACGATGGGACGACGAGAGGTCAACATGCAGTGCAGCAACGCAGGAGACACGACCAAGTCTTGAAGAAAAGCATAATCAAAATCCATTCCATTCCTCCCGCCGAAGTCCAGGCGCAAGGAATAAAGACTTGTCTCGGGCGTTTGCAGCTTCGGTCTGGTTTCTGAGACACTGTCTTGATAACCCCTACCATGGAATGAAGATAAAAGTGCATGTCTCTCCCATTCGCAAATGCGTTCATGATATGAATGATAGAACAACAACAATGGACGGTGAGCAGTATGGTGAACCAACTCTCCAGGGAGAATTGAGAGTCAAACACATGATCCTCTAGGCGCACAGCCGAAAGTATAGAACGACACATCTTAAAACCATCTGCAAAAAAAGGTGAGTCAACAACTCAAATGGATACATACTTTGCATTCCGTAAGATACAGCACACATCATTTTCAAAATTATTTATGCGTTCATCTCGATCTTCAAGCCTGCGTAATAAAACACAATAAAAAATCAAACATAAAACACAACCTCATATGTCTAAGTCACTCACTCATGCATTCTCGTCCCCTTTCTCAGTCTACCCTACTCCTCCCTTATTGAAATCCAGAAAGAAATTAAACTAAAAGCAAAAAAATAGAGTATCAATTGCACTCTCAGGTTCAGTTACTTTGATTATTTGAACCCTCAAACCCACCCATCCACTTCCCCCTCTATCAGCGTGCATGCGCCCGCCCGCATCACCTCTGACAGTCCAGTCATAAATAGGTGTAGATAGTTTGTCGAGAAGAAAAACAAACGAAAAATCATCACATTCTCAAAGCGACTTGGAAGTACCCTCACAACTACTATCCTGTATCCTGGACGTTATCGAAACTCCCGCCTTTCCAATAAAAGCTTCAGGGAGATAAAAAGATATCCGTCTACCGTGCAGCAAGCCAGCGACGCCGCTCGTAATCG